CCCCCCTCTCTTTTCCGCAGTTTCATGTCCTGCCGCAGTCTATTCATCGCTATGTAAAATTTTGGAGAAACTTCATTCCTCAGAACATTGCTCATCCCTCTTAAAGGTCACCGTTTCCAGTGTACTGACCTCAAAGTTCCGATGATTAGGCATCCGCAGGGATAATTGTAGGCACTTCAGCTGCTATTGGTGTAGCTTCACATGCTATGGTTCTTCGTACAAAACGGCCTGCGAGTGGACCTCAGGGCGGATCAAATCCGAAAAACCCTAAGACAGGAAATACTGGAGGGTCCAAGACCGCTTACGGACAGTATGCATCCTCATTCATGGTTCAATGGATTATACTTATTGAATTTGCACTCTAGGTGGAGCATCGCAACATATCCTAGCACCAGTGATGCAGTATCATGCGATTGCAGCGTCACCTACACATGCGTCTATGGGTAACGACGATCCCTTCAAGTCTGTTCAGATGGATACTAACACAAGAGCTAGAATGACAGCTACAGCCGGTGGCTGGGATGAAGTCTGTGATAATCAGAGATGGGCCATAGATAAGCTGTTGAACGGTATGTGAACATTGTTCGAACTGATTACTAAATCTAATCCAGTGATTTAACTAGGGAATACGGTATACCACTATGGCGGCAAGTCGAATGCAGCGAGCCAAACCCAGTGTTTGCATTTACGGTATTAACTTATATCTATAGGACGTCTTGCCGACTCAAATTATGCGAAAGCGCAATGGTCGCCTCAGCACTCGGGTTGGCAAGCAGCGGCGCAAACAGCTATCGCTGGTGTTGCTAGATGCCAAGTGTAAGCATGCATGAATGACTTATTCGAGTCTATAAGCCTTCCTAACTATGGAGTAGAGATGAGTTCCCGATGGGTGCACTAATTGAAGGGAGACTTCCGAACTCACAAGCTTGTCGTCTTGTAAATGGCCCAGCGAATGGGCGCCAAGGAACAGATTTTCAGCAGTTCCTTCTGGCCCAATGGACCCCATGCAGCTCATATAAGCAGAATGAATGTGGCACACCGAATCCAGGTAAGTCCGAGCCTTTTCTGCCATACGGCTTTGGGTACATATCATTACCGTAGCGTTTGTTGGCTTTCTTCCAGGTGGAAGTACCAGCACGCAGCATACCTAGGTAACCAGCTCCGCCATAAATACAACAACTAACATAAATATAATCAAGATGTTCCAATAACATGGGCTTTCTCCGGTATGGACGCAAATCGGATCGCAGGCAGCAACGTCCCTCCTCACTTTGTGCAACACTATGGCGTAAGGGAGTTCCTATCCATTTACTTCTACATGCGTGTAACACCACATAGTTTGACTCGCAAACCGTCGGCTCAGAATGCTGGGGTGCGTCATCCACATATGGCATTCTTTCAATGGATGGACACAAATACTTACTGACTTCTGGCTAGCAACCGCAACTTTCAATGATCCAAGTGGAAATCCAGTAGTCAGCACCGTTACTGACCATGGCTTCCGTGTCCTCAACGGTGATCCGTAAGCATTGAGCGAGCCCCAATCTCTCTTTTAGACTCAAAGCATATAGTGATCTAATACCGAAAACAGTATGATTACCAGTGCAAACTACGACTGGCCACTCCAGAGCTATCGTCCCTCACCCTATGCAGGCCAGCCAGACCAACCGTCTAGTATAGCTAGTGCTGCATATCAGAAACGACAAGAAGCGCTTTTGAGTCTCCAAGGCCAATACATTGGATCGGAAATCAATTGCGAGAAATGCGATGTGTTCATTGATAAGTCCGGAAGACAGTTCTATCACCCTCATTGGAGTGGTCATCCCCATACTACCTCTACTACGACTGCTGTTGCGCATGGAGGAACAAATGTCGCCATCAAGGCAGGAAGTACGCCTGTGAACAAGGTGCCGAGAGAGACTAGTCACTAAGTCCTATCTACGCGTAGTAGTTACGATGTTGCGAATGAAGTTGTCCAAGAAGGGTCTGAAATCCTTCAAAATTGCTAAAATTTGAAATGAATAAATCAATCTTTCGATAGTAAAAAGGCGTCATATCATTCTCACGCGCCAGTCAAATTAGGGTTAACCCCACAAAGCCCTAATATTAAAATTGACGCGGAAGGCTATTGCTTCATAGGAGTAGCTTCTCACTATGCGAGAACTTACAGCCACAAATGATACTCGTCGCTGCTATTTGTCACCACAATATAGTATTGGGCAAGTGTTCTTGCAAGTCGGTCGCATCAGGCACGTAAGTCTAGATAATCTTCACGATCGCTATCAGTACTACTGAAAATGAAGTATTACCTTTGTCGAAATGAAAATCGAATCTTCTATCTTCAGCATCCATTAGCCCTAACATATCATTTTCAACGATGTCTCTTTTAAAGAATTGTATAGCGAAATTATTGTTAGTGGTTGACTGACGTAACTAACTAGCTCATCGTTTACAAAGTAAATGCTAGCTAGCCGACCCCGGATCATGTGACTTTGGTCACATGCCTTCCTTAGGCATACGGTGGATCGATCCGTCTCGTTGATGCTCCAAAGTCCGTAACCATAACCATCAACGAATAACTTACTCTCCGCCACTCGAAATTCGCCCAACTCGCATTCTGCCGCGACCATGTCGATTCAGATACCGACAAATTCTTTCCACAGCGTATGAGACTTAGATCACGATGAGCGGGAGAATCGTCTCCCAACGCCTAACTCCGCTGTTGCGGAGGGGCTTGTTGGTGCGTCATGTCAACTTCCCTGGGAGTCGCACAGGGGGCCTTCTTCGGGTGGATAATGCTGCCGTCAGAGGTCGGGCATGGCCTATCGGTGCCAGCTCTATTCACAACAATGTCCCCGCCGTACGAAACATATCGTTCGCAAGAATATTACCGCGATTAGCGGTGAAACTGGCGCGTATTCCGGCAATGTTTGGAGGAGCAATGATTGCGGGAGTGGCTTATATTCAATATCAGGCGATGCGTATGTAAAATGCAATGCCAGAGGGGAAAAAAGGGCTGTGCTAATTCTGTTGGTTTACAGAGGCTGGAAACTACGCTATTGACCTCTTCAACCAAGCCAAAGAAACCGCTGGGGGTGCGGCGTCCGATTTGTTCCAGGGCCTGCAAGATATCGCTTCTCAGACGGGCCGTGGCTGGCAGCGGGTCAAGGAAGAGACAGAAATCCCCGAATGGATGCAGAAGATATTCCGTCTGGACGAGGAGGCTCAAACGGGAGGAAGCGGTTCTGGAGAAGGAGGAGGAAATAACTCCCCCAACGACGGCCAAGTTGCGGCTGCCGCAGTAGGAGCGGCAGCGGGAAGCACTTATGCATACGACAATACGGATGATGGCGACATGCAGTCACAGAGAGGAGCAGACAATGACCAGATGATGGTTTTAACTCGGAAAATGATCGAGATTAGGAACATTTTGACGCAAGTTGGACAGTCAAACACGCTGACATTACCTTCAATCGTTGTTATTGGATCACAGTCTTCTGGCAAGAGCTCTGTTCTAGAGGCTATTGTTGGACACGAGTTTTTACCCAAAGGCTCGAATATGGTGACTCGTCGCCCGATAGAGCTGACACTGGTCAACACGCCAAACGCACAGGCAGAGTACGGAGAGTTCCCTGCGCTCGGTTTAGGAAAGATTACAGATTTTTCACAAATTCAACGTACATTGACCGACCTGAATCTGGCTGTCTCCGACAAGGATTGTGTCAGTGACGATCCTATTCAGTTACATATCTATTCTCCGCATGTCCCCGATCTCTCTATGATCGATTTGCCGGGCTATATCCAAGTTGCCGGTAGCGATCAACCACCAGAATTAAAACAAAAAATCTCGGACCTTTGCGACAAGTACATCCAAGCGCCCAACATTATTCTCGCTATTTCGGCCGCTGACGTCGATCTGGCCAATTCCACAGCACTCCGTTCTAGCCGACGGGTTGATCCGCGCGGTGAACGTACCATTGGAGTGATAACGAAGATGGATTTGGTCGAGGCTGACCGCGGAGTAAGCATACTGACAGATAAAAAGTACCCGCTTCGGCTTGGGTACGTTGGTGTCGTATCCCGCATTCCACAAACATCGACACTGTTCTCTCGCGGAAGTGGCAATATCACGAACGCTATTTTGAAGAATGAAAAGACGTATTTTTCTGCTCATCCGTCCCACTTTGGACCGGGCTCGGAAACCTCAGTGGGTGTTCCAACGCTACGGGAGAAGCTTATGAACGTCCTTGAACAGACCATGGCACGAAGTCTCGCTGGCACGAGAGATGCTATTACTCAAGAACTCGAAGAGGCTACCTATGAATTTAAAGTGCAGTACAATGACCGGCCGCTTAGTGCAGAGTCGTATCTGGCGGAAAGCCTAGACAGTTTCAAGCACTCATTCAAGGCCTTTGCAGAGGACTTTGGCCGTCCTCAGGTGCGAGAGCTACTGAAGCATGAGCTCGACCAACGCGTGATGGATATTCTCGCGCAACGATACTGGAACAAACCAGTTGAGGATCTCTCCGTTGCGCCCTCGGAGCCAGACCCATTGAAGGATCTCCCCAAGGCCGATCTCGAAAATTTGTATTGGCAGCGGAAGTTGGATGCTTCAACGTCAAATTTGACAAAACTGGGAATTGGCAGAGTAGCGACTACGGTTGTTGCCAGTGCGCTACAAGAGCATGTTAATCATCTTGTTGCGCAGTCTACATTTTCGACACACCCATACGCACAGAACGCGATTATGGAAGCCTGCAATGGCATTCTGAATGACCGATTCTTCAGCACCAGCGACCAAGTGGAGAATTGCATTAAACCTTATAAATTCGAGATAGAGGTGGAAGAGCCCGAATGGGCCAAGGGGCGCGAAAATGTCCACAAGGTGTTGAAAGAGGAGCTCAGGGCATGCGAAGCAGCACTGAGACGTGTGGAAGACCAGATAGGCAGGCGAAAGCTCAAGGATGTGATGTCGTTTGTCGACCGAGTTCGGAAGGGCGATGTTGTATTAGATGGCAGCGCTGGAGGTGCTGGGGGGTTCAGTGCGGCACTACTAGAAAAAGGTTTGTTTATTTGTTCGTCTTGCTATGATAATTTGGATCGCAGACTGACATGTACACAGGCCGAGAGGGTATATTCCTCCGCGACCGAGCGGACATAATCAAAATGCGCATGCTAGCTGTACGATCGAAGCAATGCTCGTCGCTCAAGAACAAATACTACTGCCCCGAAGTCTTCCTCGACGTGGTAGCTGACAAGCTAACCGCGACGGCCGTCTTATTTCTGAATGTCGAACTCCTCTCGGAATTTTACTACAATTTCCCCCGCGAACTCGACCAGCGTCTTGGCCGGCACCTCTCAGACTCGGAAGTTGAGCGATTCGCGCGCGAAGACCCGCGCGTCCGAAAGCACTTGGACGTGATTAAGAAGAAAGAAACGCTTGAATTGGCGCTACAAAAGATTGAGAGTCTGCGTCAGTTAGAGGGGCGGTCGCGACGAGATTCCGCAAGTCGCGAGAGAGAACGAAACCCGCCAGGTAGAGAGCGGCGCTGGGGGTTGTTTTAGTCAACCTGTGTTATAATCTGATACCTTTTCTTTTATACCTATTATAATTATTATTGATCCTTCCTTACCAGGCGATACATTTCTTTCGTCCCTTCCCCCTCCCCTTTCTTTCTTTTTCTTTTTCTTCTTGTTTCATCCTTCATTCTTTATATAATGTTTGTATGATACAACTTTCCTCACTCTTCTAGACTCTGCTACTGCTATGGATTAATCTACAGGCTTATCTCGGACACGCCGAGGCAGCAAGTTAGGAGTAAACCTATACTCCGTAGTCCGTACCACGATGGCGAACGCCGAATGATAGTATGTGATCGAAACGAGCCAATTACATGATACAAGATAGATTAATAAAAACTTCCGCCCAATCACAAACTAGCAGTCACGTTACGTGTGGTTTTCTTTTTCATTTTTCTTCCCTTTTCGAAGCAAGTCGGGGCTCCCCCCCGTCGACGGACCAATCAGAGAAAAGCCATGGTTCCCATTTCCCCCAAACTTTCAAGCGTCCATCCAACCTTGCCTGAACCCGGCAAAGTTGACCAAACTAGCAGGAAATCTTGCCAAAGGGCTGGCTTCTGCCAATCAGTCAGTTATGTATGGTAACCATGCAAAATTGAAATAAATGGTCATGTAGGCTGGCGGCTTCGGGGCGAAGATCGTATTTCTATCCGGGTCATCCGGTGTTGGTAACTTCGCAACTCCTAGACATGGATAATGGTTAATGCAGTTGTTGGAAGAAAATTATGGAAAACAAAAATAATGTTTGAAAACTACTCCGTACATGGATAGCTACTCCGTGTGTACGTACTACGTACTGGTAGTACGCACGCGGGGGGGGGGACATGACTAGAACGGTCAGTTACTAACTAGCAGTAGCCTGCGTACATTGCACAGCACAAGTCAGAGAGTAAGTACGTCTAGCCTGAAGCCACCCAAACTGTGGCCACTGGCCGCCCAGAATAAAGGCCGAGGAACGGAGCATATGCCATCATATGCCATAATAGTCCCAGTAGTCCCGTATACATGTGCAGCGCACAGAGAGAGAAAGAGAGAAAAAAAAAAATACGAACTTGTCTTTTGATTAGCCGTGCTCAGACCGTGCTGATCTGATGTCTCGTATCATCCATCCATGGAACTCTTTTTTTTTCGTTTTGGCCAGATTAATTAGTAGTGCTGGTCTGATAGGCACAGTAATTTAGAACCAACTTATCACATTGCATACATATATGCGGTCAGATGATATATGGATTCTATTTGTTCGATTTTTATTAAGCCCAAGGTTAATATTATCCATTTTCCTGGTAATAAGATATGTTTCAGCCGTTGATCAGCCATCCTTTGAGTCAAGCAAGTTGTTATGCTCCGTACCACCAACCCCATTATTTTCTCAGTCAGGTCGGTCTACCACGTCAGTAATTTTGGGGCATAACAGCCGGTGTATCCGCAACTCATTCACTCACGATCGGATCGGCTGCATCACTTGTTAGAAAAAAAAAAAAAGGGAAAAATTCTAGGACGTACGGAGTCGTGGTTTATGGTACAGCACAGACTTGAGTCTATGATGACGCCGCCCGTGGCGATGAGATGGCGAGACCGGTGGGTAGCCTAAGCCGGAGTCATCCTGTAACCGGGCCAGTTGTATTCCTGACATTCAGCAACTAATCTTTATGCTTTATGTAGGGATGAGCATTGAGCAGGTAGCAGGTAGCAGGTAGCAGCAGCAGCAGCAGCAGCAGTGGAGCGCATTCCGTTCGCATCTGACTGAGAGTTGGTGACTGAAGCCAAAAGAAGTAATGAAAAATAGAATGAAATCCTGCATGTATCCCTGCCGAACACTCATCCGGGTGGGGTTCCCAGCGCACATCCAGCCAGTCACACGCGCCGCCTGCCGCCCGCAGCCAATCGCATCGCTGTATTGTGCCGTACCGTACGGAGCCAGCCACCTCCCAACCAGTTTCGTTCTCGGCCAACCAGACCGGGCGTAATACGGATACATCCAATACACAGACAGACAAAAGGCTGCTGCTTTCTTTTTTTCTGCGGTAATCTACTGTTTCCAGTGTTGGGTAGCATGCAAAGTATAAACATAATATATGTAAGTAACTAACTAACTAGCAATATGCCTTCGTTTAATAGTAATACGCCCAGAAAGAGAACCCACCCGATCCAAACTGGCCCCTCTCTTCATTCATTCGCGCATACCACGCCATCCATACCTGGCCATACACCCATTACCAGTAAGTTATTCTTTTCTATTGAAGGCACTAACTATCGTGATGCCTTTCTGGGTCATGCCTCGTTTATAGGCTTTTTTTTTTTTTTTTTTTTTTTTTCCCTTTCTCCTCTTGCCCTTTTCGCGCGCTCCTTTTCATTGGCTCCGTGCTGAATACTGGGAAGGAGCCCGGCCGTCCCATGAGGTAATCATTATTGTCTCGCCCGCCTCTGCCTTCCCCAGTCAGCCAGAGTCAGTCTCAGTCACCAGAGGACAAGGAAGAAATATTCCTCCTCCTCCTCCTTCTTCCTTATCCTCAGCGAATATATGGTCTGACTCCTTCCTTGCCTGGTCAGACTTTCTCTCTCTCTCTCTCTCTCTCTCTCACGCGCGGGAAACATGGGATGCATTCCCCCTTCCGTGGCCATCTCCATTCCGCCTCCCTGCCAGGGTTGAATGTCGTAGTGCAGCACCCTGCTTTGCAACAGTCTGGTTGTCCCGACACAATTGATCATCCATCGACAGACATAGGACCGGATTGATTGACTCATGAAAGCACTGCCGCCCGCTCCCTCCGCTCTTCCTCTTCCTCTTCCTCCTCCTTCTCCTCTCCCTCGTCCTCGCCAGGAACATCACACATGTCTCCCGCGCTGACCTCATATCCGTCCTTCTCGCTCCCATTCCCCGACGGCAACCGCTCCTTCAGCAGGCTCTCTCTCAATCCCGTCTCTTCGGGGCCGACGCATTGGTCTGCCCCCTGGAGAGTAGGATTGCCCACGCCTCCCGCCGACATGAACGGCGTGGCCTACAACAGAAACAGCTCTGCCTATGCTAAGCAGTACCACCCTCATGTGCATCAATATGCGAATTCCAATGCAAATGCAAAACCGGCAAGTCGAGTGCCGCTTGCCAACACCGTCTCGAATGCCGCTCCCAACTATCTCCCCCCGTTGAACAAGCAGGCGTCTACGTCAAGCGTTGTGTCTGATCCAAAGAGTCACAAGAGAAGCGAGAAGGAGTCGGTGCCCTCGTATTCGCAGGTTCCGGCCTCGATCAGCAAGAATGGCGGAAGTCTCTCGGACTTTGCTGCTCAGGTATGTCTTGACGCATTGCGATATACTACTCTATGTACAGCCAAGGAATGTTAGCTGACGTCTGATTAGATTGCCTGTCTGTTCTGGTTCGAAAAGACCTCAAAACTAAAGGCAATCGAGGATTCCATGCTCCAGAAGTATTCCCTTGTCCCGGAGGCGTTTCCAACGCTCGGGTTCCAGAAATGGGTTTCCACTGTGCTGTCTACCACCCAGGTCAGCCAGAACGTGATTCTGCTCGCCCTTTTGTTCATATATCGTCTCAAGAAGTTCAATCCGGGCGTTCGTGGCAAGAAAGGGAGCGAGTTTCGTTTAATGACGATTGCGTTGATGATGGGTAATAAGTGTAAGTTCAACCATTGAAGAGGTTTCTCGATTGTATTGGCCTAACGTGCATGACTAGTCCTCGATGATAACACCTATACCAACAAGACGTGGGCCGAGGTGTCGGGGATTACGGTTCAAGAAATTCATATCATGGAAGTCGAATTTCTGAGTAATGTCCGATATAACCTATTTGTCTCCAAAGAAGAATGGAGTCAGTGGCACTCCAAGCTTGGTCTTTTTGCCGACTTCTTCGACAAAGCTGCTCGTATGCCAGTGGAAAACGAGCTCGCACCGACTACTCCAATTCTCCAGATTTCACCTACGGATTCTTCCTTCCGAAACAATATTACCATATCTCCAGCCTCAAAATTGCCTTCGCCACCCAACACCAATCCGCTCCATTCTCAACCTCCACCACCCCAGCTTCACTCCGCATGGAACCCGACTTCTACCTCTACTAATACCCATGCTGCTGCGACGATGACAACTACCCCATACAGATTAAACACCCCGCCCCGACCAACCCTTAATTTCGACTTTCCACCGTACTCCCGCAAACGCAGCTGGGAGGACGAGGTCGACGAGCACCCAAGCAAACGAGTTGCTGTTCCTAACAACTACTCGGCACCAATGCCCACTCTGCCCATTTCTACTCCAGCCTCTGTGCCGGTTCTCCCGCCGGTCGTTAGCAGCATGCCTCTCTCCGTCCCTTCACTAGCGATCCCAATGCCTCGTCTATCTCATCCCACAAACTACCAAGCGCCGTCGAATTCTCTCGTCCCTCCTGCGTTGCCTACCACCACCGCAGTATCCCAACAACTCCCTCGACCCCAGGTGCGGGCGATGTCGACAGTGTTCAATCCAACAACGACATGGTCTCAACCAATGCCTCCCGCAGCAACAGTGGCTCCCGTCATACCCGCGATTCCAACGTCGAACCCGATGACACTGTACAATCCGTCCGTGTCTCTGCCCGATCCTAGTCGGCGCCAAAGTCCGTATTCAGCCGCGACTTCTACAGATACTGCCTCTCCATCGTCTGCGTTTCCCGTGCATACGCCCCAAAACCACCTCTCACCGTCGTTCTTCCTTGTCAATCGCAACTCGCCGTACCGCCCAGTACGGGCCGTTAACACTCTTCTCATTCCGCCTCCGTCTGCGTCTCTGCATCAACATCGCCATTTGTCGATGGATCAAATGCACTACCAGCCTTTGGGCAAGACACTGAATGAACGTCGAACGGGGGTGCTTCCTTATCTGCATCATGACGCACTTTCTATTCCGCAACCCAACTTTCTTCCTAGTCAGACATATTGAGCTGTCTTGACCTATTTATTTTCTTCTTTCTACCCCGACATTTATTTCACCTTGGATCTGTATAAATTTATTTTCTCTTCTCTCTATGGCTGGATGGCTCCAGTCATGCCTGCCCATCCATCACGCGACGGTGTGGCGAGTAACAAATTTTTTTCTTTTCTTTTCTCGGAGCAAATCATCTTTTGGCATGGGATTATATGGCGTCAACTAGAAAAAAACCGGGAGGTCGATTCAAGCATTCATTATCTGCATATTCCTGTCCTATTCCTTGTATGGCAGCAGACATTAGCATACAGCGGCGTTGCATCATATGTCATTTAATTTTATTTCATGTTATTTTCCCTGGGTGGATTCTGTCTTTACTGTCAATCAAAACGATTCAATCACACAGCCAATGAGGTTGTGATAGTTTATAAGCACTGAACTCTTGACTCGCCTCGGCCATAAAATCAGCACGTGAAGTACAATTCACCGTATTCTGATTGTCTCGTATATGTAGATATAAGATATAACAAAGTAGCTATTCATTTTTTCTGATTTCGCCGATAGACAAGCGCGGTACACCGGATTGCCTAAAGCAGGCATAGTACTCACGGGACCCGCCTGCAAACCTTCCTCTGGCGCCGGCACGGGACTCCGACTGACTGCGACAGTGCTTGCGACTAGTGCTGCAGCTGCGATATTTATTTTATATTGACAACTTTACCTGTTGTTTATTTGTGTTCCATTTTATTTCATTCTACCGTATCTGCTTTGTGTCTTGGCTGGCCGGCTTCTGCTGTGTACAGAGTCCAGACTGCGTGCGAACTGCCAAGGGCAATTTGACTCAATTCTTCGCGCTGCCAGCATCGCGAGAAATCTTCATCATCCCTCACCGACATCAATTGAACCAATGTTGGTTCGTCAACGCATCGCCGCTGCAACCGCAGCCACATCTCCGTCAGCAATGCAGCTCTCACATCTGTCTCGAAGGAGCATCCTCTCAACCAGCACAGCAGCCACCGCCGCGGCGACGTCGCGGTCGTCGATATCTTCTCCTCTACGACAACCACAACTCCTTCTTTCACAACGTTCTTTTTCTTCTTCATCTCGCCGCAGCTATGCCTCTGAATCAACTCCGCCACAACCTAAGAAGAAACGTGCTGGCTTCTTCCGATGGACCTATCGTCTAACCCTGCTTAGCGCCCTTGGCTTCACTGGTTATCTTGGTTATGGCATTTACCTTTTGCGCCATCCCGCCGAGCAGATCGAGCCTGATCCGTCTAAGAAGACGTTGGTTATTCTTGGTTTGTTTTATTTCTCTCTCTCTCTCTCTCTCTCTCTCTTTCTTTTCTCCCCTAGCTTTGTATCTAGCAGAACTAACGAACGAGTTCCCACAGGAAGCGGATGGGGTTCTGTATCGTTGCTCAAAAAGCTCGACACCGAAAACTACAATGTCGTCGTGATTTCGCCGCGTAACTTCTTCCTCTTCACCCCGCTGCTGCCCTCGTGCACCACTGGTCTGATTGAGCATCGCTCCATTATGGAGCCGATCCGCAATATCCTGCGTCACAAGAAGGCTACCGTCAAGTACTATGAAGCCGAGGCTACCAAGATCGATTACGAGAAGCGCTTGGTGTATATCAGTGATGATTCGGAGATCAAGGGTGATGTCTCGCATACCGTCGTGCCGTTCGACATGTTGGTTGTGGGTGTTGGTGCTGAGAACGCGACATTTGGTGAGTCTCATCTCTCCCTCTCTTCCAGAAGGCGAATATAAAAAGAAAAACTAACAGCGCAGGCATCCCCGGTGTTCGTGAACATTCCTGCTTCCTGAAGGAAGTCGGTGACGCCCAGAAGATCCGCAAGCGTATTATGGACTGCGTCGAGACCGCTACCTTTAAGGATCAGACTGAGGAGGAAGTCAAGCGTCTTCTGCACATGGTTGTTGTTGGCGGTGGTCCTACCGGTGTTGAATTCGCTGGTGAGCTCCAAGACTTCTTCGAGGATGACTTGCGCAAGTGGATTCCAGACATTCAGGACAACTTCCATGTGACTCTTGTCGAGGCTTTGCCAAATGTATGCCCGCTACCCCTTTCGTTGCGTATTGACCTGCCGTGTGTGTGAAACAAGCTGACCAGACAGATTCTTCCCATGTTCTCCAAACAACTGATCGAGTACACGGAATCCAGCTTCAAAGAAGAGAAAATCACCATCCGCACCAAGACCATGGTCAAGAACGTCACCGACAAGTACATTGAAGCCGAGGTCACCAAGCCCGATGGCACCAAGGAGATGGAGAAGATCCCCTACGGTCTGCTGGTCTGGGCCACCGGTAACGCTGTGCGTAACGTGGTGCGCGACCTCATGAGCCAGATCCCCGCGCAGAAGAACTCCCGCCGCGGTCTTGCCGTGAACGAATTCCTCGTCGTCAACGGCACCGAAAATATCTGGGCAGTTGGCGACTGTGCCATTACCAACTACGCACCCACTGCTCAGGTTGCCAGCCAAGAAGGTGCTTTCCTTGCGCGCCTCTTCAACACCATGGCCAAGACAGAAGATCTAGAGTCTGAGCTCAAGAGACTGTCCATCGCGCAGCAAGAGGCCAAGACCGAAGAAGACCGCAACCAGATCTTTGATGAAATCAAAGAACGCCAGCGCCAGCTCCGCCGCACCAAACAGATTGGCCCCTTCCAGTACTCGCACCAGGGCAGTCTTGCGTATATCGGCAAGGAGCGAGCTGTGGCCGATATCACCTGGTGGAGCGGTAACATTGCCAGTGGTGGTACCATGACATATCTATTCTGGCGAAGCGCGTATTTGAGCATGGTTTTTAGCGGTATGTGCCTCCCTCCCCTCCCACTCTCCTCCCCCTCAGATCGAGAAAAGGTGTTTCTAACAGATTACAGCCCGTAACCGAGTCCTCGTTGCTACCGACTGGATCAAGGCAAAGGTTTTTGGCCGTGACGTGTCGCGAGAGTAGATATCATCCATTCGATTGATGGATGCGTGTGATGAGATTTTTCCCCCCCCCCTTATTTGAAAAGCTTCCTTGCCCCTTTTTACCACACACTTTCTTGCCTTGACGTTTCCTTTTCGAACCCCATTATCTCGTTTGTTTTGTCTTGTTTTGTTCTTGTTGTTTTCTTTTCTGTTTTTTTTTTTTTTTTTTTTTTTTTTTTTTTTTGTGGTCTGGTCTTTATGAATCGCGTGTATCACCTACTGGGGGGCCGTCTGTCCCATACCTACCACCGTTCCTATGAAATAGTGTATTGTATTATAGTAGATTAGATTTCTGTCTTTCTCTATTACCTGCAAAAGTACTCCGTGCAAACATAGGTATAGAACAGATTATACACATATGATCGGTATATTAGATAGATACCAGACACTGACAGCATTTGGTACAGATATACAAGCATGTGCCGAACCAACTAGTTCTTTAACGAATGATATGAAACCAATTCAAGAAACAAAAAAACGAACCCTGGAAGAGCAGAAAAAAAAAAATTACCGCAACTCAGCAACACCAACATCCTGCACATTCTGGTTTGCGCCTAGCGCAGAGCCATCGAGCACATTCGCAACTGTGCCGTCGTCATTGGCATTGCCATCGTTGTCGCCATCACCATCGCCATCGGCCCTCTTCAGCACCGTGATGTTCTGCAAGTTCTTGCTGATGTTGGCGCCTGAGTTGTCAGCGGCGTTGAGCAGGGCATCGTCATCGTTGTTGTCATGGTTATTGCTGTTGTCATTGTCGCCGGCGTCGACGACTGGTTTGGGTCTTGCTGGTGCTGGTTGAGCCGCAACAGGAGCTGAAGAAGAGGAGGATGACGAAGAGGAGAGGGCTGGCATGGGTGTAGCAGCAGCAGTAGCAGCAGCAGAAGCCGAGGGAGTCGGGGCACGTCGTTCATATGCTGTGTCTCGTCGCAGGACCGTGATACCCTGCGCATTCCGGTCTACGGCCGCGGACGACCCGTCAAGCACGTTTGCGAGGGTCTCGTTGTCATCGGCATCACCATCCCCATCGCCGTTACCATCACCGCTCCCCCTTCGTCGGAGAATAGTCACGTTCTGGATGTTGCGGTCGATCGAAGCCGCGTCTCCATCGAGCAGATTCAAGACGCTATCATCATTGCTCCCATTGCCATCATCCTGCGCGTCGTTTTCACCGCCACCGCCACCAAGGAGACCAGGAAGGAGTTGGCGACGCTTCAGCTCCGCGACAGAGATGTTCTGAGCATTCTGGTTGATCCCCGCTGCCGAGCCATCGAGCACATTAGCCAACTGCTCATTACCGTCATTGTCACTATCGGCGTCACCATTACCATTACCAGAAGCCAATGAACCCGGCACAAGGCCCTGGCGACGACGAAGAACGCTGCCCAAATCGGCAACGTCGATATCCTGACCATTGGAATCGGCCTTGAGCCGACTGCCGTCAAGCGCGTTGGCGAGGGTATCGTCGTTGTCGCCGTTGCTGTCGCCGTCATCATCAGAGGAGCCAACGACGTTTGCTCGACGCCGCAACGTACCAACATCGCCGAGGATGCTGCTGCCACCGGTGTTCACGTCTTGTCGTGTGCGTAAGCCGAGGCTGCCGAGAAGGCCGCTTACACTGCTGTCGGCGTCCTGTCGTGTTCGCAGGCCGAGACTTCCAAGGACATCACTGACACTGCCATCTGCATCCTGTCTGCGGATCTTGTTCTGTAGCAGGTAGTGGTCAGTACGTTCTGTCCTCAACTACCAACAAAGAAGATGATGAATAACTCACACCAAACGCAGGCGCGGCCGTAGTAAAAGCGCAGAGAAGCGGGAGAACCAATGCAGCAGTCTTCATCTTTTCCTCGTCTTCTCCAGTATTAAATAAAAGTATGTATAATAGAAGAATAGAAAGAAAGAAATGACTATTCGATACTAGCCAGGCTTGGACGGTGTCAATATAAAAATCAAACCTTTTGCACTATGGATACAAAAAAAAAGAAAGGGAAGAGGGAAAAACAAAATTTTGAAGAGAAGGAAAGAGGAAATTAATGTAGTATCGATATATCCACCAAAACGAACGAGAGGAAAATACATTGATTTTAAACAAGTTGGTGATGAAACTGCAATTTATCATGTTATTGTCTACTTTCGCCTGCTTTCTAGTATCGACTGAGCTCAGGGGCTTGACCAAGTGGCCAGTATTTGGTCGGACTTACTTTATTTCTCTTTTCCTTTTTCTTTTCCTTTTCATTGTTATTGTTATTGTTTGCTTTTCTCTTTTTAAATAGTGTTGAACGCGCATAGAATCATTAGTGTCAGTCCCTTTGGGAATTGATCTGTCCATCTCCGAATCCGAGAGCAGATTGGGGCATCGATGCTACCATACCTACCACAGGCACGGAGTATGTGTACTTTATATGTCCGGGAATGGATATGTGCTTGTCTGTTTATTAGCCGGTTTACATTCTGTAAAATGGCGGAGAGAGATTGTCTGCATACTTACTTACTTTGGTAGGTGGAGGTGGATGTCTCGGTGTGCATGAGCTATCAGGGGTGCATGAATGTCTGCACTGTCTATGCTATTTGCCTCGTTGACAGCAGTTTACTTATTATTATATTCTGTGACTTGAAAGTTGCATGTTTAGGAGAGGTGCAGTTAACTTGATCTACCTATCAATATCCTCGTTTTTGAACGATGATATTTAAGCTAAGTTGGGGGGAGGAATAACAGAGACTGAATGTTAGAGAACAGTTACACGGCATTTGCCCTAACTAGACGCATCTCGTTCTCCGACCTAGGCTATTTGAAATTTGATGGTGATACAGTGATCAGCCTCAGAAATTCATCGCGCTTAACGAGGCTTAACATATCGCCCTGTCCGCAAATTCATGGCTAGATAATAAAGAAAGAGTAGCCCCTTTACCCAGTCAGCCGTATATATCCGGATAGATCATCTATCGCCAGAATTCTAGGATTAGAGCACACATGGTCAGCAAATAACATCAATATACTATAATTGCCTGCAAATATCAGCTCAAAGAAACTACCTCAACAGTTCCGGTGTCTCCAGACAAGTCACCATCCCCAGCACGATTTGAAACTTCCAAGTTAACCTGTCTGCTTCCACTCGGAGCAGTAACGCTCTGCGCTGGCTTGTTGTTCTACTGCCAATGACTAGCATGCTCTCTAATGCTTCTCAGTTGGTAAATTCACAAGAAGCTTCCAATCATAGATGCAAACAAATAGGTATGCTATAATCTGACTTCTATTTCAATCAAGGACTCAAATACTCTTCGAGCGACTTTAAGGATCTAGAAAGCCCAGAAAACATCTGCTGTATATGAAATAGATCTCCAGACATCGAGCCAGTTCCCGTATCTTCCGTGCCATTTGTCTGATCTAGAGCGAAGCGGACGCTCTTTTCTTCCAAGACCTTCTGTAACGAAGTAAGAACCCACTCGAGCTTTTGTACTGTATTTATAAGAAGCGTTGTGAGCAACAGCAAACGGTTATCTCCCGTGATTTGAAAAGACCCAATCGTGAAAACCTGTGTTTTAATGGGACACTCGTCTAGGTTAACAAAGCGTGTCGTACCGGGTGTTTCTCCTCGAGATTGTGAAATCAGACGTTGAAAGTATCGGGCAATAGATTGGATGCTCATAAACGCTAAGAGGATGACTTCATGATCGTCGTTGCATCGACACGAGTGACACATTATCGGCATCTGCCATGTCTTCATGCCTTCCTCCACGAGAGATAGAGCAAGGTCGATTGAGATGGCCGACTTCTGGTTGGAGCCGTTGCTTGGCTGCGGGGCGTTCAGTATCTTGGACTTGAAAAGTAGATCAACCTGTGGTTGCATGCACATGCACGAGTTTGGATTGACGGACTGACTCCCCAATGATACCTCCCTTGAAGGAGGCACTGCTTAGGTAGATAATATCGTCTCGATCTCATTCAGGAGAGCGACTTAGTGCAAAAAGCCAGCCTCGAGTTCGGTCCACAGTGAATCAGAGAAGCCAGCTTCACGAGGCCCAATGTCGAACGAGGAGGCATCGAACGGAATTCGATTACGTGAGCCTGGAAGCTCGAAGCCTTCTCCAGGGCCATTATCCATACTGTAGTCAAAATTATCATTGGCAGTAGCAGCGACAGTGACAGTTGAGTGTCCACCTTTGCTATTGGGCAAACGTTTATTATTTGGCCTGTTGGACGATCGCTTTCGGCCTTCTTCTGAGGTCCGATTTTTGGTCCCTTTCGGCCGTCCCAGCCGGTCCGACAGACTAAAGAACACGGAACGCTCGCGTTGACGCAGCCCTGGCATGGCAGCTGGCCGGAGCAGCGCACCTTTGTGCGGTGACAGTTATCGCACGCGGCACGGAGTCTGCTGGTCATGTTGATAGGATTGCTGTGCCGGTTGTTGTCCGGTCGAAAAATAAAATGGCACTTGATCGATGACTCCACCAAGGCAGTGGACGTTTCCTAAAAAGGTATAAATGCCTGCTTAGCTTATTCTGCCAAAAACTTTGTTAGGTACTTTACTCTGTCGGCTACTTGGGTATACAATTTTAAGTATTGCAATATGAAAAAGGCTTCATCTAGACTAAATTTATAGCTCAATTTCATCTATGACCTTGCATAAGTACATGTAGCATGGAGTTGGGATTAGGCTAGAGTTAGGGTTATATATCTCTCGTCTTCCATGCCACCGGACTCAGCGATTCTACCTCGGTCTAAGTACGCTAGGAAACCCAAAGGTAATTTTCTCAGTGAATAAGCGTTATTCTTCACAGAGACTGTGCAGAACGTTTCCCCCAGGCGCGTATTCTCTTGCCAAAGATATAAAACCTGTTGCGTTCTTAGTCAGTTTCGCTGCACAGAGAGAGAGAGAGAGAGCAGGTGACATACAAGAATGGAATTGGTATCATGCCTGCCGCGATAAAGCCTAGCACACTGCAGGCCCAGCCAATGCCAAGGTTGGTGAGCACTTCGTAGCAATCGAATTAGCATTTATCACTAGGTAAGATACATGCATGTATCGGTGTATGTAGTAAACTAACTGGTATCGGCAAACAGTGGAAACGCTCCGGCCAGCACACTGCGCAGTAGCATATTTGCAGCCAGAGCACTGGCTGCCTGCATGAGGTATGTATCGACTAGGTAACTGATGGAACTCTGGAAGATGGTGAAAAACCCAATACCAATACATGCGCTGCCAATGCAGAAGCTGAAAAAATCAAACCCATGTTAGACCATTATATAGATTCTAAATTTGGCAATGGAAACTCACGCTATCCAGCCCCAGATCAAGATGGCTGCCCCGAAAAACACTCCGACTAATAAGGCCAGGAATGGGAGGGATCCAACGACAGCATTCCAGCCTCGTACCTGCAGCAAGAATCAGTTTCGGATACATGCTATTCTTTTTGCGGGTGCAACTTACCTCTTGGAACTCTATGGGAAAGACCGGAATTGTACTAACATGCTATTAGCCCCTCCTGTCGGAGACAAGGTTGTCAGGGAAGCGTGCGTATAACCTACAGGTAGATGATCGCATAGACGAATGCTGCATATAGGTTTATGAAGAAGCAGATTGGGTCAACCAGCATTTCCAGAGGTACAACCATATATTTTTTCATCCAATCCTGAAGGCTGTTATCGGTTTCTTGGTGTTTGGTATGGAGGGCCCAGTTTCCAGTCAACTTGCGCATTCTGCTAGCCTTTCGACTGAGCAAGACGGGTGGGAAGCTCTCGTCGATGAAGAAAATATCAGCCGTCAGGATAACGAGTATCAGAATACCGGAGACCTATAAAGAGTAACCAATTAGCTCCTGCTTTGCAAAGTTCCCTGTCTTGTAGTGAGGGACCCATACGTATTCCGCCCAACGCCACCCTTCATGTTCCATATTGACAACGAGTGCACCTCCTACAATGGGAGCTATGAGAGGGCCTGAAATGACTGCAATTCCATAAGAGAGAAGTGCTGCACCTCGATGCTGTGGTGGCCAAATATCTGCGAGTACCACTCCAACATTGCTGAGAGGGGCCGATCCGCCAACACCAGCAAAGAACCGTGTAATGAGCAGCGTCTGTGTGTCTTTTGCTACTGCGCTACCGAATGAGAAAATTGCGCAGAAGAAGTAGGGTATCAGGACAGAAATCTTCCGGCCGTGGGCTTCCGAGAGCGGTGCGAAGAGTAAGGGACCGAATGCATTTCTAGAGAATTATTGAATCTCATTAGCCCACTTCTTTTATTTTCTGTTCTGACTCCTGAATTGTGAGCAGTAGGCAAGCATAATATCAACTTACCCCAGTAAGTAGAAAGTCAGACCCAATATCGCTACTTCACTGCTAACGCCAAATCGAGCTTCCACTTGCTCCGTTCCAGAGTTGTATCTGATATAGAAAAACAAATTTTCAGCTAGCCTCCTAAATACTGAACTATGGAAGACATATTACATGGTGCTTGTCCAAGTGCCACCCATCGTCGTGAAGCTGTAGAGGATGGTAGTAACGAGCTTCTTTCGCATAAGCTAGTTGAGGGGTAACTCGAGGTCGTCCGGACCATCGAAATCGATAATGTTATCATCGTGATCAACTGGTGTAAAAGGGTCTGCAAAATCGACCTTTGCCAATGTTGGATTGATATCCTCCCTGTTCATAGCTTCGACATCAATCTCTACCTTCACTTCCTCCTGTGTCGAACTGCTGCTTCTGTGGACGGTCTCAGAAAATGTGTCGGTATGTATTCCTAATTCCATTATTTTTTTTGTCTGCTTCTTTTTCAAAGAACGGTATTCTCTGATAAGCAAATGCAACAAGGCGTGCCTGCTTAGGGTAGCTTGACCATTGATTGACAAAGAACCGTGGGCGTGATTTGACTGAAAAGGAAAAGGAGACTTGCTTTTATAACTGGAATAGGTGCTAGTACAAGACGCAAAGCTAAAGTAAATCCATTTTTCTTTTGATCGAACATTATTAATTAAGAGCAGATTATAATACCGTAGGCAGGGCTGATTGAGGCATGCCTCAGCCAATGATATAGAACTCAATCTAGTCAACTGGTAAAACATGCACTATACCATGGCAACCACTGTTATAAGAAAATTAAGCCTCTGATTGTTGTGGGCATTGATTGTTGCTGGCGACTTTCTGAACGCCTCTAAGTTTTGGCGCGTGACTTTGTAAACCCTAAACCAAGACTCTCTCTCCCTGCCACTCTCTTCTACAACGATAACTTTGCCTGTTGCATACCTAGGCACAAACGTATGTGTATCTCCATGCATACGGGCAAAATACTGCTCGTTTGAAGAGTCACATCTTGAAATCGATTATGTGAACGCTTTCAACTCCCCTGCAAAGCCCTATCGAACCCCAAGTAATCGCCGGCGCTAGACAAAGGTCATGCTCTAGCGCCTCCGGCTCTTTTATGGAGCCTCCACATTTCGGCGACATTCCCTGCGCATTGTTGCGCCTTTCATCAGTAACATTATTGAAAAATATCGATGGTAGTCTGATCGGTGAAGTGAGATGTGGTCTTGGATTTGAAGGTGATGCTGCGGAAGAAGCCATAATTATAGACAGTGGAGACAACTAATTGAGAGATATTCTTACTTCATTACGTTGTCTGGGGAGCTTTTGATAAGCAGATAAGCAAGATATACTTCTTCACAGAGTGTCCCTCACGCATAATCCTCGAGGTGTGCAAAAGAGCTATATAAAAGGATTATATATGCGGGTGCCAACAGATTACTATCTGAGTATAACCAAGCTAGGAGACACAAAATCACTGAAATTCTCACCGTCAACCATTTCTTTAGATACTTGTAGATGTCCTGCACCTTATAAGTAATTATCCAAGACCGAGTACTTCGTGATGGAGAGGCTTCTTCACAAAGATATTGGCAATACCTCCCAACGATCATGCATTACCAGACTCCATGGCCTTGATCTTTTCCAAGATCCCCACAAAAGTCTCAGGATCTCGCGCACCGTCTACCTGGTACTTGTCCTGCAGGACAAAGTTTGGCACACTGTAGATCCCCTTCATCTGCGCCTGCGCGACTTCTCGGTCCACCTCCTTGCCTCCCTCGTCGCTGTCCACTATGGCCTTTCGGAAATCCGCATCTGGGATTCCTACTGTGACCGCAATCTTCCGCAGATTCTCCAGATCAGTGATATCACCTTCTTTCTCAAAATATGACTGGAACAACTCGTCCATCGCTTTACCCTCGACGTCAGGGCCGTACTTCTTTGCCAACCACACCAGCCGATGCGAGTCGCGCGTGTTTCCGATGCGGCCGCCAAACTTGAAGTCAATGCCGATTTCACTACCCACGAGCCTGAGACGCTGCTGCATCTGCTTGGCACGCTCAGCGCCAAATTTCGCCACGTAGGCTGCCTGCTTGTCTTGTGCTCCCGCAGGACCACGCGCCCAGTCCGGCTGCAGCATATAAGGCATATAGTTCACACTGAAGGTGTCGCCCGAGGACGGATGCAACTGATGGTACAGTTTTTCTGCGGCGATGAGCTGCTTGCGGCCTACATAGCACCACGGGCATATAGTGTCGGAGGTCACGGTGATTTTGAAATTCGTCATTTTGGGGATTTGGGGGGCTGCCAGTGCGTGTAAACGAGAAGACTTGGTTGGAGACCTCGGACGAAGATGTCAAAAGGAGCCAAGCGCTTGGACCTGTGACATTCATCTAGATATACCTCAGATATCGGAACGAAGCGGGGGGGCATTATTAATCCTAGAACAGTTCACGACTAGAGTTATGCCGATGGGCTTGATGACAAAATTAGTAAGCAACAAATGCGCCAAGCCACTAGTTTATTAGCGGCCGAGCCATGGCCGAGCGAAGTTATTCCCTGAAGTTATTCCGAACTTCCATGCACTGTTCGTTGCGCGAGAAATGGTGGCAGGGAACCATATGTCGAAGTTCAAAATAAGAGAGGCTTGAAACGGAAATTGATGGTTGAGTACTGTAGGTAGTCATAAGACTCTAGCCTGAGTTCTGAAGACTGTAGTTCCACTACCCAGGCGCTACAGATAGATTGAATTATCCTAGAGAATCTGATGAACATGTTCTCATTTGAGTCGCTGCGTGCGCCCCCGCGACTAGCCCCGGTTTCCGCTAGGATACTGGTCAGGCGATCGCCTAGTGCGAACAGGCCAACGTGATCACGCGCCGACGCCTGATCCCAGGATGGGTCATCGTCGAGCACATATAAGCGGTGCAGGAGTATCAAGCCGTGTGCCATTTGGCACCAGCGGATAAAGATCACGCCTGAATATTGGTCCTGCGGGATAAAGAAATGGTCAAAGATGCGTGTAAGGGTAGTTAGATGGGTCTCGAATAGCTGCTGACGCTGGTAGTTTGGAATGTACAGAGAGACTAGTGGTTTGGTCAAGATGGCATCCTGGATAGCAAGCTCAGAATAAAGAAGTTGACTGATTATATCGACTACAGATACCAACTAAAATTTCTCAAATCAGCTAACAGTATCAATAAGTAATTGACTAAACATTCCAGGAAGACTCAAATGCATACGTATACTTACCATTCTGAGAAAGGCGGCGAGGAAGTTTTGCCTTTATTTTCTCTAACTGTGATTGAAGTCCTTTAAGGTAAGAGGCGGGTGGTTGGAACTCTTGGTTCTTCCATGAACGTTGGCTTATTTGATGGACAAGTAACTGTATCTTGATTTGGGCTGCGAGTTGCTCATCGCCTGGCCATTCGGGATACTTTGAAATTGTTTGAAGGTACTCGTCCAGGTAAGGGGTCCATTCTGGTGCAAGAATCTCTTGCTTTGCATAGGAGGTTCTAATAGTTCATACGTGATTAGCAGTTAGTCATTACATAAAAAGGCATAGTTATCTTCGGTAAGGCTTACTGAGAGATCAGGAGAAAGTATGCTAGCATGGCTCGTCGTCCTAGCGTAGCATCCAAATCTTGAGCTGACATCAGTGAGTAAGGAGTGGTAGTTTGTGTTTGCATGGAGCCTTTGTTCAGTTCCATGGCGGTGATGATTGAGTTCGTGAGTGAGACCATTACAGAGATATATGACTTGCCCTTGTGGTGGAAATGAAACCTGAGAGGAAACGATATGGTCAATGCTGTAATGTCGAGACGCAAAGAGTACGCAATGCAGATCAAGCAGATTTATCAAGATATGAAGATGAGCAACCCAAGGAAAAGATCGAGGTTAGAGTCATTATCCATAACCACCTTCTGCGCAGCGAAGCGCTTGATGCTCTCTGTCATGGTAAATTCATGGCCAGCCACATGCTTGGTCATGACAGCAATTATGTTGACCCATAGAAACCGATACCGTTTACGGAGCTGCCTCGCGGTCATATCTGGACGGAGGTACATAAATGGAAACAAGGTAAGCATATGCGAGTGGAAGTATGCTAGGCAGTCCTCAGCTTGTTGCGACTGGACCTCGAAGGCCGACGTAAGCACATCACTTTGAGGGTTCTAATGGTGAGTTGTTTCTCCCTAGAGCCAGAGGTCTGGCTAATTCCGGGCTCGAAGAGACAGTGCCAATGGTGCTGCCATTGCCCCTTCGATTGTTGCGAGTAGCTGCGTTTGGCGCCGGCATAGTAATTCCCGCCACAGGTTGAGGTTGACTACCGCCAGAATGATTTTTTTCAGCCACCTGGCTCTGAAGAAGGGTCATGATATTCTCGATTTTTCCCTCCAAGTGGAATGAGTCCCTATCAGGTGCTTGCCCGCCAGCTTTCGCGCCGAGATGGATGGTAGTACGCACGGCTTCTCCAATATGTGGGTGACATCTGCAATAATCGGCGTGTGGCAATTAACTATTGCAATTTCCATGAAATCGACTATGTTTTATACCTTTCGCAGCATTCTTGTCTATCGGAGCGATACATCTCATGCATCGGTACGTTGCCCGGGCACGGTTTGTGCAAGCATGCCCGTAGGGCGCTGGGAAGACGTTGGGTCTACGGCTGTCCGCTTGTTGTATAGCCAGGCCATGTGTGAGAAATACCCAAATATTGAAGCCTTCCTTGATGCTACGAATTCGTTGGAAGCCCAACGATCTTGACGAGGGGAAACCTCGAAGTCCGGGATGTGGGTCTATAGAGCGGGATTCTCCCGGGGTAGATTCGGCTTCAACGACGATGCTGCCAGTGCCACGCAAACATTTCTTATAGCTCTATCCCAACGAGTCGGTGCGAAGTTACAAGACAATGAGAGACTGTTTTTAAATCAATGTGTACAATGAATAGGTCACTTGGATAGATGTAGTGGAGAGTGATGCTACCTAACAAACCATTAAAACAGGAGACTTAATACAAACTTGGAGAACAAAAGGGAAAAGAAAAAATTACAATATAAACAAACAAATAGAGAAAGAAAAATAAAATCAAAGGTGATAATAAAACGTCAACTCTTTAGTGCACCATCCAATGTATCCCTTTTTTTCTCGTTTTGTCTCGTGTCCCCTTTCCCGCTCCGGATAGATATATTGATATCAGCGCTTTGCTTGATTAATGAAAAAGAAAAAAAGATATTTCTTAAAATACAGTCAGGACACTCCGTCGTACAGAAGCAACTCGTCGATCAAACCAGCTCTAGGCATCTGCCTTTTAAGCCTTGGCGTCAAGGACACGGGTAATAAGGCCAGTGGCGACAGTGCGTCCACCCTCACGGATGTTGAAACGCTGACCAGACTCGGCAGCGACGGGGCGATGTGTCTTCAAGATCATCTCAACGTTGTCACCGGGCATGACCATCTTGGACTGGTCATCACCAGGGAAGCTGAGAGTGGCAGCCTCATCTAGAAGAATAGACAATTAGTATCTCGGACCAAGTAGACATCATCACTATTTCAGTACATACCAGCAGTACGGATAAAAGCCTGGGGGCGATAGTTGGCGCCGAATCCAGTACGGCGACCACCTTCAGCCTCAGTCAGGACATACATGGAAACCAAAAAGTTGTCATGAGCCTTGGTGGTTCCAGGAGCAGCGATAACCATTCCACGTCGGACATCCTCACGCTTGATACCACGGATAAGCAAACCGGAGTTGTCACCAGCGCGGGATTCATCACAGGATTTTTTGAAAGTCTCAATATCAGTGACCTTAGTCTTGATAGGGTCCTTCTGGTAGCCGACGATCTCGACTTCGGAATCCTTGCGCAGAACACCACGCTCAACACGGCCAGAGGCAACAGTACCACGTCCGGAGATGGAGAAAACTTCCTCGACGGACATCAAGAAAGGCTTGTCAAGGTCACGCTGAGGGGTTGGGATCCAGGTATCAATCGCGTTCATAAGCTCGTCAATCTTCTGTTCGCCAATTTCAGGCTTACGGCTTTCCAAGGCGCAAAGAGCAGAGCCAAAGATGATTGGAGTTTCTTCACCCTCGAATCCGTAGGTAGTCAAGAGTTCACGCATTTCCAACTCGACAAGCTCCAACATCTCAGGGTCCTCCACGGCATCGACCTTATTGACGAACACGACGATTTTCTGGACACCGACTTGACGGGCGAGGAGCAAGTGCTCACGAGTCTGGGGCCTATTCTTTCCGTCAGCACGAGATGTCGTTAACCACCGGGTTGTAAGTGTGAATTAATTACATTTGACCATCAGAAGCGGCAACAACGACAACGGCGCCATCCATGTTAGCAGCACCAGTAATCATATTCTTAATGTAATCGGCGTGACCGGGACAGTCGACGTGGGCATAGTGACGGGTGTCGGTTGAGTACTCGATGTGAGCAGTGGAAATAGTGATACCGCGCTTTCGTTCCTCGGGAGCCTTGTCAATGGCACCGTATTCAAGGAAGCTAGCCAGACCCTTCTCAGCCTGACGCTTGGTGATAGCAGCAGTCAAAGTGGTCTAAAGATTGTTTTTGGGGTTAGCGGAATAGCAGAGAATTTTCATCACTCGAGTAAGCGCACCTTTCCGTGATCAACGTGACCAATCGTACCTGCCATGAATCAGTCTCAGCTACACCAGCACCGCACTTCATATATGCGAAAGAGTAAACATACCGACGTTGACGTGAGGCTTCGTTCGCTCGAAGGCTGTTGCAAAAGTACGAGCTGCAAATCTTTCGCTGGAGAGCGCATGGTGAACCGGGTTCACAGCGCGAGGCCGCAGCAGAGAGGATCTGCTGCTCCTCAGAAGAAGGTTGACTGATCTAGAAATACCGGCCATCCTGAACACCTTGCAATCAATTGAAGATGAAGGGAAGAAAAACAGAAAGAAAACAGAACAAGACAATAGAGAAAGAAGGATGAGGATAAAGAATGTTTACAGCGTCAGACTCGCAAGTGTCCATGCCGAGATTACCCCAAAATTTTTAGGGGAGCTTAGTCACCCGCTCGTCCCCAGCCAATAAGCGTTCAGCATTTGCGGAGTCTGCAAGGCGCATAATTCTCCCTCATTTGTCTGGACAGCTTTTTGTTTTCTCTGTTGTGCTAGATTTGAATAATGTGCTTGAATATACATTGGGCAAGTCATGTGTTTGCCACTCGTCATGCGATTGAGACTCTCCTTACTGAGGAGAAATGGGTATATGAGAGTAATATACAAGTATGGTACAAATTCATCGCACAAAACATTGTTTGCCGAACACATCCATCCAGAACTCGTCAATTTTTCTTTTCAATGGTGATAGTGAGTGTTTTCCCAATTTCCCCATCCATTGGTTTTGCCTGGTGCGCGTTGGCTTCCTCAATGGCAGCTCTAATGCGGTCCATCAGTTGTTTGATGTCTTCGGCCGTAGCCATACGTTTCCCCCTTTTTCTTGTCAAAATAATTTCCACTGTCCGGCCTTTATCAATAAAAGAAGATATCTTCTTCAAACGATGTGAGAGATCGTGTAGATCAATAGACCAGTTCAGCTCAATCTGTTTGGTTGATGTTTTCGCCGTGTGCTTGGCCATCCTTGAGGCCTTCTCTTTTGTTCGCTCCTGCTCCCGAAACTCGTTTAACGACATAAGCTTGCACACGGCGGGCCGATGGATAGACCCAGGGTCTAGTTGGACAAGAACTTGTTCGCTGCGTCGCATAGAAAGAAGTATATTCGACTTCCGTGTCGGCAGATCAAGCTGTCCATCTGGGTTTACGATCTGGATGATATCGGCCTCGATCTCGCTATTGATAGGTCGTGAGTAGCGCTGGGGTAACTTCGACGCATTTTTTGTATCGGTAACACTTGTAGTAGCGAGAGCTCCGCGGAAGACGGATCGAATCTGAGAGGCTCCCCCAGCGACGCAGGGTCCTCCTAATAATCGACGGTGAATGGGCGTGTATCGCGAGAAGAAAGATCCATATCGAAGAAAAAGTGAGGCCGAAGGTAGGCCCCGGAGGGATACCATGTTAGATTTACTGCATATAAAAAGGCATTCGAAAGTCGTAATGAGAGATCAGGCAGCGAGAGCCTCTCAAGCTTTCTTTCAACGCTGGGTCCAATAAGCTAGACAGTGGAAAATCAGACTGTGCATATAAAAAGCAGTAAATAAAAGCGATGCAGTCGACAGGGAAGAGACGCAGCGAGGAAGAATCTCTGATGATGTTATTCTTAGCAACCCCGGAAGTGGCTAGGTACATGCCAAGAAACAAAACCTGTCTAACTTGTTTAGGACTAGACGGCATGGAACGTTAACTACTCGCGCGAGGCTTCAAGATTTAAAAAGATCCATACGTGACTCCCATTTGTTCATACATACGTCCAGATTACTACATACAGTGGTCTGACAAACCTAAATCATTCTTACACTCTAATATTTCAAATTCAACTGCCTATGTCAACCTCAGAGTCCAATGATTTCAGAGTTTCGTTTGTCAACCCAAGCACCTTGTATTCCGAGAGTACAAATCATCAGATTCTCTCTTTTATCTTGCTCCACAGGTTCTGAGGGCCCACCTATAATCATTTTAGTATTGAGTGGACATCAACTTAACCATTTGGCTATGAACAGGAGCTTTGTATAACTCTTACCTCCTCTGGGATATCCATGGACGAGCCACTGACGAAGTCCATATTTACGTATTCGATGATCTTGGACTTGTTCCAGAACTTGTAGGCAAAGAAAAGCACCGCGAAGAACGGTATAGGGAAATAAGTCGTAATGAAAGACGACGTGTCGAATTTGTGAACTGGAAAGAAAGCCTTGGTCAATACATTTGCCTTCAACTTATATGGATTCAATCGTAGCTTACTAAATGATCCGAAACCTCCGAAGATCATTACCATGATGCAAACAAACATTCCATCTGAAGTTCCTTGTAAGCATTACTGAAATTGAATGCATGTGGCGAGTACCTACAGTATGAGAGATATGGCTGTAGTGGCGCACGGTACGCAAGAGTCTTTCGGTCGATCCCATGGACTTTTAGCCCTTTGTGCCATCGAATGCTGGTCCAGAGGATGCAAGTCCAGGATATCATGCCACAGATTGCGGTCATGTTCGAAACTAATTCGAGTCATGTCAGTCGGTTACACCGTCTTCCAAGGTTGAGAGGTATATAAAGTTCCTGGTAGGCTCCATAGTGTTAGGGCTGAGGAGAGGACGGAGAGGTTCTTACAGTAGCCGAACACAGTCCCCGCTTTACCCTTGGAGGCTGCCATGAAAGAAAGTAATGAGAAGGCACCGCAGAAAAGAACACTGACCCACGGCAGACCGTCTTTCCGAGTTTTCAAGAAAATATTTGGGGCATGACCGCGGGCAGCAAGGCCGTATAGAGTGCGGGATGAAACAAAAAGATCCGCGCAACCAGAGGACCAGGCACTGGTGAGGATGGCCGCGTTTATAATGGAGGGCAAGGCCGGTATTCCAGCATTCTACGCTCGTTAATTCGTATTCTCACATTTCAAGGCGAGAGTATAGGGCAGAAGAATACTTACTTTGATAGCGATTACAAATGGACTCTTCGCTGCTGTAGATGAAAGATTAAGAGACGGGTCTGAAGGAGATACTAAGAGTCCAACCTGCAACGGAGTCAATATTGGCACGAATCAAACTTCGGTAGTTCTGGATTATTCATACCACGAAAGCGCTGCAAACGTAGACTACGGGGGCAACGAAGTCAGCAAGCGATAATAGCGGCACAAGTAGTAAACCTACAAAGCACAAGTCGTATCCAAACCGCCTTGATAGCACGAGGCACATTCTTCTGGGGCTGTGAACCATATAGATGTTTGTCAGCATCATGCATAATGTAGCTTGAGCGAAAAGAACACCCACGTTTGCGGTTTCTGCGGATGCAATAGCCGTAATCTCGGTTCCAATAAAGGCAAATGCGGCCTGAATGAGAACTTTACGTTTTCATCCAATGATCAGCATCAATAGAAGATAATTTCAAAGGTTTTCGGTTAGCATACCGCTGAAAAACCCGAGGAAACGTCCCTTGGAACCCCCTAATTGATATTAGTACTTCGATATAAGAAAGCATGTCGGAGATAAGTCTCTTTACCTATGCCTTCGTATTGTACGAATCCTCCAGTTTCGTTCCAGTATCTGAACCCGATCGCTTCATGATTTGGACCTCCTCCCGCAGTGACGACAATGCCAGTGATGATAAGACCAACGATGGTTATGACCTGGATAAAGAATCCTTCGTTAGTGTACAACATATAAAAACTTCTACAGACAGTAGTGAGGATTTACCTTGATTGAACAAAACCAAAACTCCATCTCTCCAAAGACTCGTGTGCCGGCCACGTTGACCGCCCACTATAAGCATATTGAGTCTCTGCTCTTTGACACGATAAGGAAAGATATTTAGAACCTACCACTATCAGAAGCATCAAAGCTACCCACAATGCATTGTTGCAGATACCGGTTGTGCAAGTTGCGTTGACATCTCCTGCAGGAGTCCAGTAGGAGACAAGAACAGCTGCTGCCGAAATTTCGGCTGGAAGCACAACTGCAGATACCTGGCTTTAGCATTCCTTGAAGGTATAAAAGTCCGGATTGGACGAAGACTTACTTATGTAACTTCGATTTGAAGCCAGATTTAGCATAAAATCACAAAGGAAGTTGGAGGATATCGACAGGTAAAAACTAACTTATACCAGTATAGAATTCCCATGGCAAAGCCAAGTTCGCGAGAGACGAAGCGATCAGCAAGAGCGAATTGACCTCCAGGTATAGGAAATTGCGACACCATTTCACCCAATGCAACCTTCAACCCGGTTAGTAAACCAAAGGCTGGATGAATGCAGGATCACAGACTAACCATGACCGAAAAGAGCAGGGAGGCCATAATGCAGTAACTGATGAGAAGACCTGCAGGGCCTCCATTTTCCAAATTGCTTCCTGTGCCCAGAAAGAGACCCGTGCCCTAAGCAAAGTCAGCTCTCAACTAATGTCTGAAAGGCAAAAAGACCACACTGACAATTACACCACCGATTGTTATCATTTGCCTCGATAGATGAGTTAGATTTATGAGCCGCTGGAGATCATATCCTGCATCACTCACATGTGGCGAGGCTAAAAACGAATGTTAGCCACATATCCACGTCCTACTCTAGGGCATTTCGTACCTTCAGCTTGCGCTGCAGAGTATGATCATTAGCAACATTGTAGGTCTCCTTCACAGTGCCCGTATACACAGGAGATTCTTCAACATTGCCACCCCCCATGTCGCTTTCCTGTTTCTTTCTCTTTGCATTAGAATGTATTGTTCAAGATTACAATCATTTTTGTCTTTTACCTTTTCAGAGATCATGATTTCCACTCAGTGAATTGCTCTACTGGCCGATGGAGAGCATTCCGGGGCTGTCACTGTATTTAACTCATACTTTCACCCTTCTGTATCTATTTTCTGTCCCCCTTCCAAACCTAACCTCATAAAAAACCGATAAGCTCTAATCTTAATGACATACAAAAATTGCGGGTCTCGCTCCCACTCTCGTTTCGATAACAGCAACAATGTGCGGCTCAGTCGGCGTCGTTCCGCTGTTGCGCTGTGCCGCTTATCAGTCGGTCGGCGGAGAACCCGACCTTGCCGACAATAGGCAATAGGATCTTTTGAACATTGCCATAATTTATATCTGCTTGGAAATGCGGTAGAGACCAAGTTCAAAGTGAAAGGAATCAAGGAAAATCAGCTTCATAATGGTCCAACGAACACTCCGCCCAGGGGTATATGCACCTCTCCCTACCTTTTTTGACGACAATCAAGAAATCGACTATGTCAGCTACAAAAAGCATTTGTTAAGTACGCGTTCTCTTCTTATCACCAAAAAGATAAATATCAGTTGCTAAACGCACCACAGATCTTGCCACCAGAGGGATGGGTGCGTGCCCACCAGTATGAAGGAGAAATTATATACATATCTACTCACTTTTCTGGGGTGTTTGTAGTTCCTGTATGTTCGGGCTCGCTTGGCGAGGCAGTGCATCTGGTACGTAGATACGCCGAGGCAAGGACATTTTATTTGAGTAGAGATCTAATCATTTCTATCTAGAGTTCTGATGAGAGGATAGCCTTGATTCAATTCATCAGGGCTACGCTGGATGAGGCCGGTCTGACATCAACTCCTATTGTCGCTGGGGTGGGTGGTTTGAGTACCAGGGAGACCATCAAGCTAGCACGAGATGCGGCAAAAGCTGGAGCGTGAGCATTCGCTTTTTTGTTTACCGTGCTGTTTTCATTCTTGCGCTTACTGTTCGATAGCGATGCTGGGATGGTAATTCTGCCTGCATATTATGCGGCCAGTCTCAACACGGACTCGGAACAAGTCGTTCAATATTACATCGATATTTGCGAAGGGTCTCCGGTAAGTAGCCAATCTCGGTAGATTATGCTGCGTTATCGACTCCTAACTGTGCATCAACAAAAGATACCTTTGCTACTTTACAACTTTCCAGCCAACGCAGGCGGTCAGGACATGCCATCTGCTGTGATCAGCGAGATTATAAACAAAGCACCAAACCTGTGCGGAGTCAAACTGACGTTAGTGTATCCTAGGCACTGAAGTATATGAATCCCTTGACGCTAACTCTTTTATCAGATGTGGAGGCAGTATAGGAAAGCTTGTGCGACTGAATGCAGAGATTCAAAGCAATCCAAACATCAACGAAGCCCGGCCGTTCCCATTCCTACTTTTGGATGGATTAATTGCCGACCTAACGCCATGGATACAATGTGGCGGTCATGGAACTGTCAGCGGAATACCCAACTTTGCCCCAGCAGCTTCCATGAGGCTCTGGGAATTGCTCAACACCCAAACTCCGACAGCGGAAGAGGTGACAGAATGCGCGAGACTGCAAGCCATTCTGTCAAATGCTGACGTTGCTGCCGTACCGGGCGGAATCCGAGCTATGAGTGAGTCTTACATTATTTTCAATTGACTTTGTAATGCCTATGACTAATCACTACACGGCAGAATACGCATTGAACCAGATCCATGGTTACGGGGTAGCGCCGCGAAAGCCGTTGCTACCATTAAAGGATTCGGAGGGGCAAGCTTTCATGAAAGCTCTTAGTGAGATGATTGAATTGGAGGCGGAATATGGGAAGAAATAGTCAAACATTTAGACCATTTAATGGATTGGACAGCAAAAAAGGATATTCGTAGTGACGAGGGTTAGGGCTTGTTTCTAAAAGCCCTAGGGCTGTAGATGGCCCACTTTTAATGACCACCAATCAGATGGCATATCGCTATCTGCGGACTATTCTGAGGGAGTGATAAGAGATAAGAGATAAGAGATGAACAGTCCCTCCGATATCAATTCGGACTTCAGTTTAATCATAAATGGATCGCTGAAAAACTGCACGGCGGATAGTCAAGACAGAATCAAAATCTCTTTATCTGAAAAGTCATCTTACAATGGTGTAATCCTCTCACCCAGCTCATCAGCTTAGTCATTCAATAGACTGACATATTAGCTTCGACGAGGAACCCCCAAACAAGACGCGTCGCATTTCTCGAGCCTGTCTTCAAGTAAGTAGCTTTGTCAGGAGCTGCAAGTAACTATCCAAGCAAGATATTGAACGTTAATTATTGCATAGTGTCGGGCAAGAAAGCAGCGCTGCGCGCCGTCATCGGGTCCAGCCAATGTCCAGGCGCCCTGCCAGCGGTGCCGGAGATATGAAATTACCTGTTCATTCCAAACAGATGGTGCACTTGGACCTATTGAAAGTCCAGGACCGTCACAGATTGCACAGCTAGTTGTCGAGCTTCATCAGAGGTTGGAGAAATACTGTAGCTAAAAGCACCAGGTGCAACATGCTGACGATCAAAATAGAATCATTCAGCATGAGGTACGAATTGCCGAGTTGGAGAAACAATCTTCTTATCAGAATAAAACGGATACTATAAGGTATCAACTACCATTACTTAGGGTTACTCTCAAGGTCGGGGCTGATCAAGCAAGTAGGACTGTGGTTGATCCTGGAGATACCTCTGTGGAGGGCGACCAGCACGAAGACAAAGGCGATCACCAAGACGTGGTCTCACTAAGTTCGGCTGAGTTGCCTAGTTCTCACGCTTTTAGTATAGACAGAATCTCTCTAGGCCCACCTTTCGCAACACTCAGGTCACTGGGTGCTCTAGCAAGAGACGAATCGGCCTTGGACACCAAGCAACAAGCTCGGAGAACGAGTCAATTATCTCATCACAGCGTTTATGACCCAGTCTCACGGGGTGTCTTATCATTAAATGATGCCGGAAAAGCAATCCAAACGTGGGCTATACCTATCCCCCAGAATCGTGTGATAGTGCCTTCCATTAATATTTGAATATAGATACTTCACGCATTGTCATCCATTAGCCCCTGTTCTAAGTGAGAATATTTGTGATACGTGGCAAGACTTACGAGTTTCAAATCCTATACTATTTCTAGCCATATGTTCCGTTGGATTGCGGTTCTGGGATATGGATCAGACACAGTGAGTCCCACCACTGTGCAAAATCGGCCATTGATACAGCTAATCACAACTAAATGTGCCAAACAGGGGTAGCCTAGGGCATAACGCATACCCTCGCTTCTCAGAACTCACAGCAATGCTAGACCAAGCTGTTTCTAAGCTTCTTCTTCGGCCAACCCCGTTAGATGTCTCTTTGGACTCTGTTCTTGTGCTTCTATTGTACGCTCAATGGATGCCCTGCAATTGGGGTAGCGAAAGCGACCAGCCTTCGAACCGCACAGGGACAACTGGGTCACCGAAAAGTCGCTACAATGAAGTAAGCGCATGGGCTGTATTGGGTCTTGCTCTTCGCTACGCTCTACTGCTAGGACTAGATCGCGTGGCTATTGCTCCTTTCCATGGTCCCGTCGATGCGATCACAGAAAACGATGTCTGTCGCCTAAGGGTCTGGTATAATTTACTCAATTGTGACTTTAATCTTATGCTTATATCTGGACTTCCGGCATCTGTGGACCCAGCACCATCAGCCCAAGTGGCAGGACGTTTTGCTTCCAGCATATATAGCAAGCAGCCTGGGGACCTCCGTGTCTCTGGTCTTGTAGAGCTCGTGTCTATAGTACATCGCGCTATGCAAAGCTGTGGAGACATATCTGGGCATCACTTGAGCCCATCATGTCTTCGAAAACTTAACATTGAATTAGAAAAATGGGAACGGTCAGTCGCCTCTATCGAGATTTGCTTGTGCAGTCCTTCTTTGCACACTAATTCTCTTGCTTGCTAACTATATTTCTAACAGAACCTGGTATATGAGGCTACGTTCGTACAAACAATATCGGCAGAAGTGATTGGAATGCGTCTACTAACGTCTTTCAGGAAATACCGAATCGCAGCACAACCAACTGCCGTTCAATTCAGTTAGAGTATGTAATCGAGAATCGATATAACAAATTTTCAAGAATCAGTCTAATTCACTATTATTACAGTCATACCGTCTTGCTCTCAATAGCGCGTCACTAGGCCCATTGCTATCCCCAACAGCGCAAAAGTCACATCCATCGTCACGAATATCACAACTGCAATCCCTTGAAATTAGTCTCACCGCAGCATCGCAAATGCTTATTTCGCTTTGTAGCGACGGTGAGACCCACGTCTGGGGACTTGAATCACAGAACCTGCCTACTTTTCCCAGTCGTCCATTTCATATCGATACTGCCGCAGTCCGGCGTCTACACTTTGCTGTCGATCCTGCCTGGATATCATATACCTTTGCCGTGACATTTTTGGTGCTTTGTTACATACGAGGGGTTATAGATGGTAAGCCGAGAAGCTCCAAGTACAGTTATTCCATTGATAGCTGATCAGCTTTCTCATTTCCATGCGCTAGAGGACTTACAAATACACCATGCCAACATCACATCGCTAGAAAATGCACTTCTTTTCCCGCCGAGCTCGGGATCCGTTATTGCTTGCCTTCTGGGACTTGCTACAGATATATTTGATAGCGTGTGCTCGACAATGAGTTACCATCCAGCCTACGAATTCAGAGCTATCGTGCACGGAGCTACTGCTCTCGTATTGGCTCCCGGTAATTCTGACAATGATGGGAGACAGGAGATTGACGAACTGGCGCTCCAGTCTCTTTTGGATTTGATGAATGATGCCGGCTTGGAATGGCCAGGGAATATGGCAGATTTTACAAACGACTTGAATACTGGCTGGGATGTGAATGGGTTGTTTACCATGTAAAAATAAGCTGAATTTCGGAAAGGAGATCAGATATTAGACGACGCAATAAACCAGTCACGAAACCTGAGCATTTCAACATATAACTCTATAGCTTAGCAAATGGCTTGCTTCGGAACTTGCGAATTCTGCATCGTATCAGCAAATGTACCAGAATAACGACGGTTTACACCGACTTACTTTTCTTCATCGGCTACTTCAAAAACCACATCCTGAGCGCCCTTCCACAAGACCAATTCGCCCAGCGCTTTCAAATTCTCATTTCCTTCCTTGATTGTAAGGAAATGATTCGCCGCCAGGGGACCCATCTTACTTGCAAACGAGACCCCTCCATAGCAAAATAGAAATTCTGTCTCTGAAATGCCACCTGGATAGAGCAAAATCTGCCCGGCTGATGGGTGAGAAGTGTGATTCTCGTAAGAAACACCAAAATTCGTTTCACCCAGTGGTATCCATAGACCCTCGCCGCTCCAGCGGACATGGATAAGCTTCTGACGGTAGGGAAGTAGACCGCGGAAACATGCGCTTGTTTTGGGCGCGTCCGATTCGAAAGTGGCGAGGAATTGATATGGGCCGGCTGTGATGAGGATCACTTGAGATTCAGTCATTTTGGCGATTCTTATATCCGGATTGACTGATAATGCTTCCAATAGTGAGTAATGAACGAGTAATAAGTGACTTGTGATCAGTCAGGGCTTTGTAGAAGTTGAACTTTTTCCTCTTCGTAGTTCCATATAATCTAACTCACTTACCTTTTATCGTCTCATTATTAACACAAATTACTGGTTTGTCTGGGCCCGCCAGTTTATCTGATAATGTCAGTTCCTCGTCTTTATCTAAGTTAGTGTCCCACTTCTTTAAACGCCTTCTTGCACTCACCCAAGGGGCATCGTCGGCTATGTCGGCGTCGGCCCGCACGGCTTCAATGCCGCAATAGTATGATCGCGGCGTGGATATGCAACAATGATGCATTCATATAAGTTCCGCTTTATTGAGCATGGCATTATTATAGGGAAAACGGCCAATGTGACAGATGCCTTTGATTTTGTGAGATACATCAGTCACCATGTCGTTAACTCATATGCACATCCGGACATACGAAAACACCACGCCACCTCGATCAAAAGCACACAAAGCTATTCAATATGGGAGTCTAACAGTCACGCCCGTTCTACAGAACGAAAACTCAGTATTTGGTGCGGAGGTCTCCGGGGTTGATTGGGCAAATCCGGTTCCAGCGGAAACAGTAGCTCAGGTAAGGGCGCGTGTGAAGGGACCTGCAAGACGTTTTCTAACAATTCATACAGCTAGTGGCGCTACAAGATGAGTACGGTGTGTTGATATTTCGAGAAACAGGGCTTGACAATGCCCGCCACATCGCATTTTCACAACAATTGGGAAAAGAGCTAGAGGTCAACCCATTCTACTATGGTCGAGAAAACGATCGCCTCGGTGAGCCATTGCTATTCGACGTCGGGAAGTAGGTCTTTTTTTTTGCCCTAGGAACACCTATGATCAGATTAGAGGGATACTGACATTGACTAGCATAGAATTGGATGGCACATTGGTCAAAATGGATAGCAGGAGATGGCATCACAGCCTGGGTAATGCCCTGTGGCATACGGTAACCAATCAAAACAACATACCCTCGAACAACTTTCAATGTTGCTGAGACCCAGGCAGGATTCAACATATCACCAACACCGCTCCAAGTACTCCATACTCTTGTCCCACGGCAATCCAGTTAAGGGGGGATCGTGGACACATTTTGCTGACACACGTCGAGCATATGCCGACCTACCTGACTCGAAAAAGAAGGACATTGATGATTTGATCGTGGAGCACGAGTAAGGATGATCGGTTTTCCCTCTTTCTTTGGATAAATCTGAATATCAATTTCAGTGGCTACTATGTTTTGATCTAACTATATTCTAAACTTTATAGTTTATGGCACTCGAGGAAGCTTGCCTCGCCCATTGTATACGGAAATCCACTGCCACATGAACTGGCCGCAAAACCGCCTGCATATCACCGCCTCGTTCAAGTAGCACCAGACGGGCGTAAAACATTATATCTTGCCGCACATGCCAAGCTGATCCTAGGTCGATCGTTGGAGGATAGTCAAAAATTGATATGGGAGCTCATCGACCACTGCACCCAGCCAAAGGTAATTCAGCTAATTTATACTCCAAACAGTTGTTGATATGACCGCTAATCAAATCGTGCACCTTAGTATGTCTTTAGTATGGAATGGCTTTCCGGAGGCGATATGGTATGGTGGGACAATAGGTAATAGCAGTCCCTTTACTATACTTCTCCTTGGCCGATGAATTTGTTGGAGTGCTAACAGATACCCAGACAATCCATGCACCGCGCAAACCCCTACACCGAGACCATGACTGCCAGAGATGTACGACGATCGACAATCATCGATGATGGTCCGTTGGCATACGGTGTGTCTATTGAAGAAAGGATGGCGGTTGAACGCAAAACCCCCAATACAACAGACCCATAGGTAGTTATATATCTTGCTGTAATTCGTGTATAATCATACAACCTGGAGTTAGGGTCAACTTCTAGCTAGCTACCTAGGTACTATGCAGGAATCTAACCACTGGCTGCTCATTCGACATCAACGCATGGTTTAAAGCGACGATTCCAGTGATATTCATGGAAACAGATTTATGTTGAACACCATGCGACAACTGTTTTCAGTAAGTCCGAACTCATTGAGAATGTTAATGAAGGGAATGTTATCTGCAATTTGTAGGCAACGCCTGTTAGTAAAGCCTTTAACAGTTCGTTTTTGGCTTCCATGGCCTGGTACGATTCCGTATTGGTCATACCAAGGTTGTAAGGAGGTAATTAAGGATGCCGCGTTGATATATCAATTTTATTGAATGCCTCAGGCCTCAACGACCCACAGGCACAGCCACCCGCCACTCCGCGCTGTACTAAGAATAGCACTAGGCAGCGCCACAGCGCTGCATGCATATCTGGCGCGGCCGGCACGGCCCCTTTTGCGTCTGAAAGATTTCGAGATCCCTTTTCCCCTCTATTTGTCCAGCGCGGCAGGATTCTGAAACCCTCAATCAGCGACGAGCATGTTCTCGGTCTGATCATATTCAGCATCCCTGTCCAGCGTTAAAGCACGGCAAGCGCGAGCGCCGCCGCTTACTTGGATTTCTTGTGCTCGCATGTCCACCGGTATCAACATCCAGCAGAAACAGTCTTCCCATAAACCGCTGTTCTCTTCGCATTCACGGAAGCGACACTCTGCGCCCTCAATTCCACCGGCGGGCGATTCAGAAAGGTCTTCACCAATGCATTCAGAGAAACCGATCATGACGCAAAGGTCGCGACTCGTGAAGGCGGGCTTAATCATCGCCGGCGCATTTCTGTTCCTGTTGTACTTGGTACCATCGCGGCCATCTATTCCTTATAACATAGGAGGTGAGACATCACTGCTACTTGCTGCTGATCGACGTTTTTCCTGTTCCTAATGTGACAAAAAACAATACAGACAAGGGTGTCACCGACGCCACATCCCCTTCCTCCTCGACGAAATGCACCAAATCCTATGATCCATCGAAGCCTTTAAGACAGTATGTGCTGATGATCGATGCCGGCAGCACCGGGTCGCGTATTCACGTCTATCGCTTCAACAACTGCGGACCGACTCCCGAACTGGAAGATGAAGTCTTCAAAATGACTGAGAAGAAGAAGGGTGGATCCGGTTTGAGTTCGTATAAGACGGATGCTGAGGGCGCGGCAAAGAGTCTCGACGTTCTGATGGATGTTGCAATGGCAAATGTTCCTGACGAGTACAAGTCTTGCACACCGGTTGCAGTGAAAGCAACTGCTGGTCTGCGAATGCTTGGACAAGAAATGAGTGAGAAAATTTTGGAGGCAGTGAGACATCGCTTAGAAACCGTTTATCCTTTCCCCGTCGTCTCCAAAGAAAAAGGAGGAGTGGAGATTATGGACGGCAGTGACGAGGGTGTTTACGCTTGGATCACGACGAACTATCTTCTGGGTAAGATTGGTGGGCCTGATCAGACTCCTACAGCTGCTATCTTCGATTTGGGCGGTGGCTCGACACAAATTGTCTTCCAGCCGACTTTTGATAGCAAATCAGGTGGTATGCCGGAGAAGCTTGCCGAAGGTGATCACAAGTATGAATTGCAGTTTGGTGGGCGCGAGTTCGAACTCTATCAGCACTCCCATCTTGGATACGGTCTCATGGCTGCCCGTGAGGCTGCTCACAAGTCTGTTGTCGAAGCTAAGTTCGCAACAAGTCCAAATGATTTGGCTTGGACTCGTCATCCCATTTCTAATCCCTGTATCGGTCCTGGAATGCAGCAACAAGTCAATCTCACCTTCCCCGTTGATCACCCCCTCGGACCCGAAATCTCAGTCGTAATGGCTGGACCTAACGAACTATCTGCGCCTGCCCAATGCCGCGGAATAACCGAAAAGATCTTGCACAAGGAAGCCGAATGTAAACTAGCACCGTGTTCCTTTAATGGAGTTCACCAACCTTCCCTCGAAAAGACTTTCGCCAAGGAAGATGTATACATATTTTCCTACTTCTACGACCGAACCAAGCCGCTTGGAATGCCTGACTCATTCACCCTCCATGAGTTACAGCGCTTGACCGAAATCGTTTGTGCTGGCAAGGATAATTGGGGCATCTTTGAAGGTATTGAGGGCGCGATGGAGGAGCTTCAAGGCCGTCCAGAGTCTTGCTTGGATCTCAACTTTATGCTTGGCCTTCTTCACACCGGCTACGAGATGCCCCTGTCTCGTGAGGTCAAGATTGCTAAGAAGATAAAGAATAACGAACTTGGCTGGTGCTTGGGTGCAAGGTTTGTTCCTTTGACTTCTGTCCCCTTCTCGTTTCCAAAGCCTTCGTTTACTAATGGAAAATTCTAGTCTGCCACTACTAAGTCAGGAATCAGGCTGGACCTGCCGTATCAAAGAAGTGTCATAGATGAGAAGTCAACATCATACTTTTTATTGCCTTCTTGCGATTACGATGCCATGACACATTATATTCTTCAAGATGAGTTTGTACAGGCATTGGTAGAGTTTAATCCTTTTTTCTACATTTCACCTCTTGCATAGAAGGATGTGGTAACTGCCAAATTATTTCCTCTTCTTCTTTTAACCTTTTCTCTTTTCATTATTTTTCATCGTTTCTATGGGTAAAGGTTTTAGAATTTTTGTTTACTTTCTTTTTCTTTTCCCTTTTTTTTCTATTGGCATAAATCTTGTATAGGTTTAGGGGTATACATGTATGAGAAGGCATCTGAGAGAAGGTATTGGCTCGCGTGTATAATGATTAAAATATTGAAGGCTGACGGGCTTGGAAATATCTATCTTCCAATATGAAACTCGCCATTAATGTTACAACAAATCAAGTTCCTTGCCGAGTTCCTTGCCTGGCGGTGCTCAAGACTGACTCAAGGCAGTACTCTGTGTTACCGGGTTCCTCCCACAGTACCTTCGTCGCCTAATAGTCAATACATTGTGGAAACTTATAATACATGCACCAAAGTGAAATCTTCAGTCCTCCCTTTACCCATCGTCAAATTCTTGGATGCCCGGCTTCGTCTTCTGGGAACGATTCCCAAGTCCCATCAACTGATCCATGACATGCCCGTCGCTTCCCTCTGCATCTTCCGGGTGCTCGTCATCATCAACCTCGTCGCTATCTGAAGTGCTAGTACTTTCATTGTCCAGTATGCCGGTCTTCTTCTTCTTTTCTTTAAGAACGCCCAAGCCCAGATTCTATATCAAGGAGCTATAGTTAAGAAACTGTGCTTCCATTCTTCTTGGCTTCGAAAGTAATAGAGAAAATAGTGCTTACCATCTCGATATACTGTCCTTCACCTTCTCTTACATCGTCCAAGACCATGTCCTGCAAATTCCCTCCGCTAGCAAGTCTCCTTTCTAAATCTGCATTTGCCGCCTGTAATTGCGGCAGGAATGAGGAGAGTCTAGACATGAGGCCAGACTCGTCATCGGGGCGTGGTAATTGTATACGCTGGATCTTAGGCTTCGGCCGGCCCGGAACGTAAGTTATAGATTCGTTGTCAGACTTTGGCGAGTGATCTTGTATCTTCCGGTTTTGTGTAGTTTTCTCTTCTCTGGCACCGTCATGTTTTCCCTGTGCCTCCACTTCTTCATCCTCGTCCTCATCATCATCCTCGGACGATGACGTGCCTGAAGAAGATGTATAGTCGTCATCGCTGTCGTCTGAATTGTCCTCATCAACCTTGTGCTGAGGGACAATAGTACTTGTCTCTGCCAAAGACGACGACGATGCTTTAGGCCTCTTTGGCAATGACGACGAGATCAACAGCTCCGCCCGAGCTTCTTCTCTCGCACGCTTGTAGGACATGGCGCTGATCTATTTATGGAATATAGACATGGCCATTGACAACCAGAGAATTACACGCCCCTATCACATAAAATCGAGCATTGCAGCCAGCGGCCAGAGGTGCGTTGGTTGTTTCGAATTTATCGGCGGGGTGGGGATGAAGGGCCTGTGAATGGCTGCCGCCCGCCGCCGCTAATTGTGCTACGTTGCCGCCTGTTACCTCAGGCCGCAATGGTTGGTCCGAAGCTCTCAACAGACCAAATGAGATGTCATCGTTCGGGTTTCTATTGCTTTGTTATATTATAGTCATGGTCACTGTCTGTCTCTGAGCATATCTTCTGAAAGACTTATTAATTAACCAAGCACAAGTGTTATCCATAGACAGAAATATACGCTGCATTGGAGATATATATCCGTTTACATACAAGCAACCACCTGGGCATAGCTTGAAATCGATCTCAAGACCATCACAGGTACGACATGTTTTATAACCTCTTTGTTTTGAAGCCCGAAATTTGAAAATGAAAGCATTCCTCAAATTTGTGAGAGAAACAAGAACAAAGCGCGCCAAACAATGCTAGCCCTAATCCCCCCCCCTATGCATGACACAGAAAGGCGCAGTCTACATGTAGCATATCCATATTGACTGAGTGATTGTTTGACATGTATATGTGACACATTTGTCTGCACTGCTTTATTATGTGCAAATTGAAAGCAACTGAAGATACCAAACCCGCATATGTACAATTGACACCCTCACCCTTCTTTGAACCTCCGGTTTAGGTACCATCGCTCACCTGCCTTTTTTTTCCTCCTTGCTTGCACAAATATTAGCCATTATGAGCGTTGGAAAATCTTTCATCTACTTTGTTGCTGATATATAGACCAGAATATCAAACCTATCGGCTCGATTGAAGGACACCGAACGAGCCCACCACAGAATATACCTACTACAGTTGTATATCTTATATCAACAGACCCGTCATCGTTAGTCAAGCCTTGGAAATTGTCATAGCACCTGGATTGCCTACCTGTTTCTCTCTTCATGATGGACCGACCAATAATACAAGTCAATGATTACGAGCAACATCAAGGAGCAGCCTCAACCACCCGAAAGACACTACACCAGAACCTCCTAGTGAAACTACGCCCTCTACCTTTCCAATACCACTGGACAGTCTGGTTTGACAAGCACAGCGATCCACTTGCCCACACAACTTTCACCACCAGCATACAAAACCTGCCACCACTGCAGCAGCAATATAGCTCGCGTCTCACCGTTTTGTACGAAGACGTCGCCGACATCGCCACATTCTACAGAATTTACAACAACTACCCCTGGGACAGGATCCGTCTACGCGATACAGTCCACATATTCCGCAAAGGCGTTCAGCCCGTATGGGAAGACCCCGAAAATATGAATGGAGGGTGTTGGACGTTCCGTGTCCCCAAAGTCAAGGGACAGGAGTTCTTTCACGAAGTTGTCATTTTGGTTATGGCGAATGAATTACAAGCTGCTATAGAGAGTGGTAAGTCTTCTTCCTTTCATGCCGTTTCTACCTTGCTCTCTCTCTTTTATTTGCCCGTTTAGTTGCTGAAAATCAGGATATGAATAAGAGCACGACCATGTCCTCGGCGTCAGCATATCAGTCCGATTCAATAGCTACTTGATCTCCGTATGGAACAAACATGGATTCAATGAGCGCTCGATTCGGATCCTTGAACGGACAATCATAGATCGCTTGTCGCCTCACTTAAGACCTGCTGTTACAACAAACAACAATGGCACCATCTTCTCACCCTCTTCCTCTTACTTCTACAAGAGACATGCTGAACATGAAGGGTACCAGGAGGCTGTAGAAGAGGCCAGGAACGATTGACAAAGATGAGGGGTATACTATTTTATATATACGTGCATGGAACTCACTGGCGTACTTACGCCTTCTCGTTTAACTTCTTCTAGCTCTTTGTGACTTCCAAAGCTGTTAGAGCTTGCTCATTGAGTTATTTTTGTTGTATGAGTACGTCTTCCGTTGTAAATTGGACTCCTGGAAGTATGTTATGTTGTGTTTGATTGCATTCTTGTGAACCATTTACTGGCGTTTTTGACCCATTACCCTCTGTGATACAGTGTAGTCACGTCTTCTTATCATAGTTCTTCTTTATTTACAGCTGAAGATTGTCATGTTTAGCCGAAAGTAAACGGCAAATATCAATTGAGGACTTGATACGCCTAGTTAAAAATTTCAATATATTCATAGATAGGGCTGAAGACTAGAGTTGAATTCGAGGCACCAAAGATATGAATATATTGGGATTCTCTTCCGCAGAGCAAGCTAAAGTGTAATAGAGCTTCAGGGGTCTATCGGCTTCGACTTCGACTTCGGCGATAACTATGCCTCCTATCGTCCAGGTCTCTTCGATCACGGTCTCTTCGATCACGGTCTCTTCTTTCGCGATCTCTGTCCCTGTCCCTGTCTCTGTCCCTGTCTCTGTCTCTGTCCCTGTCCCTGTCCCTGTCCCTGTCTCTGTCTCTGCCCCTGTCTCTGTCTCTGTCTCTGTCTCTGTCTCTGTCCCTTCTTTCTCGGTCTTGGTCTCTGTCCCTGTCCCAATTTCTATCTCTGTCCCGATCTCTATCTCGGTCTCGATCTCGGTCTCGATCTCGGTCTCGATCTCTATCCCGATCCCTGTCTCTTTCGCGCTGTCTGTCTCGATCCTGTTCGCGGTCTCTGTCATAGGTCCTATTACGATCTCTATCCGAGTTTCGATCCCGATCCCGATCTCGCTCTCGATCTCGCTCTCTGTCGGTATCTCTGTTTCGGTCACGCTCTCGATTACTAGATTTATCCACCTCAGGCTCTCGGTCTCCCTCAGCACCAGGGATATACCTGTCTCCACGAGGCTCCCTATTCCAGTCCTGATCCCGGGTCCTGTCTCGATCAGGTGATCGCACCCGACGGCGAGGAGATCGGCTGCGGTTACTGGTAACTGGCACGTATCGATCAATATCCAACTGGCTAGGGGACCGTGAACGTCGTCGTGACAAAGAAGTTTGACGGGTGGCAGAAGCACGAGAAGCAGAACGATCCCGGCGGTGCCGGGTTCGAGAATGATTGGAGCGAGATGGCGAGCGCCGGCGGGATCTTGAACGATGACGATCCTCCCGGTCTCTATCTCGCTTTTCATCGGCATCTTTATCCCTCTTCCTGCTGCGATCTCTTTCTCTTTCTCTTTCTGTAGACCGTCTCCGTTCTCGCTCCCTTTCACGACTGCGATCCATGTCACGACCAGTGTATCTATCATACCCGCGGTCTCGATAATCACGATCGCGATCCCTCTCTCTTTCTCTTTCCCTGTCCCTTTCCCTATCTCTCTCCCTGTCCCTTTCCCTGGCTCTATCTCGGCTGTCTTCCCTATCACGTGTCCTGTCATAACGGGCTCTGGAACGACTGCGGCTTCGTCTGCTTGTTCTGTAACTTCGCTCATCCCTGTCACGTTCCTTGTCATTACGAGTGTTGGAACGACTATGACTTCGTCTGCTCGTTCTGTGGGCCCGTTCATCTCTACTGCGCACAGATTGCTTATCGTCATCGCGGTCTCTGACTCTCAGAGAGCCCTCCCTTGATATGTTTCTGGTGTCATTTTCATACCGTGAGGACCTTCTTGTGCGCGAGTGAGTGCGACTCCTTCGACTCTTGTCGCGAGACGAATCGCGAGTTCCAGCTGTGGAATAGCGAACTTCCGTTGCAGTTTTTGGGCGTGACGCAGGCTTCCGCCCACTCTCAATAGCCTCGGCTTCTTCAAAATCGAACTCTGGCTTCTGTTTCGCTTTTGCGGCTAATTCCTCACCTTCCTTCAGAAGTAATTGCAAAGCAGTTTCTTCCAATGTCTTGTCATCAACTGGGGCAGCTGGCGGAGGCGTGGGATCTTTGGGTGTAGGCGTCCGAGACCTTGTTCGCCGGTCATGATCTCGGTACCGAGACGATGACATACTAGTCCCTTCATAGTGGTCATAGCCCCGAGGGAGGTTGTAGCTTCGATACCTGTCACGAGAATCGTCCCGTCTCCTGCGTTCATACCGCTCCTGTCTTTCCTTTTCTCGTTGATCATCAAGAGCGCGTTGCTCGGCGCGTCTCCTCTCATCGCGCTCCCGCTGTTCTTCTTCTTTCTTTCGTTCAATTTCTCGCCGTCTGCGTGCTTCTTCAAGTCTAGCCTTTTCTCTCTCTGCATCAATGCGCTCTTGCTCTGCAACTTCTGCTTGATGGATCTTCTCGCGTTCTGCCCTTCTCGCATTGCGCCACCGATCGTAGTCGTCTTCCGTTTTATTGCCTGCCTCTTCTTCCTTCCGGGCAACTTCTTCGCCGACTTCATTTCGCCTAAGCTCTCGGACGGAAGTCAACATTATGTCAAGATGTTTGGCTATGAAAGTTTCCAAGTCATGTTCTGTGTTCTTATAAATATCACTGCGGTCGACAGCACCCTCGATCAGCGTCGCTGCTTTGCCTCTGTCACGCGACAAATGGGCGGGTTCTCTTTCAATCTCCTTTTCAGCGAGTTCCTGTAGGGCATTTGTAAATTTCCCTTTGAGTTCCTGTACGACAAGTTAGACTCAGGAGCCTTTTTTTTTCAAACGCGCGCAATGCTCCAATCAGGACGAAGGTTGGGCTCTGATAGGCAGGAATACATACTGATCCGTTGAACTCTGCCCAGATTTTCTTCCGGTAGTTATCAAAGACACCCTTCTTCTTAAAAGCGACGAGTAGATTTTGAATCGCGCTTTGTTGATCTTGGGTAAGAGGAAGCTCTGAGGCCGCGTACTTCTTGCGCTGGAGGGATTCAAGATTCGTGGTAGGTGCTGCTGTTGTTTCCTGCTTGACACTGGAAGAAGCTCCTTCCTCGGGGGCCGCCATGGTGCAGGTTGGGAAATCGTGGCCAGCACGACTTTTACCATTAACAGAGGTAGGTATGATAATACTAGGATGAGAAACACCGAGACATCGTGCTCTGGCGAACAAGGGATTGTCGACAAAGGAAAACCGGCGTGCAAGCTTTCGCTCAATTTACAATAATTCCGGCAGAAAACATGCCGTAGGCGGAGAAGCCGCACGACGCGGCTATGATTGGCCAATGGGCAAACAACCAATGGCGTCTCGGATGATTCAACGTCAAACACTTCCCACTTGCAACCCGAACGAACTCCTGGAGCGACAGACACACAGCACCCAAGAGACAGCCAGAGCCAAAATCGAGCTGTGCTCCTTGCGCCACCTGCACATCCATTGGGATTGTTTCGCATTTTCCCTTTTTGCTCAACGATTGAACCGATTTCCCTAGGTCCGGTGCTCCGGTCATCTATCGCGCTTCGTCGCCTTTACACTCCCACCATATCCGATTAATAAAAATGGTTCATAAGGTTCTCTTTTGGAGCGGTTTCGGTATGCTATACGTCGACTTCTCTTATTCAACTTGTGAATATTCCCACTAATACGATACCGTCTTGCAGGCATCGCCGTCCGCCTCTGGCAACTCGGTATCGAAATGCGTCCTCTTCTGGGCAAAGAATCCCTCTGGGTCTACCCACTCTTCGCTGGCGTTGGTGGAAGCTTCGGTTATTGGTTGCAGGGTATTGAAAGCAGACAACAAAAGATCCTTGCTGAGCGACGAGAGGCTATACTTGAGAAGCGCCGAAGACGTGACCAGCGGGAGAGTCTCTTGTCTAAGACGGAGGAAGCTGGTGTTCTGGCTGCGGCATCTTGATTGAATATTTCTTTTTTTATCTGTTAGAAAGGAAAATAGAAGGAGGAGACACTAATTATCGGATGCAGCTTAATACATGAAGGAGGTGTATTAGACCAAAATTCGTTTGAGGATCATGATCAAGTTCCTCGATTTGTACCACACGAACCCGCAAGCAAAACCATTGTCAGAATTCAGCGGATTCATAGGTCATGTATTTCATTATCAAATAGCGAGAAGTGTTCGATGAATTGTACCAGTGGCTTATATCTTCAAACTATTCGACATACCTAACTTCGTCTTGATGTTAAACCAGGGAGTTTTACCTAGGTACGATGGAGAAGTAAGGCAGAGAAATATATTTAGATAGATATTAGGATATGTACAAGCATCGCCCATTAAAATTACACTTTGTCTACATCAAACTGCAGAGTTACCTCCCATTTCTGCCCCCCAGATCCATAGCCCCCTCCAAGCCGATTCCTTATCAAGCTTGTGATCTTTTCCCGAAGTTTGACCAACGATTCCTCGGTGCCCGTAACTCTCAGCTTGAGATTGGCCATGCATAATCCATAATGAACTTGCCAGAACCTGGCATCGTCAACAGCGGTAACTGCAGGATCGGCTTGAATGTCCCGGATCACATCATCGACACCGTTGCCAGAGAAGGACATGAGCAGCATTGACCCCAGCGTCATCACAATACGTGCGCCTAAAATGCACATGGAAATAGCCATTGACATGGACAACAGCTTGTCTAGATAGTTGTAAAGCGAAACAGAGAGCAATGGCAAAATGAGAAGCAAGGTCGAACAAGAAAGCGTGAGGAAATGAGATGGGTTGCTAAGAACGGAAGGGAGCGACTCAATATATGCGAACCGCATGGATTTGCCAATGCGCGCATGATTTTTGAGCCCAATTGCAGACACTAGGGTAGAACCAATTGCGAGAATAGCCGTGACATCAACTGAACCAGTTGTGGCCCGATCATGTTCATGCGAATGGTGAGGCTGGTGGCCCGGGGACGCTTCAAGCCAATGCTGTAAATTGTGGGATATCAAATCAAGGCCCATAAATACGAGCAAGACAGATGCAGCAAAGCCAGCCAGCACCTCTGCTCGCTCCAATCCGAAGGGATGACGCACACTGGACCGTTTCCAAACCTCAAAATTACCAAGCACATCCACAATGACGCAGAGCAGCGCACCCAAAGAGTCGAATAGAATAAGATGCGAAAGCGCGGTCATTGCCAGAGAGCCATGAGCCGACCCTAGCGTGTATCCAGCAATTAACATATGACAAACGCTCCACCAAAACCTGGTGGTTTGATCCTTAGACATGCTGCTCCGACATTCCTTCAGGGTTGGAATCGGCAAAGAGGCTGGCAATGCTAAGGGGGCTCTAGGTGGTGGTTCTAAGAAGATCTGATGCGATATGCTGCTGTGTTTGTACTTGTGACCGCGTCGCTGGCCAATGTTCTATCTCGCAGTCAGTCACTGGCGCTGCTGCTCACATATCCCAGACATACCGATTTCATAATCGGCGTCTTTGCTAGCGCCATAGGCTGAAAGTTGAACGGATTGGAATCAACCGTCCCCGAGCCAGCATGGCTATGAAATCCATGAGTCGGGCTCGTGGGAGTACCCGGAACCGACATATTGGTCATATCTCCTCCGCCTTTCGCTCGTTGGGTTTGCGCAAAGCTGGGAATAGGGGAGAGCGCATCGGGGTCGTATTGTTGTTGCATTGGAGGCTGGCTTGTCTCTTCGCTGTTGCTATCTGGAGGAGGAGTCGGGGTCCTGGGGGGCTTGGGAATGGGTAACGTGGAGGCCATTGCCATGGATTGAGGATGTTCTGCAGTAATCACGATTAGCTCATTCATTTCTTGACGTGAGATTGAATAGACACTCCTCAGAGAGTCGCAACTTACAATCACTCAGTCCATACGTCGAGCTTCGATAGCGTCGATGGACGTTTGGCGTTGTCTGGATTAACAGATTGAAGTTGAGCCAACTCCGCGCGGCCCCGGTCTGGCGCCAAGCCAAAAATGGTTCTTTCGAACTACAGACTGGCATGACCAAGTAATAATGCCAAATCACTTATCATGGAGCATAAATGCTTCTCATCGCGACTAGCTATGCTTATGTGAGTATGTCATTTTCTTTCCCTGGCTGGTTGGTGCGCGCAATTCAATGGTACATGTACCTGGAATAATTCGTCCGTCAAAGTCTTCGCGACGCTATATTTCGTGAACTCGGCCTTGTGCTCCACTCTAGGTCTTTTCAATTGAAATGAACAGGCTTGACATTGTTGTCGCCTTATCTTCTAGGAGGTCTTGGTGCTTACTTTCCTTGGAAGACAACGTCGAGGTTGGATCAACTACAAAGCAAAATGGACAATTATATGATTTGCGGCAAAATATATGTGAGCAGCAACAGACGAGACTCATATGTCAGGTACCTAAATAGTGGTTTTGCACCGGACTGTGATTGTGAAAACTTCTGGAGACACGGATATGGGATGCAATATCTTGCCTTTTGAACAATGTGTTTTAACTTCTTAAGCCAGTCGAGAGTATCTGTGAGCGATTTCATCTCACAGCATTATTAACCACCTATTCTAATCAGCAATGATTTCCACATATGCCAGGGTAGGTGGACTTCATAGGAGCCTTCCAGTGGGTGATAAATAGTCCTATGGTTGCGAATATTGGACGTTGTTCTCTTCAGTCACTGTTCTTATAGGAACTTTATTGATTGTGGTTATTTTATATTTCTAGTGCCCTTGCTAGCTTACTTTTAGAAAGCTCATTGTTTCCAACATGGTTGGTTGGAATGATTCGACAAGGCCAATGTTAGGGTTTTGTTATTGGTAACCCTAAGGCAACGGCCCTGGAATGCTGTAACAGGAACTTGCACGTCACATGATCCAGTCCAAATAGAATATGGACCGTGTATTATTCACTTCCCATGTTACTAGATATACAAGTCGATGTTGTCTCTACGTACAAAGTGAAATGCTTTGCGAGCTAGGATGTCAATTTTTTTTTTTTTTTTTTTTTTTTTTTTTTTTTTCAGTAAACATGTAGAGGATCACTAAGGAGTGTCAAGAGCACATCATGGAATTTATATAGTACCCTGCCCAGCAGTAGATGGCACAGTGCTGATAGCGGTGTAAGCCTCAGCGCTTGCGATGTTCTTGCCTTCAAAATTCACCAAGAAACCAGTGTCGGCTTGATCGAATGTGCCGGAGCTGCCGAAGCCATTGACCACGCAATCGCGACCCAGGTATGTGCTACACACTTCATTTGTAGTGGAGTCCGGTGAAGTGAATAGTTCGCCATTCATCGGAGATTCGACGATAGTGTCAATATTTTGAAAGACGTTACCTTCAGCGAGAACATAACCGCCGGAACCGATTTCAAAGGCATGGCCAGTAGAATCGTACCAGTAATTATTGACCTGGTGTGGATGGCTATCAGCCACCTGCTCAGGCTAGTAGAAGAAAGGAATTACATACTGCATGAAGTAATGTGTTACCTTGGATCTTGGGGCTGCGGCCGCTGAAGTGGTAGATGTAATTGCCTTTGAGCGTGACAAGATCACTGTCCCCATCTAGATAGATACCCCAGTATGTATACCCATCGCATGTCGCGCTGTAATCCGTAAGACCATCGAAGAAGCAGTTGGAAACGGTTACTCGGTTATCGGCGCTGGTTCCTAGAACGAGATGCTGACGGCCAACGCGTGCGGTCTAATGGGAAAACGTCAGTCAAATTGAAAAGACGATCGAGCTTGCTTGGTTGTGCTAATGTACCGTAACATGGTCAATCCAGATCAAATCAGCATCATCTACAGTAATAGCATCGCCACCCCAAACGTATTTGGGGTTGATGTCCGTAACAGCGATGTTCCTAGAAGACAGTTAGCCTCTTGACGATCAGGAGTAATGCAGTGCCATTGCTACTCACTGGATGATGATATTGCTGGCACCGCTGACGATTCGCAACCCTTTACCCTTAATGACACCGCTAGAACCAGATCCTAGGATTGTCTTATCGGAGGCGACAGTAATACCCAGTATTCCAGCATTGTCACTAATGTTCCATTAAAAGCCATTTCTCTCGACGCATTCACGGAATAAAGCAAGGAGTTAAGAGACATACTATGTCACGGTGGCAGACGGGGCATCCGGTTCGTAGTTGGTACACCAGCCATTTTGGTTGATGGCAAGCTGGCACGCCGAATCAGTGCCCCATGGAGCACAGCCAGTTTCAGTAGTGGTGCCCTCAGTATCAGTGAAATCGAAACTACCCGGAGATATTAGTGGTGGTTCTGACGAAAAGATCTACTCTTCCCACTCACGTCCTGTCTAAAACGATGACACGGGCCTCTGAGTCTCCTAGATACGAGACCAATTCATCTGTGGTGGTTGGATATACAGCAGTGGCACTGCCGCCTCCGGTGACCCCTTTGGCAAAGCCTTCTGCTGATCCAGAGACGCTGATGCCAGCCGTGCCTTTGAAGACACAGGCGGCCAACGCAGTAAGCACATGTGTATATCTCATGATGAACCTAACCAGGCTTGACCCTCTGTTTCAATTCCGGTTTGATTTCTTGTGTTTGTTGCGCAAAGTCTTCTTATATACAAGTAGCCAAGAAACCTCGGAAACATAACTCCCACCATCATTTCGGAGCATCGCTCATTTTGGAAGTGCAAGCAGGATAGATTAGTAGCGGAGCCCATGTACAAGCATTCCACCAGAGACACAACAGACCTCGAGCCCGCGTTTTCACCCATGCCAGTTATTAAGCTCACTAGCCTAAACCAAACCCTTCCGAAGCCCTAAAACACCCTACCTAATCCACCCTTGATACCTTTTAATATATCCCTAACTATGATGTGGGTGCAATTCATCCAGAATAAATACTTTTTCCGGTGGGACTCCGGTGTGTTTCAGGCCAATTCATGTATAACTGTGGTGAAGAAGAGCATCCCACTGAACAAATTTTCTTTCTTTTGGTATTTTGCCGAAGCCTCTTGGAACCTACATGTACATCAACGGTCTTTCAGACGTAGTCGGCCCATCAAAACGGCCATTTTCATAAAAATTGCGAGTTGATTGTGGAGCGTCATTTGTAAGCGAGAAACTGTGAAACACTTAATTACGGAGTATGGAGGCTATGTTAAATCCAATCAATCTTCGGAGTGTGGGTAACGACCAGTACACCAAGCCTCAAGCTTCAAAAGTATGGGTACGTATATCAACAGATCTTATCAACTGAAACTTCAACTAATATTAAGTAAAACTCTAAATGCCTTAGTTAATAACTTAATATAAGAAAGATGTTTCTAGTACAGTATAAGGATGAACCCACTGTAAGAACCTTAGTGCCTAGTGGACAGCGAAAAGGGGTTCTGCAGATCCGAGAGTCGAGAACTACCCAGGTCCCCTAGGGTCTTGATTTGTGCAACTACGATGTCCATCTCTGTTCAAATAAGGTGAATCCAGGTCCGTGATGGATGGCATTGAGGGATCATCCGCTTTAAACAGTGACTCGTTCCTCTCCGTACTCCATGACCTCTTGCTTCGACCTATTGCTTCCATACAAACACCACGAAACTCTGTATCAAAAGTCTCCCACAAGCGCTTGCAAGGATAACGAACCACAGATATACAAAAGCCAACTCCGGTTCGGATTGCAACTTAGACATCCTTCGATCTGGATGAGTTGATGAAAGAGCCCAGTCATCCTTCAGGGGCGTCAAAAGGGTGTATACACGGTATCCGGGACCGATGACGCGGTAACACAAATGAAATACTGTGGTCCAAGAGACCGTTGGCAGCGGTCTCCATGACCTGAGATAGTTGTAGCATGGAGGGATAATTTCGAGCGCTATGATATCGAGTGCGCAAACGTCGATCAACTTTCTTCCTGTAAGTGCATAGTATCCAGTCCACAGAAAGACCAAAGAGTCGTAAACAGCGGTCCTACACATGTACGCAGTGTATAGGGTTCCTTGGGCTATGATATATCGATAGTCATGCATTCGGTGTAGGTGAATACCGCGACTCCAACGAATCTATAGTAATCTTTAGCAGAGGGTCTTGCTCAAGAAGATTTCAACTCCCACTTGCCCGCTGACCTATCCAACCCCTGAAATCCGTGGATCCAGCGGTCTGTATGGCTGAGTATTCAGAGTATAGTCGGCGCCATCCATTCTTTGCAAGAAGCATAGTGACTTGGATATCCTCGTTGATGACCTGGAGATATCTTAGATCTGTCTTCAGATAAGATGCAGACGAATCAATACCGTTCGATAATGCGAGCCTGGGTATTGGCAACGATACCAGGACGCTACTACTGAACGAAGAGCAGCAATCCTGAATACACACCCTGGACCATTCAAGCATTCAGATCTGCCGATCGCTCCAAGTGCCGCTCGATTGAGGTACACATCGCTCCTGAAGGCAGTTTGGGCCATCTGAGAGATGAATGATACGTGCCCGTTGTTCAGTTGTACCAAAGCTGATGCGCCCCCAGCTTCAGGTTCCGCGGCAAGTACCTGGGAGAGATTTGTGATGGTATTGGGAAGCACAATGGTGTCAGAATCACTTGATCAAAGAAACTCTACACCAAACTGGTCTGCCAAGATAATGGACAAGACCCAAGCGGATAGCCTGATTTCCTTGAGGTCGCGATGGGGTTGTGTGAAGCAGATAGCAACGTTCTCACCTTCTTGATTTACCTTCTGCAAGAAGCCAGATTTTTGGAGCCCCAAGCTCATGTACTTGTATGCTTTCTGAAACTCTGGCACATCCTTTAGTTCCCTGCCTCGTTGGATTTTGGGACGGAAGTCTGGTGTCTCATGGCGGCCTTTCATGAACATTTCACCTATACAACAGCTCAGGTGTATGATAATGCTCTTCCGAAATCTTTTGGGAACTCAAAGATGCTCAAGGTGAGGTTGACGCGGTGATGAACGAGGTTTCAGCCTTGAAATCGATGTGCAATCAGGTCAACCTGGCTATGAACGAGCAAGGAACAACACTCACTACTATCAAGTGAGTTTTGATCGAGATCAAATTCTCAAAACTGTTGCAGCATCTTCGTCCAAAACAACGAACATCGTACTAAATCTTGTCATAGATCAAACAGTTTTGCAAGTGCAATCCAGTCAGTCCAAGATTCAATGGACCGTTCACGCAAGGTAGTAGAGGACTTCCAAGATGGTATTCAAAACAGATTGTTCAAATCAATGAACGGACAGCAGCCAGCAAAAGTCAAAAAGTCAATTTGGCTGAAAGAGAGAAGCAAGGTCGCAAAGCTGCGGGAAAATTTGAGAGCGTCCAGGTTACGATTGTGTGATATGTCAGCCTGCCTTCTGCCTCGGTTTAATAGAAATGAACGTATCTCACTGCCAGACAGGTTAAAATCTTTCCAGATGGAGTATCAGATTGACAGTCTTTTGGTCCAGAGCAAGGCAGACACAGTGCGGAGAACCGAGGAAGGAAAATTGCTCTCGAACACGATAACAAAAAGCCACAACAAGCTTGTCCTCCTTGAGGCCAACATGCTTTCAGAAATGCGAGCTTTGCGCCAGGTTGTGGAAGATAACACCCATGTAACCAATCCCAGGCTTCCGGCGAGGCTGGATCAAGAACGAAGTACAGATCAGCTCACTCGGACAGAGATTCAGACACGCCATCCAGACATAACGCGACGAGACCATGGATGTCTAATAATCAGCGCCAGGCCATTGCGGTCTCAATCTACCTCGTGCAACAAACTTTGGTGCGAATGCGTGTGTCACAGACCCGGTCTTGTGCGAACTCCATCGTTTATCTCCAACGTTATTGGCAGTCTGCTAGTTGGATACTCTGATATTCCGCATCTTACACCATCATGCAACATTGCTGCCTGTAGAAAGCGTCGTCGATTGCCGTCCTTGAGAGTCAACTACTTCTTCCCCCATTGGGTTCTGAGTCGTGTTATCACGACTACCTTGATGTACAGTTCGCGAGATGGGCTAGATATACATCGGATACGAGTAGCGAGGATTATCCCGATATCATCGGCGATTTTTAGACATGTACAGCAAGGGGATGTTGAAGCGATAAGGAAACTTTTTGCGAATGGTCTCGCTTCACCGTATGATGTCGACCAAGGTGGATTCTCAATATTATGGGTACCTTTGTCCTGCCTCCTCAATGATCTGCCAGTCATTTGCTTAAAAAAATTCATGTAGTTCACCCTTGATACACCAACACCGAGCCTTGTAGAGATTTGCCGGCTGCTGCTCTCGGAAGGAGCAGATCCCTATGAATACGTAAATAAAAAGCAAGTTTCCATCGCACCAGGCACAGCTCTTGGAGATTTGGACACTTCGAATCAGACAAGTTCCATGCAAAGAAGGAAACTGACATCATCTCAGGAATGGATATCTCCCCTCCTTCGAGTCAGCGTGGCAATTAATACTCGGCAAAAACGTTGACGAGCAGACAGCAAATGTGCTCAAGGTAATGTTCGACGACCCGGACCGAATGAATGATTTCCAATTCTCCCAATTACACAAGCGCGTTCTCAAGCTCGATGGCCACCATTCCAACCCCATGAATATTGACTCACATTGCGAAATCGACTACATGGACGCATTTGGCAGAACGCCATTATACTGGGCAATCGAACGTGGCGATCTAGCGGCAGTTTTAACGCTGTTAGGAGCAGGAGCAGGTCCAAATATTCCCACTCCGCGTGCCGGATGGACCTCCATGCATTTTGTTGCTCGCTCTCACACTGTAGATGAAGAGATAATTGCTGCTCTACTGGACACGGCGCACAAGCTAATGCTTTGGACTGTAATAACCAGACGCCACTGTCTAGAGCCCTTCGACATGGTGATGGTGCTGCAAAAATAAAAGCTCTGATTGCTGGAGGGGCTGATCCTAATCTTCAGTACGACGAAACGAGATGGACGGCCTCGCACCTAGCCATGTTTTTAGGGCGAACTGAATGCGTTCGAGATCTGTTGGAATCTGGCGCAGACTTCTCGCTCAAAACTGTGATGGGAAGCAATGTCGTTCACTTCGCTGCAAGATACGGCGATTTGGAGATGGTACAATTGCTTCGAGAGTTTGAATCAATACTGGGAAAAGCATTAACTGAGTGTCCCAGGGATACCCTACATGACCTTCAGGACTTTCGTCGGGAAAGGTACATTTCGGCAATTACTGACACATGGTGGTCTGTATGGAGTGACCTGATAAGGAAGGAGACTCTTGAGCAGTCAATCAACTATGGGGCTGTTGCTGAACCGCAAACCGATACAAATGATCTAAGCTGGGAGGATGAGGCTGATTACGAAGATGCTGTTGAGTATTTATGATTTATTCGAAGCTACAAGAGCGATATCAGATGCAATACTTAAAGAATTAATACATTCAATGCGTCGTCCAGGTTTCATGGGACAGATTTGTGTCTAGCACTGTGTTACTACTGGACGGGAAAATGCAACAAGCTTGGAGGCCATGTAGTGCAAGTAATTGAAGATGCTCCCACGGCGCAGAGGCCTTTCTCAACAAAAGCCTGGAACACTCACTCGGAATAGAAAATGGCTTCTTTTTTGCTTCTCAACTCCCCACAGTGATATATAACTCAAGGTTCGAATTTGAATATGCACATATTGCAGCAACGCTCTCTAACCCTCTCGTACCCATGACATAGCAAAGGTCATTCCCGAGCTGCCTATACTCTGCCTAAATACCTCAGACTACAAGCAATACCTACCTGAGGTAAGCCCTCTAGACAACATGCCCGCTTCGGTAGGGATTGAACAGAGCATGACATCTTCCAGATGTTGGCAGAGCACCGAAAGTCTAAGAAAATCCTTTTCACGGCTAGGGCACCTATATACCTCTACGTACTCCCGGCACTGGGAATGTCAATTTCGTCGGTAAAATTTGATTCACAAGTTTCGTATCAACATCCCAGGGAATGATTTGAATGCTCATCCGTGGCTCATGGAAGGGCTTTTTGGTTCCTAGCAAGCTCCAAAGACCAATTCATTTGCTTCGAGGCGGTATCCCTGAGTGTTAAAAACTATCTATACTATAGAAAGAAAGACGTATGTTTGCTGGGTATACTAACCGGACCAGGACACGAAAGTACTTTGGTGAAACTATATACTCTATGAATATCACTGATAATACACATAATCAAATCTACATGCTTGACAAGATAGCTCGTGCGGTTATCCTAAGTACAAGTATACATCTTGTCGGCAGGGCCCTTAGGTGATTCGTATGCTCTGGACCCCCTTTGTTCTAGTTAGTATACAGATATACTTCCAAAGCTTTTAGGAACATACTGTATTCTGCCTTCCACGATCTTCGGATATCCCATGCCTCTAAAACAACTACGTACTATCAATGCGTGCAACTGCTCCTGTGAGGAAAAACACGTGTTACATCAGCTTAAGCGATGAATCACTTACTTCGACGCCGGCATACATTATCTTATTCTTGCTCTCAAGCACGCTTATGGAAATCAGCGCTAGTACGCACCATGGTACCCTCTCGTCGACAGTTCTCTCAGCCGCGAACATTTTCAAATACCTCCTTCCAGGTGATAGATTCCTCGACTTTGATTGAAGAAGAGAGAATCCCAAGTTACAAAGCACAACAATACTATCCAGCTTTCATAGGGGAGATTGTGAACACCAAGTATCAAGTCATTGGCAAATTAGGCTATGGCTCTAGTTCCACGGTTTGGCTTTGCTGGGATCTAGAGTACGTTGTGCTATTGGAAACTGTATATATTAAGAGAACTCATCATTTCTAGGAATCACCAGTATGTCGCCTTGAAAATCAACGTCAACAGCTCCGCAAGTCATCGAGAGCTGCCCATCTATGATCGTATAAACCAAATACGCTCTAATCATCCTGGCCAAAAATGCCTCAGGATGCTGCTAGATTCATTCGATATTTCTGGGCCCTTTGGTCGACATCACTGTCTTGTTCACCAGCCTTTAGGGATGAGTCTTTACGACCTGCAGATGCGCGCTCGCGACCAGGTTTTCAGCAAGGATGTCCTACGAACGTCTATTCGGCAGCTCCTCGCTGCGTTGGACTTCCTTCATATGGAGGCCCATATTATACATACTGGTAAATAACCCCCTCGCTCCCTTTCCTTCGTTGTGACCTTTAACGCCACACATGAAATTCCAGATTTGCAGCCGAGCAATCTTCTCATGGGAATCGATGATCAATCCATTTTGTCGGAGTACGAAAAGGATGAACTGGAGCACCCTATACCTCGAAAAATAGCCGAAGACCGCACTATCTATCTCTCACGGCCACCCCCTTTTACTTTCGGGCCTCCGGTCCTTTGCGACTTCAGCGAAGCGCGACTAGGAGAGGAGGAAAAATAGAGGCGATATAATGCCAGATGCATACCGAGCGCCTGAAGTTATTCTAGGTATGAAATGGAGTTATAGTGTTGATATCTGAAGTGTTGCCATGGTGGTATGTTTCCAAATTTATAATTCCAAGACCTATAGCGATAATTCTGGAACTAATAGTACTAGGTCTGGGATCTTTTTGAGCACAATCGCATATTCCAAGGCAAAAATCCCGAAAATGGATACGATCAAGTATACCATCTTGCAGAAATGGAAGCCATACTAGGGCCTCCTCCTCTCGACTTCATCAAACGAAGCGAGCACAGTCTTCGATACTGGGATGAAAATGGTAAGTAGTTGATGAGGTTCTTCTTCTACAAACGCTAACACCCAACTTAAGGCAATTGGAGGGGTCTCGTTCCAATCCCCAAAGTCGACCTCGAACAGCTTGAAGAAAGGCTTGGTGGCGAAGATAAGAATAGCTTCCTAGACTTCATACGTGCGATGCTCTGTTGGATGCCAGAGGAGAGGCCCTCTGCTGGAGAAATAATATTTCATCCGTGGCTGATGGAAGGTCTTTTTGATTCCTAGCACGCAAATTTACCTCCATTCAGCTTATATTTGTTTCGAAGCGGTATTCCTGGAAGCAAAGAACTATCCAGATCATAAAAAGAAGTATGTTTATGTTGATGGATTAATAGACACTGCACGGGTAGTGTCTCTAGTCCGCCGTATGTACCGGACCTACTCCGCATTCATGATTCATCGTCCGCTCTGGCAACGTCGGAGCACCGCGCATTGTACAGCCATGCCACCACACCCGATTCTTTCCTGCTGTATCTAGAAGAATTTTCTCTCCCAATCCGTGGTGAAATGATCTCTTCAGCTGGCCTGAATGGATAACCGTGGGGGCTTTTTCTTTTTCGTTGTTGCCGTCTACATCCTGCTAAGCTCGTCGTCCCGCGCTCCCTTAATCGACCAGAATGGAGAACGCGAAAGGCGCCTTGTTCATGAAGAACACAGTCTGCAATTGCTTAACGGATCTGAATACGGTGCCTTTGATCCGAAAGCAGATAAATGGCTTCCGATTCCAGGCCTGAGACAGAATGACAGCTATTCTTGGGATCTGCTGCCCCAGGCACAACAGAGAGCCCGTCGAAATATGCGCCTTGCATTAAACAGTGGAGGCATCGACAGCCCACCGGAACTAGATTCCTCTGATGAAGCGCCCTCAGTGAATGTCTCTTCGCTATCGTTACCCGTCTACCACAACGTCACGGGAAAGCTAAGGGGAGATTGGATTAGGCATCCTTTGCCCCATGAGTCTCATCTGAATGTTACTGCTTTGGTGCAGGAATACGATTTCGTGACACAAGAGTTTGGCCTTAATATAACTGGTGATTCGGGAAGATTGTATGTTGATTTTGTGGAGGGCGATGATCACCAAATCGGAGATCTAGGACTGCCAGTGCGCGAAATCCGCGCGGACTTGGCCATCGAGAGCGACGCTTCGTGGGGCAGCACTTGGTATATGGGTACTTACGGCCTACACTTTCCCGACCAAGGTGCTATCATTCTGACGACGACAAGCGAAAAGTTCGGCGGACTTCTGTCTCTGCCTTATTTTACACTCTCGCAGGATACATTCAATGCTTCTTACAGCGCAATTATGCAAGCGCTTTCAAACAACATCGCTAAAAGACGGAGATTCGAAACAACATTCTTCCCCTTGTCCTCACTTCCCCATGGAGGTCAACCCATGTCCTTTCTCGCACCGAGATGCGAGTATATCATTTATATACAGCAACGCCCAATAGGCATTAGCGGAGGCGCTCCAGGTCAGACAGTATTGGACCAAATTGAAACAGAACTCCGATTCCCTTTGGGCGCTCCGATTCCCCCTCCCCCGATGATGGAAATGTCTGTCGTCATGTTCTCGCCCGACTGTGGGATACTTCTCGAATCGAAAGGTGCGCCAGATTATCCGCCTTCAGAAGGTCTGTACGTTATCGGTCCAAAACAAGAAGAATACAGAAAATTTACGTCACGTACGATATATGCGCTAGGTGCAATCATGGTAGGACAGTTGTATCTGCTACTGCGACAGATAAAAGAAGCCTCTACCCCGTCTACTAGAAGCCGTATCAGCTTCTATACCATCGCACTCATGGCTTTAGGTGATGCGATTGTCATGAGCTTGACGTTGTTGACTTTATTTGCCAACACCTCATTCATTGAGATCTCAGCCACTTCTTTCCTTATATTTCTTTCAGTCTCTTACTTAGGCATGAGGTTCATGATGGAAGTTTGGGCGGTGCAGGTACCTGAGAGACGCAATCAGGACCGTCAGAATGACACAAACAACCAGGATAGTCTCCCCCCTCCTGTCACAGCACCTGCGGCTGTTAGTTCTGGTGCTACCCCTATTGTATTGCCTGACGAACAACCTACGGCCGATGAGGGTTCAACTGCTCCCACAACTACCCCGAGTCCAACTCAAAACACGATGCCCTCACAAACAGAAGTGGGAGCAGATGTGGGAGCGATGTATGCACGGTTTTACTTTGTTCTAGGCTGTGTGGGAATTGTCTCTCTTTGGTCCTTTCTTTTCCCGAGTAAAGTGGGTGCGATATATGCTAAGATTGCCGGCTTCATTTACCTATCCTTTTGGACGCCACAAATCTACCGCAACATCATGCGCAATTGCCGCAAGGCTTTAACATGGGAATTCGTTGTTGGGGAGAGCGTTCTCCGTCTGTTCCCGTTTGTGTACTTTCTTACAGCTCGAGGCAACGTCCTGTTCATTCGTACCGACACAACTACAGCATTGGCTATGGTCGGTTGGGTTTGGCTTCAGGCATGGATTCTTGCCAGCCAAGATATCCTGGGTCCTCGATTCTTCATACCTAACGGCTGGGCACCACCGGCATATGACTATCATCCCGTCATACACGATACCTCTGCATCCGGCACTGGCGATGATCTGGAATCGGGCACTACCCTACCAATTGGCTATCTCCGCGCAGAAGAACGAGATGCTGCAACTGCCAGCAGCTGCCAGGTAAATAAACCACCGCGACCGGAGGACAAGAAGAAGAAAACATTCGACTGTGCCATATGCATGCAGGACATTGAGGTTCCCATCATTGTCTCTCCACATGGTATTGGAGCGTCCAGCATGACTGATGGCGCAAGTAGCATTCTTGGCCGGCGTGCATATATGGTGACACCCTGCCGACATATTTTCCACAGCACATGTCTAGAGAGCTGGATGAGGCTAAGACTGCAATGTCCGATCTGTCGTGAATCTATTCCACCAGTGTAGGAAAAGAAGCCAGATGTACATATTGACGTCATGTTAGACTATTATTTAGTTTTCCTTCTCGGGCAGCCCACTACGATTCTACATTTTGTACGTAACATAGAAGGAAGGAAAGATAAGACGTGATCTTTCTACAATTCTTTTTCTTTCTTTCTTTCTTTCTTTCTTTCTTTGCATTGTGTATAAATTAGCAAAGAGATAACATATCGCAAGCATAACCACCAAGGCAGATAAGGAAGCAAGCAAATGAACAAAGCCGAAGAAGAAAATAAACAGTTCTCTAGTGGTCCTCAACAGACTCCAGATAAGCTTTCTCATCCAACAGACTTTCCAACTCGTTGGGGTCATTGACCTCAATCTTAGCGATCCATCCCTCGCCCTCAGGGCTATCATTGATTGTTTTGGGCTTATCACTCAAGATGGCATTACCATCAACAACCTTGCCTGACACAGGCGACAAGACATCCGAGGCAGATTTGACTGATTCGACAGCTCCGACAGGCTCTCCGGCACCAATTTCGAGATCCGCGGTAGGTAGCTCGACGTAGACGACGTCACCGAGGGATTTGGCGGCGTATTGGGTGATGCCAATTGTTGCTGTTTTTCCATGCGTGTTTCATTCAGTGATCCCATCTCACAAGACGAGGTAGAATTTTTTTCTCTGCAAAAGCAATGCGACTGGCGTGACTTACCGATGCCGTTGTCTGAGAGCTCAACCCACTCGTGAGATTCAGTGTACTTCTTAACCTCGACTGTTATTAGTATCAGCATTAGCAGGAATATTCTATTTTTCAAACATAACCACACCCGAATTGAGCAAGGTAATTTTCACGTACACTGCAAGCTTCTCGAGAAGTGCCTCATGCTTCCCCGCGGGAAAGCGGGAATGGCGCGGCGAGCAGCAAGGGACGCTGGGAAGCGCTGGCAGAGCATTCGAGAGGCCAATGGGCGAGTAACTGCGGCGACAGACATTTTGAAATTATATAATGTTCCGGCAAATAGGCAAGAGAAAGAAGAAAAGAAAAAACTGTAGAGCGGAGAGTTGTGGGAGAAAGAATGTCGGACAGCTGGTGGTGCAAAGCTTAGGGAAGAGGTCCTATCTAATCGCCAGCCAATCAGCGCGCCGGTAAGCTATCTTCTCCGTGGCCATTCGGTCTCCGCAGAGGCTGACGAAAAAATCCGCCATCACCGCAAATCAATCGAATTCGCGCCGTTCGCTGGCAGCAAGTTCCTCCCATTTGACAAGATGTTATACGAATTAATTGCAATTGTGGGTTCTTCTCTCCGTCTTTCTATGTGGTATCCATCGTATGCTGACTTTGTTTCTGCGCAGGTCCGACCCGGAAGTCTTAAGGAGGTCAAGGAGTACGTCGTCGAAATCCTATCTTCGGACATTAACACGATCCCTACTTAGGACTCCGTTATCGCGAAAACTAACCTTGACTTTCTACGTTACAGGATCGCGAAGAATGCCGGTATCCAAGTCCTTCGCTCCGGTGGCGTAGTCCGCGGCTACACAAACTGGGGCACCTTCACACTTCCCAAGCCTACGACAAAGCATCAAGCTCGATATTCTGAAGGCTGGCACTTCATCATGCGCTTTGATGCGTCTGGACCTGTGCAAGCTGCCGTCCGCCGAACGCTCTCTCTCGACCCTCGGATGATTCGTTTCTCGGTTCTCAAGCTGGGCGACAAGCTCGAAGAAATCAACGACGTGCCAGGTCATATCGAATGGAACCCGACCAAAACCAGTCTTGCAGACACCATCAATTCAAGAGAAGCCTTTAGGTCAAGGGATTTAAAGGAGGCTGCTATTCTTGGTTCTCCTCTCCGAGACTCGTCCGAGTAGTTTTAGATAGCGGGAGACTCGTTGTTCATTTCTTTTTGAAAGGCTTTTGCGTACATATTAGGGGTTCAGAAGCTGGAAGTGGTACTTCTGAAATGCTTCCTATCATTCTGGCCTCTTATGTTTCCTCGCTAATAGGAGATGTACTCAATGTATTTTTAGTTTACAGCATTTGCGGCGCATATAATTGGGAAGAAATTTATTTTGTCAAGTATTAACGAAATTAAATGGTGCTCCTTCTATCAAAATACTAGGTGGATATCTCTGCTGTCTAGACTCTGCTGCTGGCGAACCGAATAAACCAAGCAGAAGATAAAGAGTAGTTCAAAACTAAGAAAAGTGCTTCATATTCAAACTATATGAAGCTCCCGCTGTTACAGTTCATTCCAAACATCTTAAACTACCTAGGCAGAGAAAGAAACCATGGGTAGTCCTCCTTTGCCGGCTGCCATAGCCACGCCAACTACAAAGTAAAAATTCCAACACATCGTCCTCGCTCCGATACTAGCTAATCTACCGGAGAAACAGCGGTGGCCTCGTCAACAAAACGAAAGCTAGTCTCGCTAGGTATATATGGAGAACGATGAAATACAAAGGCCTGAACACATCTACTTTTCCACCAGAACTAATTTGCAGAGGCGCATAGTCTCGTCCATTGCGACTGTATCCACTACATCTATTCCAAATTACATCCTTAAAAGAAGTTGAAACAGGGATCTGAGAGTCGAGTAGGCCACATACGCACTTCGCCGTTGAGTGGACATTTTAGGTAATTAAAACTTATTCCGCCAGTTATTGGCTACCTTTATAGGCCACATCTCGTTAGAATGCAATTGGCTCGGATGTAAATACGACGTGCATATGCCCTACCTGAATACTTAGATAGGCAATCTTTCAATGTGTGTAAAGTCTAATGGTCAATTATTCATCGACACGGCAGATAGTGTGATGATGGCCGCGGTAGTACGATGTCACCTTTGGGGCTGCTATTATCATGCAAGGATTTTGAAATGCCAAAACTAGCTCGTAGCCCCACGAACATGATTCATGACACAACAATGATGAAAGAAAATAAGAAAAAAAAGTCCAAAGTAGCGTATTATATGTAGGTTACTAGGTAGTATAACAAGGACAGGTAGACTAGCCTAGATGCAAAGTCTGGAAACAGCTTTCCTAATTAAGTAATCGAACTTCCAAAGGCTTAACTAATCAATAACGATTGTAGTAAACTTTCTATTTCCAGGGAGCGAGTTTTGGATTCGACAATATCAGCATCTGAACCAGACTAGTTCAAGTTCCGTGAAGCCAATAACAAGCATCCGAATAGTCTTCGGTCTGAAAAGAACTGCGTATGATTATATAGTTACTTGCTAGTAGTACAAAATGGTTCTCAACGATCATATGTATCCCATGTGTACCTAGATATACAGATCAATGACCATCAAGAATCCTTTAATTAGGCAACCAAGGTAGTTGCCGTATTAACCGCGCATACATATACCTCTACTGAGTACTACCTAGGTAGTAGTGCATATATATACCATAACCAGTTAGCTGTACTTTGCAATATGTACAGACTCTATAGTACGCCGGCGCTGATCTGGCCCAGAATGCAAGATCGCATCTAATTAAGCTTTAGCTTACGTCTACCGTACCATTCGTATTCAAGATCACACTTACGTAGATGAGCTCTAACAATTTGGAAGTGTATGAATAAATCTTCACTGGTCTTCCTATGGTGAAAGATCATGTTTATTCTGTTTAGAGCTCCAGGGCTGTTAGGTAAAGATAATAAAGCTCGAACCACAGAAGGAATGAAGCAATCATAGTAGAAGCGAGACGGCGAGTAAGACTCCTGGATCAAGAATTTCAATATCAGATATTTGCCTCCCTTCTGAAAGAGGAATAGAGGTAGAAATGACAAAGGCTATATACCATTTGCTACCTAGGTACCTATATCCACACCACTTGAGTCCTCCGTCCCATTCCAGAGTGTCGTTGAGATGCCGAGAAGATTACACCTGCCACGCGCGCCTAGGTAGCAAGGGGAATTATCCTGCATATTACCGCCAAGATAATTTTTTGTCCTCTTGGCATTTTGTCTCCCCAATCGTAACGGTCAGAACGAAGCTGGGGCGTGTTGTCCCAGAATTTACTTGACGTCAGGATAACCGTTACATATCCCGGCTCGGCCCGTCGCCCCGTCGCCCCGTCTCTCCCGTCACGAGGCATTGACCTTTATTCTATTCTCACCTGATGCCATTAGAATAAAGGATATTCTCCGTTGGAGCACATAAATTATCCAGAGATGTACATAGACCATTGATCGGAAGGGGCTCACTGTTAATTTTAAATAGCAAAAGGTCTGAATAAAACGTATATGTAGTGGGTGGTATTTATGTTGGGAAATTAAATTCAATTGCTGAAATGTCTAGTGTGAAAACAAAGTATCTTCTCTTCAGCTTCATGTTGTTGGTATCTATTCTTGGGACTGAGCGAATGGCAGAAGAAGACATTATATTTAACTAGCGAGTCAAATACGATCTCTATTTCTCCGAGATGTTTACCCATCAAGTGGCACCAACAACTTGTGATTCAACGCTACTAACCTAGTACCTAGGTACGTATTTGGTAGTTGCTGAGTATTTTCTTCCTTATCTTGGTAGACCCATCAGAAGATTACATTTCGAAATAGAACGAGATAACCCCTGATGGGATACCTAAGTATAGGACCATGGTAATCGATATCATGCTTCGTACAACAGTTGCTCGCACCTCATTGGGTACTTCGGCATTTCCGGCTTAAGCGTAACGCCTTTGTGTGCTGAAGTCGATCATGCAAAACTAAATCTTATTCTATGCTTGTAATTAAATACGCATCCAATGAAGGTAACACATGAACATAGCTTTTATTAATGCCTGACAGGCTGTATATAGTGGGAGGGTAACCCGATATTTTAGTCCCGGTGGCCTGAGCTCATTCCTACAATAGATAACGTTACAACGGCCCATCCAGTAAGTAATACCCATTGGTAGGCTCAAATATTATTTTTGATGGGCCACTGATAGGCAAGGAAATTGCATAATCCTTGCACAATGCTCACAACATTGGAAGAAAGCATGACCCGCAATGTGCGCACAAAATGATTATTCTGCATAATTTAAAACTCAAACTAGTCTGGCAATCTATACTCAGGCGTAAGCAGCTTGGGCACGAAAGCACTGCGTTTTTATTGTATCAAGTCCTTAAGTCACCCTTCCTGTCGGCTATGTAGCAGGCTAGAGTAAAGCCAAGTGTGGGTGGGTGATTATATGGACTGCTTTGGCGGAATTTTCCGTAGAACCACATCATGGTCTTAGATATTGAACTAGTGTTAATTCTGCATACAGTGTTTTCCTTACCAACCGGAAGTGGCACGGGTATCGGCAAAAAAGAGACCATCTGATGCTAGATCGCGTAGCTTCAGAAACTAAAGGTGCCGACAATTCAAACCTTATTACGCAGTACACTACCCAGGTGATTGGCTTACCAACATGATTCTGAATGATAATTGTGGAATTTCTGGATGTATATCTCCCTCTCACTGTGTATTGTTTGAGAAGAAGTCTGGACAGATACTGCCAAGTTCTTGAACAGAGAATGACCCGAATAAATCTGTTTGAGTCATATGGAATTATTGTCAATGCTCGAATCAATCTGTGGAGGGTCTGCGTGGACTTTCACATGCTATACGACTGTAGCCTAAGATAGATGCTGCGTCAAGATAGTCTTCTACCTGGTCAATACGAGGTATTATGCTGAATGATAGCCAAATGAATTCGGGGTTTCCGGGCAACTATACAAAATTAAATGGCGACCATGGCGTACGCCATGACTTCCAGCCAACCGGATTATGTTGTACTGCAGCTTTCTGGCTAGGTATGCGCAATGAAGAGAAGGTTGATGATCCCTGCCAACGATGTTATGGTTAAACAACGCTGGTCCAGGCTTACAGGTGGATCGCTTATCATGACGTGCTAATCAGCGATGACACGTACATTTTTGGGTATCCACCTGCCTTTTTGTAAATTCTTTCCCCCGGGGCTTTAGAAATTTCAATGATAGTTGAGATCAACAGGGCGACGTCACTATGTAAATCTATTAACCCGTCCTGGTGTGAGCTTTACCCGTACAAAGCTAATTGGCAGGGATTAATATTGAATGCCCGCTTTGACTATCCTTGTCGTACGGAGCAGTGCTGATGTCTGAATCTGTGAGGCTGATTGTCTTCCCTGCAACCACATGATGTTTGGACTCCTGCGTATGTAGTCATCAAATGTCTTCAACTTTTTTCTGGTTTTATATTGTATGTTATTCTAATTTTTATTTTATTTCCCCCTTGTACTTTAGTTAAGTTTGGCCAAGGATCAATGCTATTCGATGACGGCCGACTTTCCAGCTTAGTGGCTTCAGCGGCCGACCTTGGAAGCCGGTGTGGACTGCTTTAGACATATAGATATATATATGTACATTTATACCTAATATATACTTGCAAGCTTGCAAGAAAAAATGCTAGGACAAATCAAATTGGTTAGCGTACACTTAGGTTACAGGTATAAAGACAATCTCGGACCGACATCAGTTGTTCAACAAAGAAACGTAGTATTTTCTTGCTTTTCAACCCTGTTAGCGCCACGTGTGTAAGCACATTCTATCGGGCTCGGTAAAGTCCTAACTCTACATATAGCCAGGGACTCTTGACGATCTTTAAGAGACTTAAAGGCTGTGTTAAGCCGTAAGAGATACGCCGCGTACTTTCCGCAAATATGTAGGCACGGAGAAGACAACCGCCCGGCTGCCGAAGTGGTGGATCAATCTATTATACATGGATATTCCCTGTACTGTAACACTGCTTTCCCGCTTCTCTCCATGTCTTGTTTCTGAAATTTATTTTGTTGCTGGACTTCCTCCGGTAATCCTTGAAATGCTCGCTGGAAATGGCAGGAAGAAGAGACGGATGCAGATCAAAAGTGGCCAGGCCTGCAGGGTTCCTTTCCACGGTGCTACCCCCTTCTTTGGACGGTAATTTTATCCGTATCGTGTATTTCATTTTCTTTTCACAGCTTTCCCAGTTATATTTCTTTTCGACTACACGGAGTAATTACCACTTCTAGTAGATAGTAATATTTTTTAGTGTGTGTTAGGGCTGGACTTATATTGCTCGCCGCTACGAGCCGACGACATGTGGGATCCTGAACAATTTCTGTGACTTATATCTATAAGTTTGCTGGCACATCTGGGACGCTATGTAAATTGAATTGGGATAAGTAACTCAACATATGATCATCATCTAGGATGCTGCTAAGTGCTTTGCCTTGTCAACAAATTTTCGATAAATAACGTTATACTTTCATCGTCTACTATTGCAGTCTTTGGGTGTTCGACAACTGTATTATTAACACACCTTTGTCAATTGTCCACTCTTTTGATTCCTTTCCTTTCTTGTGGACCTAAGGTATGGGTGTGAACCAGTTATTGCTGTTTTATCAAGATCACTAGAATCCACCTATATCTTTGACTTCTTTGTTGCTGATTTGAAATTAGTTATGCGAGTTGCAACTCCTAAGGTGCGAGATGTGCAACTGGTTCAAAAATATATACGTCTATACAGGATGCAGAGATCCCAGTCAACATTTTCACAAGACCGATCTGGAAGGAGACAGGGCAGGACAGTGTCACGATGGCCCTCATGAAAGAGTAGTTATTGAAATAGGGGTTTGCCGTCTCTGTCGTCGTTGAACCCCCGAGAGCTTTCTATTGTTGCTGTCCATGTTCTTCTGGAAGTGTGCATCATAACTTTCTTTGTCAGCAAGGATTCGAGAAGGGTCAATGAGGATCGACATCAAAGTGGTTCATTTGTGAATGATTGCTGAACCTTCAGCCCGTTACTATTCATTGGGAGCAATGAAAGTTTCTTCATGTCTATTTGAAAACACATCATGTTATATTATACAATTTCTTTTAGAACTGTATGCACAATTATGGGAAATTCTCAAACTGAATTCAATTACATCTGCAAGAGAGATGTCAAGAGGGGGCAAATAAGCCAAGCAGGCCGGGAGGCCTGGCATGGTGAATTATTCCTTCTAACTCCAACACGAATTGATAGGGTTTCCTTTGGAATTATAAGCACACTCCTACCAGAGGGTCGTGCTATAACAAGGCCTGAGCGTTGTCTGACAGGACGCAAATTGTACTTCTCTCATATAAGCAGTAAAACATTAATAATTTTGACTAACTCTGTATAATTCAGCAGAGTCCTTACTACCTGGGCAAGGTAGGATACAAGAGGACACAATTAGCTCATAGGTCCATAAATGCGAGCTAAAAAAGCGTCAAAAAACTACTAATTCCTAAGATTGTCCGGCGAAGTACACATAGAAATGGAACAAGAATATAGCCAATCATACAGCTGAGAATAGTACAGAGGTTCTCATAGAACATTTCTCAAAGTGAGATACTTGTACATATTCCAAATTCATCCCCACAGCAACATGGAGAGAAGCTACCCGTCGTAATCTCGGATATCATCCTAAGCCTCGATGTTGCACATCACATGTAAAATACAGCCTACATATGGACTTTTGCATGTTTCATAAATTCTTTTTTGAATCGATACTAAGTTATGACTAATGATGTAATGTTATGGTAATCGGAATTGCTTTGTACTAGTTAGAGGATTGTTTCAAAGCTACTGACTTGTGTTAGTAGGAGGCAGCCGAGTTATAAAAAGTGTCAACATCTAGGTGCTTTCCGAAATGAATTGTTCCTGGTTTCCCAGGAATAACTACCTAGGTTTTCACGTTACTATTAGGGCATGCATGGTACCAAATAACACAAAGCTTCCTTATCCAGGTGCCCCTCGAGGTCGAAATTACGATAAGGCGCATGTAAGGTACCCCAAATCGTGTGGGCTGACAACTTCCCGTTATATTAGTCTCACATAGCCAACAATGTCAAAGTATCTGGGGTTCTAGTCTTAGGATTTGGTGGTTAAAATAAATATTAAAGTTCGTGCTATGTACCTTGAATTGTTTCATAAACTCTTGAGGTTGAACTCCTTTTGCTTCATTCAGGGATTACTACAGCCTCATAGAATCCAGAGGTGCGAACTAATAATACTATATATCAACAATTGCACCGGCTACAATATTCTGATCTAGCAACCAAAGGTACTGCCGTGTTTTGACCGAAGATACGTTAACAGATTATCAGATGCGTAGGCGCACTCTGATTGGCTGCAAAGCGTATACAGGATACGGCGGGGCTGACCATGTGGATCTAGCGCTTATCCCAATACGGTAAAACACCAACTCATAGAGTCACGTGATCTTACAGGGTGAGACGCAGAAACTAAGCGGCCATGTTGCACGGCAACAATCACTCGAAGCCTCACGTCAAGCCTACCAGTCTGTCCAGAAGTCGTCATCGGTACTTCCCATCGGTTTGCTATATATGCAAATCTTTCGCTCGCTACCATAATAACTACTCTCGTTTCTCGCTCTCGGGGCGCTTCACCATCTCTGAACTTGGAGGGTCGACCTCCCTCACCCCCTCGTCGACTTCATAAACCCCAACGAACTTTTCCAGCCTGCTGTTATAATACCGTTTGAACGCTCCCGTCAACATGTCCGGGATAACAAGTTTAGACAGTTTCTGTCAGACGGTACCTGTGCCACTATGCTCTCTCATTGGGCCTGATTCGTCGATCACGGGTTCGCCAGGAATTCTCCCGAATTGTTATGCACGGAATATCGATGTTGGCAACACTATCATCTTCCAGGCTGCGTCCGATTTTGCACATATCGGCGCATTGGTCATTATAGTCATCATGATCTTGCATGTGCGGTCTAAATTCACTGCGGTTGGTGAGTATTGTTTTTGCATGCTAATTCCTTTCAGACAACGAGTGATACTGATAAAAGCGAAATAGGCCGTAAAGAAATTCTCACCTTCTTTTATCTGTTCATGATCCTCACTGTCTGGTCCCTTGTCGTCGACGCCGGCGTCGTTCCTCCCCATAGCAGCCCTTGGCCATATTTTGTCGCTGCGCAGAACGGTCTCGTTTCGGCTTGTTGCACATGTCTGCTGGTCAACGGCTTCGTTGGGTTTCAATTGTATGAAGACGGCACAAAACTTTCGGTATGGCTTCTAAGAGCTAGTTCAGCCGGAATGTTCGTTATATCCTTCGTCGTCTCGTTGTTCACGTTCAAAGGATGGGGTGGGTTGGAACCCTCGAACCCCGTTGGCGTTTTTGTTGTCGTCTATATTTTAAACGCTATTTTCCTTTTCATTTACGTCGTCATGCAACTACTGCTCGTCTACAATACTTTGGAGGACCGTTGGCCTCTGGGGCACATTGCTTTGGGTGTGTTCTTTTTCGTTGCCGGGCAAATCGTGCTCTATGTCTTCAGCGGCACAGTCTGCAATGGCACGTCGCATTACTTGGACGGGCTATTTATTGGCACGCTTTGCAACTTATTTACAGTCATGATGATCTATAAGGTAAATATATCATCTTCGCCTTATCAAATTATTCTCCGGGGGACAAAAATGCAACTAACACAAGCACGCAATCTAGTACTGGGACTCAATCACGGCAGAGGATCTCGAGTTTTCGGTGGGTGTCAAGCGAAACAATTGGGAAGTTAAGGACATCTACGAAGAGGATCGACGACTCACAATGTATCCTGACAATGGTTCTGAATACGCACCTAGCACGCACTACCGATCTTCCACATTTGGCGGTAACCATTCTGGATTCTAATCTACTTCCCAACTCAGCGTATACGATCCGAAATATTTCAATGGGGCGTCCTTGTAATCATTTTACCTATCTATCTATCTATCTATTTATTTATTTTCATGTACATATTAACAAGACATTGCTCATATCTCACTCGGGCAGATGGCGTTTCGTTTCTTGTTTATTCCTTCCTCGTTTCTTTGAATTTTGCACTCTAATATCGACTTGTAAAAGCATATAGGGCTCCACGTTTCATGTTTGCATGGTTAGTTTGATAATATATCTTCAAACTTTCATAGTCACAACCTGATAATTTTCCTGGATTACAAGACTGCAGACCTGAATTAATTATACAGAACTAACCACAGACGAAGGAACCATTGTCCCAAATACAACGAACCACACCAGTTTGACCAGCTCTATATACACTTTGCCAGGGCTATCAATTCTATATGACGATAAAGTCATCCTTATCTTCTCGTCCTTTGCCTTTTTCCCGACCTCCCTTTTGTCCCTCTCCAGTTGCATTAGCATCATTAGGAGCATTGTTTGTCGCAGCTGCAGTCCTACTGCTTATAGCACTGGCATACCAACCTTGATCAATCCATCTAACTATCGTATCCGCCGCTTCATGAGCTAGCATATAATACTTCGGATTGTCCCTAGGCCCAAACATACTGATGTGTGCTGTAGTCTCGTCCGAGGCCTTATCATTCAAAGCCAAAACCCATTTGATTCCTGGATGATCTGGTGTGCCATCACCGGCGAGCATATGATCGTCGGCATCAAAATCTTCTGGTAAATGACAAAATGTCCTGTCCCGGGCACGCGGGACACGGAGAAACAAAGATGACGTGTTATTATTCGAAGGAGGAGGCGCCGGAGGTGCCCCCTGTCCGAGGCAAGTGTAAAAGTTAATAGACATGATACCACGCTCCTGCTGGATATCTGCAAGCGATGCAACGCGATTTCGTAGATCAACTGGGCGCGCAAGACAGCCGACGAATTCAAGATGCGAAGACACCCATCGCCAGCCCTCGGTGAATCGTTCGCGTTGTGAATAGAGGGCCGCGGCACCGCCAGCTGCCACTGCCCCAGCAGCGCCTGCAAACATAGCCATCTTGCCCCATCGAGACCAGGATGGCGTCGCTGCAGCGTCGGCAGCAGTATCTGTTGCTGCCGGTGGTAGAGGCAGGGATGGGGATGACTTTGTCATGGAGCTAGCGGCACCTGCAGTAGTAGTCGATGTGGTCGTAGTGGTCGTAGTGGTCGTACTTGATTTATTCCCATATCCAAACAACCCAGCCACGTCGGTAAAAGTATTATACGCAGTCGATGCGGATTTATAATGTCCTTGAGCGCCATGCGAGACGACACCGGGAGCGATACCTAGAAACGGGGTATCGAACGCCATCAAGCCCTGAATATGCGGAAACATGAAAAATGGAGGCTGGAAGTTCGCGGGGAAAGTATTTCTTGAGCCACCCTTTCTATCGTTATCTTCATCAAAATCCCTCTGCTGAGACGCGGACAAGTGTGGAATCGGCTGCTCGGAAGCAAGCAGAAGGAGTGTCTCTGCTCCGACAATGCCGCCCATAGAATGACCTATGAGAATCGCATGGACAGATGGATCGACGGTCGGTGAAGGGGTGCCGTTTGCAACTTCGATGTCGATGACCTGGTTCTGGAGCCTTTATATAAATTAATACATGAGCTTCAATCCATACAATATAGTTGAAACAACATGCACGTACCATTCGCGGAACCTGCCCACGCATTCTTTCAGGTCTCCTCTCGTCTCGAATTTGGGGTACGTCACAGCCTGCACGCTAATATTCGGGAGCGCATGTCTGACAAGTGCAGTTAATTGTTCTGGAAATTTGAGGAATGTATCACTTCCGCCCTGTATCAATGGTACACGTCGCTTTGAATCAGCCATCAAGTCATGTGCCCCGGGGGGGAGTTTCAATAGAAGGGGTTTGGCGAACCCTAAAGCCGTGAATAAATACGAGCAAAAGCGTTTTCTTCATTGTCTTTGATAATGCTTGTTCACTCTCCGTGGGGAGCGAATTTGGGGCTGATCATTGTGCGAATGAGCAACAGCTGATGGTTGGCTTGAGGATACAATCTAGTAGGAAAGGAAGCTAGCTGTACGGCCTGAGAGGTTATCGCGATAGCGGTGTGGGGTCACCGTCATAGTTCCACCATGGATATGGATTGATGCTACCTCGGAGTTTTTTTTCGTTGCTGATATGAATATTGTTTAGGGGAACAGAAATACAATTGCAAATTCAACAGTGTGGGTTGGAAAGGCCCGAGATTCTAGTCCCCGTCAATGCGATATATACAACATAGGAAAGTCGTCATGTCGTCTGGTCAATGTACCTCATCAAAAGCTCATGAAACCACAAAACCGAGAAAAAGATAAGAAGAAAGCTATACATGCATGCTTGGACATCCTAGTTTGGCCGTCTTGGGCTCTCGAACCATACAAAACAACTTGATCCAACATGTCAGCACACGAAGTTGTTATAGCGAAAGAAAGGAAGTATTAATGGTACTTACGCGACAAACATCTCCAGCATCTTCGCAATCCATCGTCTTCACCATACGAAACCCCAACTTCTCATAAATTCGCACGTTCGGCTCACTCTTGGAACTCTCCAGATAGCACTTGACGCCCTCTTTATCGGCACGATCGGTGACCACTTCAAACAGGCTCCGTCCAATGCCTCGGCCCTGAGCATCCGGCCTCACCGTCACGATATTGCAGAAGTAGTATCCGCGCTCTTTATCAGTCCATATTTCGCGCTGGGCCTCCGCCTGTTGCGCCTTCCAGATCCAGTATCGTTTCGTAATGAGGCCTCCGCGTCCCCAATATCGCAGATTCGTAACCAGCTGTCGCACCGATAGATGCCACGCCTGGTACCATGCATACCAGGTCTCGGGCTGAGAAGCAGGCTGCGGAGCAAGCCAACAGGAAACGCCTAGTACTCGCGAGGAAGGATTGTTCCCTTCCTCGTCGGACTCTGCTTCTTCTTCTTCTTCTTCTTCTTCTTTCGCGACAAAGAAAAGAGCATTATTGATTCCCCATAGACATCGGGATGTTAGTGAACTTGAATTCCTTTGCTGATTGAACTATTAAAGCCGGCAGGTGGAAAAAGGCAACAATCCCTTGAACATGAGAAACAGCGGGGTTCAACTATGGAACAACCGCGGTTTACTCAGCGATGGCCTCAAAACGTTAGCTTTTTCTTCTTTCTTCTTTTCTTTCTTTCTCTAGTTTGACTGCCTAGGGGACGCGTCGGGACTTAAGTATGCTAGAAGCAAGGAACAATGATAATATGCGCGCTTGATCCTCGGTCCAGCTGTAGCTCGAGAAGTCATAGCAGTGTATGAACGCATAAACAAAGGGTATGTGCGATTGAAATACAATGATACATGTCAATACATACCTTTGAAGCATCAAATACCCATTGGAAGTAAGGGTCATCCGCGAAGCCCTCCTGAATGCATTCGACGACGCCCGGGATGTCATTTTCTTGTAATGGCAAAACCTTGATAGCCATATTGATATAGTATTGACACTACCCTGATTCGTTTTATTCGATTTCTAGGACTGCGACTAGCCAGAGGAAATGATTAAACTCGAACACAGAGGAAGCCTAACACCGTCGATGCGAATTTCGGTCTTGCTCTGATAGGCAGCCGATTGACTAGTTAGTGCAGTGTTGATAAAGGATGCACGATAAACGATGAAACGGTCCCCGGCACGGGAGAAAAAGACGATAAGCTCATGAATTGCAGTTCAGTAGACTACTGTAGTACGACCGCAGGATGAGGAGCAGAGAGCAAGCAAGCTATTAATATTTCTGTCCCAGGCCTTGAATCGACTAGACTCAGCTGGGTATGGAGCACTAACCGTGCTAGGCATCTTGAAGCGCAAGCATTGGACTGGTCACATTCTATTTCTTACTTGTACTACGAGTCAGGCCTGCGGAGTACATCTACGACCATGCAGCGACCTTATCGTATCATGCACTTCCCTCGCAACTGGTAGCATGTCAAGCAGCCTTTTGCTTGATATCTCTCTTATACGCCAGAAAAATATCTTGTATTTCCACAGCAGTTCTCATTCGAATCAGATCCAGACACTTCCATCAACGTAGTACTTAGTAACTGTATGTGTTTCATCCAGCACTACTTTAGAAAGGCGGAGTAAGTGGGAGTCTCCGAAGTTGCTAGCGAAAACGCTCATAAGAGAAGAGGCATTCAATTGAAAAGGGACCTCACATACCGCCACTTGTAAGGGAGTGAGCCCTCTACGGCTTGAGATAACAAGAGGAGAGAAGGGACAAGAGTACGACCAGGAGATTTTACAAGCATGCTTACCGAAGGCGGTGTGTGGTGGCAGATTCGGACGATTGTTTACGGAGTACTCCAAGCCCTTCGAATGGTAGGACGCTGAATATATTCAAGAGTATAATAAGAAGTCGCCTCCTATCAACCCCTAACCCCAATGCACTACATGAAATATCCTCCTTTTCTTGGAAATATGAAGGCACAAATAAAGCGAATGGGGTTGTCACGAACCAAAAAACCTCCCGTAGTAATGTAAAGAATCAACAAGAAGCAAGTATGGACAAAAGAGAAGAAAACAAAACGCCAATCTAGGTGGTGTATATCGGATGATTGATTCATACTTTTATTTGCCTGGGAGTGATCGTTAAGCTGTCATAAGTTCGTAAAAGAGTATGTACCAACATGTACAAATAAATACATCAACTTTTTGTTAAGCCCTTTTTTTTTTTCCTCACTGAACGGTAGCATCGCCCAATCGAACCCATTCTCGCGGTACATCCATGCTACGATGCACACGACCGCCAGGGGTAAGAGGAACATCAACTCGACCGAGTCCGCGCTCATCGTCCTGTTCCTCAAAATAAGAAAGCCGATTGAAATAATCAGTCAGAACGGTCTCCCGGTCATTATCACCGACTATGGTTGCATACTCCGGTGGTGGAGTGATCAACGGCGGCGGTGGTTCCAGTTCGTCGAAAGAAGGGGGTGCGAAAGACGGCGCTCGTATGAGATGCATGGGTCGCGGTGCATCACGTCCGCTTGGCTCGTGGGCTATGTGTGCTTGTTCAGGCCGTGACAATCCCCCAGACCCGTTAGTGAAGCTGCGCGGTAGTCCACGGCCATTGGGGCCCACGTTAATGTCGTTATCAGTAGGATTAATATTGGAGTTCGAGTTGTCAGACATCAAGGTGGTTAGGTTTATTCGGCTGTTTGAAGCGCTCTGCTTTGACATCGGAGCCCCGGGACATCCACAAGAAGACGCTTCTTGGATAACCGCGGGGTCTGAAGAAGGGTCGCTGTATGCCGGCAGGTAGATATTCCCTTGTGTGGCTTTGCAAGATAGGATGTGAAAGGGAGAGTCGATTGAGATCTCAAAGTGACGGCGTTTGGTAGGGTCTTTCTCATCGGGTTTGGACAGACGCATTACAATCTATTTATATATTAGTCCACATTGCTCTTGGTCTCGTATATAGAAGAAAACAGGCTAATTTTCAACTCACCTTGATCCAGTGGTTGATTTGTATGTTCTCGTATGTTGTATCAAAATGCAACTTCTGCCCTTCATCCTTTCCCTTCATTGTATGGCAGCTTGGGAGTTGCACACTAAACTCCATCTCCGTAGGCCCAGTTCCCACTTCATTGGACAGATTGCCCAAAAGACTGGTCACTCCTCGGTTAACCTGTTCTTCCCCTTGAGATGCTGCTTCTCGTCGATCCCAGGGCACGCCACCACCGGCGGTGACGCGCATACTACTTCCGGGATATGTGCTGATACTAGGCACATCGGCTCGTTTCTCAAAAAGCAGAACTTTCTTCGGAGGTTGCAACCGATGAACATACTTATCCTGAGTCCAGTGCTGAATGTTCTCCGACACGTATACTTTGATCCGGTGGCATTCAACCTTGGCGAGCGGTGTCAATTTGAAAGCAATCGGGACCTGGGACCCCATTGGGAAAGATTTTCCTGAAATAACAATATCATAATGCAGTTGATCCTCCCAATTCCGCGAAATGGCAATTGGCTCAACTTGCTCGAGGGAACCCTCAGCAGGCGTGCGTATAACTTCTATTTCCGAGGTTCCCAGCAAGTTGGGGCGAAATGCGCCTGATCGTTCCACAATAGCTTCCAGGTCATATCGCACAAAGCCGAGCTCACTTTTGATAGTTTCCGGCATTGACCCATCAATGGGAAATTCAAATGAGTAGAGGTAATCACCGGGAGGAAAAAGTCGGTAATTGCGCACGGCTTGCGGCTGCGTGCTTGGAGGCGGCGCATCGTTCTTGTTGAAACTGCGCGACTGGTTAGACTGTAGAGACAGACGTTTCAATTCCCTCGCGGATTCCCTATTAATGGTGGCCGTCGATCCATTCTTCAACAGCTCTCGTGTTGTGGTAGTCACATTATAGATTTTCGTTTCTTTGGTCGCGTTCAGGGGCGCCGGGCTCGCTACTTTGTAGTAATGAGCACCGTAAGGATTCTGAACAATGGAAGATTCGCCTTGGTTGAAGTAGACCATCCCCGATGTTAGGATGTCTTTCTTGTCGTGAAAAGAGACTTTCTTTGGTGGAATACCTGCCGGCGAACTATTAGCCTTGGTTCTAGGCAATATATGTTGCGGACTTGAAAGAAAGGGGCCTACCATCTGGCCAATCCGTTTGCGCCTGTCCACGAAAACATATGGAAACCTTCTTAACCTTTACTGCCTTCGTTGTCTTGATATGCAAATGGCCTCTCAAAATCGTCGACTTCTTCGTGCTTGGATCGTTGTGGTCATAACCCGGTAGGAAGAGTACTGGCTCAGCTAGTGCAATGCTAACGGTGATACCATTCCCCGTAGCGACAACTCGCTCGTTGCGCAATGTTGGCATACCGACACTCATAATATTCGAGTCGTCACTGTTAGACCGCTCCCGAGACATCGAACGAGATGAGGTTCCACCAGCAATTGAGTTGCTACTAGAATTGCTTTGTAGCATTTGCGCGGCCATAAACTGCGCTACTCGGTCTTCGTCCGCGCCTACGAAGATCTCCGAATGTGGCCTCGAACGACCGGGCCTCGCCACGTCAAGCGACATTGTGTTTCCGAGTTGTCCTGTGGCGAAAGCTCGCAGACGAGAGAGTTGTTTTGCGCTCTTCCTTGGCCTGTCTGACAGCTTCCCCCAGAGCTCAGCTAAATCCGCGCCGGATGGCCTAGAAGAGAGGAAATAGTAGCGGCGGGAATCAGTGCCTCGTGGTTTGCGCCAAGATCGAGCGACTAGTTGATCTGGATATGAACAGACTGGTTCCTGTTTGCCTTGACCGTTGTTAGCATGCCGGTGGTCGACCGCAAAAGTTGTCATCGGACGATAGCGGACTGAACTGAAGGGCATTTTTCTTCCTGATGGCAGCACGGCATGGGATAGTAACAAAGAGAAGAGGGCAAAATTAAATGTCGAGGCCCCCGTGTTTTACCAGAACAAAACGGCCATCGGAATAATCTCTGCGCCAACAGCTCGCGCTGTGACGGCATCCTTGTATTTATTGTCATACATGGGGCCGATCACAGAGCTGATACTTCAGCTGTGACGAACCTGATTGGCGTTTTGTCTGGCCTGAAAGGGGGGGGGAAAGGGAAGAAGCAAGAGGTAAGATGACAAACAAGGGATAGGCAGAGACTAACAAAAGTGACAGATGATGCACACTTACGATGATTTTGGGCCTGTCAAATCAATAATGGCCCGCCAATTCAATAGTGGCGGCGACAATCGCACCCACGGATGCAGACACAACTCAACACCACCGGAAGTGATTCTTGAGACACGAACTTGCGCAAGAACAAGACCAAACAGTCAATATGCAGGCAAAGCTAGATATGGAAAGGGCCCGTCGTCGTTGCGATTGTGACCAGAGCTATAGACAAATCCCCCTGCACAAACAGGTCACAAAACATCCGGTTCCGGCGGGGGCGATGAAAAGGAGGTTGAAGAGGAGAAGGAGAAAGAGAGACACGGTCAGATGCTCCCAGCACGCTCTCTCGATGCGACGCACCTGGCTGTAGGGACTATGGACTGTTGAAAAAGAAGCGACAAGAGCGGAAGGAGGGAGGGCGCAGCGAATGTTCGGACGGGTCAGCGGACTGGAACGGTATATTGCGATGCCGCAGCTAAGTATATACGGAACACCATGCAGAGGTGAATCACGATGCGCACAGCAGGTATGATATGATATGATCTTATGATTTCCACAGCGAGAGAGCAGGCGCGCAAAAAAATCCCGGCCAGATTCTAAGGCGTAAGGCTGCTGGCTATGACGCGGATCGCTGCGGTCATCGAAGAAAATTGGCGGCCGCTCATTGGCTGACAACCATTACCTAAGTTACCTCTAGCCTAACTTAGTCTGGATGCTCGCTGCTGACTCATGTGCGCCCAATACGCCGGCGTGACCGAACTCCTGCGTTTTTTACGCCCGCCCGCACTCGGCCCGCTGACAAAATGCGTATCCGCGTTACAGCTTCCGGCCCCTCCGCCTCTGTCGATGATGTTTGCTGGGGTAAATAAGTTGCAGTCTTGATGTAAAAGAAGATTTTACGAGTATTCATTCGGCATCTCTGATGTATCGGAAGAACCCTCTCAGCCAAGACACAGAATGCGGGGGGGGTGAGTGTTAGATTTTGACTTATACACCAAGAATAAATTCTCGAGTATACGGGAGTACTCAGTACATTGGAAGTTTGATACCGGGAAAATCCCTCATTTCTGTTGATTCGACTTCAACATAGTGCTACTCTTTTAGGCAATATGCTGATTCCGTATGGGCGACAGCCAGAGTCTGGCTCTGAGGTGGCTTGCCCGTAGGCGTAGCCTTGGTTTGTCGGCGCCCATGACATCATGACCTCGGGAGCGTGCTAGTCTAACTATAACCAAGTCTATAACGAGGATACTATATAGGATCCTGGCAGTCTAGCACTATGTTATGGTTAATTCATAACCCAAAATTAAACTCCCCGCTGTCTGACGATCCAATCTATTTTTGTTTTGATACTCCATTTATATACAGTATCCACCCTGTCCCTCGCTATGTATAAGCAGCGGCACTAATGGGTATTACGGATTAGACGGAAATTCGGCAACCGCCTCATAATCGGACCTGCACGGAGTCCACGCGTTCTGTTTGCCTTCACAAACTGCATATCTACGTATTCACTGCGTTGGGTTTTATGAGCTAGACTTTGGCCTCTCTTGTGGCAACGGTGTCTTACATCATAATATCAATAGGAATATGTGACCACCGCATACAGAGCAATGAGGATGCTAGTTCAGCCAGGAATCGTCCAATTCGCCCAAGTCCATCAAGTCCCCTCCAAGTAAGCTGTTTTCGCCTTCCAGATTATTATCCTTTTCCATGAAAAGGTCATCGAAACTGGATTCACCCAGCGCCATCAAATTATCCTGCCCTGCATTGCTTTGATCAAGACCTTGTCCACCTAGCGACTGATCCTCTAATTTAGGCAGATCAAAATTGAAGTTATCCCCCGCATTGCTATCCGTAGCATAGCTCTCGAGACCTGGGAGGAGAGAGCTGATTGAGCCCGCCCCGTTGTCAGCGTTCGCGTCTCCTGCCATAGCGGGATTGGCATTGATGAAATCTGACCCGGCGAGGAAGTTTTGGTTCCCGATTTCATCGTTTGTGAAATTGAAGTTCATATCAAATTCATTCGTAGTCTCACCAGTCGTAGCAAGCATTGAATCAAAATTCATTTCGTCTCCGGTAGTGAGAGTCAGCGGTTGCTCGCCTTTATCGGTTATTTCCTCCGCTTTCAAAGTCCCAATCCTTTCCGTTGCTGCAGCATTCTGCGTACTAGGTTCTGCTTTCTCTTCAAACTGAAATGGGTCTGGTGCAGCTAGTGGCTCTGTCTTGATGGGGTGATCTCGCTGTTCTGTTTTCTCAATGGATTCCTTGACCGGCTCACTCAATATTGACACTGGAGCTTCTGCCATGGGAACGTCTTCTGCTGTGGGTTGAGCGGGGGCAGGAGGAGAAGGAGCAGGAATAGCGGCGGGAGCAGGAGCAGGAGCAGAAACTGGCGCTGGCTCCAGCTTTGGCGCCACTTTCCTAGCCGTTACGATTTCATAATCTCGTTCCAGGTATGCCTTTGCGATAAACTATGTGCAACGTCAATACCGTCCAGCATGCACACGCAATAAGAAATGACTCACAATCTGTTCAGACAATGTGTCCAGGGCAATCTGGAATCTTTGGTACGACGCTGGAATTGACGTCTTCAGGTGTGTTCGAGATTGTAGAGACCCCGAGCTTTTGAAAAAACGCCCTGTGTCAATAAGCTTTGTACAGTCAGCATGCCTCCTCCTGCATCGAGTTCCATCGACGGCCAGCACGCACCGTTTGATTGACGGCATCTGTCAGGACTGCCAGGGAATCCGGATTTGCCAGAGACCGTGCAGTAGCCATTGCAAAACCCCAGTGGTGGGCGTGTCAGCGGCACAAAAGGAGGATGAAGCGACGTCCAGCGCCTGCAGCTGCACTTGTACCTTGCGCCGGAGAAACCGTGCCGGCAAGAATGCAAGGAGTCCCGCTGTTCTCGTGGGTGGAGATGGAGCCGCGGAGAAATGGAATGTTCTTGACACCTGTACGTCGCACACGCCGTGCTCCGAGGCTGGCTCTGATGCTGGCGCGCTGTGTTGGTTTGGATTGTTGCAGTGAAAAGACCTAAGAAGGCCTAAGGCCCAAAGGGGAATCGGGATGCGGAACACGGGGCTAGCCTCTCGTGGCCTAGTGGGCCCCCCTCAAGGCGGCTCTTGCCCATCCAAACTTCTTCCCAGTCATCCAGCGCCATCGCTTGTTCGTCTCCGTTTATACCATAGCTTTATACTAATATCCAATTGCCCTCCGTTGTTGTTTCTTGCTTCCAGCCTCTTCTGTACCTTGTTTGTGCCAGCTTCCCGTGGCGGCTGGGATTTTCGGCTGCACCGTTTTCTCTCGTCCCTGTTCCGTTTTGCTGTGGCCGCGTCGTCGTTTATTTCTCCTGCTTCGGTTCCATCTCAAGCAAGCGCATCGCTGTCCCCTCTGCCGCATCGTCTTCGGAGACCATACCACGTGGAAGCCCTGTTGTTCAAGTCGAAAAACGCACCTACAGCCTTTGATCATTCTGCTTGGTAAATTGTCAACAACAGAAACTTCTCTGTTTATCCATCGACTGCCACTGCATCCTTGTGTGTGTTTCAGCCTTCCCCCCTCCCCCATTCGCCATTCATTGCATTCGTGCTTCTGATTTGCCGACACCTCCTGTCCGTGATTCTTTCAACGGTCGGTTGCTGTGCTTGAAGGCCCACATCCTTCTTTTGTGAAGTCTTCTTTCTTTTACTGACAATCATCCGGTCTATAAACAGTCCCCTTCCAGCTCAGCCAGACCGCATTTCTTTCGCCATGGCAGAAAACGCGCCGCCTGCGACCTCGTCCACTCTCCCGCCCCCTCTTCAACCATCTGCTGGAGCCCCAGGTCAGCCCCAATTCGATTCCGCTCAGGGTAACGGTCAGGGGACTGGCTCTCACATGCCTCCTCCTTCGCTGCCGCCCGTGGTGATCCCACAAAAGACAAACCCCATTCCTACAGCCATTACCTCGCCCATGTCTGGGCAAATGATGTCGCCTACTAGCACGGGCGGCTTTGTGCGTCGAGCCGCTCCAGAACCAAACAAAAGAGCTCTCTACGTGGGTGGCTTAGACGCTCGAGTCACCGAAGACATCCTCAAACAAATTTTCGAAACAACCGGCCACGTGCAGAGTGTCAAGATTATCCCAGACAAAAATGTGAGTCCAAAAGCTCAACGCTAGCCAAACCTATGTTGCCCGTCCCATCTTCGCTGTGTACCTCGTCACCCAACATATTTCTGCAGAATCTTGCAAATTTTCCATCTAACAAACCTATCACCGTGATTATTTTTACTGTCCATCCGTGGTCTAGCCACTTCAGTGTCGTCCAGATTGCTAACTCGAACTCCTTCCTGTATCAGTTTCAAAGCAAAGGCATGAATTACGGCTTCGTGGAGTACGACGATCCTGGTGCTGCTGAACGAGCCATGCAGACCCTCAACGGCCGTCGTATTCACCAATCTGTGAGTATTGAAAAGAGCATCTCAGTGGCCTGCAATAGAAAGCTAATCGCAGCTTAGGAAATCCGGGTGAACTGGGCCTACCAATCCACTAATAACCACAAAGAAGATACATCGAACCATTTCCACATTTTCGTCGGTGATCTGAGCAACGAAGTAAACGATGAGGTTCTTCTCCAGGCTTTCTCTGCCTTTGGATCTGTATCTGAAGCCCGTGTTATGTGGGACATGAAGACAGGCCGCTCCAGAGGATACGGTTTCGTCGCATTCCGCGATTTTGACGATGCCGAGAAGGCTCTCAAATCGATGGATCGTGAATGGTTGGGCTCACGCGCAATTCGCTGCAATTGGGCCAATCAAAAGGGACAGCCATCAATCTCGCAGCAACAGGCTATGGCGGCCATGGGCATGACCCCCAGCACTCCGTTTGGTCACCACCACTTCCCAACTCACGGTGTCCAGAGCTACGACATGGTTGTCGCTCAGACTCCTCAATGGCAGACAACTTGCTACGTCGGCAACCTTACCCCATACACTGCCCAAAACGACCTGGTTCCCTTATTCCAGAATTTCGGCTACGTTGTCGAAACCCGTTTGCAGGCAGACCGTGGTTTTGCATTTTTGAAGATGGACACTCATGAAAATGCAGCCATGGCAATCTGCCAGCTCAACGGTTATCAAGTGAATGGTCGTCCGCTTAAGTGCAGTGTAAGTTTCCCTTTCTGAAAGTCAATTCTTCTGAACCCCGGAGATGTCATATCTAACAGTAATCTATAGTGGGGCAAGGATCGTCCACCCACGGGACAGTTCGATGGCTACCAAGGCCAACAAGGTGGCCCAGGCTTTAATGCATCTCCTTACTTCCCACAATATGGGGTCCCAGGTGCCCCGATGAGTCCTCAAGGTGAGCTATCGCAAAGTCTACGTTTTATTGGTTTGTGTATTCTAATGGGTTTTATGTATAAAAAGGTCCTGCTCCTGCTGGCCGCGGTTGGGACCAACAAGGTAATAACTTCACTGGCGGCGCCGTTCCCGGACAAGGCTATCAGCCTCCTGCCAATGTGAGCGGCTATGGTCGTGGACAAACCAATGCTGGTAACAACAACTTCAATCAGAGTGGCTACCAGTCCTAAGCTTTCTTTTAAAGCCCTTTTCTTTCTAACTTCGGGAAACATCCAAATTTGGTGGATTTCACGTCGCAGTTCTTAATCTGCAGTTTCGACAGGCATATCGAGACAGTCTTAGAAAATGCCCCTTGTTTCTTGGTAAATTGATGACTCTGGTTTCTTTTGAAAATGTCTGCCATTTTTGCCCCTGTTCACAGAATGTTTTGTTTTTCTTTTGCAGGTGGGCTGCGAGCCTTGTTCTACATTTGAAGTGAAGATTTTTGCTGTCTTTTCATTCAAACAATACCCCAAATACCTCTTGAATCTTGGAATGTTTCGATCTCAGCTCTCTTAGTCCTGTAGCGTACGCGCACTGTCTTTTTATTTTCTCTTTTCTCATGGCTTCTCCATGAGTTAGGCTTTAGGAAGAACTTAGTGGAGTCTTTTTTTTTTGAGGGAGACCAAAAGTTTATGCTCGTCAAATCTGTTATGTGTGGTTTTTCTTCCGGCCTTTCTAATTTTGTTTGTTTTTTTTTAAAAAAATACTAACACTTGCCTCTCTTTCTATTTCTATTTCTACCATTTCTTCTATTTCAAAGCCAACTCGGACTGTTATTTCATCTTTCTTACCACTGCCCCTTTATTCTTCTATTCCATTTATCAAACAGACCCCTGCTCCCATGATGAACTGAGCACGTACATCCTTTTCAATTGATTCGCAAGAGAATAAGAACGTGCTATACCCATACCCATACCTATCTATTATGCATTGAAAGCCTTCTGATAACTATTTATTACCCACCTATTTCCACTCTTTTTGATACAACAAGGACAAAAAGCAACAAACAATACACTCTTTCTTTTGGGTAGATTATGTGTGTTCTAGAATTTTCTTTCCTCCTGAAAAAGAATACCTTTTCGATTCAAAACACAAACAGGCTAGATGTAATTTGCAGTCTGGCCACAGTACGTGAAATCTTCACCTCCCTTCAAGACAGAAGTAATCGGTGAACATGTCGTCAGTCACATCGGTTTGGCACGTAGAGGACGTGTGACACAGTTTTAATATCTGATAAATGTAAATCCCCGCCTCCATAATAGACTCGTAGCAGTAAATAGATGGCGTCTGAAACCCATCCCTGAACAGCGCTCTCGGTTATTTCCGTGTCCTGAAGTAATTGTAGCTCGTACACAAATGATAGGCCCGAAGGGATTTCCATTCAAAAGAATTTGAACTTCAAGCCAAAAGCTCTTTTTCGGGATATTCTCGTGGAAGCTAACTTCAAGCTAAACGTCGTCATCCCAGTGTTTGTAATTAAGGGTAAGACCATGTTTATAACAATCATCTCTTGCGAATAATTCAAGATAATCACTGCCAGTATCATCAAGGATGGGGCCAATAGTAATAAAAGTTTCATTACCAATCAAGCGAGCCATGATACTGAACTGTAAAAATAAGATGGACTATTATTATATAAGGTCGGGGGACGGTCGACTGACAGTGTGGATCCAGGTATCATCATTTATAGCAGGTAGAATACCCTGGCACTTTCTTTGGCGATTTTTTTTGGTTGGCTACGATTGGTTAGATCTTTTATCCGGATAAGAAGAGAGTCATTTATAAGGGACATACTTGTTCATGCCAGTACCGGCCAGGGCCATACTTCTTTCGCCATTCAGGAAGTTTTTCAATAACATCGTTGATATTATGTTTGCTGCTTGGGTTAGGCCCTATAACCAAATTACCTGCAAACCGCACGGTAACTTGTCCTGGAACCACTTTAAGCTTGCCAACACGATAAGCATTCAGAATAGCTTAGGATAATGGGCATGGGAATTGGGAGCGACCTCATCAAAGTCCCATGGGCATTGTCAAAGTCTAAGCTACAGTGCATCCTACTGCGGCTGCTGCTTGCCGGCAAGGTAACGATCCAGGACTGCTTGATAGGGCGCATGCTAATCCAGAGCTAGAAAATGCCGCTATGGTGCCACCGAGCGGGATTCGTACATCGCTGAGACCGTGGGAGTCGCGGTGCTGCACTTGATGCAGCTAGCTAAGTCGGCTCCTGGAGGCCCAGCTCTTGCAAGCCTTGATCAACTTTCTTAAGCAGAGTCCTTTCCCAAGAATGCAGATGAGCAAAGCCATGTTATTCCAACGCAGTCAGCACTACGGTCCGGACAGAAAATCTCGAGATCCGTGGCCACGAAAGCCATGCCGGTCCAATGTGCTCATTGCCTTATTCTTTTCTTCAGCCTGGTAAACGTCTTGGAAGCCCTCTTGATCGGCTTGAACAGCCCTTGGATCAATCAAGTCATAGGTTCGTAGGCTTGATAGATAGAGGTTTCAGTATACGTCAAGCTTACGATGGGGGGTCCTCTGCATGTCAATGGTCACCAAGCGATATATCGTGAATCGATCAAGACAATCAACAAACCAGTTATTCCCGAGAGACTTTACGACGCCGCTGCTATTCTCCAGACCGTGAAGGAGGACATCGGTGGATACAATAAAGACAGTTCGATAGTAGCGCTTCCGCCTACAGGACTATTGCCTTCGCGACGGTTCCCATGGGACTCGACGAAGCACATATACGCTCTCTCTGGTTATCATAGCTTGCATAGTGTGGTAAGCGATTTGGAAGCTGCTATTCAATATCACTGGCAGCTAATGCTCTATAGCAAAATATCTATCAGACTCTACTCAAGCTTTCCGGCGATGAACCGCTTAGTGGTCATGCACTTCACTCCCTCGTAGTCCTCTGGGAGGACAGTCTTTGCACAGCCGACATGACGCCTCGATCCGTCGCCGACAACCTGTTGTTTAATAACACTGCTGTAGCAGAAGCCGGACAGATGCGGGTCAGTAGCGCTTTGCAGTTCTATTCATACGAGGGAGATATGTGCTAACTTGTCAGCAGTAAGTTCGCAGAAGTCTTGTCCCTGACTACATTGCCCACAGGACTCGCCTTACCAAGAAAAGGTAAATGCGTATATTGCGTATACCAAAGGCAACAAGTAAAGGGCAAGAAGATATAGTATTAGGCTATCGTATTTAAATGCTTGATATAGAATAGTAACAGCGCAAGGAGCAAAGGGTGTAGTAATTGCGATATATGTTATGCTTTTAAACAAATCTATCAACGATTGGCAAACCAAGCAACAAATAGCAGACTGAGCCTCTCTCCTACTGTCTCTATGTACGGAAATTGTCCAGGCACCCTCAAAAGTTATAGCAAGGGACGCATTCGCGACGAATGTGAGGAGGATACGGAATGCAACTATTGCAATGCTAATAGCAAATGTTAGATCGCGTTCAGGAGCATTTTTCCGAACACGTCGACTTGGTAACCCCAGATGTCAAGATGTCCGCGATTCTGAATAATATGAATAGGAATATTGATTGATATTTGCTTACTCGTCGGAGGAGTACTAGCATGCTACACAGGACAGACAGTATGTTTTGCCTACATACTGAATACTACACACATCAAGAAACACAAAGCTTAATAAGTATCAAGCCTCTATACAATGCATTTCAGTCTCCTTTCACATCCGCCCTCTCTGCGCCGGCTAATGACAGTTATTGAACATTGCTTAGTATCGTCATGGAATCATGCTAGAGCGGTCAACGACTAGACGATTCTCAATGCACTTGGCGTTTATTGCTCACAAACTTTTCCCTAGATGCACCCTGCAAGCTGCGTGCGACATTTTCATGCGAGGCGCTACTGAGAGTCTTATCCATTTGGGAAGAACAGACTGGGCGGATTTGACAGCTCGATTTGACATTGAAACACAGATAGTCTTTCCCAACGTCTATGACATTCTTTGATTGTGCAAGTCTTGTAACTTTTGCAAAGCTTCAATCACTTCTGCCGTCGACGCCGTGCCGCCGAACCTTCGTAGGGCGTGTAAAGCGGCTAAATGGTCTGGCCTATTGCATGTCCCAGTTGCATCACTTACGGTAGTAACGGCGAAGTCCAATTGATAGGCATCTCTTGCCGTCGACTCGACACATACATCCGTCCCCACTCCTGTGATAATCAAATGGTTGACTCCGCGCTCCTTTAAGGTATCTTCCAGCGACGTACGAAAGAAACCAGAATTTCTCGTTTTGTTGACGACTGTTTCGCCGGGCTGGGGCGTGAGCTCATCTAGGATATCGGCGTCCCAAGACCCTCGTATAAGACCTTGCAATTGTTCAACCCGATCCCGAGCGTCGCGGCCGCGTCTGTCAGAGTAGTCGGCGTTGTATCCTGTCCTCAAGAAGAAGACCGGGATATTAGCGGCGCGGAACGCGGAGCGCAGCTCGTTGATACGCGGAACAATCGCTGTTGGTTCGCTTTGCGCGCCTATTTTTGCGAAGCTACCTTGTTCGTGGCAGAAGCCGTTTTGCATGTCGACCACTACAAGCGCTGGAGCGGAATCGAGTTGGACCATCTTAGTGAGGGCTGCTTTCTGTCTATTGTAATTTTCGGTGTTGAAGGCTCTTATGAGAGGAAGTTGAGACTCGTGGCACCTTATCTGTCTCTTCTGAACGGTAAGATACTTTAAGGCTGGGGCCTTCAGGCCTTATGTACCTAGGATCAACCTCTCACCTGACCAACTTCCGTAAGGTACATGACGTGGCAGCCGAACCGTGACCTATTGATTGATTGTTTGTTTGTTTGTTTGATTGGTTATTTTCATTCAATGATACCCCGCTATCGCTCCCATGTAGGTCTACGCAGGTTGTTCTTATCTAACGACATATTGAAGGCACGGGCACATGACTCTGTACTTGCATGGGCTATAGCCAATTGGCTCCACATCATCGGCGCTCACACAATCAGCATCACCTCAATATGGTGTGGGCGACAGTGGAGCGGAGGGCGAGCACAGACCAGCAGTAAAAAGTTTTGAAAATGGTCAGTGCAGTACACTAACACAATTACCCGTGCCATCCAGCGCTGTTACGAAACCAACTTGCATGACACTAGCCCCAGACTAGTACTATACAGGCAAGGCGCCATATTACAGCTATCTTTCTGCGTGTTGATGTATAGTAATGACTAGTTATGGTTTTAGTTGTTATAATATAGCGTCTTGTCTATATAATACTAGCTTAGGCTAGCGTCATGCGAGTTGATTTCGTAACATTGTGGACTACATGCTGTATTCGGAATAGCGGTCATAATCCGCTGTCACGATGTTATGGAATCAACTTATCAAGGTGTCCTTAGCCATTGCCTCAAGTAAGCATCGGGATAATCAAGAGCGCGAGTCGCGAGCGCGTCAGTCTAGCGTAGATCAGGTTGATAAATTTTTGTTGACAAACTCAGGATTTCCAGATGACTAGTTAAGTATGGCTTCATTTGTAACTATGCTTGCTACATGTAGTATAACTAAGCCTTACAAGAGCCCATGTCATGACACCTCCACGCGTAGCTCCGGGCCTGCACGGTTGCGACGACTTCAATCCCGGCCAACTGGTCATACACGCACGACTGGAAACAGCCCTTCCGTAAGCTGCTCAGAAAATCCGGGGCCATCTGATGGATCTCTCCAAGACAATCACATCGAGTCTAGCCCGGCGAGTCTGCTCGAGTTCGTGACCAACAACAACACCACAAAACTGGACCATAACACCTACACAGCTGGTACTGTTCTCAGCTTCCCGATGTTGATGGGCTCTCAAGCCGCAGACGTCAAACACGATACACTTTTCATCCAGTTCGATGGGCCCTTAGCTGAGACTCACCTAACCTTAGACGTCCGGATTGCGTCAGTCATGCTACTAATTCCGAGTCAATGTGGTAATGATGACTCTGAACCGGTATACACCTCTGTGTAAGTATAAATATTGATACAACGCAATCATATCCAGTATTTTTGAAGCCGGAGTAAGGAGAACATGGCGTATTCAACAGTCGATGAACTCCTTCTTTCCCTGGGGCTGACGGCCAGCACCTGCCTGCAGTATGAATACCACAACGCCGAGAACTTCCTGTCTGTGCTGGACAAGGAGTACGAGCGCTTCGAAGCAGACAACACCAGAAGTCAGTACATCGTCTTTCATCGTGTTACCAGCAGACTCTTTGACCAAGACTTGCTCTTTCCCGAAAACCGTCTCCTTACTTTTGAGTCCTATTTTCCAACCCTCGAAATTCTCCTTGTCAAAATGGAAAACGAGCGTCACGGCGTGGCGTCCAGGAAGTTTGGACACATGTTAGTGGTGCAGCTATCGCACATGAATAATGATCGACTCGACAACGGGTTAATGCCTGTCGGCACCGCGCATTTTCAGACAACTGATCGCATAAAACGAGCACATGACTCTTTCCGGCCAAGGCGATTTGGGTCCTCTAGAACGCGACATTGGCCCTCGCTGGTTCTCGAGGTTGGATTTAGTGAACCGTATCGAAAGCTGAAGGAAGATGCCAAATGGTGGCTTACCTCGTCAAACGATGAAGTCAAAAGTGTGGTTGTCATTTCACTCAATCAACGGTATAGAGAAATTGTCGTTGAGAAATGGATCAACAGAGGACAGCCAACTGTGGAATACCGTACAGTCATATCACAGGAGGCTGGAAGGAAGAAAATCAATATCAGCAACAATCAGCCGCTTATTATTCGTTTTGACGATCTTTTCCTTCGGCCAGCAAATCATAATGAACATAACATTACCTTCAGCACTGATAATTGGAAGGAATTCGCGGATGTTGTGTGGGAGAGCCAATTTGAGCAAGACTATAAGCAGTTGGCCTAGTAAGTTTCTCTCAAGGCAACCAATTCTAGATCGTGAGACTGAAACTGATAACGCAGTTAGGTCTTATGGCAGTCACGTGTTTTCTTCCATTGCTATCCCTCCTACATTTATCTACAAGCGCTTAACACTTGAATGTCTTTTATAATGGATTTAGTATACTTTAGTACAGCGCTGTAATTAAATATAATAGTTATCTGAAAACAACAAAGCGATGAAAAGAGATAAAGAAGGAATATATACACATCAGCAAGACAGCATCTTCAGGAGCAAGACTATCCAGGATCTTAAATAATCACTGTTCTCTTTACACAGCATAGCTACACATAGAGCCCTGAATATTATAATTATTTAAGCCTATACACTCTCATCTCTAGACAGTAATTATCCTAGCTAGTGTGGAACATTCTATAGTAACCGCATGTCGAATGCAAGGATCCCCAGCCTGCTTTATCTCCCAGCTTGTGATGCCAGTCCCTGAAAGATTGTTAATATATATTTAGAAGTAAATGACACAGCCATCACCACTTACCCCCATGGCCAAGAACTAAAGGCTTCTTGAGCTGGTGGATGTCACTCCTGCAGAGACTGCTGTGTGTGACATTTACGAGCGCTTCGTCAGGCTTGATGTCATGGAGAGTTGTTGTCGTTTGGATTATGTTGAGATTACAGCAGTACCCGTGCCCACAGCACGGAGCGGTGCGAAGTGGCACAGGTATATTAAATGCCTATAATATTCATTATCACGGTTCACGGGCAAAAATTCGGGCGAAATCGTCCGTCCGCTGACAAACAAACCCTAATTGGCCCTTTACTAACCGTATCCGGTTAGCGTTATCAAAATTTAAGGACCATCTTTGACTGGGACGGCCAATTGATTTGCTTTGGGCCATTCTGCACCTTTCCTGTTTTCTCGATCCAGACTCGTATTTTTCTGCAAGGAAAGAAACCCTATACGAAATATGCGGCTGAGTTAGGACTAGGACGCAACCAAACCAGCCCTGGAGGCTGAATTTTCATCATCGCCATGGATGCAGCACCGCGTGCATACTATTCTCCGTATTGATTACGTTGCTTGGATTTATAATCTTATACACCTTTAATTTATGTCGCGCTCTAATTTCGACCGATTAGTCTCTTGAGATTTTGATGATTTTTTTCCCAATGTGGATACTGGTCGAGGTATATATATGTAGAGATGGAAAGCCCCCCCGAGGGAAATGTTTTGTTCATGGGACATCGCAATCTCAATTTCAATACGCCAGTACGAAAGACCAAGAGAATTGCGATCCTTAGGCTACAGAAACATGACATCGTCTAGAGAAGCCACTCGGGCTTCGTCCCTATCGAGTCAAACGTTTCACGACAACGACCCCATGTCTCTCCCCATAAAGGACGAGGCGGGCACAGCTGTCAATGAACAACACAACCCCAGCGATACAAAATTGTCAATTGACACAGAAAAAGAAAGCCAGAAAGACGCTCCCGTTGAATCCGAAGAAAATCAATATCCCACGGCAATGAACCTTGTTTTTGTCGTGGTCGCACTCATCCTGTCTATGTTCCTTATGGCTCTTGACATGACAATTATAGCAACAGCAATTCCCAAAATAACGGATGAATTTAAATCTCTTGATCAAGTGGCTTGGTACGGCTCGGCTTTCTTTCTGACATTGGCCTCCTTCCAGTCCACCGCGGGCAAAGCATACAAGTACTTTCCACTAAAGTGGACATTCTTGTTGTCAATCTTCATCTTTGAAGTCGGGTCTTTGATATGTGGTGTTGCTCCGAACAGCACTGCTCTCATTGTTGGCCGTGCCATTGCCGGGTTGGGTGCTGCTGGTATTTCTAGTGGTGTTTATATCATCATTGCTTTTTCCGCTCCACCACAACAGCGTCCGGCGTTGACAGGTGTATTGGGAGCTACATATTCTGTTGCCAGTGTCGTTGGTCCTTTGCTAGGTGGTGTTTTTACTAGCGATGTTTCCTGGAGGTGGTGGTAAGTATATGCTGTCTCATGATACTAAGTAGTTGAGAGAATCTCATAACTAACCCGAAATAGTTTCTACATCAACCTTCCTATTGGAGCCGTCAGCGCTGCTATCATTGCTTTTTTCTTCAAGGTCCCTCCAGCAGCTAAACCTGCCACCGCCTCAGCGAAAGAGAAGTTCTTACAGATGGATCCCGCCGGAACTGTTACAATCCTAGGGGCTGTTATCTGCTACCTCCTAGCGCTCCAGTGGGCCGGTGTTAGCAAGGCCTGGGATGATTCTGAAATCATCGGGTTGCTGGTCGGATTTGGTCTTTTGGTTATACTTTTCATCGGTATCGAATGGTATTCTGGGGAGCGTGCCTTGATTCCATTCCGACTTATGAAAGACCGCAACGTAGCCGTATGTTGCGCATACGTCTTGTTTGTTGTCGGACCCATGTTCGTCATGATATATTATCTACCGATCTATTTCCAGTCCATCAAAAACGTATCAGCTTCTCAGTCGGGTGTGCGCAATGTGCCCTTTATTCTGGCAACCAGTCTGACCACAGTTCTCTCCGGAGTTCTGATTACCATGTACGGCCACTTTGTCTATCTTATGATTTTGGCTGCTGTCATTGAGACCATCGGAACGGGTCTCATCTATACTTTCGCCATTGACACCGGCGCTGGCAAATGGATTGGCTATCAAATTCTTTGTGGCATAGGCGCCGGTCTCGGTATCCAAATCGCTATCATTGTCAACCAGAGCTCGGTGGATCCATCCGACATCTCTACCGTGTCAGCTGCCACGCTATTCTTTCAAACTATCGGCGGTGCATTCTGGGTTTCTGCCGGGGAGTCTGCCTTTACCAACCGACTCGTGCAGAAATTGCCCGAATATGCGCCCGGCGTCAACCCTGCACTTGTTGTTTCAACCGGTGCGACGGAATTGCGGAGCGTATTCACAGCAGAGCAGCTTCCCGGTATTCTTGAGGCGTACATGTCCGGCCTAAAAGTGGCTTTCATAGTACCGATTGCGCTTGGAGGCGTGGCGGCGATTATCTCCCTGTTCCCGAAATGGGTCAGCCTGAAGGGCAAGATTGACCCGGGAATGGGGGCTGCATGATGCTATATTTACTACGTGGTTTTAGAAAGAATAATGGACGGAGGGCCTCCACTGCGTGAAGAGTGATGTATACTGGCGTGGCCTCGTTTTGTTTGTTGATAGATTTTCGGCGTTAGACACAGCTATTGAACTCTCTGACTAATTCATGCATTATACCTCTTCCGCCTCGCAAATAAAAGCATGCTCAAGTAGGAACATTCTGGACTGAGAATCTGAATGTATGTACAAGAAGCACATAGTAATACACTATGGCGGATGGCGTAGAATTAGTTAGTGCTTAGTGCAACACTTGAAAACTCTGACTAGCCCGAATAGGAAGCACCCGCTGGCCGCCTTCGTCCGTTTTTCGTCCGGCTTCTTTCCATCCGCCACTCTCATATTCTCTGCCTTTTTGCCCTTCCAAACCAGGTCTCTCCTCGGTGTCTCTCTGGCTTATATGTATAGATTTTCAACGCTCTCATCCCTGGAGGATTCCTCAATTCTTTTCGTCCGTGCCAAGTCTGCCTCAAACCCTGACCACTCAGAGTCACGGAGCTATTGCTACACCCTTAGAGAGAGGCTGGACTTGATCACCCAAGCTCAAAAAGCACGGGCTTCAGATCGAAGACCTGATTTAGGCCTTAGTCGCGCCAGATATTATTCGATTTTCATTGCATGACCGTGAGCAATATTGCTGCCTGGGCCTGTGACTCGCCAGCTGCTCTAAGCTCTAGCCTCGTCTAGAGTGGCATGTAAATCTGTCTATCTTCTTTTTTTCTTTGGTCTCGTGTACCTTGATCCGGCTACTAAAGAAGAGGCCAGGCAGCTCTATTTATTGATTTTCGTCGCTGCGAACTGCACTTTTCTTTTATCGAGCTACTACCCAGCTCCGGCTTCTCACGGAAGCCGCAACACGAGCTAATATTTGATCCTGGCTATTGGTGGTGGTGGTCGTTGTTGTTAATTTAACACATTTCGGATCAAAATGTCTTCCGTCCATTCGCTGGATATTAGAGGCCCTCCCCGGAAAAAGATGAGAAAAGGCACCAAGAGTTGTACCGAATGTAAGCATCCAACGCGATTATCCCTTTGTTTATGAAATGTATTTCAATCATCAAACCCTTTTGCTAGTATACATGACCTTGTATTCCGCATATTTATACGCGCCTCGGCCTTCTTTAAATCTAGGCTGACCTTACAGGCCGCCGACGAAAAATACGCTGTACGTACGACACAGATCGTCCTGATATATGCAATGAATGTCATGCTCGGGGCTTTACTTGCATCGACCAGGAGTATGGAACCTTGGATCCCAAGGTCAAGGGGGTTCTTTCGGGAGAACAGCCGTATAGTCTGCGCGAGCGTGTTACCCAGCTGGAAAGTGTAGTCAGGGACATATTGCAGCGTATGGAACAGACTAGCCCCTCGGTTTCTGCATCGCCTGTTCAGCCGCATCACCACGAAGACCATCCTACCAAGCCATCTGATGTGCCTATGCCGCCTTGCACCAAAATTCCAAGCTCCGAGGAAAATACCAGCACCAGCAAGTCACTCGATGCCCCAATTACAGAAAACGATCACATCGAAAGTGCCCCCGTGTTGCAATTATTCAACAATAACGTTGTTTCTCGTACCGAAGGGGCCACCTCACGTAGCCAAGATGCTGCCGCTATCAAGGATATTTCACCCAAAGCAATAGCCGCCCGGAACGAACTTGCCAAATTAATCCCACCGCGTGGCGATCTGATTCGAATTCGAAATCTTGTATCTCATTGGTGGTCTGCATGGATTTATTTTTTCCCCGAGCTTCGCAACAGTTGCACATCAAGTCTTGTAGGCAACAACAATATCTTTGAAATACCAGATTCTCCGGGAGAGGTGGCCAAGTTTTTGATTTGTCACCTGATGAGTATTGAGCAGCTTCCGGTTGATTTTGATTTCGCTTCTTTGGAAGTACCTTTCGATGTGCAGGAATACACAGACCGCTGCATTACTGCAATTGACCATTTCATTATAAATGACGAAGACCTATCTAGCACGCTGCCCGGTCTTGAGGCTATGGCCCTTTTGTCAAAATGGTATAGCAATCTTGGCCGGCCGCGTAAAGCATGGCTCATGAATAGACGAGCGATTGAGTTGGGACAATTGGCTGGCTTGCACATTTCTACGGCGAGAGAGCCGCACCCAAACGACAAACTATATTATCGACGGCTCAAGCTTTGGACGATACTTGGATTGAATGATCGGTTTCTTTGCCTCATTCTGGGACTACCGTCTGGAATTGCAGACAAGTATTTCCGTCCGCAAGTGGAACGGCGATTGAAAATGGAGACCAGCCACTTGGACACTTACTGTCTCCGCCTTTGTCTTATTTTAGGTCCAATGATTGATCGAAACCAGGACGATCCGGCCGATATGTCAATCGACGAAACACTGAGATTAGAACAGGAGTTGGAGACACAAGCAGGAGCTATGCCCGAGCGTTTTTGGAATTCTCAAATTCCCGATTCAAAGCTCTCTATGTACGAAGTAACGGAACGCCTAGTGTTGCCATTCATATACCACTTCACGCGGGCCACGTTACATTTGCCCTTCATGCTGAAGTCACATAGCGACCCTCGATACCGATATAGCCAAGAGACCGCATTGAAATCGGCTCGAAACGCGCTGCTGTCTTATAATAAATTGCGCTCTTGGGACCTGATGAACCCATTCATATGCCGAATGATCGACTTCCAAGTCTTTTCGATGGCAATGCTAATAATCATCAATATCTTGGGGTACTCCCAAGAGTCGCCGAACTATAGCCCGGAACAAGATGAACGGGACTGGGCTCTGGTCGATCAAACTACCGAGGTACTGCGACATGCCGCCTCTGAGCCTGCAGGCACCGTCGCCGCTCAATCGTTAATAATCATCGAGGGACTTAGCACCAATGTGGGTAATATAGACCCAACAATGTCGTGCAAAGTATCAGTCCCCTACTTTGGGGTTATCACAGTTTCACCAGGCAAAAAAAGATTCAAAGGACGAAGTGATCGACCCACGCCTAATAGTGTGCCTGGCGGCCCTACTCTCAACCCGGTATCTAATAATAATCCCAATCCAAGTTCTGCTCAGCCAAGCCCATTCCAAATTTACACACCACCTCTGTCCAATACCAGCGAATCTAATGGCACAATATCATCTTCATCTTCGTCGTACACAAATTATACACCTCCACTCCTCGACGATTCCCGTGTTCACCTAGAGAATATTTTCTCTTTGCCCAACGCTGGCATGATGGATCAGAACATATTCACTGGGTTTGGTGCCGATAGCCAAAATTTAGGTCTGTGGTCTAACATGAATCTTGACTTGGATCTGGATCAGGGGTGGAATTTGGATTGGACGAATGGCGCAATGATGTAGAAATATGGATTTTGTATATATATTTGAATGTTGTCGATCCTTCGGCTTGTGCTGCATGTACAATACTCAAGGGCGTTGGGCGGGTGGCTTGGGATCCCGATCTTATGAGGCTGTTTCTGATATCCATGGCGGTCGATATTTTTCGTCGAGTTTTTTTAAAGATACGTACTTACCTCCTCTCCAATAATATATATCCACTCCCGGGATGCTTTCACGTCTAACAGAGACAGCTGGTCATTACCTTTAGTTGCAATTTATGAATCTTTAGATTCATCCAAGGGAGGAATTCATACTAGGACAGCTACCTAGGTAAGTCTGTATGCATGGCTTACGTCAAGAGATAGTAACCATTTGCTGCTCCGAGTGAAGAATGATTCTTTGAAGGAGTTATGCCTCATACTGACAAAGGGCGATATGAGGTTTAATATCTTCTTTCCATTCAGGCTGTTCTCACAGGACTCTAGCTCCTCCGCCGCAGCAAAGGAGCTCTATCACAAAGTATTTTGGAGATGAGGCATGCTACAGGTCTCAAGGAAAACATCAATTCAAAGCTCTTTCTGGCAAACTTCGCAGTCTTAGTCTTGTGAGATTGCAAATTAAATTAAATTTAGTTGCCTCTTGTTAATTGCTTCTCTGCTAATTACATCTACCAGGAAAATTCTATATCTATTCGCGTGGAAGAGAAGACCAGCAAACAAGCCGCTGAACTCTCGCCATCTAGGGAAATCTCTTCAAAAAGAGATGGCCTGGTGTGTTCATCCATGAAATTGCAATGGGACGGCCTCAATGATACTATCCTTCAAATTGTCGGTGTAGGTGTACACATAGTTGATCTTCAACCCGACGCTTTCCAGGAGATTCTTCCACTGCTCTTCAGTGCGTTCACGCGCTGCTAGCACAGCCATCATCAGCATGTCTAGCTGAGCCATCTGCCATGAACTCCCGAGTTGGGCAAAACCATTTCATCAATGAGAATGAATGAATCAGGCTCCATTGCATCCATCAAATGCTTGAGAACCAACCGGCATTTGTCATCTGACCTGTCGTACATGATGTTGCGCATATAGTAGAACTTAGAACCTCTCTCAAAAGATCAGAGAAATGACCACAAAGATGGACGATGTAACAAAATGAGGTACCTTAGATTGTTTGAGGTTGGAAAAAGACTTGTGCTAAGGCTTCCACCTCTTGATGCTGTGAAACCTGCTTCACTGTCTGCGGAAGGTCTTCAACAATCACTTTTCCCGGCAAAATTGGGATATCATCTCTTGAAGGAAATAGCTTGCGTCCCATATCCTCCACTGACACCAATAAACAAAGCTCGTGCTGGATCCATATCAGTCGTCGTCTTTGTCACGGGATAAACATCCAAGAAGGTAGGTCTGCCAGAGCGATTCATCATTTAATAATGCTGGAAATAGGACGATTTCGCTGGCTGTTCTTGAAACCGGAGAAAAAGAGGCAAATTGGTCTTGTAGGCTCTTTGTATACCTGTGTTAGTACTATTTTCAGGATCAGCATATTTTGTATCCTTCAGCAAGTCAGGCAACGCCTTAATACCGGGGCCCATTGCGTCAAAACTATACGTTTATGTTAGGTTAGCTAAGAAAGTCAAAACTAATGGTGAGGGGAATACGAAGTAATGACGAAGCGCTGCTTGCGCACCAGTAGTAGCAAGGGTCCTGCAGATGTTATTCGCGGTAAAGGTATCTTTGCCAAACTCTTGAATGACATCGAGATAGGCAAGATACCGCAGAATACGACCTGACACAGCAGTCAGCTTACTACGAATACATCAAGCATCTTGTCCTGTTTTACGTACCTATGAGGACAGGATTTACTTCCGTCTTTTCACTGATCTGGTCGACAGTGAGCGGATTTGGACTGTCGGTCAGGATATTAAAAAGCTTCAAATCGGCCCAATACGGAAGTCTGCAAGTTGCAAGTTGAAGAAAGAAAATCTCTGGATAGTGCCGTCAGGACTCTCGATTGAATGGCTCAAAGATTGCAACTGGTCCAAGATTTCCCTGCGCGTCTTTGCATCACAGGACTTGGCCAATGTTCTGACATGATCGACGAGAGTTTCCGTATCGACGCAGAAATCCTGGATAGAATCAAACAGTGGGCGCTTTTAATAACAGCTGATAACAAGTCATAAACAAGGTGCAATGAAATAGGGTGCAATGGATACCAAGGAATTCCTCGGAATTTGTATTCGCAAACGGAGTACAAGTAGACAAAAAGTGAATTAGGGTTACACATCTCAGAACCAGGTTCTTTGTTCCCTATATGAGTCAGTCTACGTATTCCTATGTTATCAGCGAGGAAGAGAATTATTTGAATTTTATCATTCCATCTGCGTCTCAGCCAGATGTTCCAGTGCCTGTATCACTCCGTGTCAGCTACTTTCTCCTCCTCAATGTGCTCTTCTCATCCATGACTACCTGCATGCGTATGCTCAGGTGACTGATTTCTCGTACATTCATTTATATACCGTGTATACTCTTGAGTGATATGTTTCTTTTCGGCTTTTAGATTAAGATTCACCTTTGTCCAACGCCCTAGACTTCTCTTTTTTTATCACATCATCTTTCTTTGCCCTTAAGGTTACCTGCCCGTCTTGTGAGTGTTTTCTATTACATTATTATGCCTTCTCTTATGCCCTCTCGCCTATTTTGTTTGCTAAATTTACAAATTCTGGCTAGTTCGCAGGTTTCAATAATTTTATTGATCTCTAGTCAAATATAAGAAGGTATATTGACAGCAGAATATAAGGCATTATTTACACATAAAATGAGCATTACCATAAGCCCCATTAAGGGGTCCCTTTTGGTGGCTCACTGTTTAATATTCCGTTGCTATATATGTACGGAACAAAGGTTATATATTAGTACTTGAGGTAGTTACTCTTCTAAATTTCGGTGTTATTTTAGGCTAAGGCTGCTTATTCACTGCGACAAGTGCGTTATCCAGATATTATCCACCAGTACCACATGCGGCTTCAATTGACAAATTGATAGACCTCGGAGGTTGCATGTTCCTTTACATGGGTGTAATTCTGGCAAGGAAACAAATCAATGCATAGAGTAAGATGGACATGTCTATGAAAGCCAGCCCCAATACCAAAATTGCACATGCAGTTACTACCTACGTAGGTAGGTAAATTACCTCGCTTCGTAAGGACCGCCCAAAATATACAAATTGCAATGAATTCTCCACAAAACCTCAGGCCGTTATCAAGTGGCAAGCCCGACTGGCAGTGGCTGAATTGTGAGTTACTGGCCAATACACTGTTATTAGGTAGCTCTATATAACTATGTATGTTGCTTTTAGGGCTTCAAGTGCGCTGATAAGAACCTCGTAAGGCGCTACGTACTGATTGGCTGGATTAACCACATCCATGCCTTTCCCGGACGGGCATAGCGGAATTGCTTCAAAAAGTAATACTAAGCATGCAGTCACTGTTTAGTTCGTTGGCTGTACACTTAACTACTCATCTATACTACAATTACATACAACAACAGGCATTGCTCTGTCTTTGGACTTGCAAGTCAGGGATATATCAGTTACAAACGCGTCCTCCCTCACATCGACACTTTCCTATAACACAAAAACATGTTCCTGATTGCCGGTCTCTCAGTATCCACCTGGCTGATATATCTCCTGGTGAGATCATTCTGTGGATGGCAAGCCAAGCTCCCAGGTCCATGGTATACCACTGTGACCAGTCTTGTGTTGAAATATCATGAATTCACGAAGAACCGCCGACTATGGATTCATGCATTGCATCAGAAATATGGACCGGTTGTTCGAATTGCCCCGAATGAAGTTTCATTTTCCAATACGGAGGGCATGAAGGAGATATACCAAAGCGGAGGCAGTGGTTATGATAAAACCGAGTTTTATGATTTGTTTACGCAGTATGGTCATCGCACGTTGTTCACCACGCCGAACAAGGTTGATGTCAGTCACGGGAAAGAGTCCATCGAATACCACATATTGTTCAGGCACCGCTGACCTGGAATAGCATGCTGTGAGGAAGAGAATTATTGCAGATAGATACTCGATGACAAATATTCTTCGTGCACCTTTGCTCGATGGCTTTGAGCAGAGCGCGTCATCCGTTATAGCGAAATGCGAAGCATCTCGCGGTAGCCATCTTGACGTCTACGTACGTAATCTGTTCTTGTCCCCGAAGTCTTCCAATTATCGTTGAGACTAAATGCAGACATCGTAGGTTACGCTTCATTGCTATGCCATTGACTGTGCATCTCATTTTCTTTTCAGCCCTGGCGGAACAGATACTCTCAATAATCCGGAAGACTTCAAGCTTGTGCAGGAGCTATCATATCATGACAGCCTAAAACGTGAGTCCCGGTGAAAATTTGCTTGAGCAAATTGTATATACTAAAGCCCGTGTTTACAGAGAGATATGTCGAACATTACTGGCCAATAATGAACAGGATTTTGCCTCTCTTCAGCCCCAAATCGGCCCCTCTGTCGAAGAGCTATGTTTTGAAACAAAGCCACCGAGATAACCCCCATGAGGCGTCTCTCATAAACAAGTTGCAAAGCAAGTCTTCAAATCTTTCCACAATTGAAATGGCTGCCGAATGTATGGACCATATGGCGGCTGGCATCGACACCACTGGCGACGGTCTCTGTTTTTTGATGTATGAACTATCCTTGCCACGCTCTCAAAACAAACAAGAGACCCTTCGCCGGGAGATCTTGCAAAACCCAAATGCAAAAATAAATGATTTGCCGTATCTCGATGCCGTGATCAAAGAAGGCCTACGTCTCTTTGCGCCCATCCCCATGAGCTTGCCTAGATATGTCCCCGAAAATGGCAGGGTTATTGGTGGCTATAAATGCCCGCCGGGCACTATCGTGAGTTGCCAGGCATATTCGCTTCATTTGTTGAACCCAGACGTTTTCCCAAATGCCGAATCATTTGTGCCAGAACGATGGCTACAGAAAGACGGGGATGCAGATCGCAACAGACTGATGTTCGCTTTTTCTGCAGGCGGGAGAGGCTGTATTGGAAAGCAGTAAGTTGTTTCTTGTCAATGGTCTTTGATATGGCACTGATGGTATCACAGCCTGGCCATGGTAGAAATGAAGACGTTGCTACGCAGAATCTACGGGCAGTATAGGACAACAGTAGCCCCGGAAATGAAAGGGGACATGTCGATTCACGACCAGATGATATCGTCCAGGCCTAAGGACCAGACATGCCTCTTGGTCTTTGATCGAGTGGAAGGATAGTTTGTCTCCGCATCCATGGACAAGGGTGGATCTGAGTGCGGGGGGCAATACACGTGTAAACTGATAGAGACTTGTTGGTATTCGCATAATGAGTGTTCATAGTCCTAGGTAATGTATGACCTTCCTGTCAGGAGACACGAGCCGTAGGGCATGCAGCGAAATACAAAACAAAAAACACAAGTCGGTATTCGTTGGGGCCGGTGGAGACCTCGGCTGCCCACAGAGATGGATGCCTGCGCCATCAGGCTCCCAACGGTTCTGCTAAGCTACGGAGTAATTACTCTAACTACGACATCCCTCCCTAACCTCACGACCTGTTGCATCATGCTCTGTGTTTTCCAACGCTTCTGATTGATTCTTTCCCCTGCATTGAATCTCGCGTGCTCTGCGTCAAGTGCTCAACTTACTTGCATGTGACCCCAACTCCCGGAACGTCACCGTCTCGCCACGATTGCTTTCTCCGCCCTTGATCTAGACTTTATACTCTGTCCCCATCCCCTACTACGATCTATCAACATTCCTTTCGCTCGCGCGCTGCAGACGACGATTCTTATCTTGCCGTAGCAAAGGATGACAGAGCAACGCCCACGCGCAGAGAGCAGGAGCCAGACTGCTCCCAGCCTGATTGGCACCAACGGCCACTTTGCGTCTGTGGGAAATGCCGCGCACGATCCCAAGGCTTACGAGCATGGCGTGCAGGTAATTGATGGGGATAAGGAGTTCAAGTGAGTGCTACTCCGCGACGCCTATCATGGATGTAGCTTCATGAGTATTCGCTAAATGCTGATGTGAACTTTCCCTCGACACAGTCCTAATTTGTCAAAATACCTCTCGCTCGAAGATGTTACGAATGCCGGTTTCAATTATCATCTGATATCCGTCTTCGGATCACAATCAACCGGCAAATCAACGCTGTTGAACCACCTCTTCGGCACCCAATTCTCGGTGATGTCTGATAGAGAGCGAAGGCAAACGACGAAAGGTATCTGGATGTCGAAAAACAAGACTAAGCATGACAGCCCCGATGAACGTATGGCCGAAAATATCTTGGTCATGGATGTCGAAGGCACAGATGGCCGTGAGCGAGGTGAAGACCAAGATTTTGAACGTAAAAGCGCCCTTTTTGCGCTAGCGACAAGCGAAGTGTTGATTGTCAACATTTGGGAACACCAAGTCGGGTTGTATCAGGGTGCCAACATGGGGCTGTTGAAGACAGTATTTGAGGTGAATTTGCAATTGTTCCTCAAGGATAAGAGGTACGGCCACCCAATCCCCTTTCAAATAACAAATAATTAGCTACGTATCTAGACTAAGAATCCTTGCTACAGCACGACCCATCGCTCTCTCCTTTTCTTCGTCATCCGTGATTTCATGGGCACTACGCCATTAATAAATCTGGAAAATACCCTCCTTGAAGATTTGTCTCGAATTTGGGCGTCGCTATCGAAACCCAAGGGTTTAGAGCGCTCAACCATTCATGACTATTTTGACTTTGCATTCTATGGTCTCCCACACAAGGGATACAAGCCCGAGGAATTTATAGCCGAGACAAAGAAGCTTGGAACGCGGTTCCGCGAAGGTCGAAAGGATCGCAAAGAGCAACTTGTCGGCTCATCTGTGGGAAACGGGATATTCTTGCCAGAGTATCACCGAAGAATCCCTGCTGACGGTTTTGCACACTATGCCGAGGGCATTTGGGGTCAGATTGTTAACAACAAAGATCTAGATTTACCTACACAGCAAGAGCTATTAGCTCAGTTCCGATGCGATGAGATTTCCAGAGAAGTCATCATAGCGTTTGATGAAGCAATCGTTCCTTTCGAAGACAAGCAAGTTGCGGGTGTCCGTGCTGGTGCACCGCTTATCATCGGTGGATTGGGCGCAGCTATGCGGAATGCGAGGATGAAGGCCACCAAGAACTTTGAAACAGAGGCTAGTCGCTATCACAAGGGTGTCTATCAACGAAAACGGGCTGAGCTGGAGGGCAAACTTGACACCAGATTAAAAGGACTTTTCCAAGGTCAGCTCAGTGCAGCTCACAAATCAGGAGTCAAAGACTTCAGCGACGCTGTATCCAACGCTGTCAAGGCCGGTCAAAAGAGGGGTGCAAGCTATGACTTTGCAGAAATTGTCAAGCAGGAAACTAAAGCTGCTCTTGAAAGATTCGAAAAGGAAGCTCGCGCGTCTGTTGTTGAAGGCACCACATGGAGTAATTATAAGCAGGAGCTAAGTTTGTACAAGAAAGATCTTGCAGAGATCAGTGGACAATTGCGACGTGACGAGATGCGGCGACTTGCTACAAGAGTGGAGCGATGGGTACGTTCTCGTCTCTCAGACTCGGTTAGCTTGGAATTCAACTCGCTTGGCTCTGGACGAGGCGGCTCTGGTGCACCGGAAACTGGAGACAAGCCCGTGGAGAAGCAGATATGGGACCGCATTTGGAATCTCTTCGTCGAGACTGTTCTGGATGCAGAGCGGCGATTCACCGACCGTGCCACAAGCTTTGATGCTAGCGTTGACGAAGTGGACGTTGGCCTTTGGCGGCTCCGGAGAAAGTCCTGGGGTGTCTTGCGTACCAAAGTTGAAGAGGAAATGATGGAAGGCAACCTGTTATTAAAGCTTCGTGAAAACTTTGAGGACAAATTCCGTTATGACGAAGCGGGCGTACCGCGTATATGGCGCCCGACAGACGACATTGAAGGACTCTATACTCGAGCTCGCGAGTCTACTCTCACATTGATTCCTCTCTTGTCAAAGTTCCATCTGGCAGAAACCAATTCTCCACCTCCACTCGATCGTTGGGTTGGCCACACTCCCAGTTCGGCCACTGCTGCCGATGAAGAAGATCTAACACCTATCGGAGGCGTGGATGAAGACGAGGGGAAATCTCTACAAGAGGAGGTCACCATCCTCAACGACGCTAAGCGTCAGGATCTGACTGTGCGCTTCAAAAAGGCTGCCGATGGGGTTTATGTCGAAGCCAAGCGTAGTGCTATCGGCGGCATCACGCAGGTTCCGCTCTACTTTTATGGGCTATTACTTGCACTTGGTTGGAACGAGATCTGGGCTGGTAAGTTCTGCCTCTTTATCTAACATGCCTTGGTGGTAAATGATAAAGCTTTTCGGAATAATGCTTATCTAAAATCTTGTTTATTCTAGTCCTCCGCAACCCGGCATACTTCTTCCTCCTTTTCGTGTGTGCAGTCGGCGCATACATCACCTACCAACTCAATCTCTGGGGACCCATCCTGAAAATGGCAGATGCAGCGTCAAGACAAGCCCTGGAGGAGTTGAAGAAACGACTACGCGAGTTTCTGGAAGCGTCCGATACTGGACGTCAGGCTATTGCCATGTCTGCAAATGCTAAGAACACGACTTCATGGCGAGGTGCAGAAGAGTATGAGATGAGCTCCTTGAACAGAGGAGGAAAGAAGGTTGACGAAGATGATGAGAACGATGACATCTAGATTCTAGTTGTTGTCTTCCCCTCCTCTTATTCCGTTTTTCTCAACGCCTGTTTTTATTATATGAGTTAATGAATGCCGCGATGTGAGTTGCAGCAATGGAAAGGTATACTTGACTGGCGTGATTGATGTAATTAAGGCTCATTAGATACGGAGGTATATATCTGGATGCTACGTAGCAACAAACCCTGTACTAATGAAATTTGTTCATCGTCATGTACTCCTGATTGTCAGTACTATATAGACTACACAGCTAGACCAAGGTATCTAATATGCACACATTTATCCAGCTAAAGAAGATATAAAAAAAAGATAGAGAGTATCATCCCAGACACAAGCCCTCGCTCAACGGCTGCACGTATTTCTCCCAATCCCCTATCTCTACCGGACTGATCCCTCGTTCCTGATCCGAACTTCGACCGGCACCAGCACCAGCACCAGCACTATCAGTATCACAATGATCATCAAGATCTCTTCTCTTCCAAACACTTTCCACAATATCCTTGACGCGTCTCAGAACGCCTCTGGCTACCAGAGCACGTCGCTCTTTCGCAAGAATGTCAAACTGATCCAAGAACCAGACGCGCTCCTCATCATTGCCTGTTGAATACACGGCGCCTACAAACAATGGCCACAGGTGGGCGGATCGAAGATGATTGGGCGAGAGTTGCCGAGTATACTTGATTATCTGTTCAATAAGGCCTCGTGCCCGTGCAGAATGTGGGTTTAGAGAGCGGAGTGTTGCTTGGAAGTACAACGTGGCAGAGGTCTGAATTAGCAAGGATGTATTGTGGAGGATTGTCGTTTCGTCGAGGTATTTCGAGTATGGTTCTGAGGTTTCTGGCGATGGGTGGGAGACAGATGGCAGCTGGAAATAGATGGATGGAAGGCGTTGGGTGACCGTATCTATATGTTTTTCCAACTCTAACGTTTCTGCGTACCATGCATCACTTTCGATTTGTGGATTTCGCTATGATGAATGAACATTAGCGAGGTTTGTGGGTAGGTAGTCTTGGTGCAGGTCTTACCATGTCTCTTGATAAATCGGTGATTCTTGAGATTACACCGACCAATTCATATGAGCACCCAATTGAAGGATCGATATGCTTTTGGTTACAAAAAGAGGATTAATACGCTTACTTCTACGTTCTTCCCGGAGCAGCTGCAGTTCTCACCTCACTCGAATCTACCGGTACCATTTCGTGCTTGATTTTCGCAACTTTGCCGCAAGCTGTGCGGCCCAAAGCATCCTTGACGAGGAAGAACCTGGAAACGAATTCGATGACCTGAGGACTGAGTTTTGTCAAAACTGACGTCGGTGACGAGCCCCTGGATGCCAAGCGCATAAGATCAAGTGCAGCACTAAGATGTATTGACCATGATACCTGGCAGTTATCCGAGATCTGACGAGAAACATTAGACGATAGTTTATTCAACAGAAGAATAAAAGAGAAACTTACCTCAAACATACAAAGCATCAAGATGACAATTACATTCGCATTACTAGCGGCTGCAATGTCATTCAGTGCAATTTGTTCCCGGATGAGTTGCATGGTACGTTGCTTGTGTCGCAGGGCTATAGGGTAGTAATGAGGTTTTCCTGTTATTGCAGTGAGTGACAAGGCACTGAGAGCAAGAACCATATGCATGACTAATTCGCTTTCATTTGCCAGGGGAAGAATCAAGTTGCGGAAGAGATTCGACGAAGAGTCAAGAAGTGGGATGGAATGGGAGAGAGATCTGTCGTCTAATAACCAACAATATCAACCAATCAGCCTGTAACAGAGACTCAAGAATGAGCAGGAGCTGCTTACAGTAATCGAAAAGAAGTCTGCTCATGCCATGCTCTCTTTCATTATTTGCAAGATGTAATGTCGGCGTCCCGGTTGGCGATTTATTTAACGGCGTCTCTGTTCTCCACGCAAGCCCTCCTTCAAAATCGAGTCCATCTACCATTGGCACTAACAACGCGCCCTCTATATCAGACATAAACGTATTCACGAAATGCTTTCCACCTTGACCTTGGGGAAAGTGTAGCCACTTCGACGGTTTTGAGACGGATAGACCAACACGGTCAGCGCGTGTCGTGCGCCCATGCTTGATGCCGCGTTTGCGCGAATCATCCTCCCATTGGAGATGGACGCCATAGATACACTGTCTGTTGTCATTGTGGCAGCGGTTACAGATGGGTTTGTTCTCTGTTCAGAGCGTCAGTTCCTTCGTCCGGTGGGAATCTGACGGCAGGAGGCTACACTGACCGGGACAGCGTAGTTTACGTTTCTTGCAGGTAAGACAGCCGGCACGGGAGTGTGTGACTCTGCGTCCGGAGCGGCTTGGCGGTTGATTTGACTCTAGTATCATCTGCGATTGAGATTGATGCTGTAGCCAGGATGGAGTTGGAGTTGTACTGTACGTAGTTGTCGTGCGAGAACTTGGGAGGACGAAAGAAGGTTGTCTGGTGGGGCGGAGGTTCTCCGATCCATACTGCCTACCTCTACAGTGCCTGCAGTGCCTACTACCTGGATATGTATACGTCCTCCCCTTGCATAGAGTCTCATCTCTACGCTCAATTCTATGATCTATACCGGCATCTGATGATAGAAGTCAACCTGTGTGCCCCCCACTCCGGACGGAGCATCTCCGATATCAAATTGGGGTGAGGGGCACAGCTATCTTGACCGCGCCGGAGGGAATGCCGCGATGGCTCCTGGTTTTATATATAAACCATCGTGCCCTTTTTGTTTCCCTTTCTGTTCTTTGTACAACTGCCTAGATACACTACCTGACCGTGGCAGCATCCAAAATGCCCTCGTCATCAGCGCCTCTTCCTGCAACATACGAGGATCTCCCCAATCCTCGCCAGTACTGGCCAGCGCCCGCCGGCTCCTACGAAGAGGGTCTTGGAATGCTCCGTATCCTGACCCCCGAGGTTGTAGCCTCAGCAGCGCGCAATGAAATCCAAACGGGAGAACGAGTGTGCCTAAACTGGGAGCTTGAAAACCTCGATCCCCCGGGCTTCGGCCGTCGTCCATTCAACCACGTTATCAAAGTCGTGGAGTCTAGCAATGGCTCCGCGCTCGACGACGAGTACCACTTCAACCCGCAGCAGTCTTCTCAATGGGACGGCTTGAGGCATCATTCTGGCCCATGGCCCAATAACAAAACAGAGGAGAAGAAATTGTGGTATGGCGGCACCACACTCGACGAGATCATCAACACAGACTCTGGCCGAATCGGAATGGGACACTGGGCCAAGAAGGGCATTGCTGGTCGCGGCGTCTTGCTTGACTATGCTTCTTGGGCTGAACGCACAAAGGGCTTGAAGCCTAATTTTGCCTTGACTCAGCACAGGATCTCGCTTGACGATCTTCTCGCCATTGCAGAGGAGTCTAATATCAAGTTCCAACACGGCGACATTCTGTTTGTTCGTGTCGGTCTGCCGAGTACTTGGAACGGAATGACGGATGAAGAGAGAAAGGCATACGCGCAACAAGAAACGCCTCAACACGCAGGAGTTGAGCAATCTGAGCGCGTGCTCAAATGGCTTTGGAACAACCATTTCTCAGCCGTGGCGGGCGATGCCGTCAGTTTTGAGGTTTTCCCTGCCATGGAAGGTGACTTTGATCTACATCATCACATCTTGGCCGGATGGGGTATGCCTATCGGCGAGATGTTTGACTTGGATGGTTTGGCTGAGCTGTGCAAGCAGCATAAAAGGTGGTCTTTCTTCGTTAGTAGTAGTCCGTTGAATTATGCCCGAGGTGTGAGTAGTCCGCCGAACTGTATGGCTATTTTTTAAGTCTACTGAGTTATAGAAATAATCAATGAATACAAATGTTGAATGGGAATTGTATGAATGCTAGCTCGAGATTGGCACGATAACGCGCACGAAATATTCACGCCAAGTATGTAACCAGCAACACGATTTTCTTTCTCATTTAGTCCACCACTAACAGTGTACGTCTCGCATAGTATTGAGGGTCTCTGTTTGCTTCTCAATCCGAAGACTTGTCGTCGCCTGTATTTCCCTGTTCGGTCTGCACATCAATGTCGTGCGTGTCGTCAATGGTACTGAGAGTCTCCGGTTGGTTGACGTTCTGGAGACTAGATATGGCCGCACTATCCGGTTCGGAATCACCACCGGGGCAATCTGTCTCGTTGATGGTATCGAGAGTCTGCTTGTGCTTGCTGTTCTGGCGATTTGCCTGAATGTTTTGCTCGTCTTGGATCATGTCTCGAATTTCGCTGATGATATCGTCGGTCTGTGTTTGCTTGTCGATGTAGCGGTTGGGCATGGTTGTGCTCTCCCGTTGGGACATCTTTCCAGCAATGGAGGCCAGCAAATGCCGAAAACTTCTGCAGGAAGCTGATCCGGAGCTGAAGCCAGATCTTGATTGGAATAGCAGTATGGAGTAGTGGTGTGGTTGAGGAAATCAGATCTTGCGCGACAATTGAACCATATATAAGAGGTGGAATAGAATGTTTGTCATACAGACAACAAAACACGTCTATCCATGAGTCTTTTCACTCATTGTGTTGAAAGAGCAACCTCTGTCCTTGTATACTTTGAGTGTCATATGCAGTTTGCCTTGTGTCTGGCTTCTTTCACTGGCCAGGCATACAAGCCTGTAGCCACATTCTTTAAAAAGCGTTTCATACAAAGATGGCCAGTCATTGTTCAGCATAATGTTCGGAAGTTATTGTACGTACAGCAAGCATAGTGCTAGCCCTAAAGCACGGCGGTCAGCGGTTATATGCATTTAACGCAGAGATATAGCTCCCTCTGTTGACACCACTGAATCTCTGCTGTACTGGTCTTTGTAGCCATGGCTAGCATTAGCATTGCTGGTTGCTCAAACCCTGGGCGCTCTTTCAAAGCGAACATTGCCTTTCTCTGATGAGTACGAACAACGCAGATGGACCAGAAAGGAATGTGCAGGAGACCGAGCCAAAAGAGGAAGTTGCCGCGACGGGCCAAGACCGAGGTTGTCGGCCCGGCGAAAAGTGAATCCGCTGAAGAAAGTTGAAGCAAGCAACGTCGCTCAACAAATTCTGGGGTTTGCACGATCTCCAGAGCGATTTGACCTTTGCGAAGCTGGTGCAAGGTCAGTCAACATATTCCCGCGTTGAATTGACGCCGTCCGGTGGCATCATCACTCTGACGGCATCCAACAATGGCTCTACTATCCACACTCAGTGACTCTTCGTTATGCGCATCGCTTCTCTCGTGGAAGACGCTTGCCGTGCTATTTGCTTTTATCAACCGAAAATCTCTCCCTCTCGCGTGGACTGTACGTACAGCCTCGCACCGCATCCCAAATTGTAGAGCTAACCAACCGATTTCTAACAGGTGGGAATATGGTACAACGTTTTCCGAAGATACCGCCGAGATGCGACCAAGTTCACATTTGAATGCAACAACAAACCTCTCAATCTCAAAGGGCGTGCGACTCACCCAGTCTTCGCCGCCGCCACAGTCACCAGCTACACATCGCTGTTAGAAACGGATTACAACCTCCACAAATCGAATAGCACGTATTTTGCCGATATGGATATTTCACGCACAGCCTGCGTTACGCCGCTGTATACCCCTGGCGCGGGGATCGTGAGTAAAGAGCTAGACGAAGAAATCGCCGCTGCCGCAGTAGCTGAGGGGAAACCCCGACCAAAGAAGACATTGCCCATGTACATTGCTCTGGGCGGGACATACTGCACATTCAAGCGCGAAATCAAGCCCCTGGAACGATTCCAACTGAAATCGCACGTGGCTGCTTGGGACGAGAAGTGGATGTACATTATAACCTATTTTCTGAAAGCCGAAAAGAAAAAGGGCGAAGGACCGGTGCTGGCGGCAATTGGGTTGAGCAAATATTGTTTCAAAAAGGGTCGTTTGACAGTCCCCATTGAGCGTGTCCTTAGGGCTAGTGGTTATCTACCTGAGAGACCAGATGCTGCTGCTGTGACAGCAGGGTCAGAAAAGGATATCTCGAGCACAGCAACCCCAGGCACTCAAGACGGTTTGATTGACACTACCCTTGACGAGGTGAAGCTTGTGGAAGAGGTATCCAAGCTCGGTGACCATGCTCCCGAAGTGCTGCACAAGCAACAGAAAGAGAATGCAGCTGCATGGACCGAAGAAGAATGGTCATGGGAACGCATTGAGGAGCAGCGCAAGAAGGGCCTTGAAATGGTTCATGGGTTTATATCCCTGGATAACATGCTTTTCGAAGAATGGAAGAGCGGCTAATCTACCTTAAAAAGAGAGTTTTACATCTGGAGTGGCTTGTATAGTATTTGCGTTTTCGTCCATGGATTGATACTGTTAGGGCTATTAATAGATAATTAGATCAATGTATAAACAACGATGTAATTGAAATTAATTGCAGGTTTATCTATACAAATATAATACTTAGCTCGCTGTCACAAAAGTTCAGAACGCCTCCGGAAACCCATGCAAATCGTTAATGTTAAAACGAAAAATAAAAAAAAAAGGTATATCAGAAAGAGTAGAGATTCGTGAAGGCCCAACTTTTATAAACTTTTTGAGTCGATCGCGTTGGGTCTGCTCTTACTGGCTCCCGCCCTTCTCTTCTTTCACCTCCTTTGCATCTTCCTCCTCTTTCTCGTCTTTCTTCTCCTCCTGAGCCTTCTCTCCAGATGCCTTGACGGCTTGTGTCACTGGACCCTCTTGCTGTTCCTTGTGCTCATTGCTGTACAAAGACTTATGGCGCTGCTTGAGTTTCTCCTCTTCTGCGGCAACCATATCCTGCCATAGATCGGCGGTCTCATCATGTTTCTGATGGTGCAGCTCCGGCTGCTCTTTTTGCTCCTTGATGGCATCACGACCCTTCTTAGCTGTCTCTAGCAGACCCCTTCCTTTGCGCTGATCGTGGATCTCGAAAGCAGCACTAGCACACATAACCGCCAGCGTCAACCCCTGAGCATACACACGGGCCTGCACAATCTTCTGCTGTCCCGACAAATACGGGTTTCGTCCAACCAACACAAAACTTCCGACGATCGAGGCGACCCATGTTGCACCGATAATCTTGTATTTCTCCTCCCGCGCCCAGGCGCCTAGCCGATTGCCAAAGGACATTTGTGCAAGCTCTTCCCTTCTCAGTCTCTCCTCGCGATTCTCAAGGTATCGAAGGTTAACGTTGCGCTCGGCCTCGAATTGGCGAGAGGCATGGTCAGCAGCAACAATGCCGACAAAGGTTCCCGACGAAGTCACCAGGAAAGCTTTCATGGGAAGTGTCAGGTTACGGATGGTGTGGAAACGGCGAGAGGCGGCCAGGACACCAGCCCATCCACCGACGAGACCGAGGACAGTACCAAAGGAACCGCCTTGGAGTACTGACCTGTATGATTCAACTACGTTAGTGGTTCGTTCGACTGGGGAGGAGGCGGATGTATGAGAAACTCAATTGTACGTACCGGTAGTGGGCGGCCTCTTCTTCCTTTGTTAAGAGCTTCATGATGTCGGTGTGTTGTATGAAAAATGCGAGAAAGCAAGTGTCTTAATGAGGTGTGTACGTTGAATATGGATTGGCTGACTGGCAATGGCGATTTCTTCTTCTTTTAAGTAGGTAACTGTGACGGAAGAGGCGGCCGGTGTCGATTACTGCAGGGTCGCATACGTAACCGGAATTTTCTCTTGTAGTGTTTCCTCCTTGGGCCTAGTCCGGATAATCGGAACGGGCCGCCGAGTCTGCGCCGAGCCACCTCCGTTTTATTTTCTCTTCGATATTGTTTGTATATATAGAGAACGAGATCAGAATGCTGAACACCATGGCAATGAGATGACTATGTTGGCAACTATAATACACGTATTCAAAATCTCATTCCTATGCTCATCTTCGAGACCTGCTATCACTGAAATATCCGCATGCCAAACACCGTAAACTCCCCCCAAAAGCCATTGCGCCGAATGAGAAAACAGAACGTTTCTTAGGGCATTCCATCTGCGATTGAAACCAGACATGGCCCCTAAGACACGCCCAGAATAGAATTGAGAATCACTTGAGTAGTAACAGTGAGAAGAGAAGAAAAAGATAGAAGATTTGTATGGTCCAAAAATGTTTCATCATCTACCTGCGAGATGGTTTACCAGCATTCAACTGGCGCGCCTTCATTCGTCGGAAACGATCTTCTCCACTGGCTCCAACAGGACGAGCGAATTTGTTGTCTTGTACCACCGTTGAGCGAGGAACAATACTGTACGAAGTATGTCCCATCTCACGACGAGCACGGTTGGCCAAACGGGGTGGTAGGAGTTCGCGTGCACGTGCTTCTTCGGCAGTTTGCTGCGCGATATTGGCACGATTGACCAAACGTCTGTGCAGCTGTTAGTAAACCCTTCAAGCTTCAATCAGACATCAACAAGGGAAAGAATGGCTCACGTTGGATCAAAATCGACTTCCTCGTACACACGCTTTGAATAATCATCAGATCGTTGGAGAATCGGTCGAGTCCAGTCAGCCAAGAGACGCTCGGCTTGTCGCTTGATCTTCAACTCCGGGCGTTTGCTCTTGGTGTAAAAGACTATCACTTTTCCGATTCCACTTGCAACGAGTGAATCTTTGTTGATCGGAAGCTTGCCCAGAACATCCATCAGGTCACGTTGAATATTGTAGGCAGGAAGCTCGCCGTCGTCGAGTGGTTCCAAAAAGAACTTGACAGCTTCTAAAAGATTGATTTCCGGGTCAACAAGACTGGCCGTATACTGGTTGCGATTCAAAAGATTCAAGACTTCCGGTAGCATCTTAAGTTTGTGCATGGCTGGTTGGCCTTGACGGCGGGCTTCGGCATCAATTCGAGCTGCGTCTGTCATACGTCTCCGCATATCTTCGATTTCCTGATCTGCCATTTGTTCAAGATCCTGCATCTATCAGTATATATAGTAGAAATCAAACGGTGAGAGTCGCATACAATTCCGTCGGCTTTTCTCCTTCGTCTCGTCTTCTGCTTCATAGCGGCGTCCATGGCACGATCCAATGCACGGCGGCGTCCTGCATCATCGTCAGCAAAAATGGCCATAAACATTACAGTTATAAATGATTTTTTTTCTTCTGAAAAGAAAAAAGAAAATCTTTGTCAAACTGACTTTCTTCAGGACTAAGGGTCTCATCGTCTTCTGGAGTAGCCTCTCGTCTGGACTTCGCTGTTCTGCGACGACCCTGTTTCCCCTCAGCAGATTCAGCATCGGAGTCCCTTTGCTGGCGCTTCTTCTTTTCTCGACGACCTTCCTTCCTCTTTCTTGTTCCCCCTTCTTCATCTTCACGTCTCTTGCGCTTGTGGCGACCAATAAGTTTTAGATTCTCCGCATCGACGTCGAGTGCTGGACGATCCTCAATATCAACATCATCCGGATTAAAGTCTTCAAACTGCGCCTCATCAACTTCTGACAGTACGGACTCGTCATCTGAAAGGCCTAGGTCTAGGTTTATGCCTGTGTCTCCATTGTCGTTGAGATCATCGAGTTCGGCTCGGACCTCGTCACGGTCAGTCGCAGGCAACTCAGCCTGAGGCTCTGGCGATGCCGACATTTTTTCGACTAATGGTCCCCTGTCAAGGGAGCTTATCGAGGGATGGATAAAGCGATGTTCTGAAAGAGGCTCGATGGGTTGCGAGGTGAGCGTGGCTGTGAAGAGAAGAAAGTTTGGCAGGAGGTCGGAAGTAAAGATGGTCCGTGCTTGCTTCCGCCCGCAGACTCATTCATTCATTCATTTACTCACTCAGCTCTGCCATCAATCCGTCAAACACAGCTCTTCTCAGCAACTAATTGTCTCTCGCTCCTTCGAATTCCTATTGATATCGTATTTTTCCGAAGTTTCCAATAACCGAGCTTCCAAGTGCTTTCAGAATGTTTGGCGGAGGTAAGATCTGACGAAGCTTAAATCTCAGCACATCTTTTATTGCCTAGCATACTATCAGTATTATCTCAGTTCAAGTTCGCTGACTCTATTTTGGGCGCACAGAGCAGCAACTTTCCAAGGAGGAGATCAAGGTACATTATCGCCCTTTTCCGTTTTCCGAGGTGTTTGATCAAAACTTTCACGCCTAAAAGCAACACCACTCCTTCATGGCATCCAATGGGATATTGAAATTGACTCTGGGTTACCAACAGGCCGGCGAGGTTGAAGCACAGCAAACCGTTCAATTCGCAGTCGTCGGCGGCATTCTCCTCTACCTCTGTAAGTACATATCAATACGATATGACCCCTCTATATGCCAGCACCTCGCATGCTAATACACGGTTTCTAAACGAACCAACAGCGCCCTTCGCAATTGACTTTGCCAAGAAGTTCCTATAAAATGTCAGCTCATTTTGCTCTTCATGACTGTCTTATTAAAACTTGATGTCGGATTTTGTTGGCCTGGGATGAGCTAGAGCTCGATCGATCTTCATGTATTATTAGTAGAACTTTTATTGATTTGGTATATCTATCTTTCGTCTTCTATGCCCATATTGAAACATGTTATAAAATTTTTAATTCATCCCATGCAATCACCGCTAACTAGAAGTGCAAAAGAAAGCAAAAAAAGAAAACCGCTCCAACGCCTGTTCTTTGATCCCACACACATGATATTTGTTCTTACAACAAGATAAAATCTCAAAAGAGGTATTGCAAAACAAAATAGATAGGGAAAAAGAAAGCAGCTTAAATACGTTAATAATAAACCCTACTGGCTATTTGTACCAGCAATAGCCTGCGCCTCATCCAATTCTTTGCGTATGGACACCAATTCCTTCTGCAAGTGTTGGATTTGAGCGGCGTAGTCTTCAAGAATCTATTGTAAAAAATCGTTAACCATTTTCTCTTTTGGCAGAATTTCGGAAATAGGTCTTCATACCTTCTTGGCTGTTTTGATGACATTCTCGTCAAGCGACTCCTCCCCATTGGTTGCTTTAGTAGATGCAGATCTGTCTATTTCTGCAGCTAGGCGTCTCGAGTGTTCACGAATAGCAAGCATTCTTGCCCAGATTTCTTCAGCTCTTCCAGTTATGGAGGGATCGAAGATGGATCGTTCAAGTTGGACTAGTTTCTTCTTGAGTTCTTCTTCGGCATCATCCATGGCATAACCGCGATTCCGCAGGATTTGAGTTTTCGCGGCAAGAGAAAGACAGCGCTGACTTAAAACAAGGTGTTTCCGTCGGCAATCGGCAATCCTCACAGAAATCTTTAAATCATGCCGAGAAAGGAGGTCCGTTAAGCACTGGTTGATCTCGTGTAGACGGCTTTGCATCATGGTAAGAAAATCTTTCTGTCGCTGAGCACGCTTTCCTAGCTCCCAAAATCCTTTCACGAGGACTGGGACATAGCCAGGGCCTGGCCGAGATTTCAATGCTTCCTCCCATTTCGTTGCATCATCCTCCGGTCCAGGCTGGTAAAAGGGCGCCTGATCCTCGCCGACAAAATTGTAAAGATATGTGCGGAAAGGTGATGACTGGCTGGTCGGGTCCCATTTATCCTTGATTATTTCCATCTGTGCTGGTACCGTGCGGTGGACTTTGGAAAGAAAGAAGTTGTTAGCTACATACAGTCACGTACTAGAAAGAGAACTTGCCTCCCGTAATCGCACGACCAGGTGACCATAGCGAAGATCCTAGCTGTGACTGATTCAGTGTTTGTCCCAACTGCGGCTGTTGTTGACTTTGCTGAGCTTGCTGCTGTTGATTCGAGAAGAGGGACCCTCCACCCAGCAGTGATTGCTGTTGCGCCGGTTGTGTTTGTTGTTGTGCATTGTTCGTCGCACCGAACAGACTAGTTCCTGGCTGTTGCGGCTGCTGTGTAGCTCCTCCAAACAGGCTGCCTGCTGGCTTCTGCTGAGTACTTGCACCAAAAAGACTGGTCGACTGCGGCTGGGTTTGCGTCTGCTGACCCCCGAATAAACTACCAGCAGGTTTACTCTGCGTCTGAGTTGATCCAAAAAGGCTTGGAATTTGTTGCTGCTGTGATTGATTTGCTGTAGAACCAAACAACCCCGTACCACTGGATGGTTGATTCGTATTCGAGCCAAACAAGCTCGTCCCTGTGGCCGGTTTGCCCTGCGTGTTACCGAAAAGCGAACCCCCAGTGGAGGGTTGCTGTGTATTACCAAACAAACTGGGTGCTTTATTCGCGGTGTTACCGAACAGGCCACCAGACTGTGGTTGTTGCTGTTGTTGCGGTTGCGCACCGAATAGCGACATGATGGTTTTTGTATTGGGCAATGTACGATGGAATGAAGAGACGCGAATGGCAGGAAAATGCTGCCAGAAAGAAACCAGAGTACTCCAAAAGAATGACTAGGTCAGCATGGCAGTCAAGGGCTATAAGCCGGGTGGTTTGGGCGTGTTCAAAAAGCTGGTCGAGGAACTCTAACGCGGAGCTCGTTCGAAGCCAAAGAAAAACATCCCAGCATGCGGTACGGTCACGTGATCTCGCTGCGATTGCCAATCGCCCAGGTTTGCCAGCAGCGACGACTTAATGAAACACAGGCCGGAGAGTAAAGAACAATTTATTTGTCCATCAATCGAAAAGAATGCCAATCTCCCATTCCACTCGTGCAATTGCTCGCGTTTCTTCTCATCTCACAGTTGGACTGTTTATGTAAGCATCTACAGCTCCGGCAAGGCACGCACCAATCAGAAGGCGGCTAAAGGGTTTGACGTGAACTTCGCAGCTCGTCCACTTCCGACGTCGTCTGCACACCCAAGTTGGAATTGAACACCAACAAGCCCCTCGCACAACCATCAAGATGGCGGCCAGACAGCCTCAGTATGCCACGCAATTACCTACCCCGTCGAAACTTGCGAATTCTAATCACTCATCCGAATAGGTTCAACCAACACATTCTCGTCGACACAACGCCTATGCCCGAAGGCATCCCCAAGGTCCAAGAAATCGGCGCTACCTCTGCTCCGCTGATGAGCGCATCTTTCTTCATTGGTGACCGCTGCCAGGCTTATAACGATGATTATATGAAGTGCAAGGCCGAGGCCAATGGGCGAGGAGAGTTTGAGTGTCTCAAGGAGGGCCGCAAGGTCACCCGCTGCGCCGCGAGTGTGTATGTATACACTACTGGCGGATTGTTTTGGTGAAAACAGGTGGCCTGGTACTGATTTTATAACAGGATCAAGGACATCAATACCCACTGCTTGAAGCAGTTCAATGCCCACTGGCAATGTCTCGAAAATAACAACCACCACATGTGGGAGTGTCGGAAACCGGAGATGGAATTGAACAACTGCGTATTCGAGAAGCTGGTCCGTTTTTCTACATCGCTATCAATGTCGCTCGTCATTCAGATCACCCAGATACTAACAGATATGTTGTTAACAGGGACTCAAGAAGACTATTCCCGGAACACCGGAAAACGTGACTCCCGTCCATTTGCGACCAAAGCAAATCTATGCCCAGTATCCTGGAAACCAATATTAGAAAAACCAAATATCATCTCTTGAACAAACTCGCGCATTGATTGTGTCCGCCTTTATTTCCCTTGTTGTTTGTTAAGTAGAATGTGTGTAAATATTAGCCCAATACAGGAATGATCTTTATTTGCGAAAGACAGCCCCATCTACAGTTTCAGCCGTTCTCTTCGTCGAGCGGCTTTCATGGCTTCTAACCTAGCTGCCGCCTCTTTTATTGCCGGAACATGGACCTTGTGATGTTCTGCTGTTGCATACTTGATACTTCCGTCAAGGGACTCCAGATAGGCGCTGATCAAGGCCATTGTACGGCCATGCTGCTCGATTTGGCACTTGATACGTATCGTGGTGCCTGAAAAGTAGTTATCAGCAGTGCTTGATTATCAATATCTGCTAAGAGAAAGGAAGAAAAACACATACCCAGTGGAACGGCCTTTAGATAGGAGATATTCAACGCCCGAGTCACGCCAGCTAGGAACCTACAGAAGACGTTAATCATCAAAGCCCTCAACAGAAGAATGTTCAAGACTTACTCCCAATATCCAGGGCGGGAAACAGTCTGCATCGTAATAGCAGTGCACATGTCTAGCATTCTCGAACATTGAGCCAATCTTAAAAAAGAAAAAGAGAAAATACGTATTAGGTTCACTGAGTCTGGGTTCACTAACCAAATATCAATCCATAGGCACCTCCGTGCAGAACATTATTCATATTACACCATGTCTCATCGACCGTCAAGTCCCAGGAAGACGAACCCAATGGATCGGCGTCGATAAATCGAATGTCTTTTATTAGAAGTTTGCCGTCGTATCCCTAGGGTTTTTTCCAAATAGAGAAATGAATCAGCAATAGATATCAGAAACGATAGAACAATGGGTGTTTTGAATCTGGCAGAAGGTGTAACAATACTTTGAAATCTTTCTCGACGACGAGTTGTTTGTACCTAATAACATGCTTTCAGTTCATTGTTTCATAGAATACTTTGAGACAGCCACGTAGCCAGATAGATTGACAAAAGTGTTGAAAATCGACCGACAGAAAGACGCCACACTCACAGCTCCAAGAAGCATTCTATTGCCTCCGTAACGTCCTGCTTACTGGGCTGGTTTGCTTGCCTATCGTTGGTAGGCATGATTCACGGCGGCATTAAATGTAATTGAATGCTCGATAGATGCTTTCCTAGGTAGCTAGAAAAGACTGCATGACGGCAGGGGCCTCGTCGTTGCTTTTCTACTTAGCTAGGCTATCACATGGGGGCTCATGCATCATGACAAATGCTTACCATCTGCATCACTAAGCCAAGTTTATAAGACATTCCTTCTGTATAGAACAGAGACATACTCCAGACACTTATGATACAGTATAATTCCGATTTAGAATTTCACACAACGCGTTTTAGACCATCTTATCATCTAAAAAGCGACAAGGCGGGAGGAGAGTTCATCAATTGTAACATATCTGCTGCAAGTCAACTTCGTTACACTTCAAGTCCAAACAGTGAGCGCAAGACCAACACGGACAGGGAAGATATTGTTCTTGAAAAACAAACCGCACCGAAACACAACGACATATCGGCTTCAACGACTAGATCTCAAGTAGAACGTCTTTCATGTTCTGGCAAGACTTTGGATTTAGAAAAAGACAAATCTATTCTATGGGTATCATAACAATCTTGGAAGCATCTGCTTGCTTGTATCAACGAACCCTAGAGGACATGATTATAGATAGACAAGACGTGCAGAATAGAACGACAACTGCCCAAGGACAGTTTCCGAAACAAGCAATAAAGGTTTCGGACATCCAAGGGCTTGACATCAAAAGGGTTTAGAAACCCGGTCTCGCATATTGGAATGATTTCGGGCGAGATAGAAACCCTACGCAATGAATCTCCATCGCAAGTCATCATCGCCCTTGAAGTCATCGCTGCGAAGATACGAGTGGTCCTTTGGCGGGCCACCTGTAATGCTATCGCGTCTTCTGTTCTCATTCAGAAGAAGACGCCATAGCCACACAGATGCTACCAAGGAGCCCACCACGAAACCAAGTGCCATGCCATGGCCAAGAGGATACCTTGGGCTTTCATCAGGACGATACAGCTGACACCCCACTACAGCACCGATATCGCCAAGGGAAATCTGGATTGCTGCAGCTACACAACGCTTGACTTGACCCGAGACATTGGACGCTACCCAGGTAAAAAGCAAAGATGCTGCTGGGAAAATACCCGCGCAAACGAAGAACGTCCCGAGGTACTGAACACCGACTTTTTGATCAGAGAGGAGCAGGATGTACCCGATAATTGAGAGGATGCAGCATGCGAAGATGAAGGGACCGCGGACCTGGTATCGTTCAGACAGGAGTGCAACACTGATCGATATCACAGTTCCAACTGCATACGGCGGCACGGTCAACAACTGCGCATCCGCAGCGGAATAGCCAAGGTCTGCTATAATGGTTGGAAGGAAGAGGGTTAAGGTGTACAGTGGCAATGCCTGGCCCATCCATGTAAGCGTGTACAAATAGACCTTGATATCGCGAAATGTTCTTCCCACTTCTTCCCAAGACCAGGGTTCTTCGCGAAGTGCATCATTATCCTCGACTAGTAGAGCATTCAATACCTTGTGCTCTCTTTGTGAGAGAAATTTCGCTTCTGCTGGAAAGTCTTGGATAAAAAGGTAAGACGCCGCAGCGACGACGACCGTCACCAAGCCCTCAATAACAAAAATCCAGAACCAGCCGTGCTTCCCTGCAACGCCACTCATGTGCCCAATGCCATAAGCCAATATTCCACCAAAGGCGCCCGCAAGTGATGTCGACGTAAAGAAAAGTGTAACCCGGCTCACCAGAGCTCGCCGCGAATACCACATGGACAGATAAAAGATGGCCCCGGGGAACACGCCTGCCTCTGTCGCACCGAGGAAGAATCTTGCAGCTAGCAATCCCCCGAAATTAGTCGAGAGGGCCATCAGCGTTGCCACCACTCCCCATACCAGCATCAGCGTTGGCAGCCAGATTCGCGGCGAAGTCAGCTTCAGAGCAATATTAGACGGGATTTCAAAGACGCTATAGCCTATGAAGAAAACCGACAATGTGACCAGGTACTGCTCCCCGGTCATATGCAGGTCAACAGTCAAGTTATCCAGCTTGGCATTCCCGATGTTGGATCGGTCAAGGAAGGACAGAAAGAAGAGTAGCGTAATTGGAGGCAGGATTATCCAATCAATTTTGCGGCGAAGCCGTGATTTCTCGACTTCAGTGATGCTGCCAGCATCACCAGCCTGCTCCGCATCAGAAGCAACAACGATGCTGGATGTATCGGCCGGGATGGGTTTCTCTTCGATGACAGCCATTTTGACTCAGAAAGGCTTCGGACAAGCCGTTAATCGCTCCTCATCTACAAGTACATCAGTTGGAGTGAAAGATGCGGCAGGCCAAATATATACCATCAAAATATAGCCCGGTGCTTTGACATAGGACAAACGAGCCTCAGGATCGCGTCATCCCAGCAACGCGACATGATGCAGATACTAGGCACAGCAGAAACCAAGAAAAAGAACCATCAGTTTCTCCTTCCTAAAGCTTCCTAGTACACGAGTACATTGGGCGCTGCAAATGGCTCGATAACGCTGCAGAAGCGGAATCGAAGAAAGATGTTGAAACTTGACGGGATGGCGTGCACGTCAAATGCGGAGCTCATAGCGACATCCCGAATGCTTTGATATCATCCTCGCTAGCAGGAAGAGGGACACAAACGAGTAATACGGAGGATTATACTTATATTGCCACAGCAGTAATTAAGAATTGATCGTAAATGGTATTACCCATGAGCTTATTGGATACTCTTCCTCGTCCGTTCAGAGGCTGATTGATTCCCTCTAAAGGAGAATTAAAGTACATGAAGATTGTATAGTACAGTAGTAGGATTCCCTTCTGGTTTCGCCAAACCCAGGTGAAAATAGATGCGAGCACTGAGTGGAGATGTGTGGAAAGATGCGGCGAAAAAGGATATGAGTTTTTTTCTCGCACAAATTGTGTGGCCGTAAAGCGGAGGGACGATTTTCGAAAAAGTGATAACACATAAGACGAAGGAAGTAGTGGGCTGATGATAAGAAGAAAAAATGTTAAAAAAAACTAAAACTAAAACATAGGAGAACCATCCATATTACAAATGCAATACACGCTCAAATCGACAAAGGAGAAGTAGGTTATTGATGCGAATGCGCGAATGTACTAGCACTCTAGTACATACCGCCCATGCCACCCATACCACCCATGCCGGGCATGCCACCAGCAGCAGGGCTTGCGCCCTTCTCCTCAGGGGCATCGACAATAGCAACTTCAGTGGTACCAAGGAGCGAGGCAACACCGCTGGCATCGACCAGGGCAGTGCGCACAACCTTGAGAGGGTCAAGGATACCAGCATCAATCATGTCAACGTATTCGCCCTTGGAGCTGTCGAATCCCTTGTTGAAGTCACTGGCAAACTCGTCGGTAAGCTTGCCAACGATAACGCTGCCCTCCAGACCAGCGTTCTCGACAATGGTTCGCGCAGGGCGGGTAACGGCCTTCTTGATAATATCAATACCGAGCTGCTGGTCGAAGTTGGCACCCTTCAAGTCGTTGAGGCCATTGGCAGAGGCCTTAAGGAGAGCAGTGCCACCACCTGGGAGGATACCGTCCTCAACAGCGGCACGAGTGGCATTAAGGGCATCCACAACACGGTCCTTCTTCTCGCCAACCTCAACCTCGGAGGCACCGCCGACCTTAATGACGGCAACACCGCCAGAGAGCTTGGCCAGACGCTCTTGGAGCTTCTCCTTCTCATATTCGGAAGTAGAAGGATCGGCCATGACACCACGGATTTGTTCGCAGCGTTGAGCAATGGAGTCCTTGCTACCCTCACCGTTGAGAATGATGGTGTCCTCCTTGGTGATGGTGATAGCACCGGTAGAACCAAGTTGGTCAGGGGTGAGCTTGTCAAGCTTGATATCGAGCTCATCAGTGAAGACGGTGGCGTTGGTGAGGACACCAAGGTCACCAAGGATGTTCTTGCGGTTGTCACCAAAGCCAGGGGCCTTGACGGCAGCAACCTGGAGTTGTCCACGAAGCTTGTTGAGAATGCAGACAGCCAGAGCCTCGCCCTCGATGTCCTCAGCAATGATCACGAGGGGACGGCGCAGTTGGGTTGAGATCTCAAGCGCAGGGATAATATCTTGAACGGCAGAGATCTTCTTTTCGGAGAGAAGGATAAGAGGCTTCTCGAACTCAACCTTCTGTGACTTGGCATCGGTCATGAAGTAAGGAGAGGTGTAACCACGGTCGAAACGCATACCCTCGGTAACCTCTAGCTCGTCATCGATGGTCTTGCCCTCCTTGACAGTAATGACACCTTCCTTGCCAACCTTCTCCATGGCGTTGGAGATAAGCTTACCAACGTGAGTGTCACCATTGGCAGAGATGGTAGCGACCTGGGCGATCTCTTCGGTGGTTGTGATATCGCGTTTGTTGGACTTCAAGTATTGGACAACGGCATCAACGGCGGCCTGGGTACCCCGGCGGAGATCCATAGGGTTGCAACCGGCGGCAACGTTCTTTACGGTCTCAGAGAAGATGGCGCGAGCAAGGACGGTAGCAGTGGTGGTACCGTCACCGGCAATCTCGTTGGTCTTGGAGGCGACATCCTGCAGTAAACGTGCGCCGAGGTTCTCAAACTTATCCTGAAGAGTGACGGCCTTGGCGACAGTAACACCATCTATTCAAGGGTTAGTCCATCTTGCATCATTGGCCACAAATAGCAATACCCAAGTATCTAGTACATACCCTTGGTGATCTTGGGGGAACCGTAGCTTTGGTCAATCAAAACATTGCGACCCTTTGGACCGAGTGTGGAAGTAACCGCTTTGGCGAGGGTGTCAACACCTTTGAGAAGCTGTGCACGAGCTTCAACGCCGAATTTCAGCTCCTAAACACATGTTAGACCATCGTCCTAGCTGACAAGTGGCACGACCGAGATATCAAACGCACCTTGTGAGCAAATCGTTGCTGCTGCAAGCTGACACCCGATGTTCTGAGCTTGGAGAAAGGAGCTCGGGTGAGAGCGGAAGTCCTGGAAGAAAGGGCGCGCTGCATTTTGGGAAGGAGGAGGGTGGGAGGTTGAAGGAGAAGGAAACAAATGCAAAGATTAAAATAAATAGAGATAGATTCACACCCAGCCGAGACGCCGCGAGAGAAGAAGCTGCTGGAGGAGAAGAAAGCAAGACGAAGAAGGCAGGGCCGAAAATTTTCCAGCTTCTTCTAGATTCCCCGGATGTCTTGGCGGCGGAGAAGCTCATAGAAGTCCGCTGGGTCACGTGCTACGGACACTTGAGCGAACGGCGAACCTGCTGTGGACTATTTGATTGCATTTAAATAACACTAAGGCTTGCATATCAAGTATCCACGGCTTCTCTCCAGTTATAGCAAAATGACACAAGATCCAGAGTTAAATAATTACGCAGCCAAATCCCCATCGCTCTTCCTCAAACCACAAACCGCAAACCGGTCTTAGCCCGACGTTCCAACGAAGAAATATCAAGAACCAAAGCAAGAAGACAGAGAGAACAAGAAACGTCCGGAGATTCAAATGCCAACCGGTCCAGAACCCAACCAGAGATCATATATGCATGGCCGATCCAGATTGCATGCAGTTAGATGAACGAGAAGATATCGTCGGCGCCGTGGCCGAGATTTGCGAAGCTCTCGAATTCAGTGTCAAACGCTGAAACTTCGGCTTCGTGGTGATACTCGTACGCCAGCTCCGCTATTGCATCATGGGTATTTTCTGGAGAAAGAGCCATACCAATTAGTCTTGCCACCAGGACAAACCTTCCGCTTTTCCAATGATATTCTGATCAAGCATTTCATCAACATCGAAAGTCTTACCCGGGGGAAGCTCGGTGTCACGATCCACATGATCATCAATAGTTCCGGTGTGCTTCACGTCGAGCACTTGGTGTGTGTCTACTTCGTCTTCGATCTGCGGGTGAGCAAGGTGGAAATTGCTGAAATCATGATCATGATACGCAGTTGCCTGTGAAGGCGCTGCAGTAATCGGTAGATTGGCCCCGATGGTTGTTGAGTAGCCCTGCACCTCGTAATTGCCAACGGGATTTGTGGTATTAGTTGTAGGAGCAACGTTCCAGCTTGGGTCAAAGTATGTGGGCAGCTCTCTGTGGGTATTCACATAAGCCTGGTACGCTGGACGATCCTGGTCTATAACTCGAGCATCAGGATTGCTTTCTTCGATGGTACGTAGCTTGCGATGAAATCTCAACTGCGGGTCACAATCCGGCTTTTCAAGGTAGTTAGCAGGATGCACAAGTCTCGGATCGGGCTCGTAGGTCTCATTTGCCCATGTCACTGCTTGCGGCGCAGCATACTGTCTCATCGCAACGTCAAGCGGCCACTCTCCTCGAAGGAGACCAGGGTTCTGTGGGTTGTGACAAGATTTCGGAACTGGGCCGTAGTAGTCCCTGCTGAAGCCCCATTTCTCGCCATTGGGGCCAGATGGAGGCAACTCCCATCGCTGCTCCGGGTCTCTGTCATGGAAAACGCCAGTACCCTTGTGCTTCAGGAGACGAAGTTTCTTCGCGCCGACCTTGAGCTTGACAACCATTGCTTTGTCTGTATCGGACTGCTCATCGTCGGAGGAGATTGATGTTGCGCGGTACTCCTCGTTCCGTTCGCCATTGGCAAACTCAAGGAATCCAGCACCTACAGCTACCATTTCAGTATCTGGGTTTGATGCCATAGATCCGTCGTCGTCGTTGTCATCGTCATGATTGATGTTGTCATCGACACCATTTTCCAAGACAGGATTTGGTGGAGTTGACTTGCGCTTCTTCTGAGGTCTTTTCTGTTTGCTTCTCTTGGTAGATTGATTGCGACGACCAGACGTCCATTCCTTGTCACTGTCCGACGAAGAATGGTATTCATCGTCGCTTGCACCCCGCTTCTCAGCCTTGATCTTCGGCTCATTTTGTGGCTTTGCGCGACGCCCTCCTGATTCTTCAGTGCTCTGACTTGGGGAAACAGGCGTTGCGGGAGTCTCTTGCGACCTGGGAGACGTTGCAAATCCAACACCTCGACGCAGCGGAGGGGGCACTTCTTTGTCTTTCTGGACACGGCGAGCTCGTATTTTTGCAAGGTGTTGGACAATTGCGCCTTCAGTGACATCATTGGACATAGACTTAGCTACCTCTGCCCAAGGGATCTTGACACCTTCCTGGTTGCAGACAGATTGGATTGTCAAGAGAAGCAATTCATCGAGATTTTCTGGATAGGTCAGTAAATGACTCTGCTCATGGAGGTGAGCGTAAGTATCGCTTTGGTGCCAGACATACCGTTCCAGCGCACCAGCTTGCGCTTGGAGGGGCGATTCAGAGGTCTCTTCTCCTCGCGTCCCATTTTGAGTGAAGTTTTATGTTTAGTCGAAAAGTCGAAGTATCGCTCAATTAGTGAGAAACAGAATGAGAAACTAAACAAAGAGGATTGGAAAGAACAGGCAGATGCAAGTCGAATATGTCAAGAAGTGAGACGACAGCAAGGTGAGAGCCTTTTCGCTCCGCGGTGAAGTAAAAGGTCAAAGACAGGACACTGCCAGTGAAGAATGTATGCTTGAGGAAGGAATATAATGACGCTAGTCCAAAATATGGCGAGAATGAGGTTATATCTGCTTTTCCCAAATCCCAAGGGAAGAGAGACCCCAAGAAGAAGGAGGCAAAGGGGAGATGGAAGAGGTGACACCGTTGAGGGGAGGGGAAGTCGTGAAATTATTCTCAGTTCTTTGGGGCACACTAACAGGGACGCGGGACTAAGCCCAAACTTGAACCTTGGGCAATGCAGACAGTTGGAGATCGTGAGATGTGGTGTCGTAGATTTCTGATTTGCACAATGCTGTTAATTACAGTCCTCGCAATTTGTTCATCCACTGATAGTTTTACACAGTTCATAACAAAGAGTCATATACAAAGAATTGCATTTATGGAATGCCTAGGTGCAAAGATACCTTCTAGATAAAGTCCTCACAGAGATACCTAGTTGTACCTTAATACAAGCTAAGATATGTTGTGTTGTTGATTTCTATAACCCTGAAGACTCTCTCCACCACAAATCATGTGCTATCAGCACCTCATGGAAGACTCAGGCTATGACATATCAGAATATTTTCTAGAATTTAGATGCTCTAATTGTCTCCAAGCTTGGGAGTGCCTCTGTTTATCCTTGAATCTATATACAAGGTCACGTGATCACAAGCACGTGACATCCCGGCGGACTTTTGCAACTTCCACATCGACCCGAGATGACCTTCTCAATCCACAAGAACCTCCATCTTCACATCCACCAGCCTCCAAAATGACTGCCGCCTGGAAAGCCGCCGGTTTGACGTATGTCATGAATACTCCCATACAACAAGAGTCCCTCTCAGGGATGCTCTCCGTGTGCAATTGCTGATCACCCACCTGAGAAACAGCTACAACCGATACCTTGCCGTTGCTGCGCGCGCGGTTCGCCGATCCCTCAAGGACGACGTTCGTCTTGCTGCTGAGCGCCGTGGACAATCGGATCTGAAATATGCCAAGTGGGAGGTCAGTGTTTTATTTACCTTCTCTCCTTTTCTAGTTCGGCTCGGCCCTATACGAACGGATAGACTGACGAGGACATGGGGTCACAGGCCGGAAAGCAGGGCGAAGTCAAGCACATTACCGAGTCCGCCGCCGAAACTGTTGCTGAGAAATAAACGACGAAACACCAACTTTTACGTTTCGCAGAGAGTGACGGAAGTTGAGTTGAAAAGGCAGAGGAACTGAGCATGGTGCCGGAAAAGGGCGCGGGATTGTACATCTTATTTCTTGTAGCAATACTTGGAGATTTGCTTTAGAGCTCCATGAAACAATAAAGTTTCCTAGCCTTCCTCTTGCGTCGCATGATGTACGTGCTGTAGACCTACCAGTCCTTGATCACGCCGATGGGAATTGCTGAAGCGTAGACCTGAGGCCCGGAGAGACCCATCCACGTACATAGATAGCCCTTTCCTTCCCGCCCACGAAAAAGCTCCGCGCTCACACTCCCCAATCCCCGCATGTGCGAATCGAGGCTAGCAGGCTGCGAGAAGTCAAGAATCGTCGTTAGAAAAAGCATGCTGCCAATTAACCAACCTCGCCTGACATCGTCGTACCACATGACTGCTCGGGATATCACTGGGGAATTTGTTAACGCTGCGTCTAGTGTGTCCATCAGTCCCTTCCCCGCGTCGTTGCTTGCTTCGTTGTCGACTGCTATACCCAGCTCCCCAAGCTGACAGATGGAATAAACAGAACTGAAACAAGGCGAGCTTGTCAAGGATGAGGAGTTTGCACTTTTTGAAGCCGTGGGGGCTTTGGAGGTTGGTTTTCGGAAAAACGCTTTGCTCTTGTATCCCATCATGCTCAAACAACTTGTGTTCACATCCAGATCATGGACTCCAAGATGGACAGCGGATACCTAGGCCCCGGTGAAAGCCACTTTGAAGCGCTCGAATATGACTACGATGTGATGCGCGAGTTGCAGCCGGAGGAAGTGCTTGGCCTTATGGATCAACTGTTATGCTACGAGGTTTGTCATTTTCACTCTTTGGAAGTTGTCTGGGTCAATCTAATGAGAAATGGCAATTGCATAGATGGCATGGCACATGGGACACCCTCTTTCGCAAACGCTTTTTACCTCGATATACCTCGACAAGCTTCTTTGGCCGGTTCCAAAGTCGTTCGACGAATATAATTTTCACCGTGGAGACGCCGAGGCGCGACTGGAGAATGAGCGAAAGTTGCCCTTAGTGCATCTTGTTCTCAGAGCATATTGTTTAGGCTTGGTCAAGGCTTGTGACTTGGTGAACAAGCGGATTACGCATGAATACTTTTATGAGGTTGGCTCGAATGTATTCGTATCAACAAGAAATGGTGTGTCTGATGCTGCTCAGGAAGAAGATTTTGTTCCGCAACTTTACAACCGAAGCCTTCTGAGTGAATACGACATTGGCCCCGTGAAGAAAGTACTCGATGCCGCCGTTGAATATCTCGAGAAGCATGGAGATGGGATAGATGACAATGTGAAGCGTGCATTAATCGACAGGCTTTGGTTAAGAAATCATTTCCTGGAGGCCTTGAATAAAGACGTCGATGCAGTAATATCTAGAGACAGGGAGTCTTTTATATCTTGTCAGGCGCTTGTTTCTCCAATCGAAAGTTCTGTGGCTTATGGGAATCCCAACTTGGACGCATTCACCTTGAAAATCCAGCGAAAGCTAGCTAGCACGATACCACCTCGACCTATGGTCACAATCAGTGCTAAGACTGCGCTTGGCTTTCTGAAACGGTTATTCCAGGATGCTATTGACATGCACGAAATACTTGATTATACCAATCCAAATGACTTGAGGGTATGTACGTTCTTAGCTTTTGGTTTGGAGCCTATCTGACGCGGCCAGGTTTGCATTTGGACGATAGCGTCGAGGAAGCCACAACCCGGAATTTATATACGATGTCTCATGCAAGCATTCATTGTCAATGAGATGAAGATTTTGGGCTCTCAATCTGTCAAAAGATTATTCTACGATGATCTCAAAGACCTTGTGTTACCCTCGAGCACTTTGCTTCGTGCCGAAAATGAAGAGATCGAGGTGCCCAGCGATCCTCGCTTCCAGATACATAGGAGTATGGAGACCTTTGTGACCCGCGTTGCTCATGTAAGTTTGTGAAATGAAATGACTGAATGAAAGGATCTATCCTCTAATCGTTCTTTTCTTTACAGCCATTTGTCGACACATTCCGTACATGTTGTTTGAATCGGTCTCGAGTCCGTCGTGCCTTGTGCCACTGTATTGTGGAGTGGGATAACCTTCAGATTGAGGTTCGTTAACTGTATGACTCGTTTCTGGTGACGAATAATAGCTAATATATGCTCTGTATCTTACTGCAGGCTGAGGAACTCGACACACAGCTTCAGAGTTTGACCGGCGAAATACCGTTATCGTTGGAAAATGGCCAGTCAACATACGCTTATCCCTTGGGTAGCTGGGTCTACCACGAAAAGTTGAATCAAATGCAGCTTGTGTTTCAAATGGGATTTGAATTATCGATCTACGCTCCCGAGGAGCTTGGCGGAATATATTGGTACTTGGCTCATCTGTGCTCCAGCCACCAACTACATATTGAACGAATACAGGCATTTGTCCATGCAGAGAGCAGGAGAAGCAAGCGCTCTAAAGCCAGTGAGAACTCATTTGAACGGACACTCACGATTCTGAATCGACATAGCTTATGGCTCATCGCAACGGAGACCTTTGCATTTGGTCTCCAAGCTCTCTACGTATTTCTCGACCGCCACGCAGTGTTACCTCATGCAGCTTCGAGAACAGCATATTCGAGCGCCCGACTTCGGTACGAACTCCGAATGAAACCTTTCCTCCCCATCAGTCTTCCTGAATTAGTTTCCTACGATCAATATGAGGAAAATGCAACCTTAAAAGGGCAATCTGATGGTGACTTGCTCAAAAGAGCCAGCAAATCAATTACCGATGCACGCAAGGCATGGGAAGCAGTGCTTGCGCAGGGAGCATTTGCCACGACGCAGCAAAATGGTAGTGAGACTGTGCGCAGACCAGCTATTGAGGCTGACTGGCAACGCAATACAAAGGATTCACTTCGAGCATGTATCGGGGCCAGCATTGCAATCCAAATAGCCACAAAGATTTTCAAAACTAGAGCTTCGTCTACTCCGATAAATAGCAAGACGTCTGCATCCTTGCCGATCAAAGTCGAAATTCCAGACGTCGGATCACCAAGCCGCTGGCACGACTGGTGGGTAGTGCCGCGCATTTCTGAGGTCGGATCTTAATGATTGATGCTTCTCTTCTGTTGTCGTGGCTGTCTAGTAGCTAGACGCAGTCCACTGAGCCAGCGACTAAGATTGATCGTAGGTCATACGTTTGGTTGGACGTATGAACTTCGGCATTCATATCAGCATGCTTATTATTATACCAGGACTGCTCTGCCTTCCAAAGTTGTTCATTTGTTTGGATGAAGCGGAGTGTTTACCTATGATTTTACCGGTTCTTCTGAGGTATATCAACAGGTGCTGAAGTGCATATGGCCTTGGACAGTTGATCTGGGCTTGACTGTCTTCATGATCAATTGATTAATCGTATACTCTCAAACCCGAGGTCAAGGTGATTTAAAGTCTACGTTTTATTGTCTATGCTCGATTGGCAACTCGCGGAAATGTCGAATTTAAGTCATTGCGTTGGCGATAATAGCTTACATGTTGCGCAGCACTTTCGTGTTGGGATTAGAGTAATGACGAGCACTTCTAACTCATGGCTTACACAGGATATCTTCTGGTATCTTTCAGAGGCGCATGGATTTATGCCTTTTATACCCAGGCTGGCACTACAGCCCATATTAAGGGTCCAGGGTTGCAACTAGAATGGCTCCCAGTGACTAACCTGGTTTACTATGGAACAGAGCTAGACAGGCATCTATAAATTCTGGATGTCATGTCAAGTAAAAAGCCATTCTATCTGTGTCCTGAGTCCATTTGTATGTCCTATATGAAAATGAAGGCCTTGTTTAATTGCCCTTCCCAGCGCGTTGATAGAGTAGCAATATACCTACCTGCATATTCAACGCATATAGTCCAAGCTTAGTTTACTTGGAAAGTACAGTCGTCGCTAAAACCAACACTACCCAGTTGTCCATATTCATTAGACAGCCTCGTCGAGTTGCGCATAGGTTTGATAGCGCGGCCGTTCTCAAGTTCTATTGGCTGACAGCGCCTCGGCATCCCTGCGGACCTCGGCAAGTCCCGTAGCTTTAATACGACGGGCGCACTTCGACTGACTATACTAAACAATGCATATACATACGACGAAGCTGATAAATATATAGATATCTCTTTATAGAATACCCAACATGGACGACGCCATTGCAGAGCACGTTGCTGTCGAAAGGCTCTCTGAATGGACCTTCCAATCCAAACGACTTGCAGAACGCATGGGAAATACCCTCCCCATTGCATTTGGCGGCTACGCAATTGCCCTAGCAGTCAATGCCGCTGCGAACACCGTTCCAGATGGCTTCCATCTCTACTCGGCCATGGGTAACTATCTGGGCCCTGCTAGCATCGCGGAGAAGATGACTCTCACCGTGTTCCCTTCCCGGAGTACAAAGACCTTCCAGACCCGGAGGGTACAAGTGACCCAAAAGTTTGGCGATGGCAGTAAGACCCGGCTATGCATGGAAGTTTTAATTGACTTTCACCGCGCAGAGCCGGCATTGCTTGAATTCTCTGCGCCACCGACGATGAAATACAGCCATTGGAAGGACTGCCTGCCCATGGAAGAACTGGAGAAACAGCTTGTCGCTGCCGGCAAGATTGAAGAAGCCGAGGTCAAAGCTTTCAACAAGGTATTTGGCCTGGGATTACGACTTTTTCATAATCGATACTGCCCCGAGAGTATAGCTGGACAGACGCTTCTCGGACTTGGCAAGAACGTTCAAACCACACAGGAACATCTACCCATCACCGCCAAAACCAGTTGTCAATGGTTACAAGCGAGGTATCCTGTGCACAAAGAGTCCGACCATATAGCTGGCCTTGCTTTCATTATGGACGCATTTATCTCGTTTCTCCCCTTGGTTCACAACCATATGTTCTTAGACGATGCAGCAGCGTGTTCAAGCTTGGACTTTTCGTTGCGAGTGTTTGTGCCGAACGTTAATATCAATAACTGGATTTTGCGGGAATGTCTCACGCACGTCGGAGCTCATGGCCGTACGTACTCCGAGGCTAGGGTGTGGGATGAAAATGGGAATATGGTCGCCTCGATGACACAGCAGTCGATTCTGCGACCACACAAGGCTAAAACAAACAAGCTTTAGATAGGAGATTTGCATGTCGGGTATTGTATAAACTGTTTGTTTTCTTATTTCTTTTTTGTTTCTGGGAATTTGCAGATGGAAGTTATCTAGTTATATAAGAATTTAGAATAGACTATTGAACGTGCAACATTGTTTTGATGAACGATTCCCATACCTGCCTGCTCTGCGGACTCGAAAAACTAGTAACTGCTTCAAGGACGGTTGCCAATTGTGTTTATGGAGTTTATTCCCTATCATTTCCTGCTTTGGGTTTTATTGGGAGGACGTAAGGGAGTAGCCAAGCTGCTTGAAAGCCGAGAGATTATGAGGTCGAAGTTATATTTCGAACCGTACTATTTCAGAAATGGTAACTTTTTATGTGAGGTGAATGTAGACCAATGAGAGCACTGGAGGAAATATAATTTACATGACCAATATAAATCAATCTAATAGAGTTGCTCTCATTCTGCCTCCCCTTTCTGCACTATCTTACATATATTCAACTCATCACATTCATGTATCCCTCATCTCCACAGACTGGGAAACTGCGACACTTTTCATGATCGCCCCGTCAAATTGAGCGTGGTCAGAGAAATCATTAACGCTGTGCGACGCATCAGCATTGGATATCAAGGTTCTCTCATCTGACCCAAATGCTGATCCATCCTCCACCGTCCTGTTTATCTTGGGCCGATTATCACTCCTAGATCCTCGGATCTTTCGTAGTTGTAGTCGTGAGCTGGCGTGTGATTCTTGGTTTGAATAATATGAGTTTTTTCTGCGGGTACGAGAGATGAGATTGTTTAGTGCCGGAAGACAGGCACATATCAGTCCAATGCCTCCCTCTGCATTCCTGTCATTTGAGTTAGTTGCGGCATAGCCTGCGGCTAGAGATGGAGCATACCCAGTAAGCACAACGCGTGTAAACACCATTGTTTGATCGGGGGACTGTCCATCTCTCGCAATCATCACCAACCGATATAAACTAAAGGCCGTTGCAAGCCCTCCCGCGCTCAAAAGTCCAATAACCTTCAGTTTTTGGCTGAACGGCATTTGAAGCGACCAGGTTAATGGTAAGGGGAGGATGAGAATTGCCAAGTCCGTCACCACACTGATGACTGAGTCGGCCATGATGACTTTGCTCTGGTCGATGCAGGAGCCGCCGCTGTTGGTTCCGTTCCAGTAGGCTGATACAGGATCGCAGATGCGGGCTTTGATGACGAAGGCAGGTATGTAGTAGCTCAAAACCACTCCAAGGATGAGATAGATGAACATGACCCATTTGCGGTATGGTTTGAAAATGCGAGCTAGAAGGGTTAACAGGGCGACCTTGACAAAGAGGGCCATCGGGGCGTAGAATAGAGTTGCAATGTATGCTATCTGTATTGCATTTGGGTCAGCTCGATGCTACAAGTGAAAGAATTCGCGACATACCTTCATGAAGTTCACCAACTGGGATTCATAAATCTCCCATTGATAGCAGCCGCCGCCATGTTTCGACACTAAACCAGCAGTTAAATTGGCTGTATCCAGACAGGATTGAGAGCACTCACAAAATATCCCACTTATACAATATCCCATGAAAAGGAGCTTAAGATGATGTGAGTGCGCGCCACAACACAGCATTGAACAACAGGACTTCATACCCATGCAACAAGGCCAAAATCTTCGCACAGATTAGCCTCATTCCGAGTTGTCTATATACAATACTCACATTCATTAAATCCTAGCTGCTGCTGGAACCGAAATCTCACATATAACCGAAGCACGATAAGAACGGATACGACGGGAATACAAAGGCATTGTGTGACAAAAAGAATAGTGCGAAGAGCATCTCTCGGATGCGCAAAGTCAGGCGTCACTCCACTGGGACTTGCTAGAGCAGGCTGGTCTGTCCCTGACATCGTCAGCTTCTGAATCATCAAAGAACCTGGATGCCATTCGAGATGTGAATACGAGAGCCTTCCTGGGAAACTTGAAATACATTCTACCGTGCAAAGCCTGTGGAGCAATCCGCATGTGGATTTAGCCTTAGGCTATACTTTCCTGAATCCTGACAGCGAAGATAGGGGATGGAGTCCCCCAAAATAGCTGATGAAACTGGGGACTTGAGGGTGCGGGCCGGGGTACCCCGGCTAGCTCGCACTGGCCTTAAATATGATAATTAGGACACACCTGCTCGGCTTTCCTGCTCGTAGGCTTGTAGGCTTCATCGCAGATTTTTCAGCTAACGTCTTTGATGCCTAGCTGTCCTGCTCGTGGCTGGCTCGCGCGATTCCTAGCAGGCTGTATCGAAGCTTGTACAATTGCCAGCTGCTGCTTCACAGTTAGATCGCAGGATCCTTAGCATGCTTGCTCAGGCTGATAGGCAATAACTAAGCCCTAGTAAGCCTGCTAGTCAATCAGTGCCAGGAAGTCTACGAAGTACGGTACGTATTCCTTGGCTTAGGGTTGAAAATGCGGGTCTTAAAAGCATTGTTATTGGTCGTTTGGCTCTTATCTTATTAGGGGCTAGTATGTGGATCCCTATAAAACAATATGGTTTGAGGGGCGGCAACCTTACCTAATTGAGCACTAGCTGCTGTGTGCGTGCCGCTGTGGGGCACTTTCTTTGTTTCTCTGAGAGACGCTTTGGTCTCACACTAGTTCTTAAATAGTTACCTTTGCTTATAGAACATATGTACTATACTATATACGGATTAGCCTGCATACCGTTCTTGTACTGTAAAAAGAATGCAAAAATCTGTCTGTACGCTGTTATTTTAACCGAAAATATGATTCTCTGTGAGAATGCTTCCCATGGTTTGACTCCAATCCTATGAAACACGAGATTGGAAATGCAAGGCTTCAGGTCTTGCCCACTACGGAGTAGTCGCACGTCCTCAGACGAGGGACTGAAAAGTGGACCTGGTCCCGGTGGAAACGGCGTCTTCTGGGATTCTTATTATCAATTATTAATTTATTATTTATGCTGATAGTGATGGACCAGTAGTTTTGGTAGTTACTAAGTACGTGATAGAAATTTAATAAAAAGCAAAAATCCCCCCGATTCCGCCAGACCCTTGCCAGAGTCCGGTGGAAGACAGGCTATTATTACATCAACCATTTGGCTGCTTGTGGAGTCTACAAGTTGATCATTTTGATAAGCAGAAGGACGCAAAGACTACATAAAAAATAACTGAAACAAAAGGTCGAAATGATTGACAAATCTCAATCTAAACTTTTTCAACCTCTCGTGATTGGAAATGGAAAAATCAGGCTTGATCACAGAGTAGTCTTCGCTCCGTTGACCAGAAACCGAGGAGAGCCTTTGAGTCCCGTCAGCACTCCACAGAATCCAAATCGCATTTGGTACCCTGGGGATCTGATGGTCGAGTACTATACTCAGCGAACCACGAAAGGCGGTCTTTTGATTTCAGAGGGCATTCCGCCCTCACTCGAGGTATTCAAATTTTCCTTTCACTCTTCAAATTGCCTTCCCCTAAATTAGTCATGTCGATTACGGTATGAGCTGATGACATTTAGAGCAATGGAATGCCCGGAGTCCCCGGTCTTTTTACTCAAGAACAAGCCGACGGTTGGCGCAAAGTTGTCGATGCTGTACACGAAAAGGGAGGCTATATTTACTGCCAGCTTTGGCACGCTGGCCGGGCTACTATTCCTCAGATGACAGGCTCACCCCCAGTATCAGCCACGGCCAGTATCTGGGATTCTCCGGACGAATGTTATTCTCACATTCCCGTAGGTGAATCGAAGCATGTTCGCTATGCGGATCATCCGCCTGTGGAACTGTCCGTCGAGCATATAAAGAAGACCATCAAAGACTACTGCGACGTGGCAGAGAAGGCCATGCAGATAGGCTTTGATGGAGTCGAGATCCATGCAGGAAACGGCTATTTGCCAGAGCAGTTCCTGAGCTCAAACATTAACAAGAGAACCGATGAATATGGCGGATCACCGGAAAAAAGATGTCGCTTTGTTCTCGAGTTGATGAATGAAATAGCTAAGCGCATCGGCGAAGAGAATCTTGCCATTCGTCTTTCACCCTTTGGTCTCTTCAACCAGGCCCGCGGGGAACAGCGCGTGGAGACTTGGACTTATCTTTGCAAATCTTTGAAGCACGCTCATCCGGCGCTGTCTTATGTCAGCTTCATTGAGCCTGTGAGTAGCAATTTTCTCGGGAAATCAATCTGATTTCGGATAGTCATTGACATGCGCACCAGAGGTATGAACAAATATTCAGCTACGAAGAGAAAGACAAATTTCTCGCCAGTTGGGGTCTTTCCGAAGTGACCTTAGATGCATTCCGTGAGATTTTCGGAGACACCCCTTTTTTCTCCGCCGGCGGCTTTGACGACTCCAACTCCTGGGGTGTAATTGAATCGGGCAAATATGATGCCTTGCTTTATGGCCGCTACTTCATCAGTAACCCAGATCTGGTTAACAGACTGAAAAATGGTATCCCTCTCGCAGCGTACGATCGTGCTCGGTTTTATGGTCCATTTGAGGATAATGTTATTGGGTACACAGATTACCCAGCTGCAAAGTGATCACTTCATGCGACTTGTGATCAAGGAGTAGTTTATCTATTCCTTGAGTCTCAGTTAGGGCATTTATAGCTGTTTAACTGAAAGCTTATATAGTACATACTTCTACGGTAAATTAGTTGAATCCTAGAATCCCCAATTCTCTAATCAAGAATATAGAAGTTGGTGTTAGGCGCCACGTTCTTTTTCTCACTAAAGCGTTAATTGCATCATTGACCTGTAGATATTTCCAAGGTCATCTACAGCAGTAAAGAAGAAGATATGCAGCTTTATTGCTATTCATTCCAGTCGCGCTCGTTCGCGTCAGTGAAACAGGACCAATCTCCATGTTGGGTACTCGGGCCACAACAATAGCAATAAAAAAAGTAAAATGAGACAAAACACAAACCAATCCTCGTGCACAACTTGACGTATGATGATAGGACGTCATCTTCGCAGAGGCCGAAAAGATAGTGGGTAAGCGTTACTGAAAGTAAGGTGTTGCGACAAGGTGTTTGACAATAGGGCAGGCTTCAGAACCTGCACATTTCCTATCGTAACGACTTCAGTCTGTCGGTCAACATTCTCCTGGAACAACGCAGGAGGTGCAAGGATCTCAATCTCCACAGGCTTATTTGCCCTATACCAAGTGTGGTTTGTTCTAGCCTCAACCAAGAAGTCGCGCGAGGAACGAAGTAGCCGTCTTGCTGATACAGTTTCACCCCGAGGAACAACAAAATCAATATCCTCGGTCAATCTAGTAGAGCCAAGCAGTACACATGCACCGCCGCCCACAATGGCGTACTTTTCGCAAGGAGTGGAGCGCGTTTCCAAGCGCTGTTGCGGCCGCCATGATTTCAGGACGGTTATGTAAATTTGGAGCAAACATTGTTTTGGAACGCCGTTTAGCTAGGATATCAGAGAAAATGAGGATTTGAGGGTCGAACTAAGTGTGAAGAATAGAGCTGCTGTTCATGAAAGTTGATGGTTGGGCGGAGCGAGGAAAGTGGCAGGTTCGCAGTTGCCTCGCGCTAAGATAGAATAGCCTCAGGCCCTATTTATATTGGGATATACATACCTAGGTATTGAACGCCAGGCTTACCAAAATAAGGGTTCAAAACACGGATAAAAGCGCGATGGACAATACTAGTAACACATGTAGTTAGGTATTGAGTACGTAGCGGAATGAAGTCTGAAAGGACCCTGGATAGGCTGAGAGGCGGCTCTAAAGTTTAGTGACAATAATTTTCATGCACTGAATGTCTTGCTATACTAACTAATGACAGGATTATGATGAAATTCCGCCCGGCTCGCCTTATATGTACAGGGAGGGAGCATACTTGAATTCAAAATGGCCTGATATGGTCTTGTCCTTATGAATTTTAGTTACGTCCATGCCGACAATACCAGCAGATAAACTCGCCTGAGATTCTTCCAGGCGCCATGGAGCCATATAAGGGGGTGGTGTTGACCCTGGCCAATGGGATGCTTTCGATGCGTAGTCTTCGTTGTTCCATACCGCGCTATTACGATTAGACTAAAACCACCCAGAATCTCCACTAGCGATTCTCCATATGCCTGATATTGATATGCTCAATGTTAAGAGTTACTTGCTCCGTGATAGGAAAGGCCTCGGCGTTTGGTTTCGCCGTCTTCGCCCGAAAGTTGGATCTTTCTTTTACCAAAGTGCGGGGGATCCTCTCCTCCGCACACAAATACGGATCACGAAGCCAAGCCAACAACCCACAACGATAAAACGAATAGGAAAAAGTTTTTGTATTGCTGTCTCGAGAAAATCATACGCTATGCTCGATAACTATCCTAACACGGCCGAACGCCGCTTAGAGCCAAGATACAAGCCTTGCCAAATTCTCACTGACCAGCAAATCCCGTATGTCATCTGGTTTGAAGATGCTTTGCATCATCACGGTGTCCCTGTGGTTGTCTTTGACTTGTATCTCTTGGTTCCAGACATTGATATTGCAGCCGAATGTCTTGTCGAAGCTGGATGGACTGTCGATACGCAGGGGCCCTATAAAATTGGAAACGCAGAGGTTGAACTACCCCAGCGCGGTCTCTTACATCCGAACAGTGACATGAAAACGGTCTTGCTTCCAGCGGAAGAGTGGAGGTTTCCCTTGACTGCTGCTGACGCTCCTCTTGAGACCTCGACGGATTGGCCATACCAGCAACTGTCGTTTCCAACACTACCTGGTTTTCTCGACGCTCTCCTCGACAGCTGGTTAGACTATCCCGATGAGGATTCCAATCTAACATCACATCTGGCCTGTCAAGTTCTATACCTTTATGGATATGTTCAACCGCTAATGGAGCCGTCCTTTTCGGACCAGTTGAAGTATGAACATCGTCAGTATCACTTTGATACACTCGCCGGAATGACAATGGGTACCCTACCGGCTCGAAGGCACCAACGGGCAATTCGGGATGCATTATTACCGGGCCAATATCAATTGTGCGAGTGCTCGACGCCTCGTGATAACACATTGCTCTTCTCCTCGAAACTGAATAAACCGAATGCTCTATTTCGATGTAAGTTTAGCCGCTTCCCTAGATAGTAAATACGCAATTTAAATCATTCCCATAAATCAATGTAGCAAACTAGGTTCATCTAATACAATAGATCTCGTGTAAGTACTTCAACGATTTGAGTAACAAGTGAGCAACAAAATAGGCAAAAAACTAAGCATCTACATTGGGCTCTCTTACTCAGTAGATTGTGGCCCGAGTACCCAGTGTGCGCTCATCACTATACCTCTAGCACAGCTAGGTAGTCAGTAAGTGCTTAGCATGGGTCAGTGGTTGAAATATGATGAATTACGTTAATAGCGGCAAGAAAATGGCAAGGAAAAGACAGCACATTCCATGTACATATATAGTACCTACGTACTAGGGACGTTCTATCAATGGATATTTTCTTTCAGGGATATATTGGGCGATGATCCTGAGCAACGTGCAATCTCAATGTGAACAGTAAACACTGAATTATAATAGAGGATCTGCAGTCTATTTGCATATTTAGCGATAATCAAGCAATCCGCAGACACTTTATATTTAGGCTTTGCTTCACACGTTTACTCCCTATTCCTCCCCCACTCCTCTCTCTTATCATCCTGTGCAAAATCATGGGTATGGCGCAAGGTCAAATGATCTACTTCATCCAGGTACTCGGCTGCAACCTCAATTTCTCCCTCTCTCTCCAACTGTTGAATCTTCTCCTCAGATGCCCGCGGGAACTTAATCTTCATCACATTCCGGTACCAATCTGCAAAATAAATCAGATTTAGCATGACGCGAACCTCCTCCTTCGTCCGGTTCGGCATCCCCGCATGCCACAGCCTCATGTCCCGGATTAGTAGTCCACCCTTCTTGATACTCGGCTGCACCGGCCCGCCGAAGCTATTCGTCCTCTCCTCTAGTAGATGAGGGAAAATTCCCTTCATTCCATTTTGATCCTTGAAACAAGTCTTCAGGTGCGTCCCGGGCCACAGCTCGGTCGATCCGTTCTCGGGACCGCAGTCGATCAACGCTGCGTTGACCGCCAGTGCAAAGCACACCCGCGGGTGCTCGTAGTGCACGTCGCCGTGTACCGGCTGCCGGCTCTCGCCGGGGAAGTTTGTATTGGCCTTGTGGTATCTCAGCACTGGCTTGGGTCCTAGAACGGCCTTGCAGATGGCGAGAGCGAAAGGGTTGGTTTGGATTACCGGGAAGATATATTCGGGGGAGGCCGGCATGTGCTGGAGAATGTTTTGGGCTTTGGTATCGTAGTTGAATTGCGTTCCTGGGGCGGAGCGGAGGTATTTAGCGTCTGCTGTCATGCGCTTGTTGAGAGGGTCAATGACAGAGTCGGGGATGGCGTTTTCAAGGATAACAACACCGTCCTCAGCGAGTGCGACAACGCCCTTTTCAATGTTGGACTTGGAGAGTCTACCGGATGCCCATTCCTCATCGGTCACCACAATGCGGGCGATGGTGGGGGGTTCGACAGCTGGTGGCATGGCGTGACTGTAGACGGAGAACTTGGAAAGCGTTGGAAAGTAGGAATATGAGTTGAATGCTAATCTCCGGTGTCGTGAAATGACGAGGCCTTAAATAATAGACACCATGTAATATTATACATTAGGGCAACGGCTCGACGTTCCGGATTTCCGTTCAGGGATTAGTGAAAGAGGAAGCGTATTGGACCATTGGACATTGGACTCTTAGAGGCGAGCTAGACTTGCTTACATAGACTCATGGAGTCTTGAACTTCGTCCAAGCTAATCTCAACAGGGTAACTCGGACAGTCCCGGAGCGATGATTGGTCCCACACAGATAAGGTCGTTGAGGAAAGACTTGAAAACATACTAGACTGTCCTATATAGAAGGCATGGATGCGCAAGTGTTGGGCCATACCTATGCACATGTTGCGGAGGCCCAGCCTGCCATGGAGCAAGAGTAACTTGTGGTAACCAAGGCTACTATGAAGGTAGTCCATGGTATATAAGCAAGTAGTATCAAACCTGGATCTTGCTTCTTACCTAGCAACCCTGCTGTGCAACCTACAAGACATCTCATACATATAGATAGCCCATGTACTATAAGGTTAAAGGGAAATATTATGTTGGCGATTCAGTATAAGATCATTGGTCCTTCTTCCACGAAAGGAATCTCCATATCTGAGGAGCACCACATTCTCTCCAGCCGGGCCTTGACCACCTCTACGGTTCTAAATCCCCGCCGAGCCTCCATCAGTACAAGTCTCTCTCTCACAAAATATCTGTCCCTCTGACAGGCTGACGCACCGCCATCAGTCAGGCAAGATCCAGCCATAAACAGAGGCCATAGATGACTTGCAACTGTGGAGCTCTCGATTGGGACAAGACGGAGGTGACTAATGACCGCCCTGCTGCAGGAGACAAAGTCAATGCCGAGTGATTGATTAGACTTTTGCAACATCAGCAGCGCAGCATGACGCATTGCCTCTCCAGTATTGCGAAAGTCGTCAGGTATGGCGTCGGGTGGTGACCATAATTCCAGCTTGTGACGAAGCTGGCTCGCAGTATGTGGTTGATTTGCCACCAAATTCGTGCGGTCTGCGATAAGACAAGATATCTGAGCTGCAATAGAGAGAAGAGCATCAACAGATGCTAGGAAAGCAGTTCGCTGGCCTGTTAGAGAGGCCCATCTGCTGTCTTGGTAGTAAATGTCTGTAAATAGTGATGGCTGACCAGTGGATATCAGGGCCAGAACGTTATGGTATGTAAAGATGTCAAGAATCATCCTCATGTCCTTGTCTGAGCTCCGACAATGGGACAAGTAGGGCGTTACTATTTTGCCGGCGGCAACTAGGTGTTTGACCCAGTCACTGGGACTGTTGGCCTCGAACACCTCGTTGATGCTGAGCATAATAATGGTGGTTAGGGTGCTGATATCACTAAGATCCTTGTCCGTTTCGAGCCGGCGAATCAAGGCTCTGAGGACGCGGCCCTTATAGACGGCGTTGTGACGGGTGAACTTGTCGTAGCGAGAAGAAAGATGGGTGGCAGCTAGCAAAAGTAACGAGTCAAGAACATCTGGACATGAGAAGGCCATTGGGATGATGACATTACGGTAGACGTTGATGGAATCGTCACTGGCGCTGACGATGAGACGCGAGAGTGTGTAGAAGAAGTGATGGAAGAGGAAGGTTTGATCTTCCGATAGGTTCCCCGAAACTATGGGCAGCAGTCTAGGTTGAGAAACCAGGGAGTACATGTTGGAGGGCTGATAAGTCGACTTCACTGAACAGGTATCTGAAGATAGACCATTGAACTTAAGGCAGCCTTGCCTCCCGCGACGAGAGGGAACGAAAGTTGACATCCACTTCAAGCGAAGGGCATAACCCTCGCAATCGAAACCGAGTCGCGTACATGCATTACATTTTGGCTTTGCTTCATCACATCGATACCCCCGGCGACGGCAGGTCCAACAACCTGAGAACGCAAGTCAACACCATCGGACCTGCCGGACACAAACAATCGCCGCCTACCCGTTCTGACTCGCCTGATGCGAGATGTCATTATGAGGCAAGCGTGGTATTTTGAGGTTAAATAATCAAGAACTGGAAAAGGAAAAGAGATGGCCCGTCTTTCGCCCTTATCAAGGCGGTCGACTTGCGGGGTAGTTACTTGTTTGGTATCTAGGGTTAGGGCTAATAAGTTAGGGCTTACGTTGCACGGGGTCGAGTTTACGTAGGGGTGCCCATTTGTGCATAAAAATTCCAGCGTGGCTATAAGAACATCACACAATCCAACAAAACAGAACAGGAAAAGTTGCGACGTCGAGTATAAGCCCGAGGTCGCCGACCATTCTCGCAGCGTCTCGGGACGCCTTCTTCAGAGCTCCTTCAGTTAATCAAATCAGCATTGAGGATCTGATTTTGTTATTTTGCATATGCAGAAGCACAGGCAGGACTCACTAAAATAATTCCAAATCTTCTAGAGTCAGATTACTGCAGCCTAACTCGGAGTGGGTTAGTATACTGTAGTATACTTAATTCCAAGTCAATTTATACGGCAATATGCACAAACAGCCCTACGATGGACCCCGCGATCCACATAATCCTGTCTATACGGAGTATTTTGGAAATTTCTCCCGCATAGGGTACTTCAGACTGGGGTTCCTGCTTGTTAGTCCACGTTCTAGGTTCGGCGACCAGGCTTGTGGCGTTTGGAACATGCGAAGAATCAGGAGAATGGACGACGATTAGTTGGCGATGTCCGACATATCCACCCCTATGCTTCCATCTGCACTGTACAAGTAAGTTTTACTTGGTGTTTTGCCTTCGATCGCCGAGTCTTCTTTGTCTAGCACATCGATCGATCACGATAATAGTTCGCTTGTCAAAGCAAAGAAAGAATGCAAGGAGGCTAAGTGGAGTACGTATTCCAAATCACTGCTTTCTTTGCCTATCATGTAGCACAATTCATTATCACCACAATAGAATTCCCTGATCGTAAGGTCCGTGGGCGTGCTTACGAATTTGATGTTAGTACATGGTAGAATGTACCACGTACTATACAACTGACAGGGTATATATATTAATAACAATAACTTTAATGTCGGCGTCTTCCTTCGCCGAACAGGCACAAGCCACGCTGGTCCTGTAGTTTGTATGTTATAGCTCCTTGGTTCGAGAGTGAATCAATAAGGCTCGGAATATCAAACATGACGGATGGTCCTTGATTTTATTTGAAACATTCATTGAGAACTGTCTCTGTATACTATGAACACATGTAGTTAGGTAAGAAAAAGATGTACGTCCCATTACAGTAAAATTAGTTCAAGATCACCTTCATGGAGCCACCACGGGGACTGGCTGCATTCCACTGGAGCCCGCAGTTGGTGGGGATCTTTTTTGTTCTTGTATGATTCCTGTCTGTCATTAGAGCTTTGACACACTTATACCGTATGTCGTACGTCGTGTTTGTAGATCTAGTAGTAGCAGTTTCCATTCGGTGAACCCTAATCGACAATTAATGTCTGGCTAGTCCAACCACCCGCGACTTTGTTTTTTTGCTTAATTCCTAAAGATCTCAGGCAGATCGCGAGATTTCTCGGATTGATAGTAATGCCCACATGAATGTGCGTCTGTCAGGCACATGTATCAGCAGGGTTTCCAGTCACCGTCCTTGATAGCAACCTAGCTACCTACTTAGGGGCAAATCCGACACAAATTCATAACAAGCCGAAAGAATAAAAGGACGACAAAGCTTACTATATAGTCTCTACTCAGTCTGCTTCTTCAGGGACGGTACTGGATTGAGCACCGCTTCCTTCTGCTGACTCAACTCCTACGACAGACCATCGAATCAGGACACTTGTATTCCCTACCGGCTTTTTCCTTCTTTACGTCGAGTTATATAAAAGTGGGAGCATGAAAGAAACGGAGCATCAAGGCATCTGGTGTGAGACGACAGCTGACGTGTGTTCACTACCAGCTTTCTCCTTCTTTACGTTGGGACATCTATGAGTAAGAGCATGAAAGAAACGGAACATCGAGGCATCCGGTGTGAAACGACAGTTGACGTATATTCCCTACCGGCTTTCTCCTTCTCTACGTTGGGACATCTATGAGTAAGAGCATGAAAGAAACGGAATATCGAGGCATCCGGTGTGAGACAGGGGTTATATAAAAGAAGCGCCTCAGGACCGCTGAACCCATGGCTCAACATGCCCAAGAACGTTCTCCGCCAACCTATACCCTGAACTCGACTTTTCAAAGTCACCATCAACATCAACGGACATCTAGGAGGCACGTAGCTGACAGCTACTCCTGCTTTACCCACACAAGCAACAACCTCTACTGTCATTCCTACGGCGATCAACATTCAGGACACTTGCAGCAGAGAAGAGCAGTGCCCACAATGAGTACATCAACTGGGAACACGCGATCTCGAAAGAGACCATTTCCTGAAACCAATTTGGCCAACGACCGTGATGTGCAAGCCTACTATAAGAGCTTCCACGATGGACATCCCGTCATGTTGCCATTCTCGCTCATCGGCGGTCCTTTGGCAGGGCACTTCCCAGAACAAGTCATTAACATAATGCGCTACATCGGAAAGCATTATCAAAAGCAACCTCTGCCAGAGAACTTTATAACCCAAGCATTGTCAAGCTTAGACTCGTCCTCAGTCTCCAAACCAAGTGGATTTCATGTGCAGGGGTTGACCCTTCTTGCCATCTGTGCCCACGCACACGGTCAACATGACCAGGCGCTCAGCATTGTCCAAAAGGCAGTGCAACTAGCTCTCACGCTCGACATGCACACAGAGGCCTTTGTCAGCTCTAATACTCATGGTTCGCAGCATATGGAAGAAATGTGGCGGCGTACGTACTGGGAGTTGTATGTGGTGGAGGCCTTGATCAGCGCATTGGGGGGCCAGGGGTCTTCTCTAAATGTTTCAGCATCGAATATCTTTCTCCCATCTGACAAGGCATTGACCGTCCGCTCTAGTAGCGAGGTGATTACAAAACCCAAGATACTCTCCCTTCTTTACATGAATCTTCTATACTAACGAAGGCTCATAAAGTCACTACGCCCATCAGGCTTAACGTTCCACAATCTCCATGCTAGATGGCCGAAAACACTCAACTTTGATGATGGCTTGCCTTCGTTCGGCTACCGAATTTTGGCAGTGCATATGCTGGGTCGTGTCCTCGCTCATGGACCGTATTCTTGCCCAACAGGCAAGGGTCAGAACACCATTGACGAGATCGACCGGGCCTTGTCGGAATTGCGGAAGCAAGATGTAGTTCAAACGAGCCTGAGATATGCCAAGAATGTCACACATTTTGAAGAAATGATCTTTCAGGGAAAGATGATTGCCAACTCGTGAGTCCTCTCTTTCGGACGCTTTTTTCATGTCTTTTATTGACAGACTCTGCAGTGCATCCATTTATCTCTACCGACCTCGATCTGCACTCATAACCGTTCATTTTGACGATCCGGCGTTCATGAGTTTCTTCCCCCGGGGTTTCATACAGTTCGCCCAATTGCCCAGCCCCAAAGTCCACTCGGACTTGTTAAAGGACGCAGCCCAGCAACCGCTGCTGGACGCAGCCAAATCGATAGCACGTATGCTGACGAGCGCTGTTGATAGCAACCGACACAGCCCGTTTCTAGTCAATGGGACAATTTTGAGTATAGCTGTCCTCACGGCTGCACGTTACCACCTAAAGCCAAAGGACCCGAACAGAGAGCTGTACAAAAATCAAATCATGGCTGCATTGGGGGTGCTGAAAAAGGTGGAGAATACCTGGCCATGGACGAAGGGTGTGAGGTCAAACTTGGGCAAGGTCTATAAGGGGTTGTTTCCATGAGACGCCTAGACAGTTGTTGCCTTGCAGCCTTGACGGTTCGTGGATCTCAGACGTCTAACTAAGATATAGATAGTTCAATAATGAATCATCATCAACAATTCCCAATGCTGTCTTAATGTAGGTGTATTAATGGTTGTGTTGGGAGGTGATAGAAATGAGTGGCATTTCATTGATGAACTTCATGTATTCTGTGATAGTAATCTTTGGAACTTCATTCTATAAAATGCGATTGCCCAACGGACTGAACGGTACCAAATTTCCTGGTCTGTGTATAGCAGGGATAGCGAGGTATTCGAGAATAAATGCCTGAACTGTCCATTAACAATCTTTTTATTCCTAATCATAACAATAAGGAATTCTCAATTCCTGCTAGAGGAAATGGAGAAAACATAAATACGCTTCAGTCAATCACTCATTCACTCAATTGATGCACAGTCAAGTTGAACACATTCGCAGGGTCGACTTGCTAGACTAAAAAAAAAGGGGGAATATAGTGTTGAAAACAGAATCTAAACCAGGTATATCCTCAAGCGGCTTGGAGTAGGAGAAAATGACTGATAACTACTTCTATTTGACAATCTTCCATCACATTCCATGAGACCTACCTGCGACTAATCTCATACACGTTTTCTTTATACCAAAGGCCTTTATCCTCATATAAAGCCTTTTGTGATCTCACACGTTTCGCGTTTCTAAACGGCTGAAAATGATGCCAGATTGTTCAGGCATCCAACTCCCTCTACCAAGGTACATGCATAACATATGACATCCCAATTCCAATTTCTACAAACGCATTCCATGCCAAATCTACAAAAAATATTAGAAAGAAAAAAAATAACAAAGTTGATAAGAAGTGAAGAAAACACCCCCCCCTGTCTTGATTGATGAATCATCTCAGGACTTAAATAGGGGGTAGCAATATACGCGAAACCAGCGCGTAGCAGAAAACCGAAAAAAAAAAAAAAAAAGAAAACAATTTTAGCTGGTTTAGTTTTTGTTATTCCCTTCATCTATCATGTAGATGAGAGGGAGAAATTTTTGGAAGAAATATCAGACAGAAGGGAGAAAAAGAAAGTGAAAGGAAAGAATAGAGCATGTACATCAAATCAAGAATTGACAAAAAGCCAGGATCTGAATTCCAATGCTTTTTGGGAGGGAAATGAAAAATTTTTCTCTAATAAAAAGAGTTATTTGATCAGGCCACTGGCTTGACGGTTCGGTTTGATTGAATGAGCGAATCTCGACTTATGTATATGTATATGTATATATACCATCATGTACATTCTTATGATGATGCAACGACCATAGGATCACCTAGTGGCTTCAGAACGTTGTCGCCATATTCACCAGCGTAGTTACCTAGAATTTCCGTTAGTTTCTTGTTTAGTGAGGGGATCGAAGAATGAAAAAAGGTTCATACCAGCTGGATAGTAATTGCAAACGGTAAATGGCAGTGACATGGAAGAACCCGAATTTCCCAGAGGATCACATGTCACAGTAGCACAGCCCACGCTGGTTGTATCCACCCAGACAATCTGACTGAAGTGGCCCCAGCTGTCGAAATCGCTCATGGACGGGCTCGCCTCTCCATACAAACCTTCGTAGTTCATCATCTCGTCGTTGTACATCATGTTTGTGATGATCTCATCGACATCCGCGGCAGCGACGCCAAAAGCGATGTTCTGGCCATAGTTGGCCGCGGGGCCGAGGTCGGTGTTGTGGCCGTAGTTGCAGGTGTTGGCCAGCGCGAGGGCACTCTCGGCCAGGGTCGAGTTCCAGATCAGATCAGAAGCGGAGTGGTTGGCGCGGTGGATGTTGTGGGCTTCGATGACCATGGCCTGGTAAGCGGAAGTGGCGGTGGCAGTGGCAGTGGCGCTAGACGATGTCGATGTAGACTTTGATGTAGTTGAGCTTGAGGTGGCGATTGATGTCGTAGTCGGCTCAGCAGAGGTGGACGTGGACCAAGATGAGGACGAGGAAAAGACAGACTCGCTGGTGGACGACGACACGGGGTGCATGTCATTGTTAACACGGGCAAGCGCAGCTTCGGTTACCGGCGTGCTGGTGGCGGAGACAGAGGAAATGGCTGCGGTGGTCGAAGTGGCAGAGACGGGCGAGGGAGTGGTTGTTGTTGATGTCGTCGAGACGGCCAAGCTCGTCGGGCTCTCGGTGACGGTGACGGTGACGACGGTCAGCTCGACATCGGTGACCACGACCACACGGCGGTCAATGGGAGTGGCAAGCGCACTCCAAGCGCACAAAGCAGCGCCAAACAGCGCGGAGCCTTTCATCTTGTCTCTTTTTCTTTTGTTGTTGTTGTTGTTGTTGTGTGTAGATTCTGTGTGAGGTATGTGTTCTTTTCCAAACAATCGGACGGCTTCTCCAGGAAGTGAGGCGAGTGGGATGATAACGACTGGCTGAGCAGATCGACTGCTCGGACGCTGTGAAGGAGTGAACAGCGGCGATGGGCAAATGAATAAAGAAGGCGATGAAGAAAGGAAAGTCCTGCAGACACGTTGAGGGAAAGAAGAAGATATACTCCGTGAAGAAACGAAGGACGGCCACGGAGCGTCTCAAACGAATCGATTAATTAATGAGCCAGGCGTTCCAGACTCTGCTTAGCTTAGCATGGCGGCCGGTGGACCAGACGTTTTATTGTCATTATTATTATTGTTATTATTATTATTATTATTGTCGCTGTTGATGTGGCCATGGCAGGCATATAATACGGTGCTGGATGTTCGAGTATGGCGGGGACCGGCCAGCCTTTGACGTTCCATTGGCATGATTCCCCTGCAGGGGCGCGTCCCGTGATTGGCGGCGCCCCCCTGGAATTGGAGATCGTCCGCAGGGGCTAGTTTCACCTTTTTTTCCTCTTTCTGCTGCAAAGGCCGATCGATCGATCGCAGAATGCCAGACTGCACAGAGGAACCACAACATGTATCGCAAAGCATGAGGCTGGCACATTCCGCACATTCCTGCCGGGATATCCTCCACGACCCGAGGGCCTACGGAGATGAAGACTCGTCATATTTCAGGAGGAGCCGCGGAGGCCACAGCAGTTTCATGTTGATAGTCGCGCTGGCCTGAAATTTGCGGCCGGCCCAATCAGCGGCCTTGCTGGCCTCGACGCAGAAATTAATCGCAACAGCCACTACTCCGTCTCACGTGAGTTACTATGCAACTAACTTAATCCTGTCTGGCCTGTTGCTGAATACTGCCGTAAGTTACAAGCAGCCAGTGTTTGGTAAGCATTTTCAAGCGGAATGGACGGGGGGGATAAACCTTTCCATCAAACAACGTCAAGAGCCTGGCGTAGTAATAAAAGGAGAAGGAGGGGAAAAAAAGAAAGAAAAAAAAAAAAACGTTGGCAAAGGCGGGAATCGAAACCCTGTCGTGGTGGGGCAAAAAGCGGGTGGAGCCAGCAGAATCGCTGCGTCTTATTGGACAGATCGATATATATATATATATATAAGAGACTGTGCATACAAAAGATGTACTAGTACCTAACTAGCTTAGTTAACTATAAACCAAGCTTTTGTCATCAACACCACACACAACACAAGAGAAGAAAGAAAAACAAGTACTAACAACACCGGAATTCTCAGCACGGAGTTATACAATATAAGCCCTACAAATCCACCACTCGGCAACTGCCCGTCTCGCAAACAAGCAAAAAGTTCTTCGGCGGCGTCCCGGGCTTGAGGTCTTTGAACAGTGGATTTCGCGTCTGGAGCCACTGTGACGATGCCCGAATATCAACCATGGCCACGGTCGTCGTCGACGTAGACGCTGCTGGCCCGGCCTCAGCACGGATTCGCTCACGTAGCGCATCCTGCGTATCCGCAGCAAGAACACCGGTGACGTTTTTCACGCCCAGCTCCAGACCAACAATCGCATCCAGTAGATTCACGAACAAGAACGGATGCTGCATCATTTCAACCGAAAACGTGTTGCACGTCTGTCGCGCTAGCTGTCGGTAACTGTCGTCCTCTAAGAGAGATCCCAGTCGCACCAAGTTCCGGGCTATGATGCCATTGATCGATGGTGTTGCCGAGTCCGTGCCGCTCTTGAGCCGTAGGAGTGGCCCTGGCTCGCCTGGGATTGCTTCTGACGACGTCGTATAATATCCCGCTGAAGTGCCGGGCTCTGCACCGGGGGCGCGGAAATGTTTGTTTAGATGTTCTGCAATTTTTTTTTTTTTTTTGGTTAGCGGTGTCAGTCATGTTGTATAAATTTGTATGCATTGGAAATCCTTTTCTTAAGGGTTATTAAAAAGAGGACGGAATGGGACTAACGCTGTAGTTGCTCCGCAAATTGTAGATAACTGTCGTCAAAAGTCGCCTCGTACATGGCAATAAGACCATATGTCAAAAATGCATAGTCATCAGCGAATCCAGGGGTATTCCCACGACTACCGTCCCGATAAATACGCCACAACTGACCATTCGAAGTTTCAAAGAGGTTGTCTTTGATAAATTGCACTGCCTTTTGCGCCGAATCTCGGCATTGCTGCGCTTTCACTTTGTCGACCTCGTCCAGCAGAAGACTGGCCTTTGCTAGCGCGCCAATGGCCAGCCCATTCCATGACACAATGATCTTGTCGTCGAGGTCGGGCCGTACACGCGTCCTTTCTCGGTACTCTCGAAGCTTTTGTTTCCCTGTCTTGATGATTCTGATCACCTCCTCTTCACTAAGCCCAAATTCCTTGGCCAGTTTGCTGGGTGTCACCTTGATCGACAGCACATTCTGATTCATAAACTCATCGTGCGGATCGTTCTGCGGTGCAATGTTGCCGTCTGCCAACACGCCCCAATGTCGCGCACATACGCCGGCGTCCCGCTGCCCAAGAACTTGTTTCAGCTCTTTCATCGTCCACACATAAAACGCGCCCTCTCGTTTTTCGGTCTCATTTGCCGTCGGCAAGCTATCAGCATCCTCGGAAGAATAAAACCCGCCATTAGCAGCCTGTATTGGCTCAGTGGTTAAGTAGCTGACAAGGTCGTAGACGGCACCCAGAAACTCCGGTTCATGCGTCGCCCGGAATGCATCCACATAGACATCCAATAACTGAGCTTGGTCATAGAGCATCTTCTCAAAATGAGGCAGCAACCAGTCGACCGTTACACTATACCGTGCCACCCCATGTCCGATATGGTCGCGAATTCCACCGCGAGCAATATTCAAAAGAGTAGTGACAACCATTGCTGTGGCTCTGGCACAATCGTCCTGACCGACAATATCCGATACCGCAGTTGGGTACATACCAAGTCGGATTAGGAAGCTCAGGTTTGCAGGCGTAGGGAATTTCGGCGCACGACCAAACCCACCATAAACAGGATCGTAGCGCGACGCAAAATGCTGGAAGGCTTCTTCAAAGAGCTCAATTTCCAAATCCTCGCCACCCTCCTTACTTCCTTGCTGCTGTGAATGGGTGCCCTCCTCTGCGAACTCCCGCAGCTGTTTGGTGATTTCCTTCGCGCTGTCCAAGCATCTTGCTTGCTGTGTCTGCCATACATCACGGAGCTTCTCCAGGATGTCAACGAAGCCAATGGGATCTTCAGCACCCCATTGCGAGTGCGAACTCGATTGCGGACCGGGCCAGTATGTTCCACCAAAGACGGGCTCGAGATTTGGAGTAAGGAAGACGTTCAGCGGCCAGCCACCCGAGCCGGTTATGGCCTGCACGTAGTTCATATATACATCGTCGATATCCGGTCGCTCCTCTCGGTCTACTTTGACCGGTATAAATGACTCGTTGAGGATGCTCGCCACCTCTGTTGACATGAACGATTCCTTCTCCATGACATGGCACCCTAGAAGCGTTCCGTTAGATCGTTCCCAATCAAATTGCAGCCGCACAACAACGATGGTAACAACACGTACAATGACATGCCGAATAACCGATACTGACGAAAATCAGACGATTGTGTTCCTTCGCCAGTTCAATAGCCTTTGAATCCCACAGTTGCCAAGCAACCGGGTTATTCATGTGCCCGCGAACCTACTCACGTTAACATTGACGATTCCATTCTATTAATCTATTTTTTTTTATTTTCTTCTTCTTCTTCTTTCTTCTTTTTCATGCAATACTACAGGCGGGGTGGGCGTACATAAGGAGATCGACTTTCGTGGAGACGATTCACCAGCTTCAAGCTCGGCGCCGAACCAGCTGCGGCCCCTTGCTGCTGCTGCTGCTGCTGCTGATGCTCGGAGTGATCGGCCATGTTCGCGGCAAGAAACGACAACAAACGAGCGCCTAATCTTCCGTCTGGTTGACGATGAACGAGTCCACGCGGTTCCGTGCAGGTGATTGCTCGCGAGGTTGGGATTGGTGGCGGCGTGTAGCTTCGTCCCCGCGAAGAGTCGAGGAGTCCCCGCCGAGCGTGACGATGATGTAAGAGGGGCAGAGCTCCGGAAAAAGAGCGAGCAGTGTGTCTACACCCGGAAGAGCTTCTCATACGAGGTGCTACTCCTTCTCTCTCTGTAGACTTGGATTGGAATAATGGCGAGCGATGCTGCAGCTAGTTGCTAGGCTATTTGCTTGTGCTTTTGTACTCTTTTCTCCGCGCGGGCGGCTGCGAACGGCGGGCCCAGCATCGGGATTGATCACGTGATTTACTGGCATCGAAGACTGGCATTTTTCACTACATCTGAGTTCTTCTCTCTAATTCTGTAAAAAGATTCGGCTTCCAAGAGTTCATTCATCGTCCGCCATCAGCTCAGCCAGCTCCCGTTCCTCTTCTTCGGTCAGCATGGATTCCTGCTTCGGCTGCTCTTCTTCCTTCGGCTTCTTTTCCGCCTCCTCTTTGGACTTTTGCAAGTCTGCTGGTCGCAGGCTCCATTTCCGAATGGTCGCATCGATGCTGACACTAACAACCAGGCTTCCTAACAATAGCAAGCCAGTCACTTCTTCAAAATGCCCGGTGAAGGTATGATAAAGCTCGCCCGTCTGTCCAAAAGTTAGCGAACGCCCTGAAAATGGACACCGTGGATCTTCTTCGTAGAAACATACTGCCTTGTTCCACACTCGCACTTCTTCGTCCCGGCAGGCGGTTATGACCCAGCCCCCTTGCTCAAAGACCACTACGTCTCTCACAAAATCCGGGTGTTCGAGCACTAGGTTCGCTTTCCAGCCACTATCTCGCGTAAGGCACTTGGTAGAGTTGTCGGCGGAGGCAGTCCACAAATCGCCATCTTCGTCAAAATATAACTTATACACGCTCGTCTCATGAGCAATCAACGGCCCCTCAACATGAGAAGTTCCAATTCCAATCGTGTATTCGCGGATCTCACGTTCGCTGCCGGCTGAAAATAGTTTTATAGTACTAGTTTGGTTTTCATCCAGCGTGGTAGGATCAATGCACAAGTCTTGGACGCCCCTCAGATGATCTTTCAGCACTTGCAATCGCTCGCCGCCGGCAATCCCGAAAACGATGATCTTGGAGTCCGCGCCGCCAGATATAAGAATGTCCTGACCGTTTATGCGAGCACATGTAACGGACTTTACAAAATCAGAATGGCCTTCGTATCTTCGCTGCGGCTGCCTGGACCGCACGTCCCAGCTCCAAACTGTCTTGTCCCAACAGCCAGCAAATAGCAATTTGCCGTCAGGACTGAACGTAAGACTCGTTAGAGGAGCAGTTGGGCCTCTGTATAGAGCCAATGTCTCGCCAGTCTAGATCTTGATTAATCTCCAAACTCAAATCCCTGGTGGACTTTGTATGGTTCTGCCTACCTACTTCTAGAGATACTTTTCGTATTGTGCCCGCGCTCTCGGCCACGAAGACAGACTGTGAAGCCAACGGATCTGCCGCAATCGCCAGTATTTTGCTTTGGAGCCTGATCGGACTGCCATGTTCATTCTTGGACTTGGCGATCTTGCGATCATTGTCCTCTATCGAGGCGCTGGCTGACAGTTAGCATGAAGGGGAGGGGGGAATGTAAAAGATTGGGACCACCAACTCCGTCTGGAAGAAATCGTCTCGGTGTGATGACTGAGGCATTGCTTATAATTTGATTGACGTCTTTCCTGGCCAGAGAGATTGCCATCGCGGATGTTTGGATATGTTTTTTTTGTTGTGGCATGGCTGCTGATGGGCTGCGTCTTTGGTCCGCCGCGCCCGCCGTAGCAGTTCAATTTCAAGCCACAAACAGCTCGTCGCCCTCGACTAGCTAACTACGCATCCATCCCCTCGCCAGCTCCATCGTTATTTCTGCTATTTATCGCTTCTCCCAGGCGCCTTTGCGCGCTTTTCTGCCAAAATGGATATGAACCATCTGATAGGGTCAGTCCTGCACTGCGTGCGTTATTTCTCGTCTGTGATCTCAATTTAACAAGCAAGCACTAGTCAGCGGTTCAACTTGATCTCAAAAAGCGATATTCGGTATGGCAGACACCAACCACTCCTTCGTGCCGATGATGGATTTAACAAGTTACATAGCTACGTCGGTACCCTCCATGAAATTAATCCCGAAGCGTCGACCATTGCACTTGAAAATGTCGTCTCCCACGGCACGGAAGGACGCCGAGGCAACCCTAGCGAAGAGCTGCCTGCGTCCACGACCATCTATGAATACATCGTCTTTCGAGGCAGTGATGTGAAGGATATCAGTATCGCCGAGGAGAAGAAAGAACCGGAAATCAAGCCTACACAAGTACCAGACGATCCTGCTATCCTCGGTGTGAGTCTTGGATTCCCTTCCTCCATGCCGCTTTCTATATCATACGATTGAAATATTACGGGATATGACCACAGACCTGTTCTGAGAGCGATGAGCTTTCCGTTGTTTTCCCTTCGAATTGCTTTTGCTATATTTGTTATACAATGCCGTCAACGAAAGGCTAATGTCCATGTTACCAGAGCATGTCCCGCCCCGGCCCTCCTGCTACCCAGCCTCCCCAGCCGCAGCAACAGCAGCCCCCTCCACCAGGTCCCCAAGGTGGTCGGCCAGGTCCACCTCCGGGCTATCCTCAACAACCCCCCTTCCAAGGCTACGGCTATCCTCCATATGGTCAACAACGATTCGGGCCCCCTGGTTACGGTCCTCCTGGTCCCGGTTTCCCTCCATATGGTGCGCCACCTGGATGGTTCCCACCACCCGGCCATGGCTTTCCACCCGGTGCACCGGGTCAATTCCCTCCACATCAAGGACCAATTGGACCCCCTGGTCAGCAACGTCCAGGTGGCCCGCCTGGCCCCCCGGGGCCACCTGTCGCTCCTGGCAAGCCCGCCTCGGAACTTCCTACCAGTGATAAGACCGCGCCCCAACCGACTGTCGCAAGCGCAGCCCCGGCTCCCGGTATTGCGCAAGACGGCCCAACACCGCCAGTCGAATCGAAGCCTTCGGTATCAGAGGCTACTCGTGGAACTGTAGCACCTCAAGGACCTGTTGCGGCTACTGCGCCGGCCCCTCAAACCCCCTCTAAGCTACCTCCAGGTGGCCCTAAGAATGATCGTTTTATCCCCGCTATTCCCATCGCCAACGCGGCAGTGAAACCTACCGTGCCACTCACAACCGCACAGCAGGGTGCAGTTGCGGCATCTCAAAATACCGCACAAGCCGCCATCACAGAAGCCACACGAGCTGCAACAGCTGCTGTTGCAGCTGCAATGGCCAAGCTTCCACAGCCAAACGCTCAAAAGAAAGCCCAGAATGACGCCGGTGTTGAAGATCTTACAAAAAAATTCAACGATATCAAGCCATACGATAACAACCGGGTGAATCGCGGTGTGCACCACGGTCCACGAGGTGGGCGCGGCCAGCGCGGTGCACCACATGTTACAGGCAAGAAACTAGAACTCCCAGATACTGATTTCGACTTTGAATCATCCAACGCAAAGTTCAACAAGCAGGATCTAGTGAAGGAAGCCATTGCTACGGGGTCACCGATTGTCGAAGAAGAGAAGGAAATCAACGGTGGTGAAGAAGACGTGCCTACAAGCCCGTCAGCGGCTCCATCGGCCTACAACAAAGCATCATCTTTCTTCGACAACATCTCAAGTGAGATTCGGGACCGTGAAGAAGGTGCGAGTCGAGGTCGGGAACGACGAGGTGAAGAGGAGAAGAAGAACATTGAAACGTTTGGTCAAGGCAGCGTCGACGGCTATCGCGGTGGTTACCGTGGACGAGGTCGGGGACGCGGTTATGGTGGCCAAAGGGGCCGAGGTGGTTATGGTCGAGGATATGGAAACAACCGGGGACGAGGCAATTTCCGCGGACGCAGTGCTTCACAATCCACGGGCGTTCCTACGCAGACTTAAGGTTGTGCCATGCCATCGGCATATCGGCATATCGACATATCGGGCGTCTTTGAGAACGAGAAGAGCATATTTGAGAAATGACATGGTTGGCTTTCTGTCTTGGGGCGGTGCATCCCGAATTCAAATACAATACAGCGTGCATCATAACAAAATTCCTTGCAGTCCATATGATTCAAAACTATTGTGGTACTCTGGCGTTTATCTTTGACTTATTCCAAAGGTTGAGCTAGGGCTGTGCTTCACATGTGATTTATTTGCTTCGTTCTTCTTCTTTTTTTTTTTTTTTTCCCTCTCTCTTTGTCTTCTTTTCGGCGCAATTGACACATGAAGGGACGCACGTTACATGAAAGGAAATCTGGTTGGAAAAAAATATATGTTCTTTGTTATCCGTTGCCATGAGATGATTTCCGAATTTCTTCTTCTTCAGAGGTGTTGTTTCTCAGCTGCTAGCATTTCTTATCAACTCTCTCCCCTGCATCATCTACCACATGTATTGGCTGTATCCGACGAGACTGTTGGCAGTTTATCTGTTCCTTGGGCAAAGGGAAAGGGGTATGTTATGTAATGTATCATACTAAACGTACGAAAAAAACAATAATAGAACTCAGGTTGTTCATACCTGTACATGTTGTGCATTGTAATATCATCAACACATTCCATGAATCCATAGCGTGGTGGAGCAGCCCAAACGGGTAATGCCGCGGTCCAACGCTGCCCTTCACCTGCCTTGAAAGTTGGAACGTCCAGCCATTCCCCGCGGGCATTGCATACCATCACCGCCGCATGCAATGTCCATCTTACTCTTCTCTCTCTCTTTCCGCGAGTGCCGATTGCAGTCTACCCAATTCGATTGCTTCCCCGGTGATCCTCGAGCAGCTCCTGTCGCGTGCCTGACAGCTAACTACTAGCTACCTTGTTTTGCCGAGCCGAGAGCGAGGAACGTACGTACCATCACGGGCCGACAGACAGACTCATTGTTGCATGGGAAAACTAGTGTTTTTCATGCCATCCATTCGTTTATTTTCATTTCCGACCACGCCGTCTATAAGATTCGATTTCCTATCTCCCTGATCCACGGACGGTGACGACAGGCTGGTGTGCGGGCCGCGCCAGCAGTGCAGCTCATGCAGACAAACCTCGAGTCGCAATGTCGGACTCTGTCGGTAAGACGGTTTTTCAATCCATTCATCCTAACAACAATCTGGGATAGAACATAGCTGACGTATTGGCCGGGGTGGGGGGTATTCCACTGCTCACTCAGATCGCGTCTTTGTCCATGCGCTCAACACTGTCAAGAAGATACCGAGGACGGGCACTGCCCGTCCGCCGGCGGCGGAGAGACTCAAGTTATACGGGTTATACAAGCAGAGCATGGGTTCGTTATCACTCTCTTCTCTGCCTTTTGATGATAAAGATTTGGCTCCCGTTCTAAGCATATGAATATATATACTGGCAGAGGGTGATGTGGAAGGTATAATGGACCGACCAATTGGCGATGCGCCGGATGTGCGAGCGGAGCGAGAGAAATGGTAAGCTCAATACGGACGAAGTAGCAGTGCAACCAGTTGCGAAAAACAAAAAAAAAAAATTCTAATTTATTCAAACAATTATGTAGGGACTCTTGGTATTCCCAACGAGGCTGTTCTCGAACCGAGGCCAAAGGGCGCTACATCACCACCCTGATCAACACAATGCATATGTATGCGTCGCAAACGGCAGAAGCTAGAGAGCTCGTGGCCGAACTAGAGTTTGTCTGGGATCAAATCAAAGACAATAATGATAATAATGCACCTTCATCGTCATCATCCTCACCGTCCAGTCCAGTCGCACCCGTGGTTCCCGTCCCCGCGCAGAGACGATATGGAAGTATAAACGAACGGATAACCCGCTTGTCACCGAATGAAGATCCAGACGAGGATTTGGCGATATATCGGAGAAGGTCCGGTGACTCGCGACTGCGTGTGTTGAGTCCGGTCAGTCAGTCTGAGGAGGCTGATGTTGTACCGGTGCCAGAAGAAGGGGTTGAAGAGAATGATGTCGACGACGACGACGACGACGACGGAGAAGAAGAATTCCAAGAAGCCCGGGATGGCACATCATTCTCCGAAGAGACCACCACCTCGCAAGACCATACAAATCGTAATAACTACAATAATAAGAAAAGAAGGAAAAGAAAGCGACCACCAACGTCAAGAGAGAAAGACGACGAGGACAAAAACAACGACTGGAGGCGGCGTGTTGAGCAGGCCTTGACAAAAATGACAGCCGAGGTCGCAGCACTACGTGAGCAAATCGAATCGCGACCCATGACTATCCATGGGCGCCGACGAGTCGGTCTCTGGTCATGGCTCAAATGGCTTGTTTGGAACGCATTTCGGCAGATGCTCTGGCAATGTTTCATTCTCTCTGCCATTCTGATATGGATGCGTTTCAAGGGCGACCGGAGACTAGAGCAGAAGTTGCGCATGATACTTGTGAATTTCAAGAATCGGTTATTAATGACTGTGAGGATGATGCCACGACGACTTCCGAGTTTATCTCATATATCACTTCCATGATTTTTCTTCTTTTTTTGGTTTTGGTTTTGTTTGCTTTTTGCCTGTGGGTTGGGTTCATACGCTTCATGTAAATTCCTTGCATTTATCCATATACATATACATATATTTCTTTTCACTTATCATCGGTTCTTATTTTGCCAGACATGGTCTATGTTGCATGTATCGGTGCATACTTTATTTGGTTTTCACGGAATAAAAGACTCCTAGACTAATAGATCCATCTCTTCTTGCCTTGTGGATTCACCATAATTCCATATGTATAGTTTCATTGGTATGTAACTATTTAGATTTTGGAAATTATTTTTGCGATGTGTATCATTTCTATGCAGTCGTCATTATTAAGAGCAGGCAGAATTATTATGCATGTAATCCTCCCATTCAACCCAAGTCCATAGCCAGGTTATGCGTTAGTGTGTCCGTAATCTCGTCACTTCTCTGCTTCAGCACCAGTTTCGTGGCTCTTTTCCTCCTCGTCATGTTCATCCTCGTCGCTGTCCTTCTCATCGTCCACCTCATACTCGACATTCGCAGAGTTGTCAGCCGTGACTTTCGCAAGCATATCATCCAGATCCTTGGGAAGATCCGAAAAGGAAAAAGCCTTGAGGAAATTCGGCGTCCATTCCGCCTGAGGATGAACAGCCGAAAAACGGAACTTCCCCGTCTTCTGGTGGCCAGCATCCTCCTCGCCCTTCACGTTACGAGTGTGACCACCAAACAGCTCAAAGGTGTCGTTATCAAGATCCACGCAGTAGCAGTATTCGCAGAAAAGACCGTCCGTAGCAAAATCCAGACTCAGCAGAAAGGGCATGTAGCTGTCACTACGCGCAGAGGCAATGAGTTCAAAGAGCTTGGAGCCAGTGTCTCGACTCAGGGTAGATGGCACGCAGGGCGATGGTCCAGACATGGGCGCAACGGCACCGCACTGGCAGACGCGCTGGCCCAGGCGATCGTAGGTGTTGTATTCGTGGCCCTCTGCGAGCTGCTGCACGGTGTCTTCATCCACGACGGTAATGAACTCCATGCCGGCTTTGAGGCGTTCAATGTTGCCGGGGACGAGGAGGAATTGCAAGATGCCCCATCCCTGGCCTTCGAGGTAGCCATCCCACTGGGTGTACTGGGCCACCATGAAGCGACCCTTGTAGTATATGCAGATGAGGCTACGGGTTCCCATGTTGGCTGAGAGCAGCTGAGCAGTTGTGAGTGATATGAAAGCAATGTAGGAGAGGATTGGCAAGGGAGAGAAAGAGAGAGAGAGGGAGACAGAGAGAGCCTCAGGCTACGTGCAAGGCTGCGCGGGGTAACAAACGACAAAGACTTGAAGCAACAACGGCATGAGTGGAAACAGATCAGTTAGAGACTGTCGTTGTTATTCTTAATATTGCCATACGAATAGCTGGACCAATTGTCCAATAGCTATCACAGACTACATCTACTTCGCCTTGGCAGCAAGCACCCTCTCCTTAGTTCCGGTCGCCACAGCTTCTTCATCATAGATGCCATTCACGCTCTCGTGCTGCACAGTAGCCTCCAGCCACCTCTTGAACTTGGGTACAGTCTCCAGGAGCGTGTGTAGCTTAGCACTGAGCAGTCCATACTCGGGTTTGGCGAAGGAATTGATCCGAAGCAGGAATGATCCAGAAAGTACCTATACATGTGTTGGATCAGCCATTCCTTTTTCTTTTTTCTTTTTTTTTTTTTTTTTTTTGGCTTACCTCTGCGAGCGTTAGTTTCTCGCTGCCACCGTAGTAGGGCCCCTTCCCAGATACCAGGAGAGGCTCGAGCTCCTTGGCCACGGCGTCGACGAAAGCCTGCGCCGCCTGGTCGCGTTCTTCTTGGCTGTCGGCACGAACGCCGGTCCAGAAATGGGGGATCACCTTGCTGAAGAAGCTATCCACGAAGAAATCAAGACGTGCCCGGTATAGAGCGTTTTCGACGGATGTGGATGGCGGGAAGAGGTGTGAAGGATATGCGTCGGCCAGGAACCGCGCGACAACGGCCGATTCAGTGATGATTTGTCCGTCGTATGACAGCGAAGGCACCAGACCGCGCTGTTACTATTCTGTCAGTCGGCTCACTCAGAGAGAGAGAGAGAGAGAGAGGAGTCTCGCGTACGGGGTTGATCTCCAGGTACCATGGCTCTCGCGGCGTCGTCAGGTCGATGGTGACCTCTTCGTAAGCCAGGCCGAGTTCTTTGAGCGCGATGTGCACGCGGTGAGCCCATGGGCAGCCTCTGTTGGTGTAGAGGATGATTCTGGGAGAAGCCATTTTGATATGAACCTAGAAGCTAACTACAGCAGAGAAGAAGAAGAAGAAGAAGAAGAAGAAGCAGAGGGCACGCGGCGTCTTTATAGACACAGACCGTCGCAAGCCTCGCAGCAGATGGCGAATCTTCCTCCGCGTCGATTCGCCTCGACGACTATTATTAATCAATTCACTGACCCCCTGTCGCGTCCCCTCTTTGTGCACATCGCCATAGTAGCTCGGTAGTATGGATATGAATCATAGCATGCTGCATGCTTAGAAACAGCTGAGCTGCAGACTACTATCTAGGTATATATATACATGGCCATTCTGCCATGCATATACATCCGTCCATGGACATCTATCTCTATAAGCAAGCAGAGCGGTGGGATATGCTTCTGACTGCCGCATGCTGGGATAGCCAGCGAGTGGCTGTCCAGAGCAGACAGACCATTTAGAGTATGGATTGCATCTCCATCGCAAACAACGAGCATAACAGTGTCGCACGTGAGGGTGCGCAGCCTGAGGCTGCCACCCAAGCTGAGGCAGCCAGGCCCCCCACCAGCAGCGAAACAAACAAGCCCCGCCTCTCTCTCCAGCGCTCCATCCAACTTCCAACTACTCAACCTCCCCAAACGCACACTTACTCTCTCTCTCATTCTCTATTCCCACCATCTCGCGTCTACCTTCTCGTGTATGTCTCGCCTCAATATTCGGATTTCCCTGTCCCAATTCTCCGTCCCCTGGTCTTCCGCTTGAAGCTGCCCCGCAAACCGGTCGCACCGCCACTGACTGACTACGTATTTCTCTTGTGCAGTTTCTCCTCCCTACAGCTCCGACCCAATTCATCCCGTCCGTCATGTCTGTAAGTTACGGACTGCCTCTTTGTCTTTGGCGCTAAGCGAGTGTGCGCAATATATAAAAAAAAGAAAAGGATAATTAAAACTAATCGATCGCTTTACCGGGCCATAGCTCGCCTCAGGGTACGTTGTGTTTGCCTGTGACAAAAACCAGCCCATTCGTGGACCCCAGCTGATGATTCAACCACCAGAGTTACCATCGATGATGACTGCATCAACGCTTTCAACGAGCTCCGCATGAGCCGCGGCAAGGTCAAGTTTGTTATCTTCAAGATCACCGACGACAAGAAGCGCGTCGTCGTCGACGAGTCGTCCAGCGACCCAGACTGGGAGGTCTTCCGCACCAAGCTTGATGAGGCCAAGGACGCCGCTGGCAACCCTGCGCCCAGATACGCCACCTACGACGTCGAGTACGAGATTCCAGGCGAGGGCAAGAGGTATGAGCTTGACCATGAATTGGATGGCGAGGAAACACAACCGCTGAACATTACAATCTAGGAGCAAGATTATCTTCATCTCTTGGGTCCCACAAGACACCCCTACCCGCGTAAGCTTTGCCTTCTTATCTATTCCGGTCAATGCAACTAACACAGAGAATGAATGTCAGTTGTCTATGCTCTACGCCAGCACTCGCGAGGTTCTCAAAAACGCCGTGAATGTCGCACAGTCCATCCACGCCGACGACAAGTCAGACATTGAATGGAAGAGCGTCCTCGCCGAGGCCAGCAAGGGCAAGGCCAAATAGACAAAAACCACGCCCGATATGGATGTTGTGTGCTTGAAAAAACCTCGATTGCATTCCCGCGAGATTGCCCTGTAAAAAGATGTTTTAAATCGATGCGGTTACTACGGAAGTTCACTCTCCCATAAATAGTCTTCTCATTTGTTGAGTTCACGCTCTGCTGAGACGAATGCTTTGTTTCCCCCTCCCGATTCGCCTTCGATATTCGATGATGAAATGTGTGTACGAGCTTGTCTTTTCTTCTTCCTTTCTTTTCTGAGCACACGCAACGAAGTTCATATTTACCTCCCTTTCCTTAGACATGATATCAGGTTGTTTGACGGTCGGACTCGGGTGTTTGAGCTAGTACGTAGTATTGAAAAAGGTCTCTATCCACGCAGCTCTTAGGATGTGTGTAAGCGAAAGATCGCAGTAAAGGAGATAGATATCCTTCTACAAGACACAAGCACCATTGCGTGGTGCTGTAGTATATAGTATGCAGTTGTAGCATCAGCTGTTGCAGATTCCGAGCGACGGCAAAGTCTCGGGTCCGCGGGACTAGCGGCATCGCGCGGGCCAATCAGAGGCGGGCCAAAAAAAGACCAGAACCGGCTCCCGGACAGACGTCGACCTCAAACCACCACCACCTCCAAAGGAGCCCTCTCGTTTCCCTCTCTGGTCGACCATCTCTACTCCACCCTCCCCCCCAATTCAATCCCCTCTTTCTCGGCGAGCATCGACCTCTGCCTTCTCGAAATTCGCTCTTGCCTGGCCGCGTGACGCCTCAATCCCTCGCCTGCCCTTTTCTTTTTCGCACACAATGTTCGTTCGCACCGCTTCCCAGGCTGTCCGCAGCTCTGCTGCGCGCGCCTCTGTCACCCCAATGGCCCGTGTTGCCGCTCAGCAGACGCGTTCTGCTTCCGAACACGCCATTGCCAACCCTACGCTCGCCGGTATCGAGAAGCGCTGGGAGGCTCTGCCGCCTCAGGAACAAGCCGACTTGTGGATGCAGCTCCGGGATCGTATGAAGGTTGACTGGCACGAGATGACTCTTCAGGAAAAGAAGGCTGGTATGTTTCCTAAAGCATAAAGGAATTGCAGGAGAGAGAAATCAAGAGAAAAATTTTCGACTGACCGCCATGGTAATAAATAGCCTACTGGATTGCATTCGGAGCTCACGGTCCCCGCAAGGAAGCCCCCAAGGGTGAAGGCTGGAAGATTGCTTCCAAGGTTGTCCAACTTGTTGCGGTCTCTGTTGGCCTGTTCTATACCACTCGTCTTTTCGCTAAGCCACCTCCTCGCACAATGACCAAGGAATGGCAAGAGGCCAGCAACGAATATGCCCTTGTACGTTCTTTTCTTCTTATTCTTTTACCCTGTGTCCGGCAGCTAACGAGGCTATTCACCTTTTTCTACAGAAAGAGAACATTGAACCTATCACAGGTATTAGCAGCCAAGGCTACCAAGGCGTCGGTTACGTGCAGAGCCCACCCGAGAAGTCCTCATAGATATAACCAACAATTCCTTTTCCCGGGGGGCTTTAAAAGAAGAATTGAAGATAGAGCGAGAGGTGGATTCGCTTCGTTTCGAAAAATATGTCACTATATCCTAATAAGTCAGTTTTCGTCTCGTTCTTTGCACTCTTCTTTTCCTTCCCTCCATGCGAATCGAGCAAAATTCATGTACCGCCTACTGTGCCATAGCCAATATATTTCCTTTGTAGCTTTGAATTGTTTGCTTTGTGAGTTATAGATGGGCTTGCAATGAATGTGTATTGAATTCACTATATAAAGTGGACAGTCCCAGTTTTTCCAAGGTTGGGTTTATGTGAGTAGGTATATATATATATATATATATACCTCGGTATCTCCATGGATACCTAGTTTCTTGAGTGAACGATACATAATCCAGCCTTTACTTTACAAGAAACAACATCTTACAATCAAAGCAGTGTCTGAACCAAGCTATCCATGGATGGCCGGAGACCACTGCCGTGCAGCATTATTACGTACCTTGCGGCCTAAGGGAGCCAAGCTTGATGTTGCGGCTAACGGATGTCCAGCCTCAGGCACCAACCCCAACAACATACACCAGCTCTCCTTCCCCAAGCGCAATTGACTAGAGATCGCAATATAGAAGAGCCACACAATAAAGCCAATGGCAATTTCAATGCCCCTACTCGAAAACATTCCCATTTGTCGTGCAATTGAGGCCATTGAGCGAAAATCCTGCCGCGCGAGTGACTTGGATGAGTGTGGTTTAGTACGGGGCGCAACTCCCGAGCGCCGGAACGTTTGTGCTGGGCTTTGCTTCAGGGCAAGAATATCTTCATAACAGAAAACAGCTCGATGTATAAGGCAGCCGTCGTCTCTATCCCCAGACAGAGCATTGCACGCCGATAATACCCAGCAACAACAGCAGTAAATAGGTAAATGGTAACAACAAAGTAAACCAAGCGATTCGTTGCCAGGTCGGGTGCGGTCGGGTCACGGGAGCCGGAAAAATGTGACGCCGACGCGCAAGGCTTGAGTGGCCGCTGAGAGTTTGTCGCACCTCTTCTCCCCTTCTCTTCACACTCTGGCAGCTGCCATACCCATCTCTTCTCTCCTCCTCCCCATCCTCTCGCTCTTAAACACCCATCACAATGTTCAAGAGGTACGTTCCCAGTCCAATTGAGCTTGTTTCTTCCCCCCCCTACCCGCGCTGCGCCGTCGTTACTGACCACTCTGTTTTTCTGCTACAGCGGCCTCGCCCGGACCTTCGGCAGGGCTGCCTATGCCCGACCGACCTCTGTGGCTCGTCGCGCCTTTGAGCCTCTTCGATCCAATGCTCTCCCTGCTCTCTCTGCCAGGTTTGCAAGCACAGATGCCGGCCTTGTTGGAAAGATTCACCAGGTCATCGGTGCCGTCGTCGACGGTATGTAACACGTCTCTAGCTTTTTTCGGGGGCTTGGCAAGCTGGGATGCCGGATCGTCGGAAAATCTTTTTTCTGAACCCAATTCCATCTCAACCTGCTCCAACAAGCTACTCATCGTACGAAGGGACTGTTTTCTGATTTTGGGCATGCAGTGAAATTCGACTCCGAGTCCCTTCCCCCTATCCTCAACGCTCTTGAGACCGACAACAACGGCCAGAAGCTTGTGCTCGAGGTTGCTGTACGTATTACAACGAACCTTGAATACAAACTATCTCTTGTTCTCAAGCGAACGAAAACTAATGTCTGGACAGCAACATTTGGGTGAGAATGTCGTCCGTACAATTGCTATGGATGGTAGGCACTTCTCTTCTTTCCTGCACGAAGCTTTAGACGCGTGGCTTGAGCATTGCATCTAACCCTTGCTCTAGGTACCGAGGGTCTTACTCGTGGTGCTGCTGCCCACGACACTGGCTCCCCCATCAGTGTTCCTGTCGGCCCTGGCACTCTCGGTCGTATCATGAACGTCACTGGTGACCCAATTGACGAGCGTGGTCCTATCAAGGCCACCAAGCGCGCCCCTATCCACACCGAACCCCCTTCCTTCGCTGAGCAGTCCACATCCGCCGAGGTCTTGGTTACTGGTATCAAGGTCGTCGACCTTCTTGCCCCCTACGCTCGTGGTGGAAAGATTGGTCTCTTCGGTGGTGCTGGTGTCGGAAAGACTGTGTTCATTCAGGAGTTGATTGTACGTTTTTATTTTATTTTTTTTTTTTGACGTTTAGTGTCGGTCGACCACTTACTTACAATGATTAGAACAACATTGCCAAGGCTCACGGTGGTTACTCCGTGTTCACTGGTGTCGGTGAGCGTACTCGTGAGGGTAACGATCTGTACCACGAAATGCAGGAAACTGGTGTCATTCAGCTCGAAGGTGACTCCAAGGTCGCCCTTGTGTTCGGTCAGATGAACGAGCCCCCCGGTGCTCGTGCCCGTGTTGCTCTTACTGGTTTGACCATTGCCGAGTACTTCCGTGATGAGGAGGGTCAGGATGGTATGCAGCTCTCTCATCTCTAACAATTAACAATATGGGGTCCCGCTGACTTGTCTCCTTCAGTGCTTCTCTTCATTGACAACATTTTCCGTTTCACCCAAGCCGGTTCTGAGGTGTCTGCCCTTTTGGGTCGTATTCCTTCTGCCGTCGGTTACCAGCCTACCCTTGCCGTCGACATGGGTGTCATGCAGGAACGTATTACCACCACCACCAAGGGTTCCATTACCTCCGTCCAAGCCGTCTACGTGCCCGCTGACGATTTGACTGACCCTGCCCCTGCCACCACCTTCGCTCACTTGGACGCCACCACTGTCTTGTCTCGTGGTATCTCTGAGTTGGGTATCTACCCTGCTGTCGACCCTCTTGACTCTAAGTCTCGTATGTTGGACCCCCGTGTTGTCGGTGAGGACCACTACCAGACCGCCTCCCGTGTCCAACAAATGCTCCAGGAGTACAAGTCCCTCCAGGATATCATTGCCATTTTGGGTATGGACGAATTGTCCGAAGCCGACAAGCTTACTGTCGAGCGTGCCCGTAAGCTGCAACGTTTCCTGAGCCAGCCTTTCACCGTCGCCCAGGTTTTCACTGGTATTGAGGGCAAGCTCGTCGACTTGAAGGACACCATCAGCAGCTTCAAGGCTATTATCAACGGAGAAGGTGACGACCTTCCTGAGAACGCTTTCTACATGGTCGGTGACTTCGCGTCTGCTCGTGCCAAGGGTGAGAAGATCTTGGCTGAACTTGAGGGATCATCGTAAAAGATGTAATATCAACAACCACTGCTTGACAATTTTTTTTTCCTTTGTTACAACTTGCATAGTGTTCCCGCTTTCTTTTAGCGCGTGTGTATATTACCCGTATAAAAGAAATAGGATTTGAAAAATTATTATCTGTTCTTCATAATCCGTCAATGACAGTGCAGATTAATGGCCTTAAATATGCATTGGAAGTTCGACTGGGATGTGAGATTTGGCCTGGGATGCTATCTGCCCCGGGTCTGTAACATGTCCAAGGAATAATTAGTGGCCAGCCAGGGTCATCGCGCTTCCTTCTTCCTCGGACCAACAACCCAGTGCGACAGAACGAAAATAACACGCTTTGAGAACTGAACGAAACAAAAGCATCATGTCCACAGAAGTCGACAGCCTCAAAATCATCATTACAGGAGGTGCCGGCTGCATTGGCTTTGCAACCATCCAAGCTCTTCTAAGCCACCACGCGAACGCATCAATCCACGTTCTCGACATCATTATTCCTTCTTTTCAGTACAGCAACAACAACATTCAATACCACAAAGTAGACATCACCAATGCATCCGCTGTAAACTCAAGCTTCCAAGCCATCAAGCCCAAAGCCATCATCCATACAGCCTCAGTCATCCCCTCTGCAGCACGGAAACAGCATTTCTCCAACGAGCGTCTATGGGACGTCAATGTGAATGGCACCAAGAACGTGCTCAACGCCGCCGAACAAGTCGGTACCGTCGAAGCGTTGGTGTATACGAGTTCGTGCGATGCCGTGAAACCGGATAGTTGGATGAATTTTGCGAATGCAAATGAGAAGGATACAGCGTATTTGATGGATGCCGAGAAATGGGACAGCGAGTATCCACGGACGAAGGTTAGTATTTCCCTTCCATCTCTCTCTCTCTCTCTCTCTCTCTCTTAAGAGTACCTGTTTCTATTGTTTGTTGTGTTTGTTGTGCGTGGTTTGTATGCTAACGACAGAAATAATATGTGGATGATATATATAAAAAAGGCCGCGGCGGAGAAACTGGTCCTCGCAGAAGAGCGCAAGATCAAGACATGCGCCATACGCACGCACGCAGTCATAGGAACTCTTGACCAGAATCTATTCCCGCTAGTAGCAACAAGCCCACGCAAAATATCGCTTGGCTCAGGGAAGAATCTCTACGACTTCAGTTCTGCCGATAACGTGGCGCAAGCGCATGTTCTAGCCATGAACAACCTACTTTCTATCGATGCCAGTGCTAAGCGGCGCGCATTCTTCGTATCGGATGGACGACCCAAGCCCTTCAGAGAACTGCAAGAGATGATCTGGCGAGTTGTTGATCGTAACGGTGACAATGATGCTGTCGCCGCGCAGGAAAAGAGTTACGGTGGATATACGGCGATTCCGGTGTGGTTGTTTGCTGGCATTCTTAGATTTATGCGCTTGTTGGGGGTCAAGACGCAAATTACGCCACAGGAGATTGGCGATGCTGTTGCTGTGCGGTATTATGATATATCAGAGGCTCGGAGCGTGTTGGGCTATGATCCGAGCAAGAAGACACTTGAGGAGTCTATAAGGGAGGCATGCCTGTGGTGGAGGCAGGGAGAGGGAGGACAGGGCCAGATATGACGGTTTTTCTTTTCCAAAAAATTTTTCTCTACTAAGTGGAACTCAGCTCGAAGTTATACCTACATACCTAGCCTAGGTAGTATCACTGGCTCGAAGCACGTATTACGTCTCTTGACCATAGGTCTGTATGATCCACTTGCAGAAGGCGTCCCAGCTTTGAACAAAGCTTTTATACGCTTCATTCCGCAAATCAAAGTCCATGCAGCTATGCTCAATGCTCCATTCCACGAGAGTACGCCAACCAAACAGGGACATGTTGTTGTTACCTACTAATGCTTGGTAAAAGTCGTGCGAGAGAGCACATGCGCTACGGGCGTCGGTCAGTTCCTAGGAAGATTTTTTTCTTCTCGCGAAGCAACATTGCAAATACGACTTACCTCCAAGAACCCGGATCATCGGAATTGATTGTGCACGGAACGCAGTTTGATAGTAGGATGGGGAGGTGGTGTGCCTTGGTCGTTGGGCAAAGGCCCAGAATCTCATTGGAGATAGGACAAGTCTCGATAGCAATGTTTCTCTCCTTACACAGCTGCATCAATAGGGGGTGCTTAGCGATACTAAAGCCATGACCAATGCGCTTTGTACCCAGCAAGATGGCGTCGTATAGATTAGAGTCGGTCTCGCCTCCATGATCCAGGGTCTCGCCTGCGTGGAAAATGAATGGAAGATCTAGTCCCATCGAGTCAGCTTTGGAGCGCATAGCGAGCAGCTCTGGAATAAAAAATGCCAACGAGTGGCCATTGTCCTCCTGGCCTTGCATATCGAATCCTATATCCCCTGTCAGAATCGATATAGCATCATCGGGGAGGTACCTAGGTAACGCATATGAGAGACCCTACCGCAGATCAAGCCCGGAAACTTCTTTTTCAACTCTAGGCAGTTGTCCATGCACCATTGCATGGCCTCTTTATCGGCCGAGCGCAAGCAGCCGTATATGACTTTTGCGCCATAAAACGTAAAGCCTGCGGACCGGATCTTCGGCACCTCTTCCTCGAGGATATCGACGAACATTTGCATCATATCGCTTTGACTATGCTGCCGTGTGCCATCATCACTGCTAATGGTGAACATGTAGCCGAGGGCAACGCGTATCTCTACATAAATGATACCTTCTCTTGCACATAGCCAAAGAATGCGGCGGAAATTCTCTCGGTATGCCGTCTCGTAACATAGCAGGGAGCGCGCCACGGATATGGACCGAATGAACTTCTTCCAGATGCTACTGTCGTTAGCATCCATATGTTGTGAGGCGATGAACACAAAACGATAACATACCCATTGACTGTTTGAGAGGGATGATACGCGTCCAGAGGCCCCAAGACCATTCGCTTGGTGATCCACGCCTCTGCCCTTTCAAGCCCACCGGGAAAGAGCCTTAAAAACTCAGAATATTCCATCCAAGATCCGGCAACATAATTTCGGCTGAAAACATTTTCAGTCTCTGTGAGGCCGCCGCGATCGTCAGGTTGAACACTGAATAGAGGTAGCGCAGAAGCAAAAAGCCCTTCTGATACCAGGGGCACATCACACTTGATGTAAAGTCTGCTTTGTTTCCGAGCGTCATCAAGCAAGAGGTATGGTGAGATCATCGAGTCGAAATGGCAATGCAGAAGCGCACCCTTCGGTGCCTTGCGCGCGATTTCATAGAGCCGACTTTTCTCAATGGCGTCGCGAGTGTGAAGGAAGCGATGGCCAGCCTCATAGCCCGATCCATCATCATGAACGCCGTAATGGTGGCGCTCCTCCCATGATTTGATATGCTGCACAATCTTTTCTACTTCTACTTCCACAGGGTTCCTTTCGGCCCTGCCTTCGTATCCTAGCTTCAGCTCGGCGCTAATCAAGGCTTCGCGAGATTTGAAATACTCCTCGGCAGAATTGAATCTCCCAGGGACTTCAAAGGGCTTATTATCCATGTTTGACGAAGTTGCAGTCTAACATATGAAGTTAAAAGAGACAGAAATGAAAATAGTTTGCGCACTAACTACCTCTTGCTACTAGGACTATGATCTATCTTAGTGGGCAGGGGAATGCGTCGGGCATACTAGTTGGCCCTGGGCCTTGATCGGACACCGAAAGGCACCGAACACCGAGCAAGAGGAAATATCTCTAGCAATGTAAATAGAGAGTAAACAGACCCCTACATGTTTCCATGAAGCTGCTCCACGTCTATGATACGTCTAAGGCTCCTTGAGGACTTTCCATATTCATAGCTTGTCTAGGTTATCCGCTATTTGGGTTTCGCTTCCTAACCATCATCGTGCTACTGGCATGATCCTCGAATTCAGCACTGCTAACTAGTTAGGGCTGCGATCCTACCCAGCACTGCCAGTTCACGTTACTTACCGGACAAAGGGAATATCACCCTCTAGACAAGGCAGAAACTTTCTGAGAAAGATAAAGCATGCAATCCAATTTCACAGCATATATTATCTAGGAAGGTCATAACTGCAAACATGCATTGACTGCCCAAGTAGGCAAAAATCACCTCTTGCCGAACATAGTAATGTGAGCCTATTCCGGTAATATTCGTATCTCCGAGATGCATTAAATAACACCGTAAGAAAACAAAACAACTTCAGAAGGTTGGGTGTGAACTAAATCTATCTGCCTAGAAAGACCAGAAATAAGGCTACATCATTACGATAATTACCTTGAAATATGATGCGTTGTAAGTGTGCGATGTAGGCATCAGCGTTTCTAGCGGGGCCGGTAGACAGTCCATCGGTCGATATAACCTGATCAAGCAAAATTGCAAAGATGGGAAATAGTCAATGTCAAAGATATAAAAGGCCATCATGAGCTCGATAAATCGTTAAATGCATAGAGAAGCTCAACTTCAATCGACAGCAGACAAAGATTTCCCAAGTGCATTGCCGCGGACGATACATTACCAGGTACCTAGCTATCTACCTGCCTAGGTATATTTATATTATATATATAACCCAATTTCATATCGTGCTCCTCAACTACGACACAATGAATGCCACGGCCGATAAACCAAAGCTCCAACGATGCGAGCGACGCTCAAGCACCAGCAGTGATAGCAGCAATAGCAGCAGTGACAGCGAGAAGGGCAACAACAACAACGACGACGACGGCGACGCACACTCCCACACACGCATCAGACGCAGCAAGATCGACACCAGCGACATCAGCGAATCAAATCTAAAACGCAGCAAAGTCGTCAACAGCACGCTAACCACCGTGCGAAGCGCAAAATGGACCAAAATCAAGAGCTCTGCCGTCACCAACGTCAACAGCATGAAAGTATGTGAGATGAAATCTGCGCATGTCGAAGATGTGGATTCACTCAGACGAGCGGTTGTCGAACGGTCTATTGTGGTTGATTGTATCAAGATTAAACGTGGAAAGATCCGGGATAGCACCGTAAGACGTGTGGTGCTTGGTCGGTCGACGTTGGATAACTGTGAGGCTGTTGACTCTGTTATTTATGGGTCAAAGTTTACTGGTATGATGCTTGTGAATGGCATATGGAAGAATGGCTCCTTGGTTGGAAAAGTGGATGAGACCAAGGAGGTGATTTTTCGACCTCTGGACAAGGCTGTATGTTATTTTACTTGATTTACCTGTCATGCCAAGCAAAACTGACCAGCATTTCTATCAGGCCGTGGGAATTTCAGAGCTCAAGTCTGGCACTGAGAAATTTTACCAAACCCCTATAAACGCTAAAGATAAGAGTGTTACCAAAGCAGATGGGGCCAAGGACTGGGAGGCTGGTTATATCGAGCCACTGCCGCGCTATGAGTCGAGATGGCTAATGCGATAATCTGTACATGAACATACCTAATATACTTAATTTGTTTTAATACATCCATGTCGACTTTCTGCTGCAGAGTCTCAGCACAAAAATAGTAGATGCAATTGTGTAGATTTGTGGCTCGGCCCGCTTGGGGGCGGGTGGCGGGAACATGTAGATCCATCGCTAGCGACCCTCCGCACGACTTCTTCTCATCCTCGTTCCACCTCTCCGTCCAAAACGGGGCAAGCTAGCTAGACACGCAATTTTGTACAATTTGGTCTAGCTTTAAAGAGCTTGATATATTGCGATCTCGAGATGCAAAATCAGCATGACTGGCTCTGCGTTGCTGGGCGAACCACCAGCGACACCTGACGATAGCCTCATCTACAAAGCGCTGGTGATTCTGAATGGCTCCGACTCCTTCCCGAACCCGACACAGTATGCGGATGCTGTCAAGCCTCCCAATGATTTTGACGGCAATTCTCAGTTGTCCGCAGACGTTGCGCTGTTGATAATCGTGGTCTTGTCTACCGCAGCTCGAGTTTGGGCTCAGCGCTATCGCAAAAAGCGCCATGTCGCATTTTGGATGTCAAACGTTTTTTTATTCCTGTCTACTGTGAGTCTGCTCCTTTTCTGTCTGTGAGATATATATTGACTAGTGCGCAGTCGGCCACAATTGCCTATGATTCAATTGTGTTTTATTTGTTCTCGCGTTCGTCATGTGCAGGCCGACATGTCAATTATTGCACCTATGAAAACTTGGGCAAAGTATATATGGTAAAAATGCTCACTTTGCCAATCGCTATGATTTTGATATCGCAAACGCGTAATATTAACGCAAATTGGGTGGCAGGTCTTGTATGTCGAGCAATCTATTTTCTATTTAGCCGTCTACAGCGCAAAGCTTTCTATTATCTGCTTGCTGCGCGGCGCTGTCGATTTTACAGTGCGATGGTGGAGACTGACAAACACCATTTTCATGGTCGTCGTGGTCATCGTGGGTATATGGTCGCTGCTGAGTACCATCTTAACCTGTATTCCTGTGCCACCCCATTACTCTCTTCTGGCGCTCGCAAAGTCAGATCCGGCCACCTTCCATTGTTTCCCTTCACAAACTCTTCAATACGTCAATCGCGGCCTTCACATAGCCACCGACTTCACCTTGTTGCTGTTCCCTTTTTTTCTGATGTTGCGGCTTCAGCTTTCCTGGACAAGAAAGGCGCTTTTCATCTTTCCATTCACGCTCGGTCTGGTAACCATCACCTGTAGTATCTTGCGCAATGTTTTTATAACATCGGTGACATCCGATCTTACTTGTTCGTCCCTTCCTGCCTCCTCTCTATCTAACTCTTTCCTAACCCATCTTCCAGGGGACATCGCTCGGGTCACAATCTGGGACTTTATAGATATCAATTTTTCAGCATTGATCACATCCGTTCCTTTCATTATGCCACTTATAGACAGATCTACGAATTGGTTTCGTCAGCGGTCTAAAGGGCAGGATTCTAGTCGCAGCAGTCACCGATTTGACATTCAGGAAGAGCAGGAACTCCTGGATCTTCGACAAAGCAATAACGGTTCTAATAGGGACAAGGAGGAGCGGTCACAAAACCCTAGTGAACATAGTGTGGAGGACACCTCTTCATATGTCGCTTATGATGGCAACGCTGAAATAAGGTTGCACAGGTAATGTTTTATTGGATCACGGCGTTGGTGCTTTGTTATTTTGGGGTTATGTCTGTATGTATACTTGAATGAGCGTACGGTTAGGTAGTACTTATGACAGAAAAGTTATGAAAGTATTGATTCTACTATATCCTGAATTAGGGTTAGCTACATTAGGTAACATTGGGGCAAATGTGCTAGCTGCATTGCACATATTCGCTACATCATTTTTCTCCTCAATCAGCCATACCTAGGTAAATGAAGGCTTCATAGAGCTTCTTCCCTCACCCCAAACCTACTACAAGCTTTGACAGTCCGAGCCCATCCAAGAGAACGACAAAGACATATCACCATTAGGTTAACTTCAGCCACATAATCATACATGTACCCCCACCCAGCCTACGCAAAATATACATTGTGCCCCGGACGATGATCTGTCGTGGTAATGCATGCAGTGGGGAGGGAGGATTACATAATTGACCCCGCCGCAATGCATTCCCCGGATTTTGTGGATCGCATTAGGCGCCTACCACATGCTACTATATGTAGTGCTGTTAGTCTATATGCTGTGCTTAATCTTATTTTTGTGCCGAGCTTAGAAGATACTGCCCTCGCGTTAATTTCGGTCTGATTATTGTTCTGCCTCCGCATATCCAAATTCTTGAAAGCTGGCTTGTAGACGGGGATGTTATGAGAGGATCTATAGGCTGTAGGATAGAAAATTAGGCAGTCCTCTGGGAGATTCAAAGCTGAACTGCCTCGTATCGCCCGTGCTCGGCTACGATCTACAGAGTCTGAAGCTTGGATTACACAGACCGCACGCAAAGCCCTCTGCCCAGAGGGAAGTACCATGGCACACTACGCGCTCACCCCCACGCCTTGTGCTCAATTACATTCAACTGCAGCTAAAGATTATCTAATAGCTGCGTATTTCCCCGCGTTTCCCCCTCATATCTGCGTCTGACCATCAACGTCGGTGTTTTGAAAGACAGTTGAGCAAGGTGGTAGGAACCATGTAAGCTACACAACCCCCACGCTGGGCGGTGTATATATATATGTTGTTCAGTTCGAAGAGCTATTAACGATCACACTTTTGGGGGTGTATTTTTTCTGACACTTTTAGGCGACTTTGTTTGCTCTATCTATTCCGCTTCGCATTCTTGGAGTGATCAACCATCATCAATCATGACCGACGACGTAGGGGTCATTCACGACCATGATGCAATGGGGGAGAAGATGGATATATCGCACGAGGAAGTCGTTCACCTTGCCCAGCTGACTCCGGAGGAAAAGGTCATCGAGACAAAGCTGCGTCGGCGTATTGACTCCACTATTCTCCCTTTCGTGATTATCGTGTACTTGATGAACTATATTGATAGGCAAGAAACGCGCCTGTATCTCAAGAAGGGACCTGGAAGACTGATTGAAATAGAAACAATTACGCTGCTGCCAAGCTCCAAGGTCTAATGACCGCGCTGAGCATGTCCGATGCGCAATACCAGACCGGCCTGTCCGTGCTTTTCGTCGCATATATATTGATGCAAGTTCCCTCAAACTTGCTCCTCAACTATGTGGGTAGGCCGTCACTATATCTCGGCTTTTTCGTCATGGCTTGGGGCTTGGTATCGGCCCTGACTAGCCAGGTCACAACCTTCGGCGGTATAGTTGCTTGTCGGTTCATTCTCGGCCTGGTCGAGGCCCCTTTCTTTGCCGGTGTCCTTTTCTACCTCTCAAGTTGGTATACGAAAAAAGAGCTCGCTTTACGGATGAGTATCTTTTATGCCGGCTCCCTCATCAGTGGTGCCTTTGGGAATCTCATCGCAGCAGGCATTTTGTCCGGCCTGGCAGGTGCTCGTGGAATGGAAGCCTGGCAGTGGTTGTATATCATTGAAGGATCCATCACGTGCTTCATCGGTTTGTTCATGGCGATATTTCTACCAGACTTTCCTGAAACATGGAGAGCCTTGACGCCGAAAATGAAGGCTGTCGCTTTGCGACGCCTGGCCATTGACGCCGCAGAGGCGGATGCCGACGAGGCCGGCGGCATGAGTCAATGGCGTGGTGCAAAGCTCGCCTTTTCTGATAAGCGTACCTACGCGTTTGCGCTAGGATATATGTGTATCAATGCCGCTACTGGTTTCCAATTCTTTTTCCCAACCCTCACCGCGACGCTGGGCTATAATAATGTCATTTCGCTCCTGCTCGTTGCTCCGCCGTATGTTTTTATGGTCATTTTCTCTCTCGGCCACAACTACTTCTCGGACAGATTCCAGAAACGCTTCGTTTTCTTCGTATATCCCATTCCCATTGCAATTGTCGGCTTCATCATTTTCATGACCACGTCTAGCTTTGGACCGCGATATTTGTCGCTTTTCCTCATGAACTTTGCATTTGCCATGATAGGGACTCTGTTTGGATGGATTGGTGGAACAATTCCTCGCCCAAGAGCAAAACGTGCTGCCGCGTATGCTTTTATCAACTCTGTGGCCAATTCGGCCAGTATCTGGACACCATATACGTACCGCTCCCAGGATGCTCCTCACTATCGCCCGGCTCTCGGCGTGTGTATCGGCATGCTGGGAATCGCATTTTTGACAGCCGCGTTCCTCTACATTGATCTTAGGTCGGAGAATAAGCGCCTGGAGCGCATTGAGAACGAGGACGCTATTCTCAGCGAGCGAGACTTGCGGCGATTGCAAAAGACAGCTGAAGTGGAAAGCATTGACATTGGGGCCGCTCGTCGGCTGCAGAAGGGTTTCCGTTATGTGTTGTAATGATTTGCTGGTAGATTTGACGATGCACGTGTTATCAACTTCACGAACCCATTTATTGTACAACTTTTGTAGTTACCTCGTAGAATCCGAGATGTAGAGCCGCTGTGGGCCTGAGGCAGGAGTGAGGAGCCTCGGCAGGCGCCGCCGGGCGACAGGCGCACCTCCGGCCGACTCTGCTCCTCCTTTTCTTTCCTGCTCTCTCTTCTTTTACGGTTCCCGCCTCTGCTCTTGGACTCATCATTGATTGATCGATATGTCCTCGATCGCCATTAGTTGCGCTGCTATGTAACGCTCGATTTGTTTTCTTCCGTGGCTGACTCCGCCAAACTATTTTGCTGCCCTACTCCGTGTCCTGCCGCGGCTTGCTAATGATCATGACTCCAAGCCACAACGGAACTCGCACTTGAGTACTCTCATTCCGTGCAAATCAATAGCCCCTCGGATGATCTTCGATTTGTCCGGATTTGGGAGAGACTGCACTGGCTAGTGGCTGGTGGGCTTTGATTTGTACCACGGCCACCAAGAATCGACAGACCGAGCGCCTAAGTAGCTTGTCAAAACGGGTCAAGAAAGTTGGCGTCTCGTTTGGAAATCGCCAAATAAGACTCTGTACCAGCGCAGGATCCCCCCGCCAGGCTCCAGCAAGCGGCCTAGGCTAGTCGAGCCAATCAATGAACCAAAGCCGTTGAGCCGTTGAGCTAATGCATAGAAATTAACGGGCAGGAATACGGAGTTGTACTCCCGTCACTGATCGCGATTCAGCTTTGACCAGAGCCCGAAACCTAAGTACTACGTGCGTACGGATCTTTGCTGGACATTGTGATGCTGACAACGGACCGATTGCAATAGTATTTCGTCAAAATTGCGCTACCTGTGTCACAATTCCAACCTGGATGTACCACCTTCCATCGGCCCACGACTCCGGACAACATACCAATGAACAGCTGCTTTGATGCCTCGCCAGTGGGGCTCCAATTGATCGACTGTCTGAGGCTAGCTGAACAGACCCGGAGGCGCTCACTACCACTTTTTTCATTATTAAATAATAAATTATTGGGAACAATTTGTACGAAGGACCGTCCAGAGGCGTACTCCGTATGGAGGGCCTAGTCTTTCAGACTAAAAAGGGTCCAGATCCAACGCCGTCTTCCAGCAAGCGAGCACTTCCGAGATCTCACATCCCAGACTACCCTTCTCAGTGGTATTCTTCGTTAATTTCTCAAAAATGGCATGATCTTTTCGATTTGCATTACAGTGCCCCCAAAAAAGGACCTCACTAGCCACCGGTCGAGATTCAGCGGCAATTAGGGCAGCAGGCGCAGCAACTGTAACCCTCCCCGGTCGCAACTGGCCGCAATGGCGGACCTAGGCCGCGGTGAGGGGCAGAAATCTAGGAGTAAGAAGTCTGTTAGCCGCCAGTCACGATCTTGTCGTATATGTCGTCTGCGAAAAGTCAGGGTGCGTTTTGCTCTTTTTCCCCCCCCCCTTGTTCTTGGTTTCTTTTCCTATGCCACTCTGTCTACACATGTAAGAAAGAAACTTTGTGACGATATACACACAACAAAAAGCAATTTCAACATGTCCTTAAGTATATGGCGTACCTGCTGACTTTTTAGTGTGATCGGGTGAGACCATGTCATGCTTGCTGTGCCTATGGACACCCATCGAAATGCGTGTACGATATTGGGTCTGATGATGAAGAGGCGCAGCCAATTACCCAAGCAGAAGAAATCCGCAATTTACGGAACGAAATCAAAGAATTGCGAAACAAAATTAATCAACATGGTAAGCCTCTTCCTCAATTTATTAGCCGAAATACACCCTCGGTTTAACAAGGTCTGAAATCGTGGAATTAGGCGGACAAGAAGCGCGTACTCGCAAATTAGCTGAATTAGAGAGGCTTTTTCAAGCAATTCGATCAGCACCAATAGACGTGGTTGATGATCTTGTTGGTGGTATTCGGGCTGATCACCACCATGTTCGTTCGAGAGCAATTGAAGGTGAGTACTCTAAGAGATCTCTTGACTACATCTAATGACACTGCTGGATTATATGTTCTGGTAACTATTGATCACCCACTGACGTTGCATGGAAGATGAGTTGCCTTTACGCATGCTCACCCCTTCAAGCCTTGATGGGATTGAAGATAAAACGGGCTACTCGTGGAACCTTGTCCGGTCAAGGCAGTCAAACGCAGGATTGAGTGACTCTCACAGTAGCAGTGGTAGCAGCAGCACTGAGAGTATAAGCGTCGAAGAAGATTGGTGTGGTCCACTGTCTCGATTTACGCCCCAGAAACCAATGTTGGACTTGTTTATTCAACGATTTGTTGATGCTTTCAGCCCTGAGGTGGATGCGAGCTCCGGTCATGCAGGAGCCCTGAGAGCCGGTGCTGAGATTCGAATATTTTCACCATTGATCTCGAGTGCTTATGACGCTGTATCATTGACTTATTTTGGTCGAAGCGTGAAAGATCCTCGCATTGAAGCTGCTGGCATGCAAATCTACCCAAAAGTTTTGCGGTCCTTACAAGAGGCATTATTAGACCCAGAGAGGAGCCGCTCTGAATCAACCTTGGTCACCGTGACGCTACTCCTGGCCTTTGAGAGTATCGAACGAACATCGGATGCGGGAGTTATTGCACACGTCCGAGGAGCAGCACAATTAATCAAGCATCGTGGGCCTGAAAATCATGTTCATGGAGTCGAACATTTGTTGTTTACAGAGTTACGACCATATTGGGTTGGTGCTTCCTCTTTCTTTTTTTTTTTAAAAGAAGAAATACAGAATGAAAACATTCGCTAACAAGTGCTTTTGTTAGGCTGGCGTGGCCCTCGCCGACCGAAAACCAAGTTTCATGGCCGATAATGTTTGGAAAACTGTCCCATGGTCGGCCGGAACTACGAAGAAAGATCTGCTGGATTACCTTGTTGATCTTGTTGTCGAGGTACCAGCTTTACTGGGTGAACACGATGATCTTATAACTGCTCAGGAGTCTCAGATTCTCGGAAGGGGTGAGCTTCGTGCGAAACAAGCACGGCTTTGGAATCGAATAAGTGACTTGACGTCGCGGTTTTTCCAATGGAAGAAAGAACATGTCGATTGTTACCCTGGTGGACCCGTGAAGGAAGCTAGGATACCGCAAGGACCCGATCCGTTTCCAGTATTTCGGTGCCGTGACCTACGCTCGATGAAAATCATAGAACCGCCGCCGCTTGTGTATCCGGACCTGAGATTGATCCAGACAATGAGTTTCTATTATGCCTCAAGATTGATTTTATCATCAATTGATGACCGGCCAGAGGGCGCGATCAGTATGGCAGAGAAATATCAGCTGGCGTGTGGGATTGCGCGCAGTCTTGAAGACTACCTCCGTCGCGCGCCAGGAAATATGATCAACCGGCTGGCTTTCTCAACACGAGTTGCATGGGAGGCGTTTCCCTCGGGCGGAGTGGAGCGTGGATTCATGGCTCAAGTGTTCAATCTAGTGGAGAAACGTCATTCATTGCGCCTCTGGGGAAGCTTCATGCCTGAATTGAGCGCCTATGCTGGCTCTAACACTTGAATCTAAGTGACGAGGAGCGGCCTACTCCAATCACTGAGAATCATGGATTAATGATGATGAGAACCACGATGAGATAATGACGACCAGCGTTTACAAAAAAATGGGAATATTTTTCTAGACATGTTTTAGTACTTGATGGAATCAATATTTTCTTTTGCAGGGAACAAAAGCATAGACACCGCTGGTGCGATGGTATCTGTATACCCAGCACTTTCCAGCCTTTACTACAATGTACATATTTCATGAGCCAATTGCACCTGTGTGATCTGAATACATATCCTGGGTAGCATTGTGTGGTGAGACCGAGACCGAGGTATCACAGAATGTTCGGGCTGTCACGTCTGGTGTTCCCTTGGTACAATAAATTTTGTACATAGCCGATCATCGCTTTAAGATTGAGCATTTATCAATACCCGAGCGGATTCATTGAATAGTTGATTAATTTATTTTTAATGGAGTCTAGGTCCGAGAAATTATTGGCTATCAGCGCACATACACGAGGATCCCTGATGGATCTATTTCGCATTGGCCTCTGCACTAGTGTTGCTAGTTCTGCGAACTCCTTAGCCTTAGCTTCAGCTTCTTGAAAATGTGATCTATATAACAGAAAAACCTTATTTATTATTGCGGGCACAGTATGAAATCGTGAGTTCTTCCTTGTTAGTTATGTCTCCTGTCTCTCGTTTATACCCACACACGTTGTATGTCCATCTCCTATCGGCCTCTGCCTAGAACCTCTAGAACAACGAAATAACCGGTTACGCCAATATACGCCGTCGACCTAAGCTATGTTTTCCTTTCTTTCTGCCATCACAGCTATAACACTTCTGCAGCCAGGGATCGTGTCCGCAGCTCTCTTCGCCGACCCAGCGAACGACTACTTGTGCGATTCGATCCATAATCCAGTCGTCACCCTCCACGGCCTCGGGGCAACTTACTATGAAGACATCAACTTCCTGGGCGACTGGTTGAAGACAGAAGGTTTCTGCGTCTACCGTGCAACTTACGGCGCCTACCCGGAGTTTCCTCTGGTCGGTGGATTTCTGCCCATAAACGAGAGCGCCGTCGAAATCGCCAACTTTATTCGAAATGTGACCACAGCCACTGGGAGAAGAAAAGTGGATTTGGTTGGACACTCGGAAGGCGCTTTCCAGACGTTGTATGTGCCCAAGTTCGAGGATGGGATTGCTGAGCTGGTGCAGCGAATTGTTAGCATTGCGCCACCCACGCACGGCACCAACTTCGCCAACCTGGTCACTTTAGCACAGGATCTGGGTATTGACGGCTTGGTGCAAGACGTGCTAGATACCTTTGGTTGCGATGCTTGCAATGACCTGACTACAGACGGTGCCGCCATCGAGCAACTCAACGACGGCACCCCTATCGTCCAGCCCGGTAACGGTGTGACCATCATCATTTCGCGAGACGACGAGCTTGTCACACCGGTAACGACGGCGGTTGTGGATGAGCCTGGTGTGCTTAACGAGTACGTCCAGGACTACTGTCCCTCCGATCCAGTCGGACACATTGGGGAGGCATATGATTCGAATGTATGGAACATGGTCAAGAATGCTCTGACGGATGTGACAGTAAAGAACTTTGACTGCGTGCTGGGCAGTCCTGGCAAGTAGCGAGCCATGTACATTATATATATAGTAGTAGGGTATTAAACGGACGATGCAGTAGTTTACAGCAAAAAAAGTTGTCGGCGATTTTTCCGTAGAATGATTAAACTTAGGGTTAGATTGCAAAAGTTTAGGGTGCAACGCCTAGTCTTTTTGCACTCCCGCATGCAGTTAGTCCTGAGCCTTTTTGCAAAGCTTGGCAGCCACCGACAAGCATCCTATCCCCGCACGGTGTGGAGACCGGCAGCCGTGGAAGGCAGCAGCTTGCAACTTCTCTCTGTGTATAAATAAATCCTCCACCATTGACACCTCGACTCGACTCCTATGGATATTATCAACTCTAAGATTCTATGCCAATCCTGATTGACGACTTTCGACAGCTTCATAGCAACAATGCGGCAAGATGGCCAACAGCTTAGCTGCTATCCGCTGTGGGCAAGTGTCAACACCCCTGGGAAAATATCCAACTTCATTGCTGACCAGCGCTTAGAATTCGGCCGAGGCAACCTTCTCACAATGTGCTCTTCCATACATTGCAGCCATCCCGGCCCTTGTAATTGTGGTCATTGCGATCAAGTACCTGTTGAGTAGTTCATACTTCTACAGATGGCGTCCATCGTGGACCTGTTCCTTTGTCCTTGAAGAAGATGCCACATACGAAATTCCGTTGGCTACACGCAGACCGCCTATACGCAAGGCTGTGGCCCTTTTCATTCTCGCAATACTTGGCCTCGGCGCCGAGATTATGCAACTAATAAAGAGACCCTCCGTCGATCTCACCGCACTCACTGCGGCTTGGGTAAGTTTCCTGTTTCAATGTGTATCCTTACTTGATGCAATTTAAGTAGCAATTATTTACGGTACTAGGGCCTTGCTACCCTCGTGATAGCCTTTAAACGACCCAGGACTGCTCCAACATCGTTTCTGACATATTATATCTCAGCTTTCTTAGTGCAATTCCCGGTCACCAGTGACACTGACACAGATACGCTGGTGAAAGTCGCACAAAGCACGGTCACTGGAGCTGCTATGTTATCGATTCTCATAGTTTTATCTATGCCAACCAGAAATCCATCCCTGTCCAAAGATGGCATTGGCAAAGTTGGCGAAAACCCATCCGACAGCTTGCGCAGTCCCGAAGACAACTTGCTCCTGTGGCAGTTTCTCACAGTATCATGGATGTCACCGCTCATTGCAGTTGGACGTAAGCGGCGAATCAACGAAGATGATGTATGGTCCCTGGGATTCGAATTCCAACACCGGAGATTACACGAAAAGTTTCGTCAGCTTCAGGGATCCGTTTTTGGTCGTTTGATGCAAGCAAACGCCATCGATGTACTCATTATCTGTCTGATTTCCGTAGTACAGCTCATTTGCAGTACGTTTGGATTTTACCCGAGGAAGAAAAGCGAACTGAGGACGATGCTGACTGCATGAACAGACTTTTCAACACCACTGCTGCTACAGCAACTTTTGAAAGTATTATCGGACGAGCATAGCACTAAGGCTGTAGCTATGATCTATGCGACTGTCATGCTCATAGTGCGTCTGTTATTTGCCCAAATTCAAGTGCTCAACCTCTGGTATGGCCGGAGGTGCTACGAGCGAAGCAGAGGGGAAATGATCATGATGGTCTATGAGAAGGCCCTATCCCGCAAGAATACGTTTGGCCAAAAGATATCGATCAAGGAAACGCCAGATGAAGCCAGTCAAAATGGTCAGAGGGATAGCGACAACATCGAGACCCCTAGCAAGAAAAGCCGCAAAACATGTGGTCTGCTTCCGTGGGGAAGTAAAGTCAAAAATGAAGAAATAGTGAAAGAAAAAGAAACTGCGTCGATGGGTAAAATATTTAACTTGCTTCGTGGCGATGTTTATGAAGTGGCACAGAGATTTTGGGAAATCAACGCACTTATCGACCAACCCGTGGGTCTCTTCATTGCTGTTATGCTTGTATGGAAGTTATTTGGGCCTTCATGCTTTCTAGGCGTCGTGACTGTTTTCCTCGCTCAAGTCATCAATGGCGTCATCACTCGCTTTTATCTACAATGGGGTCGAACTCGACGAGCAGCCACTGATGCTCGATTGCAGATCTCTTCGCAATTCGTGGAATCCCTTCGACATCTTCGTTGGTACGGATGGCAGAACCACTGGCTTCGCCAAGTTATGGAAGCACGTAGTAAAGAGCTCCATGTCCAAATAATCACGAATTTGTTGGAAGTTGCGATTACATTTGTTCAAGCTCTCACAAGTGGGTCATTTCCCGTTGTTGCTCTTTATGGTTATACAATACTAGCTGGTCGACCCTTGAGCATTGATATCATCTTTCCGGCTCTCCAACTTTTTGGTATGCTAGAGGAGCGTCTACGGGCAATTCCTGCCTTGATAACCACATTTATCAACGCATCTATCGCAATAGGCAGAATTGAAGACTTCATGGAGGAGCCTAACAAGGAAACTAGAATTGGGGAGGCATTGTCAGACCGCTCGCCAATCAGTTTGGAATCCTGCTCATTTGCCTGGCCTGGAAAACGCTCTGCGGTGCTATCGGACGCCAGTCTCACTATTCCGCAGGGGCTTACAGTTGTTTGTGGTGTAGTCGGAGCTGGAAAATCTGCACTACTACAAGCATTATTAGGAGAACTTGATGAGTTGAAGGGAGTCTCTCATTTTCCAAATGAAATGATTGGATACTGTGCCCAGACTCCATGGCTACAAAGTATGAGCATCCGCGACAATATTCTTTTCTCGTCCCCATACGACGAACAGAGATATAAGCGTGTCCTTGAGGCGTGCGCCTTGGTCCCTGATCTCGCCAACTTTCCACATGGCGACTTGTCATTTGTTGGCGAAAATGGAATCGGTTTATCAGGCGGACAAAAGGCAAGGGTGGCTCTCGCCAGAGCGGTCTACAGCACAGCCAGAGTTTTGTTCCTTGATGATCCCTTGTCAGCACTAGACCACAATACTGCAGAATCGATTGTGCGGAAATGCCTTCTTGGACCTCTAATGCAAGATCGTACAGTTGTTCTTGTTACACACCGCGTGTCATTGGTACGACCCCATGCAGATCAGATTGTTGAGATTACCGGGGGCAAGGTACATTGCCATGGCAAACAGGATGTATCTCCGCTACGTGATTTATACGATGATGAGATACAACACGGCGAAAGTGAACAGGAAACGACCGAAGACGAGGTATCGGCAGTAGTGCCGGATAAATTTGTCGAAGAGGAACACAGAGCGGACTGGGGTGTCCAGACTCGCGTGTACTGGGCATACATCAAAGCTGGAAAACTCAAATGGTGGAGCCTTCTTGTAGTAATCATCGGGATTTATCGCTGCATAGCTATTTTACAATCCTGGTTCCTCAAGGAATGGGGTGAGGCGTACAGCCAGTTTATGGTTACGTTCGGCTTTGCTGAATTGAAGACACAAATGAGTGGGCAGTGGACAACAGACAATATCTTCCCAGCAGCTTTTGCCAGCAATAGCAACGCTAGTATTCTCAGCTGGCCCTTCGACCGCAGTCATATTCCTTCTCCAGCAGAAGACGTCCGTCCTTGGCTGGGCCTATACCTGGGATTTGCCATCGTCCAATCCCTCTTTATGCTTGTGGCACAATTTCTGATGCTGATCATTGTTTTCTGTGCTGGAAGAACGATGTTTAAAGAAGTTATGGAACGCGTCAGTCACGCTACTTTCCGATTCTTTGACGTTACACCAGTCGGACGACTGATGAACCGCCTGACTTCTGATATCGGCGCAGTCGACCGAAATATCAGCATGCAGTTCCAAACCATCGCCTTCCAAATGATTATTTGGGTCTCCTCCATTGTCGTTATTGCTTCAGTGACTCCGACGTTTTTGGCATTTGCTCTTCTTTTGACAGCGAGCTTTGTCGTGATATTTCTATGGTTCCTGCCACTTTCACAGAGCTTACGACGTCTGGAGATGGTTTCACTAAGCCCGCTACTATCCAATTTTGGCGAATTACTTCACGGACTGACCACTGTGCGCGCTTTTCATGCTCAAGTGCGCTTTCAGGACCGCGTCATACAGGTGGTGGACAAATTCCAAGGAATGGATCATTTTTACTGGTCTCTACAGACTTGGTTGACTTATCGTTTTGAAGCATTATCGAGTATCTCTACTTTTGTACTCACTGCGCTGGCCTTGTACACCGATGTCTCGGCAGGTCTGGTTGCATTCGTTCTCGTGGCCGCCAACAACTTTGTGAATTCCACCCACGGGCTATGCAGACAATATGGCCAGCTTCAGATGGACTTTGTTTCGGTAGAACGTGTGGATGAGCTTCGCCATATTGACACAGAGGCCGAAGGTGAAATTGACCCCCCAGCATATTGGCCGCGGTTTGGTAGCGATATTGTGTTTGAAGATGCAACAATTCGCTACGCAGCTCATCTTGACCCGTCGCTGTCAGATATTTCGATCGTGATTCCTGGCGGTTCTACGGCAGCAGTCATAGGCCGCACCGGCAGCGGCAAGTCAACTCTTGCACTCTGCCTTCTTGGGGTACTGCAACCTGAGAAAGGTAAAATACTCATCGACAATATTGACATCAGTAAAGTGAAGAAACAAGCGCTGCGAACACGAGTTACGTTTGTTGCACAGGACCCCATTCTGTTCCCAGGTAGCATTCGCAAGAACCTTGACCCAACGGACGATTACTCCGATCAAGAGTGTGCGGAGGCCCTAGAGAGAATTTGCGCGCGACATGGGTGGACTTTAGATTTTCAGATCGAAGCCGGGGGTCGGAATCTGAGCCAGGGCCAGCGCCAACTAATTGGATTGACGCGGGCAGCTCTCCGACGCAGTCCTGTGGTTATCTTAGATGAAGCAACGGCGTCGATCGATCATGAGACGTCCTTGGAGATACAAAAGATTATCCGAGAGGAGATGAAGGAAAGTACAGTGATCACAATTGCGCACCGTCTAGAGGCGATTAACGATGCAGATTATTATGTTGTTTTAGACAAGGGACGAGTTGAGAGAGAGGGGCGTGTGTAAATAGCAGTGCTTCAGCGGTGGACATGGTATTATGTACTCTAGTTCCTGGTTTTTATGTTAGATATAGCAAGCAATGTATATAAAAGTTTAGGTAGCGAACATGTCAGATACGTCAACTTGGAGATCTAAGACAGACACTGAATGAAAGAGCACGTCTGAAAATATTCTCACCTAGACTTTCCATTTACGCTACATATTAAATACCTAGGTAAAAAGGAACTGAAAGGCGAGAGAATAGTGCTACGACTGGTATATCAGACAATTATTCAGGGTATCGGTCTAACTAACTAACAAAACATATGTCTCGTCAGCATTCTTAATAAACGTGCAAGAAGCAAAGCCAAAAGAAGCCAGGACTGAAAGTATAAGAGCAATTCACGATTATCAAATGAATCAATCCCACACCTGCAAGGAGAACAGTGCGAGGATATTCCCCTCAGTGTCGACAAATTTGGCAAGGGAACCCATTCCCCTACCAAGAAGTGACTTGTTTCTTTTTCCTCGCCATTGGCCAGGCTCCTCATTCAAGTAGCAGGTTGAACAGAGCCGCTCAAACATACCGAAATATCCTCCCACCAGAATCAGTGATCTTCTTCAAAGTCTCATCCATATCCTCCACGGCGAACGTGTTACCGACCGACCATAAGATCTTGTCGTCCCCTTCCTTTTCACGATCCGACGAACTAGCAGCGAACGCTTTACTCATATCAAAAAACTGGTCTTCGGGAACCAGCAAGAAACTGCCATGGAAGTTTCCCTTGCTAAAGAAATAAACCCGCTCAATGCCCTCGAGTTGTTGCTCGTACCCTTCCTCGTGGATGTTCCATTCGAATACATTGCGGTAAAACTGAATTGCGCGCTGGGCATCCTTCACTGGAATTTCCATCCAACATGTCTCACCATACTAGTATTAACGTTAAGACATGCGTTAGTCTCGCACGCTATAGATTTAGTACTGTCTGGACTCTGTCGGTATGTTGGCGATAGACACGTCATCAAAGAGGGGGGAGGGGGACGAGGGGCCGTTTTTTGTGCTTACACGAAACATCCTTGAAAAAATGCAATAATAATTCTCGGTGATTGATGTGCGTCCAACCAAATGATTCAATAATATCATATATTTTCAATGACCAACCATATCAGAATCCTTGACGTGCGTAGGAAGGTAAACCCCCTCGAGATGATGCGCAAATGCGCTGTTATATTGTGCAAATCGATATTGCGTACCCACTCTATGAGCAAGGGAAGTGAGAGAAGAAATAAGCATAATATCAAAATGAAATATAAAGTATAAGAAGAAAAGCCTTACAAAGAACCGAAATTTACAATCTGACTAGGAACGGTGATCGGCAAAGCCTAGTGTTGGTATACGCGCGAAGTTGAGTTTATGTGGCACATATGTTCTCGGACAGGTTTCGAAATATAGAAAAATTACCCTTATCTTTTCCATGAGTAGTACTTAACCGGTCGTACTATAATAAACATGACTCGTTCCTGCAGAACTAACTATCATCGTGTATGTAGTGACGAAACTATGTACGTAACTAGCCGAGGACTAACTAATGTAGCATTGCATTCGTGGAGTAAGCAGAATCCTCGCTCGAGAGTTAGGTTGAGGGTCTTTATTAGAATAAATGTTTTCTTGCTACTGAAAATTCCTTGGTTATTCTATTATATGCGATTGAACTGGGTAATCCTTGAGTGAACGGACACGGAGCCCTAGCCCTAAACCTGTACCTAGTTTGAACGTATCCTCAATCAAGGAAAAGGCCCACGTATATCAATCATATATTATGAGAGTCAAAACCATGTTGCCATTTGAAACGCTCTAGAATATATTACCTAGGTATACAGCAAGGCGTATACTCTCTTCTTACGTACTTGAGAGCTAGCAACTCAAATATATATAACTTTGAAAATGATGAGCATGCAAGTATATCTGATTAGATATCAGATTGGGATGACCCCTCAATCCTAGTAGATACTAGTCTTCCGTGTGTGATATGATTATTTTGAAACCTTTTGAGGCATTTGCTGCGAAGATTTTTGATAATTCTCCCTGCATGCATACCTAGGTATATTAAATTCCATGTCTCATTCGAATCAATTGTTACAAGAGATTCTACTTAAGCTCCAAGTTTTGGAATGATTGACTTCTCTAGATTACACTTGTGAATTACTGTCAAGCAAGTAAAAGCCTTCAATCGCAGCTATCCAGTGACCGGACTCAATCTTGCCGTTATCTATTCTCCAAATACGTAGGTAGCAACACATTACAAATAACCAATAACCAAGTTTCCCCAACCAGTTAAACCCCTTCTGGCACAAAATGCGTTTGGAGAATGTGATTTAGTTGACTTGTGCTACTTATGACAATATCTCGTCTTAGACGAAGGTCAAGCGTGGGCTTGGATCGACCTATATGGGCCTATATAGCCTTTAGATTGGCTGCATCTCAGAGTCTCAGAGATAGATCATTTCCTTTGATAAACCATTTCTAGAGTTGATTTGCTATCTAGATTTGAGCCATATGACTACACATAATTTATATCAATGCCCATTTTGATGATTAAAGCAACGAGAAGATTCTCTCGTGTCGAAAAAAACTTTTCTCTTTAATATATTTTCTTGTTTTTGTTTCGTTATGGCAACTAAGCGCACTCGAAAAAAGCCAAGGACGTATGGTGTTTAGGGCTTGACTAGCACGGCACGGATCCATGGAAATGGTAGAAGATTTCTTCGCATCGTGATCAGAAAAGTTTATAGCTAATGCTTTCATTTCTTATTACGTATGAACGTAGGCGTTGTTCTCTACTACACAAACGAAGAAATTGCCAAATGGACATCGTATTGTGAAACGTTTCTCGTCGATGTGCATTAAACTTGTGCATGAAAACTTGACTTTTTTTTTATACAATCGATTGGTTTTTTTTTTTTTATAATTGCGACCAATAACTTCACATTTTCGACAAGTATAAATAGTAGCAATCCCATCCCCTTAATCTAAACGAACCAGTCTATACTTTACACGGGCACATGTAACGAGTCAAACATCACTCCGATTTGAAGACTGCGGCTCCCTAGGACCGGAACAATGACTAATTTTATCTAGAGGAACGGAGTGCTCCGTTCTCTGAGCTTTGTGGGTCTTAAATCCCTTTCTTTGAGCCTCTGAGTGCATCTACGGAGTACTCTGTACGGATATCTCCTAGATAGCATTACTATCAACCCCTTTCTTGTTCAGTGGACGGAGAACGGAGTAGAGTCTAGACTGATAGTTTGATACGAAGTATAGATAAGTTAAAAGGGATAAAGACTTAGACGGCGCTAATGCTTAAGGCTTATAGGCTTATACCTAGGAGTCAGAATATTTGTTTATTTATTAAAGCTACGGAGTGCTAATAGTATAAAAACTCAAAGTATACGATACTAGAGTGTTTGATCCGCTGCATGTCTCAGTGCCACGGGGCTTGGAATCGTATGGGCGAGCACATCGCCAGGGCCAATAACACGACGCCGCGACACGAGTTGTGGCTAAGAGAAAACGGGCCCACTACCTTTTCGGGCTGTGGCTGACTTGGGCCACGATGATTGGACGAAGCCACTGTAACATATATACGCTATGGTTGGCTGGATATATTACCATCCAGGTACGGATACGTGCGGATACATCGAATTAAGGTATTCTCGGCCCGTCGGAGGAATCGCAAATCGAAAAAGCGATGAAGTAACTAGCCCCACCGCGACCCGCCCTCGACTCCCGCGCTTAATCGACTCCCGGTCCGCCATTGGCTAGTTGTTTCCAGTTCCCTGTTTCAGATGCAGCCCATGATGCAACTGCTGTAACAAGCTAACAGCGCACCGATCAGGCAATCGTCCAGTCTGCTGCGAGAGATGGGGGGTCTTTTTTTTTTTTTTTTTTTTTTTTTTTTTCCCTTTCTTCCCTATTTTTAAAGTCGGCGTATTTCAGGAACATGCGCTCTTGACACCAGAGGCTGGGCTAGAAAGGGGAACTATCGACCACTGGACGGTCTAGCGTTCGAATAGTCTTGAATTTTAGTCCTTGCGCAGCCATGTGCGGGAGTAGTGCGCAACTACTAACGGCGGACTCCGGAGAATGGATCCTAGTTGAATCTTGTTTTTCTGAATTATCAATCCACCCATATAAACCCACGGATACGGAATAGACGTTGCAACGATAAAGGTCAGCAAAGCCAAACACGGAATTAAGTTGTGTGTTAAGTTATTAGCTAGCAACTAATCAACCAACTACGTCGTAGACTACTGAGTAGTACCTCACATATCCCGTGCGGTGTGGCCAGTTACCAGCACCGTGCGTTCTGACATGAAACCGTCGACTAGTCACCTTTCCCCCCCCTTCCCCGGCAAAAGAAAAAAAAAAAAAAAAGACAACGTTAGTCCGTTTGTTTGTTTCTCGATTTAGCATTCATCATATTGATGACGAGGATGAATCCCTCCCAACCTGGTGGCCAATCACAACCCCTGCAGTAAGCTAGGTTAAAGGTAACGTAGCCATCCCAGTTACGTACGCGGACTGGTCATCTCAGACATGCATCGGCCATGCGTCATCCAAAGTGCGGGCGGGCCTGAAGAAAGCAGGAGGGAAAAAAAAAAGAAGAAAAAGATGACATGTGTGAATGCTCCGAGATAGGGATTGCTTTTCTTAGCTTTATGCAGCAAGTTTTGAGACCTGGCCATCGAATGAGCACCACGTTCTCGCTCCGTCATAGCCGGCGGGACAAGAAATCGACAGGGGCTTTCCCACTCTGAGACGCTGGCCTGTTTCCTGTTCCCAAAAAGGGAAGCGGCGATTGGGCCGCGCCGTCCCAAAGAAGCAGGTTGTTGCTTCCCACCGGCCGCGTCCAGATGTGGCAGGCGCCGACCCCTGACCCGCCACGGCAGCCGCGGTCTGATTGGCCAGCGGCGTTCTATTCATAGTGCAGCTCTCCACCAACAGGAAGCATCTCTTCGTCAAGCGCCCAGAACTTCTCCTCGATCATCGTGTGCAGCGCCTGAGATGCGAGATTCTATGTGTGTGTGTGTGTGTGTGTGTGCGTGCGCGCGCGCGCTGTGCACTGTGCAAGTATCAATGTGCGTGTCTGTATGTGAGTCACTGCCTGCTCTCTTCTCCAATCACCCACCGAGTCTCGACTGATCACCTATCAAACAGTGCCCAGTACAGTGTCCACTGCCAAACATTCAACCACGCCTCCATTTTTGGCGCCAACTCGCGGTGGATCAAACACTGAGCGCTCCAAATGGACCCTCCGCCACTCACAGGGTCGCCGGCCTCGCTACCAACCACAAATGGCTGGCTTCCTTAGACACCACACGACAAATCCCGAGGCTTTCCACCTAATAGCCGATCTAGACTAGGCGACATGCAAGATGCAATGCAATCCTGTCGTTCATCCTTGATCCCTCTGTTATATTACACTTGTCTCTCCTCCATCTCCACTCTCTTTTCTCTCGTCCACCCATTCCTTCGTCATCTTGTCCCTCGTTTCTATTTTGATTCACCCTCATATATCTCTTTTTGTTTCTCGTCGTCTGGTTGGAATCTTCAACCTCAGAGTGAGCATTTCGAGGAAGACTTTCGTTTCCTTCCCCTCGAACTACGCGGCTCTTGATTCTTTGTCGATCACTTACTGTCAATCGTTATAACTACCTCTCTCGCAGGAACCATTTCTTCAGTTCCTGAAGAGCAGAAAAACTTTCGTTACTCAAGATGAAGGTCTCTCACCTTCTCGTGCTCCTGGCGAGCACTGCCTTTGCCGACAACGCGCAGTCGAGCAACGCAGTCGTTCCTGCGTCGAGCTTGGCTACAACACAGCCTTCTGACAATGGTGTTACCACTACGATTGTGGATGAAGTGAGCACCAAGACTCGCACGTATACTACCACAACTTGCCCACGTAAGTCTCGTCTCACAACCCTTCCCTGGCATATCTTGTACTGACTACTATCGCAGTTGGCACAAGCACATTCGTTTCTGGTTCCGACGTTATCACTGCGACATACACTGGAACTAGCACCGTTGTTGTAACAGACGTGGTGACATGTACCAAAGAGGTCTGCAAGCCTCACACCCCTACACCGACTACTGTCTGGACGGAGGTCATCTCTACTGTAACCAGTACATACATGACAACTACTTGCCCTCGTAAGTTGCTTGCATCCCATCTGCGTATCTTCTTGACTTGTTTTCTGACCAGAATATAGTCGGCACCACTACATACACTTCTGGCTCCAACACTGTTACTGCCACAACTACTGGAACAAGCACCATAGTGGTAACGGACACCTATACTTGCCACAAATCGAGTTGCAAGCGTCACACTCCCACACCATCACTCACCACTAGCATCCCCTCAAGTGTTGGTCCCGTTACTGCAACTACCTCGGAATCTTCTTCCTACAGCTCGGTTCCAGGTGTTTCAGAGTCTCAGAGCACCCCGGCCGGAGTTCCAACCCACAGCTCTGTGCCTCTTGTTTCCGAATCTCATAGTTCGGTTTGGTCTAAGCCTGCTGTCCCAACCACGTCCCAACCCCAGAGCTCGGTCCCCGTGGTTCCCACCTCTCAAACCGGCCCAGTGGGAGTTTCTACTCACAGCTCGGTGCCTGTTATCTCTAAGCCTCACAGCTCCGTCCCCGCTGTTTCCAAGCCTCACACCACCACCTCGTGCAGTTCAAGCTCCAAGACTGTTGTTCCTGTTGCTTCTGAGTCTCACAGCTCTTCTCCTGGTGTGACTAAGCCTCACAGTTCCAGCTGGTCTAAACCCGGTGTCCCTGGTACCAGTTCTGTTCCCGTTGTTTCCAAGCCTCACAGCTCTGTATCCGCTGTTTCGAAGCCTCACACCACTACCTCGTGCAAGTCAAGCTCCAAGACTGTCGTTCCTGTCGCTTCTCACTCTCAAAGCTCTGTGTCTGGTGTCTCCCCCAAACCCCACAGTTCCATTCCTATCGTTTCCAAGCCCCACAGTTCTGTTCCCGGTATTTCCAAGTCTCACAGCACTACCTCGTGCAGTTCAAGCTCTAAGAGCGTTGTACCTATTGCTTCTCAGAGCTCTGTTCCTGGTGTTTCCAAGCCCATCTCGGTTTCTACCTCCGTTCGCCCTAGCGTTACCCCATCTCAGCCCGCTTCCGAGTCTATCACCACCAAGACTTCGACCTACACCACAACTACTTGTCCAGGTACGTTCAACACCGAATTAATTTGCAAAAACTGCTAACCGCTATGATAGTTGGAACTTCTACTTTCACCTCGGGCAGCAGCACAATCACCTCTGTGTGGACCGGAACTAGCACTGTGGTAGTTACAGCAACAGTAACTTGCACTAAAGATGTTTGCCACCCGCACACTCCATCTGCAACGAGTGTTCCGGCTAGCAGTGTTCCTATTGTAACTGGCACTGTGACAACTACTCCTAGTTCAGTTGGAGCTGTTGGAACTACATCCGTACCGGCTTCTGAGTCTGTCACCACCAAGACTACAACTTACACCACGACAACCTGCCCTGGTAAGCTGGGTTCTGATATTTTGATCAGTCACAATTGCTAACCTTGGGGTAGTTGGAACTTCCACTTTCACCTCGGGCAGCAGCACAATCACCTCTGTATGGACCGGAACCAGCACTGTGGTAGTTACAGCAACAGTAACTTGCACCAAAGAAGTCTGCCAGCCACACACTCCTACAGCGACTACGCTCTCAAGCGGAACCACCATCCCTGTTGTAACTCCAGTTCCTAGCTCAGTTGGAGCCACCGCTACTTCTTCCGAGTCAGCTTCCGAGTCTGTTACCACCAAGACCTTGACCTACACAACCACTACATGCCCAGGTAAGTCTTTGTATAGCACCTATTATGACCCTATCTAATTTCTGTGCAGTTGGAACTTCCACCTACACATCTGGCAGCAGCACTATTACCTCAGCGTACACTGGTACTAGCACTATCGTCGTTACAGCCACAGTCACTTGCACCAAGGATGTCTGCCAGCCTCACACTGCCACCTCCACTGTTCTGCCTAGTGTAACTACCACCGCTGTCGTTACTGGTCCTGCGTCTTCAGTTCCTAGCTCAGTTGGTGCTACGGAGACTACATCTGTACCAGCCTCCGTTCCAAGCTCAGTTGGTGCTACGGAGACTACATCTGTACCAGCCTCCGTTCC